GAATCTAGCAGGGCGCCTGTGCCAATTACGTCGCCGAACCAACTGAGGAATCGCGGGCATTTGATTTCCTGTTATGCACTACACAAGGCAGCACTGTGCTCTGTCTAATCTTATCGCGCTTTCAGAGCGCCCAGGAAGCAGCTAAGCGACCTCCCTGCTGTGACATCTGCACGAATTGAGTTAGGTGTGGGAATTTTTATAGAAAAATATAAATTTTTGATTTTTTTTGACTGATGACAAACTGATAAATTAAGAATATAAATTTATACATTTAAAGAAATATCCCAATTATATCTATTTGAGTCTGTACATGTATTTTTTCATGTTTTTTTCAAATTTCTTGAAAAAATCTAAAAATTTTAAATCTTAAATCTTGAAATTTGAGGTTCTAGAGCTAATTGCTGATAGATACTAGGGCTCCGAGAAGCAAGTAGCTTATTGTTGATGGATCTTATAGTTAGATCCGATCACTCCCAGATTGAAAGAGAGAGTCTAATCCATTCTCTCTCATTCCATCCCGACTAGATCATATGATGGAGACATTTATCACAGTCCCGATAACTAGAACACAAATAGAGGCAAGAAACAAGAGGCAAGATGCTCCTCCAGGAGCAAGATAGGGATGTAGCATACTACATGATATGGTCTGATGTATTGCTCCCAGAAGCAAGATAGCACATAGTTGATTGTTCAAGAAAACAAGATTCTAAGTGACCTCCTTAGAGGTCTAGTGGTTGTTATGATCAGGTTACACCTCTTCCTGACTAAGGTTTTGAGTGAGTGTGAGGACATTGAAGATGTAGCATTTAGTTGTCATGTTCACTAGATACTTCATGGTTCTCACCAGTGAGCTCTTACTGAGATGGTATAGGGCTCCGAGGAGCAAAAGATGATTCACTCGTTGACATCAGTTATTATCTCGTTGTTTGATAACAGAGTTTCCATTGAGCAGACATATGATGGGACAGATGGAGTCTCTCGCTCATCATTTGAGTGGTTCTCTACATCTTGAGACTGCTCGTTAGTTCAATGAATGTTAATAGACTTCTTCGACATCTGATAGAATGGAGGAGAAGGCTAATTACCGTTTCTGAAGAGATTTAATTGAAAATTCCGCTACGTTTGATACTTAAATAATTATATTAGAGTATGTCCGCTTTAATTTAATCCCCTGGAGGCGTTTAGGCGCGGCGCTTATGAGACTCCACTAGAAAAGAGAGGAACAGAGTCGGAGGGCGCGCCGAAATTCCGGGCGCTTTGCGTCCATTTCTGCACGTTTTTGCTTGCGTTTTTTCTCCAGTTTTTCTGCATTTTTTTAAGTTCGTGCCGCTGGGGATGCTCCTATTCTATTTGTGAACTATATCACCAAGGAGGCCCAAGCTTAAGAGATTGTGCGCCTGGCACTTGTTTCCAGCTCATTCGCCACTATTTTAGAGCATTCGGCGGATTGCTCTCGAGCTTCTTGGAGGCCTTTGCGTGGTTCTTTGGGTTGTTTTTCGTTCGTTGAGGAATTTAGAAAAGACGTCATCGAGCTTGGCGAATATTTTCAAATATTATTTCTGAGTATTATTTTGGGATATTCTTTTGCTTGGTTCCCGTGTTTTTTCGAATATTTTAGAATTATCAAAAAAGTGAAGAAAAACCAAAAAAGCCGGAAGCTAGTGGGGCCGCGGTCTTCCTTCGCGTCGCCTGAGCTTTATCCACCATTTTTAAATAGAAAAAATATTCTGAGATAATATTTGAAAATATTCGCCAAGCTCGATGACGTCTTTTCTAAATTCCTCACACGAGCCAAAAGAAGGAACGACAAACGCGGCAACCATCTAAGGGAATACGCTGCGGAAGTGTCCCCGGATAATATTCGAGAATATTCGCCAAGCTCGATGACGTCTTTTCTAAATTCCTCACACGTGCCAAAAGAAGGAACGAAAAACGCGGCAACCGTCTAAGGGAATACGCGGTGGAAGTGTCAGCGAATAATATTTGTCAAATTTGCCAAGCTCGCTGCCTGTCTTTCTAAACTCTTAACAGCTGAAGAAAATACAGACAAACGCAAACGCATCCACTGAAACCGCTCCAGGAAACACGCCCGCGGATACTCGGAGGAGGGTCGTAGCAAGAGGCCGCGGATGTCATTGGGTTGAAGTTGTGCACGCCTACGGTGGTCGACAGCAGCGGTCGCGTTTCCCTTCTCTCCCCCTCCCTCCTTTCCCGCCCCCACCCTTGCGCCACTCCCCTCACCCCTCCCGCACCCGGCCAGGGAGCTCCCCAGTCTAGGCGCTCACGTGTGCCCACGCTATGCTGTGGCAGCGCGTGGCCTAGCCTGACTCTGCGAAGGCTTCACCCTATTGGCTCAAGCCTTTCGCCCTTCCTTGGCTCGGGTGGGTGGCGACACAATCAGCCGAGCTACTAAGCCATGAGCGTCGGCAAAATTGTTCTGCTTGATTATCTTCTTCTTGTCTTGGGCTAGCTGATCACTTGCGTACATTTTTTTTTTGTAGCTTGTTCAATGTTACCAGTGCAGGTTCAAAATTTTCTTTTTCGTATACCTAGTATTTTCGTCGAGAGAATGGTGCGCACGTCGGTGGATGGAAAAATTGGGTGTAACGAAAAATACAGTGCTACTTATTGGCGTTGCCGATATTTTAAGGCATGCCTCTTTCCATCGTCGAAGCGTCCTACGGTCTTTTGCCAAGAGCAAAAGACAACTAGGTTGTTCGCCGCGAGATGGATTGCAGTACGCGCTAACCAATGGGGCGAAAAAGACGAGACGGATAAGCGAATTTCTGACTTGGAGCAGCGACTACACCAGGCAGCAGTCGAGCTGCAGAAGCAGACAAACAAGGCGACCAGCCTGAAAAGAGAGATGGATGATCAGGCGAAGGAGCTGCTTGCGGTGCGTAAAAACCAAAAACTGGTGTGGGAGTATCGCAAAATATTTGCGATGGAGGTGGCTGCGCTGATTCTGCTGATTTACTTTTACGTCTTCTAATCCGGTATTTCTATGTGCTTAGTGGCTTTGCTTTTAGGTGCGTAGCGTCTGATGTTCTTTACTTCTTTGGATATGATCAATATCCCATGATAATTGTAATTCTTCCTACATTCTCATTATGTATTTTCCTCACCCACTATACCTTCAGGGCATTCACTTTTTTTATCACGGGTGAGCAGATGAAGCGGAGGATATAACTCGTGATTGTAGCAGAATGAAGACTGACAGCAAAATTGTCTTATGGGTGAGGAGGTCGCACCACACTGGACCTTTAAAAGGTCACTACGTCAAAATAATTAGTGATCTCTGATGATGATTTTCTCCTTTGTTTCCACCGTATTTCTCACCAGAACTACATCTACTATGATGTGCAATCTCACTTCGAGACAAAGTTTAGTGAAAGCGTATGATCGTCGATGGATTAATCTTGCGTGTCACTTTGTTCTGTCGTGAAGTATGTTCTGGCTCGCGCTTGCATTTTGGGGACGAGATCGTAGTGCATTAAGAGAACTGTGAGAACGTGGGCGAGATAAAAAATACGAGGTCGATCATTCAAAGGAGCTAGTCGTTGAGTTGCCTTATCTCACAGTGGCCGACTGTTTCACCCAGCACCCAAACGCTGCATTCATCTTTTCATGACCTAGATTCTATCATTGCAAAAAAAAAATAAATAATTTCTTGTGTACTTCTAGTTCGAAATATTGTTTATGCTAACAAAGTGCATTTTCATGTAGATGCAGGTTGGTAATTTACAATAAGCAAGTGCAAGAGATCATGGATTTGTACGTTTTGTAGAAATTTTGTTTACCTCACGTGCAACCACTTCAACATCACACGGCTCGTCCGTGCGATCGAAGCGTCCACAGCAAGATGCCGACAAGCAAACTAAAGCTTCATGCGGATGAGTCCTTCTTCAATCTGGGATCTCAGAGCAATGCTTCCGCAGCAGCTTCGCTTACGCCTAGCGTGACCGACTCTAAGCCAGCGGCTAAGAAAAAAATGGGTCGACCGCCTAAAACGCTCCTATCACAGCTGAAGGCTAACACAGATTCGGAATTGCTTACTAGCAAGAATTGGAGCGAACTTGGCATCGAACTAACGGGAAACGAACAAGACAAGGCCGGTTCTTCTAGCTCATCTTCATCTAGTTCGTCGACATCATCAAGAGGAAGCAAGCTTTTCGCGCCTACTTCTACGTCAGCATCCTCTTCAGTGGGATTTGTGGACGGAAATGGAGACGTCAAAACAAAGTGGAGTGAACTAGCTGAAGTACAAAAAGCGTTGAGTCGTCTCGACAATAGGTTCTACCACGCAGACATCGACGACAAAGAAGCACAAGCTGAAGCATTAAACGAGGCAAGTCAGCTTCTTACTGAAGCTCAGGATCGCGTCTGTTCTACTTCGGGAGCCGAGCTTTGTGGGCAGGCAGCAAAAGACGTGAAGAATTTTACAAAAGCTCTTTCCAGTAATTCTGCTACAACTACTACTACCACTAGTAGCACTAGTAGTGTCCAGCCTCAAAACGATGTTCCTCCGAATGCTACTTGTAATAGTAGCATCAGTAGTATTACAGCTGTTCATAAAAAAAAAATTGGGCGTCCAAGAAAATCAGCTACTCAACTTGTTGCAGCTCCTGCTCAAACGAAAGCTGCCGCCAAGAAAGCAGCTAAGATAGCAGCACGGAAAAAGAAAGTTGTACAAGCCGAAGACGACGAAATAGAGCATGTAGATGAGTGTGCAGATGATAAAGAACTCGAGCCAGCACCTAAAAAAAGAAGAGGTAGACCGCCCAAAGAAGCACCCATTGCAGCTCCTGCTCGTGCTGGCGATGGAGGTAAAGGCGTCAAGAGAAAGACAAAGAGACATCTAGAACTTGAAGAAGCTGATGCTACTTCGGAGGAAAGTAGTGAAGAAGAAGACTGGGACGAGAAGAAAAACGCAAGCAAGTATGATGACAGCGATGACGACGCTCGTGTGACAATCGAAAAATATCGCACCTGCATGAACCCTATGGACGCTCTTCACATCGATCCTCGCAAGACGTCTCATCAGATCAGATGCATCACCGGCGTTTATTGCCCAGAGGGTGGACTTACCAAGGTCGATAAAGATGAACTTTTAGCGAAGATTCTGCTAGCCGCGAAGAAAATGAAACATGGAGAATTTGGTGAGTTCCACGCAGAACAAATCAAAATTTTTATCGCAGAAGAACGAAGCTTCAGCCTCTATCTCCACTACCATATTTGGATCGATTATGGTGTGTACTCTACTCAAAACTTAAAAAGTCAATTTTTCATTACAATTTATTTTCACTTGAAAATAAATTCGAATTGCGATTAGCTCTCTTTGGTAGTCCTAATTCATGCTACATCAACTCCTCTAACCACAGTGTCCTGATAGGACTAGACGCTTTGGTGAGCTGGTCAATCTCATCGAGAAAGAAGGGCTCAAAGTTGATTGGCGAACAGTGAGGGTCGGAAAAGGACATAGCGTGCGGTCTGAGATAATGGATTATCTTTACATTTACGAGCACTCTTCTGAATACTTAGCTCTAGCATTTGTTGCTCTTGTGACAAAAAAAAAATTTGTTCGTCTTGCTTTTCGCTACTCTAACTTAGCCCGAAGGACGACAAAATTATCGACAGTAAGCCGACTTTGTTCCTCTACGACGCGCCACAAGCCATGATAAACTTGCGACTGGCGACAAAGCGCAGACTCGCTGGGCGTCCGATGAACGATGCACAAGCGTTCTCCTGGCTCGAACATCACCCAGATATTTGCGTCTTGGAAATGGTCAAAGCAGACTCGCTTGTCACGAAGATACGAAAAAAGTGCATTTTGGAGAAGGATGACATGTACGACATGCATTGGGAACGCTATTGGAGATGGCTATTGAAGACACAGCACAAGGACTACTGCAACATGGTGAGCCGAGTTCTCATGAAGAGGAAAGCACCACTACTCGATCTTGACCTACGTACACGCCTGCAGCAGAGTTTGAGAGAGCCTTGCCGCTGTCACGAAGTCGAAGGCGGGTACGAAGGAGCAAAATTCTTGTTAAGGTGCAGCATCGTGCAAGTACAAAATTCTTCTACCGAAAAAAATCTGCACAGTAAGAAAAGAAGTGTGAGTATAAGTTACTGACGATAGTATATATAAGTAAAAATTAAACTTTCAAACCTGTCGATAAGTAAAAGTTAAACTTTCAAACCTGTCGGTGTAAGTATAAGTTTACTCTAAATTGCGAATTACGCAGAGTCGCGCAATATCATGACATCGAAGCTGAATTAGGTGGATTCTGTTATGGTTCTTTAGTCCTCATTCAACAACCCAACCGCACCTCTTACTGCTCCAGTAGGTGTGGTTTCGAACGCTTGAATGAAGACTACCACGCTCTCTAAAAATACACTCGGATCCTGAACAACACTGCTGGAAGAGAAAATAGTCTTTATGGAGGATTTTTGTTGATTGCGAATAGATTTGTTTTGGAGACATCTTCACTTACAACTGCTTTCTCTCGGCTGCTTGTTCGTCTAATGAAGACTCATACAAGGCCTTGATCCCGGGTCGGGTAAAACTACGATTGCCTTCAGTATCGCGGACGTCCTCGAATTACGCATAATTGAATAGGTTTCACTTGTTGTCCCTCTTCAAAGTTGAAGAGAGACCACTAGAATGTGAAACCATCAGGGTTCTAATAGTTGAAGAACAAGTTTTCCGTCCGTGTACTAGCGGAGGACTTTTGTTCCAAGGCTGGCGACCTTCGTTGACTAGGTTACTTCTTTTATGGCTTTAACTTAATGAAATTACTCAGCAACACTTCATTCCTAGTTCTTCATTCGTAATTGATCAATTATTATTAATCACCCATGAGCACCCCCCATAATTCATCTCTAATTTTCCTCAACGACGTACGTTTGAACTCCACTTTGCCACCTGACTCACTCCTTCCGATATTGGAGGGAGAAAGGTGGTATAAAGTGGATCAAAAAGTTAAGGGAGCAATTAGTAATATTTCACATATTTTCTTTTCTTCATCATTTTATCATACCTGTAGCATATACAATTACAATTTGATTTTTTCCCCAACTACATCCTCTAAATTTCGAAGCGATCCAGTGGCGCTGGGACCTTTTAAAAAGTATAGTATTCTTACTACGCAGTACTTGCAGTCAAAGGGAGGAGAATGGCAAGGACCAGACATTGAAGCTCTTCGATCTCGCATGGGCTTCTTAATCACATTAAACAAATTATGACACGCTTATTTTTATAAATATATAATTGGTTCTACTTCATAGCGATGAAGTAGAAGGTTAATCGTTTTCTTATGCATGATGTAGCCTAAGTTCTAACTTCACCCTTACCACCCGAATTCAAAGACGAAAATGGCAACATGTTCGATATGACTCATAGATGCCCACGTTGTAGCGGAGAATTTTGGGAGGAGTGCCGACAACAAGCGCTTTTACACCCAGAAAGAACAGCGCGAGCAACTGAGCACCACAAGAAGAGAGATTACCGAACACCGACTCGACCTGCGCTTACTCTTACCGGGGAACAGCAAGCACGTCTACAACTACAGGACAGCCATCTGCTACTACAACTAGCACATACTGGGCATATCAAGAAGGAGCAAGTAAACGAGCTCGCCCTTGTATCTGGCTTCACAGAAACGCTTAGGGCACTGGTCGAGAGCAAGCAAATCAACACTGCCAGCACGGACGGCAAAGGAACACTGAAAGAAGATGCTCCAAGTACAAAAGACCATGGCACTGAGCTACCACCACACGCTACCCCAGGATCGTTTAGCAAAAAAGGAGGAAAATCAAAGTCAGACGATATGGGCTCAGGTAATGTTTTCTTCTCCACTTGTGCGTCTCATATGTCCGCTTCATACTGTTAGCAGTTCTTCCTCTTCTACCATCTTCATTTTCCACTTCGCCCAGATACGCCCGCTAGCGGAATTTCCATAGGCTGGCCTCACGTACCGTGGAACACTCCATATGGTGGCGCGAGCAGTCATCATAGCTGGGCACCATCAGATAGTTCTCGTGCAGGGCGACAAGCCACATTGATGGGGAGTACATCTACAAATAGCATGGACCGCAACAGCCTACAGTTCAGCTAAGGATTGTCGCCATACGAAGAAGCGCGTTTAAGCCGAATAGGAGACTCCATCGCAAACAAAGGCTGGAGCACACCATATGGACCTACATACCATAAAGGACAACCTAGCTGGGGAAAATCACAGACTTATCACAGCCAGCTTCCACAATATCAACATCATCAACAGCAACAACCTACGTTCTTCAACGCAAACCCAGGACACCACCAGAGCAATTCTTTTCAAGACCACTATGCACAACAGCACGCAATTCATCAAGGATATAATCAAGCACAACGTCAGAGCTTTCATCAAGCAGAACAATCACAGAGGCAGAACTTTACTTCCAGTAGCGTAGGCGCATGTAGTTTTCAACAAGTTGGAAATTTTTCAAATCACGTAGAAGCACATCATCAACATGAACAGAGAGTGTATAACAATGTGAATAGTAGCACAAATGCAATGTGGAACAATATGGACCTTGGTTATGCTAGTAATTATTTAGGTATGAATTCGTATGTTTATACTCCGGTGAACGACCAAAACAACGAGTCAGTCTTTCCAGCAGCTGACTGCGCGTCAGGTTGTGATGCAGGTTCTATCACACCTTTCGGACCAACGCAGCCTTTTCTTTAACATTTTGCATGTACAGTTTACTTAATCAAAAAGAATTCCTAGACAAGCCCTCGCGACCAAGGTCCGCGTGTTCTCATTGGAACAGATCATCACCACGAGGAGGCAGAGAGAAAAACGTACGAAGCTACGAGCGATTTGATGTGCAACTATCCTGACAAAGAAAAAACTTTTTATCCAATCTCCCTATCATACGTTTACCTCCCCTCCCCCACTCCCGACCCTACTACCATCTCCCCGCACCCCTGGAGAATCCTCGGGAGCAGGGAAATGTCCTGGGGAGTCCCCCGGAAATTCCCCTGCTACAGGAGTTCCCCCTCCCCTTTGATTCTCCAGGGGTGCGGGGAGGGGAAATGAGGCTCGGGAGCGTGATCTGGGTGTGGAGTGATTGGAGGAATTTTGTATTTTGTTTAGTTCTAATTTGATAACCCTGACGTTTCGTAAAACCATACTCTTTTGCCGTGATGGGTGTTTCATAGCCTGGCTACGATTTTTAAAAATTTTTGCACTCCCTGGAGGTGTTTTAGAAAAGCAAAAGCAAGATGTCTACTGGTTCGCAAGAGGCTGCTGGACGTCGCATTGTAAGTGACGTGCAGCGCATGATTTCCGACATGCAACGTCGTCTGGACGTACTGTCCTTGTACGTGGAGACAAATATGCTGAATTGGAATCAAGCTGGTACTTTGCTTGCGCTGGAGAATGGAGCGGGAGGTGGTATGAATCAGCAAGCGGCTGTGAATGGAGTTTCTCCAGGAACCGGGGATGTATTTACGCCACAGTCGCATGGTGGATTCGCAAACCGTGATGGTGTACTTCCCCAAGCCTCGCAAAGCTCTATGCAAAGTATCACTTTATATAGGTTGCAATGTGGATGAGCTTGCAGTTCGTCTTTCATGTTCAGCTGTGAGAGTTTGATTTTTATCTGCATCATTTTCAATTGATAACTCTGTCGCAGGTGTTTCGGGTTCGCCGCAGCGTGGAGCATCGCAAGGAAGTGCGCCTTCGCAGACGGCGAGTATTTTTGGTACGACTACTCGTATGACTGGCAATGCTACGTCAAGTGCATACTGTCCCGCGGAGCAACGTGACGTTGATGCTTCTGGTGCAAGTTCAAGCTCTTCCTCGTCTACGGGGACCTCCCTTCCATCAAACTCGGCATTGGGAGGAGGTATCTATATTTTAGATTATTTAGATTTAGATTTTGTTTTATAGGGACATGGATATTTGTAGTTGTGAAGACTTTGGTTTTTCCTGTTTTATGTTACAAAATATATTTCAGGTGGCAATCTATGTGGCTTTGGCTATGGTGGAGTTGGATTTGGTATCGGTGATGCGGGAACTGCTGCTACTACTGGAGGTGCGGGTGGTGGTGAGTTAACGTGGGGAGAGGTGATGCTGAAGACGATTCACAAGGTCCCGATCCCGACCAAGCCTCTTACCGTATGTGAAAGTGAGGAGCTGCTCACACGGGAGATGGGGGAATTCCTGGTTCGTCACAAAGGTAACCGAGATGACCAAATGAACGAGCGTCAAGCCGAATGGCGTGGCAAGGTGCACAACAAGATGGTCCGCATCTTCTACTTCAACCAGATCAACGTAGTCGATACGCGTTTGAATAACTGGGAGAGAGGATTTCTTGGGTCTGTGCGCATCAAGAACGACTTGTCGGAAAAGCAGGAGAAATCATTTATGGAAGGTTGTAGTCTGGACTTGTTTCTACCTTTACATGAAGACTTTAGGCTTAGGGCTCCTTTTGTACTAAGTGTAAAGTTAGAAATCTTCCCTCTCATGTTTTTGTGGCAGTGCTTCTTTCGCTTGCTGGGTCCGCAATTGTGCCATCCGGCTCACATCCAACCTCCGAATCCGAACAACAATCCGTACGCGAGAACGTAAACTCTGTGACCGCGGTCAGGGAGTGTGAGGTGATGTTGGTGAATGTGATGTGGCACGTTGTATCTACGAGTGACAAAATTTTGTATGTTCTGTTGTGTGAGAAGTATCTGAACTATATTTACATACTTAGATGAGAGGAAAATATTTTTCTGAACAGCATTAACTTATGCTCTGTTGAGGTTAAACTTGTGCTTGAGCTGAATTATCGAGTTTATTGTTGATCGATTTTGAATTGAGTTGTGCTTTTTTTCTCTACGAGGTTGTGAGATGTCCAACAAATTTTGATTGAACGAATCTTGTTTTTTCTTCGCTGCTTCGGCAGATTGCAGATTTGACCACCAAAAACTGATGAACAGTGGCTGCACTTTGACTGGAGATCCCGCTCTTACTTTTTTTCTTTCGGTTAGGTTGAGTGAAGATTCATCTTCTCGAGAGAAGGTTTAATTTGAGTGCTCTAGAGTAAAAGAGGTTGAAGTTTTGAAGGACACGGTTTTCGAAAATAAAAGAGGTTTTTTACTGAAAGTTTAGGAAAGCATAAGTCACGGAAAATTTCTTTTCTTAGGTTTGTTGGTTGTGTACCTAGTATCCATTACCTCACGATGCCAATTGGTAACACTCTTAAGATCCGTAAGGATCTGAAGAAAGCCAATAAGGCTATTGAAGGGTTTGCTAAGATGTATGATAAGGCTCTGCAAAAATGTGTCAACGGCAATGGTACTCGTCGCGATCACGAGAAGTGCAAGTACGCTGTCGCTGAGGGGAATTATGAGAGTCGCCGTGTTAAAGCGATGCAGGAGACTCTCGCTCGCATTGATGGTCACAATCAAGCCCAATTGGCGAACGTCTCCATGTCGTTTCAAGCTATGATCGCGCCCAAACCGCGCAATGCTCCTGGCGCTTCTGGTGTAAGCGGTTCTAGTGGTGCTGGTCCGTCTGGTGGTGCAGGTTCATCTGGCGCTCCAGTCGGCCATGGTGCTGCCCCAGCTGGTGATCAAGATGAGTCGGATTGAGGCTTTGCAGGCGAGTCTGATTAAGGCCTGACTAGGGGTGTTTATTTTCTATGCTTGAACGCATGAGTCGGATAGGGCTGGTGAAGAATTTTCGTGAATTGGAAGGGTACAGCCACGATTGGAGTAGAGGAAAATAAGTAATTGATTCTCTAGATTCGTATTAAGGGTCGCTCAGTTTATCAAAGCGACTATTAACTTGTTGATAGATTCTAAGATAAGAAGTATAGAAGAAAATGAATAATTAAAGAAAATGATAGCTAGGCCTAGATATCTGCTTCTTCCATCAATCTATACTCGTTGTAGTATAGTTTTGATCGTGGCGCCGTTTCACATGTCATTGCTTGATTTTCATCATTGGATAACAATGAACGATCGACATCGCGCAGACCGCATCCACGGAGGCCTCTTGGATGGGGATTTTGCAGCAAGCTGGTGTAGAGTGGCTTGCGACACGGTAAGGCTTGTTCTGTGCATAAATACGAGTCTGTGGAGAACATGACGAGGATGATGCTTGAGTGATTCTGTGAGTCGTACTGATAATTTTTGTAATCAGAAATATTGATTCTTCATCTCTATATAACTTCAATGAGACAGGATGTTGGGTTTCTTTTTATGACCCTACCCTCCACATTTGTTTTTTCTTCCTATCCGAGAAAGTCTTTGTAAGTTTCTGCTCTATCACTATGGCGCATTTACTCGCGTGTAAACTGTGCAAGAGCCAGCGGATCTTGGTAGGAGGCCATTTGCCAGAAGCAGCGTTTTTACGATCGTGGGGAAATTTTGAGTGCCGGTTGGTGGATGTGGTACTTTTAAGGAAAAAGGTGAATCATTGAGTGGTGTATGAGTGACTTTGTTATCTTGCTTGGAATCACATAATACTTATTCTTAATTTCCGTACTAGGTTTGTGGGCAACTCCAGAAAGTGGATTTTTGCGCTTTCAATGCTCGGGCGAAGCAAAAACTGAAGAACCTGTTCCCATCGCCGGCAGGAGCTTTTTTGAGCAAGGTGGAAAACGGTGATTATGAAGATCAGACGTGGAAATATGGATCGACGCTTCCCGATCTCAGTGAGAGCCCTAAGGAGAAAAGAGCAAGGCACAAGGAACAAGTATTTCATAGTTATCTATAGTCTAGCACTCGAAAGCAATTGTTTTCGAGACAGATCAACTCAGAATCTTTATGCTCGGTTCTTGGTTTGATCATTATTCTTTTAATTCACAGGCAGAAGCCGACGCTAATGACGTTGTACGAGAGCGCAAAGGGGCTACGGTGTCGATGTTTCTAAACCGGGGCTCGACCACGATTTCTGATGGAGAAGATAGGGATCTGCAGCAGGCTCTAGCACTTTCTCGAGCAACAACATCTGCCTTTGGTGGCGTTGTTGATAATTTCGTTCCTACACCTGGAGGAGCATCATCTACTCGCCCGCCAGTACCTCCACCAGAATTGGACGACAACCGAGTGCTTGGCTTGATAGAAGCGTCGTCTGATGGAGAGGAGCCCGATCTTGACGCTAGTGATGCGGAGGTGTACGTTGCTAGAGAAGATCAAAAACGGCTGTGGTTACTGGTGCGCACACCAGGACTACGCATGCGTGAGCGGCAATATCAATCGAAGGAGATGCAAGTACTACAGGAGCTAATCGATAAGAAGGATAAGATTACTACCGGTCTCATCATGACGTCTCTTCAGAAGGCTGACGCTTGTTCTTTTAAAATGAAGAATCATCACCCAACCGATAGTGTAGCGCGAAAGTATGTAAGTAGGATCTTTGAAAGCTACCACGTAAGGCATGCGGATAACCCTAAAATAACGAGATTCATTACAGCAATTCCTAGACGTCGCCCTAAATACCTAGGTAATCATATGCATAGAGTTCAGAGGTTTGAAAATGTTTTGAGAACGTGGCACGAGTGGAATTTAAGTAAAAATAAAGCTTGTAAATATCTGGGTTTACCTAAAGGATCTGATCTACGTGGACTAGCTGACTTGGCTAACGTAGATGAAGTGCCGGCTCGGCGCTTTTATGCTGAGGTTGGTGGCTGGAGTACTCTGTTTACTGAGAGTAAACCAGACGCCTTTACAGCTGCTCGCGAATCCGCTCAACACAGTGGCTCGATTTTGATGTGGTCTTTTTCTGACCCCAGCATGCGAGTCAAAAAGCCGATTGTTTGCTTGTCTCGTGATTATATCAATGGGCCAAGCAGCAAGGTTAAGCAGAGAAAGCGTAATTGTATGAAAGCTATCAGTCAGTATGGTGAATGTACTTGGAATGAGGAAGGTACTAGGAATGGTTACATAAGTAAGCAAGTTTTTTGGGCTCAGCTCCGTTCCATCCTTAAGGAAAAAGTTACTCGTGAGTCGGTCCCTGGTGCTCGAAAGCGAGCACTTATACTTCTCTTTGATTCTTGTACTACACATTCGTGGGACTCCCAGACGGAGCTAGAGTTCACGCGGGCTGGGATTTTTTTCTGCCACATAAAAGGTGGCTGTACGATGTTAATTCAACCAATCGATGTCTGCAGCATCTCATCTCGCGTGAGATATTTAGGTGAAAAAGTTGCTGCGGGTCGTGATTGTACAACATTTGAAAATGAAGAATTTTGGCGTCAGCTCGAAGAAATTGATCGCGCGACCTTTCATAGTATCGAGCATTTTGAAAAGTGTGGTTTTGAGTTAGGTAGTCGTAGACCTCTTCGTATTGGATCCGAGCTTTATGCGTTCTTAACAAGAACAAGAGAGCTCCATCCGCAACAGTGTGCTGATTTAGATAGAAAATATTACAGGGAGTTGTTGACTTCTAGTGCTAACACGATGGAAGATGAACTCTCTGAGTAGTGTTCTGTAGGGTAGGAAAATATGAAGTAAAAAGTGAGTAGAATAAAGCAATGTGGTGACAGAAGAATAGATCAATTTTGTAATGGGTCGCCTCACCAAATATTCGCCACGGACGCGATCTCGGATTTTGGTAATCCGCGATCGCATCTTCAAGGCGATGAGGCAAGAGCGGATGGCGATCTTGGCAGGCAGCTACCCACGCACGGAAGAAGTCTCAGGAATTAGGGGAAGCAGGCTTGATGCATTCACAGGAGGGAAGTGAACGCTTCAAGCCTGCTTCGTAGGGGAAATGTCTAATCTTTCTTGGTTCTCGATTGCGACTATTTATCGCTATTTCTTGGGCCGCATTGACGGGACTCCAGAGGAGAAAAAGCCGGACGAGATGCGCCTCGCGATGCTCGAGGTTTATGGTGCTCGGCTTGCCTTGTTTGAGTCTCTCCCCGGCTTCTTCTCCTGCTTCTACTTGCGTAGGGATTGCCTCCTGCCTATTGGTTTCGCCTTCTATTCTAATCCATGCTGCACTCGGATGCGGTTGCCGTGCACCAGCGCTGGCACCGCTTAAAACAGCAACCAGAGCAGACGCCAGAGAAGGAGGGGGAGTACCGCGACAGCCACGTGGCTCTCCGTTAGCTCTTTGGAGGTATTTCTGGGAAGGTTTTGGCATATTTACAAGCTTTGCCGTCGCTCTTGGCTCGAGCTGCTGCCCGTCGCCGCGTGGAGGGTTTCGAGAGGAGGGCCGTGACAAATTTAGAGAAGACCCCGCAACGCCACCGCCAGGCTATTCAGTTGGAAAAAACTGCAAAACGCGTTGCAAAGTGTCGAGGTACCACAACAGCCGCGAAGGGAGTCCTCGTTGAAGGAGTGCCGCCTCGGAAATGCATGGACTTATCCGCCTCATGGGGAATTTTATTAACTTTTAATGCTATATTTTTTCACTCAAGTAATTTTTTTTATGTTCAGAAGTTTAAATTTTTCAAAAAATCCGCGAGTTTGTAAATGAATGAAATATAAATCTGTTCTCATATATAAGATATAGATATTTTCGAACGGGCTGAACAGATCTATTTTGTATAGGCACTTTTATAAAAGATGAAATTTTGAAAAATGCAAAAAATATTCGGACGCTTTACATAAGAAAACGAAGAAAACTGCACGCGCGTGATTTGACTGACTTAGTTTAGATCAATTAAATTAACGCGACTAACCTAACTAAGAAAACCTAGCCCAACTGGCAGAACTCTACCAAATTCGCAGAATTAGACGAAACGAAGCCAAAGCGACTCGCCAGCTAACTCAACCCAGGGAACTCAATTCGACGAACTTAACTCAAGTGAGTTAATCAATTAAGTTGGCTCTACTATGTAGGTAACTCAACTCAACCAACTTGACCCATCTGGCACAACTCGACCAACTTCCCCCAACTAGCTCACCTCAACTAACTTAACCCAACTCACTCGACCTAACTCACTCGACCTAACTAACTCAACCCAACTAACTCAGCCCAACTAACTCGACCTAACTAACTCCACCCAACTAACTCCACCCAGCTAACTCCACCCAACTAACTCCACCCAACTGCCCTGACTCAGCTAACTTATCCAAATCAACTCCACCCAGCTAACTTAACCCAGCTAACTTAGCTCAACTAACTCAACTCAGCGAACTTAACTCAACGAACTTAACCCGATTAACCTAACCCCACCAACTTAACCCAACTAACTCGACCTAACTAACTTGACCCCAGTGACTTAGCTACTAGCTTAACCCAACCCAACAAACTTAACTCAACTAGCTCAACTCAACTAACTTGCTCCAACGAACTCCACCCAACTAACTGAACCCAACTAACTGGACCCAGCTAACTGGACCCAACTAACTGGACCCAGCTAACTTAACCCAACTAACTTAACCCAACTAGCTTAACCCAACTAACTTAACCCAACTAACTTAACCCAACTAACCTAACCCAACTAACCCAACCCAACCCAACTAACCTAACGCCACTAACTCAACGCAACTGACCCAACTCAACTAACCCGACCCAACTAACTCAACCCAACTAACCCGACCTAACTAACCTGACCCCAGTGACTTAGGTACTAACTTAACCTAGCCCAACAAGCTTGGCCCAACGGACTTAACTCAACAAACTCGACGCAACTAACTTAACCCAGCTAACTTAACAGAACTAACTTAACCCAGCTAACTTAGCCCAACTAACTTGACTCCACTAACTTAGCCCAACTGACTTAGCCCAACTGACTTAGCCCGATTAACTTAACTCCACTAACTTAATCCCACTAACTTAACCCATTTAACTTCACTCAGCTGACTTCACTCAACCAACTTAGCCCAGCCAACTGAACTCAACCAACTTAACTCAACTAACTAAACTCAACCAACTAAACCCAACTAACTGAACTCAACTAAGTTAACTCAACTAACTTAACTCCAACCGACTTAGCTCAACTAACTTAACTCCAACCAACTTAACTCAACTAACTTAACTCAGCTAACTTAACTCGAGCAACTTAACTCAACTAACTCCATCCAACCAACTTAGCGCCAGCAACTTAACTCAACTAACTTAACTCAACTAACTTAACTCAGCTGACTTAACTCAACTAACTTAACTCAACTAACGTAACTCAACTAACTTAACTCAGCTGACTTAACTCAACTGACTTAGCTCAGCTAACTTAACTCAACTAACTTAACTCAACTAACCCAACCCAACTAACTTAACTCAACTAACTTAACTCAACGAACTTAACTCAACGAACTTAACTCAACTAACTTAGCCCAACTAACTCAACCCAACTAACTTAACTCAACTCACTCAACTCAACTCACTCAGCTCAGCCCACTCAACTCAACTAACTTGACCCAGCTCAACTCAACTCCACTAACGTAACCCAGCTAACTTAACTCAACTACCTGAACTGCCTTCACTCAACTAACCCCACCCAACTAACTTAACTCAACTAACTTAATCCAAATGACCTAACTCAACTAACTTAACTCAACTGACTTAACTCGACTGACTTGACTCAAATAACTTAACCCAACTAACTTAACTCAAGCAACTTCACCCAAGCCAACTAACCTCGCGCAACTAACTCAACGAACTCCACCCAACTAACCCAACCAACTTCACCCAACTAACTTCACCCAACTAACTTCACCCAACTGCCTTCACTCAACTAACTCCACCCAACTAACTCCACGCGACTAACTTAGCCCTACTAACTTAGCCCAACTAACTTAACCCGACCAACTTAACCCAAATAACTTAACGCAACGAACTTAACGCGACGAACCTAACTCAACTAACTTAACGCAACTAACTTCACTCCGCTCGGCTAACTTAACTCAACCAACCTGACACAACTAACCTGAGTCGGCTAACTTCACTCAACTAGCTTACGCCAAATCCACTCAACTAACCTAACTCAACTCACCTAACCCCAGTAACCTAACCCAGCTAACCTAACTCAACTGACCTAACTCAACTGACCTAACTCAACTAACCTAACTCAACTAGCCTAGCCCAACTAACCTAACGCAACTAGCCTAAATCAACTAGCCTGACTCTACTAACCTAACTCAACTAACTTAGCTCAACTAACTCAACCCAACGAACTGGGCCCAACTAATGGCACTCAACTAGCTTAACTCGACGAACTGGACCCAACTAACCTCACTCAACTAGCTCACTGACTTCACTCAACTAGCCTAACCCAACTAACTTAACTCAACTAACCTAACTCAGCTAATTTAACTCAACTAACCCAACTAACTTAACTCGACGAACTTAACTCAACGGACCCAACTCAGCGGACTTAGCTCGACTGACTTAACTCAACTAAAACCCAACCCGACTAACTTGACCCAACTAAGTTTCACCCAACTCGACTCCACTCGACCAACCCGACGCCACTCGACTCCACTCGACTCCACTCGACTCCACTCAACTCGACCCAGCTCGACCCAACTCGACTCCACTCGACTCGACTCCACTCGACTCGGCTCCACTCGACTCCACTCGACTCGGCTCCACTCGACCCAACTCGACCCAACTCGACCCAACTCGGCTCGGCCTCGACTCAACCCGACTCGGCTCGACTCCACTCGACTCCACTCGACTCCACTCGACCCAACTCGACTCCACTCGACTCCACTCGACTCAACTCGACCCAACTCGACTCAACTAACCGCACCTAACTAACTTCGCGCAACTAACTCCACTCAACTAACTCGAATCAACTAAATTCACTCAACTGACTCGACTGACTTGACTCAGCTAACTTAACCCAGCGGACCTAGCCCCACTGACTTAGCGCAACTGACTTAACCCCACCAACTTAACTCCACGAACTTGACTCCACTGACTTAACCCGACTAACTTAGCTCAACTAACTTAACTCCACTAACTCGGCGCAACTAACTTAACCCGACTAACTTGCCCCAACTAACTTAGCGCAGCTAACTCCACTCAGCTAACTTCACCCAACTAACTTAGCCCAACCGACTTAACCCAACTAACCCGACCCAACTGACCTAACTCAACTAACTCCACCCGACTAACTTAGCCCAACTGAGTCAACTCAACTAACCGAACCCACCTAACTTGACGAAGCTGACTCAACTAAGCTCACTCGGCTAGACTAACTCGACTGAGCTAGCTTCGCTGAACTAACTAAACGAAACCAACCGAAATTAACTCACTCAAAATCACTGGACTGAACTCACTGAACTGCACTCACTTAACTGGACTCACCTAACCGAACTCACTTAGCTGAGCTCACTCAACTGGACTCACTTAACTGAACCAACTTAACTGAACTGAATTAGCCCCACTGACTTGACCCAACTAAGTCCAGGCAACTAATTTAACTCGCACAACTTAACTCGACTCAACTGAGCTAACCTAACGAAACGAAAGGGGCTTGAGCTTGACTAAACTAACCTAACCGCACTAACTTAACCAAACTAAAGCAACCTAGATTAACTGCACTAAATTAACTTAAGTAACTTGACGAAACTAACCGAACCAACTACAAAAAGTTAACCAAACTGACTGAACTCCACGCAACTTAACTAAACTAGCGCAAGTAACTGAACTGCGCTGCGTCTTAACTAAACTCACGGAACGAAGCAAACCCAGCGAAATTGACTGGACTAAACTGACGCAACTCAACTGACTTAACTAAACTGACTGGACTGGACCTAACTCGACTAAGTTATCTGCACGGGCTTAACCAAACTAACCGGACTAAAATAACTTGACTAGACTAACGTAACCAGACGAAATTGGCCCAACAAACTCCACCCCACTAACTTAACTAACTTCACTAAACTGACCCCACTTAACTAACTCCGCTAGACTAACTTCACCAAAGTGACTTCACGCAACTAACTTAACTGCGCTGAACTAACTTAACTGAACTCACCTGACTGAGCTCACTTAGCTGAATCCACTCCACGCAACTGCACTCACTCAAGCTAACTGAATCAACTTAACTAAACTAAACCAACGCAACTGAACTATCTTAACTAACCTAACTTAGGCAACAGCTTAACCAACTCAACGAAACTAACTTGATGACCAAACTAGGTTGCCTCTTCTAACCTAAGAACGAAACTGACCCAACCAAACTAACTTAGCTAAACTCGCTCAAAATGGGCCCACTTGGTTAACTCGACGAATTTGGCGCGACTAAATTAAAACAGCCAACCGAACTCGAATAAGTTGACTGAGCTAAACGCGCGCAACTCCGCGAACCCAACTGCACTCACGTAACTAAACTGGCCGAACTAGGCGACTACTCTAACCCGACTAAACTAACTTAGTCAAACTAACCCAACTCAGCTGACCCAACTCAACTCAGCTAACTCAGCTAACCCAACTCGACGGAGCCGACCCAGCCAACCCAACTCAACCAGCCCAACCAAATCAACCAAATCAACCAACCCAACCAGCCCAACGAACCCAACGCAACGCAGCGCAACGCAACGCAACGCAACGCAACGCAACGCAACGCAACGCAACGCAACGCAACGCAACGCAACGCAACGCAACGCAACGCAACGGACCCAGCGCAACGAACCCAACGCAACGAACCCAACGCAACGAACCCAACGCAACGAACCCAACGCAACGAACCCAACACAACGAACACAACGCAACGAACCCAACGCAACGAACCCAACGCAACGAACCCAACGCAACAAACCCAACGCAACGAACCCAACGCAACAAACCCAACGCAACGAGCCCAACGAAACCGGCCCAACTTAACTAACCCAACGAAGCCGGCCCAGCTCAACTAACCCAACTCAACCAGGCCAACTCAGCCAACACTTCCAACCCAACTCAACTAGCCCAAAGAACTGAGACGCCCTAACTCGACTAACGTAATCAGACTAGCTTAACTTGACTGAGCTGACAGACTTAACTAAACTCACCGGACTGAACCAGCCCGACGAAGCTAGGCCGACCAAGCGAGCCCAACGAAACTAGCCCAACTAAATCAACCCAACGAAGCTGGCCCAACTAAGCTGACGCAGCTAAACTAGCCCAGGCAACTAAGCTAACCCACATACAGCAGCCCGCCAAAACTAGCGCAACGAAGCTGGCCCAGCTACACTAGCCCAACCAAACCAGCCCAACCAAGCGGACCCGGCTAGGCTGCCCCGACTGAGGTGGCCCGCCCAAGCTAGCCAAACTAAACTTACCTGACGAAAAAAGCCGGCCCAAGTAAGCCAGCCCGGCGAGGCTCACCCAATTGGTTTGAACCTGGCCCAGCTTGACTAGCCCCACCAAAATGACCCAGGCAGGCCAGCCAAATAAAAGCAGCCGCGCCGAACTGGCCAAACCAATGCAACGGCTGGCACAATTAGCCTGACGCAGCTAACCAAGGCTGCCGGCACTAACGAAACGAAAAAAAACCCAGCGGAAAAGCCTGAGAGTGCCAGGCCATAACCCAATCAGCCCGACGAAACTGACCCAAGCCACTGACGAGACTAGCCCGGCTGGGCCAATCCGGTGACCAAGTGGGCCGGACGCGCCTGGCCTCGCCAGACTTGCCCAAGAGAACCACGCGCCGCAACCAGGCTCGGCCAGCGTGATGAAGCAAGAGAACCAGCCAAGCGAAACTCGTCCAACCCCTGTCGCCGAACGCAGCGGGCCTCACTCGATGAGCCTGGCCCAGCCCGCCTGAGGCAGTTGCCTTTTTTCGCCGTTCGCCCAACGGCGCGAGCCCAGCCCCGTGACCCCGATTAGGAACCCAGATCGAACGAGCCTAGCCTGACTACATTTGCTTGGTATAGTATTGGTTTTCTGCCTTGTAAGTTGTAACTAGGTTCGACCCTGCCTCATTTAGAAACGGGTTGTAGGCTTCGCGCTCTTCCCGCATTCTCGCAAGACTGTGTAGGCGCCGCACCATATACATCAAGGGCCAGGCACTTAAGGTCGATCGAATTGGGGATCAGGCAAGTGATCATCAAAGGTTAGGGCCAGGCAGACTCGAAGTAGAAAGCATCGAGCCTCATGACTCATGTTCCAAGGATGTCTGCTATATTTCTCGTCCATGTGCTTAGAAGAGATCAGCCAGATCTCCAACAAGAGTGCGTCCTTCGGTGCAGACAAGACAAGAAAAATCGGTCGTAACACAATGGTCTTCTAAGTACACCTCAATTTCGGTGCGATCGGTGCAACGAGTGTGCATCTAGCTACCCCGTCCCCAACCCCAGATCACAGTCCTGCCTTTTTCTTCGTCGTCCTGACCTAGCGCCAACGGCCTTTTATAGTGCATTAGCCAATCGTGCATCCGAGAGGACGAAAAGTGAAGAGAACGACCTCATCTTTCATTTTTAGATTACTAAAGCATCAAAAGTCTAGGTCTCATTACCTTTTTCCAAGTTGTAAAAATGCATTTATAACGTGAAGTGAACTCGTCAACATCGAACTGTTTGTAAGCATATCCCTCGCGGTTACTTACTTCTGATTATGAGTTATCTACGTAGTAATTGTGGCCTGTCTATATGTTGGAAGAGTGGGCTATCTACGTAGTAATTGTGGCCTGTCTATATGTGGGAAGATTATTTTGTAGGAGAAAACCCTTCTAATCCTTTTCTTGTTCCATTTTCAAAAATGTTCGCCTAGAAAAGATGCTAAAGGCCGATCTTGTCCTTGTTCTAGGAAGTCTTCTTTGATAGGGAAGTGGAGAAGATGCGGCCGATGCGAAGCGGCTACGCCTTAGGCGTGGATGTAGAAGGCATCTATGCGGTGAAAAGGTCCTCAGTGGGCAGCGCTCGTTCCGGTTTTCGCGCGCCACCTCAGCAAAATTCAAAGAAAACTAAATTATGGCTCACGATAGTACATCTTCACACACATAATGGCTCATGATAGTAGAGCTTAATTATTTTCTTCATTGCGTTGTAAGTAGTCCCGAGTCGCAATAGATATTTTCTCCATTGCGTTTTAAGTACAATCCTGAGTGAGGAAATCCGCTTCAGATATCCTAAGTAGGTACCACATCGATTACATTGTGATATAATGAAGTTCGCAACTGAACACCTTCAGCCCCTGCTGCTACTCGCTTCGCGATATAAACACCTTCAGCCCCTCTGTGGTATAAATTAACATTATGGTGAGCTCTATCTCTAACTAAAGGAGGAGGTGCGGCTACGGGAGGGGGAGTGCCTTTGCTGGATGTTCGAGGCCAGTTCGATGTGACCGATCAGAAGGGAACACTCTTCAAGCAGAGCCCGGGACGCGGTGCGGAGGCCCGTCCAGATGCAGCAGCTCGCAGCGTCGTTTTTACTGTCGTGCCCCCTCAACGACCAGGTGCCCCCTCAGGAAGAACAGGGACAGGAAGAACAGGACCTCCTGCTGCTCCACCTAGCATTACGGCTACCGTTCTTGAACCATCCTCAGTCAATCCATCTCTGGCTCTTTTTCTACTTGAAAAAAAGAGGCCAAGGTGGATTGACTAAGGTATTCACGAACGCGGTAGCTCTAATAGTAGTGCTGCAACTAATAGTAGTGCTGTCACAGGACGAGTGGCTACCCCTTCTGGAACTGGAGTTGCTGCTTCCTCTTCTGGCACTGGAGTTGCTGCTACCTCTTCTGGGACAAGCGGCACTACCCCTGCAGCAGATCACCTAGATGATGGTCGACAAGGAACTACATCTAGTCGGGATAGGGATAGACCTGGACGAACGTCGAGTAGTCAAGCGCGGTCTACTAGCCGACTGCAAAGCTGCGCAAGCAGTCCGCGGTCTGCACACCATCATTTGTCTACATCGCAACAACTTAATTCGAGCAAAGAAGATGCGCGGTGGCAGTTAAGATAAAAAGCTCAACAAACTTTATACTTTTAGTACTTGTACTTCATTTCGCCACTTCATGTTGATGCTTCATCTTTTTCGGCCCATTATACTTACTTCATTTTTTCGACGCATACTTACTTCCTTGATGTCGTTCATAGTTCGTCATTTGCACAGGACGTTGTGTTTCACTGTGTCCTGCTTAAGACTTTTCTGAGAACTGACAGTGAAGTATTTTGATAGGGGCCGCCTTTGTCTAATACAAAAAGGAAGCCACGACGGGATTCCATTGGTAGTGCGGAAAGATCATGATCCCAAAGCAGTAACGGGCAACAGTCACGGCGGCGGTTCCTCCTCCTCCTCACGCTTGGAGGCCGATCAGCACAGTCGCAGCCGCCAGTCGGCCTCTTCCATTGAACTTGTTCAGAACCGCCGTCCCGTCTCCCGAGAATTAAGTCGGGGCCGTCCTCGCTCCCGAGAACTACGTCCTGGATCCCGAGAATTAAGTCGGGGCCGTCCTCGCTCCCGAGAACTACGTCCTGGATCCCGAGAATTAAGTCGGGGCCGTCCTCGCTCCCGAGAACTACGTCCTGGATCCCGAGAATTAAGTCGGGGCCGTCCTCGCTCCCGAGAACTACGTCCTGGATCCCGAGAATTAAGTCGGGGCCGTCCTCGCTCCCGAGAACTACGTCCTGGATCCCGAGAACATCTTCATCGCAGTACAAGTACAAGTTTAGGCCACATTTTACCGGCAGAGTCGTACCTACGTGATTCCGTGGACGTGCAAAGTTTGAAGCCGGTAGGGGGTTCTGTGGCGCCTGGAAGTTTGTTGGATATGGAGATTGACGAAGAACAGCATCGTGGCGACCGACTGCACGACTCTTCCCTTCACTCTGAGCACAGCTTGAGTCGGACCTTGAGGCGTTCGCGGGATGGCACGCACGTAACGGGCCGGCGGAGTAATACCAGCGTGTTTCTTATGAACGAGGGAAAGAATTATAAATTGTCATTAAATCATTATTTCCTTCCTTGTATCCTAGGTTTCATATCCCACGACCAAGCAACTTATCATTATTATAAATATCAAGTGTTTCCCATGAAGTAACTTATTATTATATCAAGTGTTCCTTTTGTGTCCTAGGTTTCATATTACCCTTCTTTCTTTTCATGTTTCTGAGTCGCAACCGCAACTTGTTTGGAGGAGGCAGTCTCTTCAGCAGCGTCGAAACTGTGGACGACGACTTGTTGGCGCCTGAACTCCTGGTTGAGCGGCGGATACGTTCGGGTCCGTCCGGACCCAGCAACATTCTGCTGTCGTTGGACCCGAAAGACATGGCGACGGCCGGCGTCGCCAGTCGCGTCTCAACGGCTGCTGCTGCGGTGCAGCGGACCACACTGGAGCAGCACCGCTCTGCTCGAGGACGGGGATGCATATCGAGTAAAGGAGGTGCAGCTAGTAGTGGTACTGCCATGGGACGAGGAGCTAGCAGCATGAGTCGTGGACAACGCGGAGGAACATCCAGTGCGGCTTCGGCCGGTATTAAGCGGCACAGTAGAGGTCCTACTAGTCGAGGAGGGAACCTACGTCGGTTTCTCCAGAGCCGTGGAGGGGGAGGAAGCTTGCGCGAAGACAGCGCCGACCAAACGACTCTAAGTTTGGGGTTAGACGCCGCCCCGCTGGGCTTTAGTGCGGACCACTCGCTTTCGCTCTCGCTCGCGGATGAAGAAAGCCTTTGTCGCGAGATGACAATAGGAAAGAACAATTTGCTCGAACAGCTTTTGGAGACCCCAATGAAGGAAACTACGCTAGTCGGAAAATCCTCAGAACAAAGAGATCATAGTATGGAAATTGCGCTCGCGGGAAATGGAGGAGATGCGGGGGCAGGCGCGGCGGCATCCCGCAAAACTGGTGACAATAGGCTCGGCAAAGACATTTCCGCGACGGCGGGAGGAGCCGGAGAGAAGAGCGACGATCTGAGCGCAAGCATTTTGTCCACAACGACAGTTTTGGGTGGTACTACTACAGCAGCGTCTGCTGCAGCGGAAGCCGGACAGCACAGAAGTGATACAGCCGCGGCACCCCCTGACAGCACTTCATCCCAGACCAAGACAACTTCGGATACTCGGAAAAAGCGTCGAGTTCAGACGGGACTCGCGATCACGCGTGGGACCACCACCTCGACAAGCCTTTTCGGCGGCCCTGCTAATCATAATGCACGCGGCGCTACTAATCATAATAGTACTGGAGATGCTGGTCACCATCTGCTCGAATCCGGTGGCGATCCGCAAAACTTTAACTTTCGTACCTGTGGACGTGGCGTGCCGCTTGGAGGTTCTGTAGACGCTCTGGAGGTCGCATCTCGACGCGGTTCGCCACCTGCTGCTGAAAATTATCTGTCAGGGGCTCCACAACCACGCGGGCGAGGTAGTAGTATCCACACTGGAGGTGGAGGTGGAGGTGGTGCAGGAAGCAGCAGTAGTAGTATCCACACTGGAGGTGGAGGTGGAGGTGGTGCTCCTCAGCCAGGCGGTAGTAGTATCCACACTGGAGGTGGAGGTGGAGGTGGTGCTCCTCAGCCACGAGGTAGTAGTATCCACACTGGAGGTGGAGGTGGAGGTGGTGCTCCTCAGCCAGGATCTACTGGAGTGGAACAAGAGGATCTGCTTCAACAGGATGGCGAAACAACAGGAACTGGAGCTGCTCCTGCTTCGTCGTCGTCCTCGTGGGTGGACTCGTGGCGCCACGACGGAGAGCGCGAACGCGCGGCAGCATTTCAACGACGGCGTCCAAGGACTGGACCAGCCACAAGTCTGTCTCCATGGGATCGAGCTCAGCTTATCGAAAACGGATTTGCGGATCCTGGACCAGGCAAAGCACCCGTGGCAAACAATAGGCCGACTCGACGAGGGTCAGGGTCACCACCTCCACCGCCTTCTGGGAGGACTGGGAACGCTCCTCTTGCGGGACGAGGACGGGGAGGTACAAGTTCGAGTACACATGGCGGAGGAGCAGGAGGAGGTTCTACAGGAGTTATTCGCACGCAGCGCGCAAACCGATTACAACACAGTCCACTGATCGTTTCGACCACTGGTGCTGGTGTCGGTCACAATAACGTTAGGGGGATGGGAGGGATGACGACAAGGATACGTCGCGTGATACTGTCTCCCGGAAGTGCCGAGGAGGAAGGAGTGGCGACATCGTCAACTTTTGCGCAAGGCAGTCCTATACAGGCGTCAGTGTGGGGAGGCGAAGGCGCTGCTCTTTTCGCGGACAACGAGTCGTGGGGGTTGCGAGGCCGCGCGCTCGAGGTACGTGGGCCCGATGCAGAGGGAGCAGAGGCGATTGATTACCTGCATAAGAACCGGACACTTTACAGCACGGCGGGTGTACTAGTTGGAGCAACAACATTAGCCGGTGCTGCTGCTGGACACCAGATTCAGTTCTTACGCGGCAATGCAGCTATTACCGAGCCGCGAAGTGCGACGGATTCAGTACCCGGAGGAGCGCCTCAAGGCGTGTCGCCAGGAGCAAACGAAGGAGACGCGACAGCAGTGGATCCAGCGTTTGAGAAGGTTAAGGATTTGCATGAGCACCTTTTGGGCCGCACAAGCAAGCGCAAGAAGTCAACTTCGAGCGGCGATGCTCAGAACTCGTCCCAGAGTATCAACAACTCCAAATCAGGATCTCAACTCAAGTCAGGATCGACAGAGCTATCTTCGCGTTCGCAAGTCTACAATGAAAGCCAGAGTCACAACGACTCATTGGAGCTTTTTACGAAGAGTTTCGTCAGCCACCCAAGTACGATGTCCGGTGACGAAGACGAAGAGGACCCGCAACAGCGTGAGGAGCGACGCGCTGCCCGCGCCGCGCGCAAGAGAGAACTCCGACATCAAGAAAGGAGAAAGCGCATGTTAGCCGACAAAGACGAAGAAAAGGACCGAGAGCTACAACGAACAGGGGCTTCATCTGCTGCTCTTGACCTTGAGGGACAAGGACTAGAAGGAGATCCCGCAATTATAGACGGAGCCTTAGCGACCGGAGCTTTAGCAAAAGCTTTCACTGTCGTCGCGGGAGACGTCGATGGAGCGGCGGAAAGCACTAAACCCCAAGGTCGCATTCTCGTAGCTGAGCACGGGGATTTGCATTCGGAAGCAAGCGTGTCGAGTGTTCTGAGTCCAAAAGCCGCTGCCGCGGATGTTGAAGGGGCACTGACCGATCTTGAGGAGGAGCCGTCTACAAGTAGCCACGGCATCAGTACCATCAGCGTGACAGTAAAGCACGCTGGGAGAGAAGAGGAGAAGAGCGGAGCGCTTCTAGGTGCAAATGACGCTGCCGCAGGGGACACAGCAACTCTTACAACTTTGACAGACGATGACGGCGGACGGTTCTCCGATGTCCAGTCAGACACGACTTTGGACTTGGTAGCCGCGCGTGCAGGTTCTAGAGAGATAGATCCATCGGCAAGTAGTTCGGCTTCGAGCAGCTCTGCGCAGGCACGAGGATACTCTAGGACCGCCAAGGCGAACAGGAAACAAAAAACACGACCTTTTGTGGAAAATATAGATAAACAACAGTCTTCTTCTTCTTCTGTGACTGCTTTTTCTGTGGCTGATGCCGAGAAGGGGAAAATCAATAAAAACAGTAACGGTCAGAGGACTTTTGTAGAATTTTCGTCCTCCTCTTCCTCGTCGGCTTCGGGGAGCTCGTCTTCAAACGAAGGCTCCTCCGCCAGCTCTTCCTCAGCGGAGGAGGAAGAGAGCAAAGACGATTTTGAGAAAAGCTGCAAGTCCTCAAGACAAGAAGAGCCACTGGAGGTAGAAAGTCGGAGTCGTTCTCTGCAGTCACAGTCGATTTCGAGTGTGACCGATTACGAGATGAACGGCGCCGCTCTGGTCACCGGTCCTGCAGGAGGGAAGGGGCGCGTACTGCAAACAAGTGGCTGCTCACCGGAAGGGAGCGATGAGGAGCAGCTGCGAGCAGACTTGTTAGGCATGCGAGACTTGTCTCAGCTGAGTCCGCGCCAGCAGCGTCGACTGCTCTCTTCACGGGATCGCCGAGAGCGAAACTTGTCGTTAGGTTTTGGCGGATTTGAAAAGTCGCCGATCGTGAATGATCCCAGACAAGGACAGCAATCATCGCTGATGAAGTTAAGGCTTCTCCTAATCTCCTAATCCTAGTTAAGCATCTTAGGACTGTCCCATAAGGGGAAAACGGCTCCGTCCACGATGAAACTCAAGATGGATTACTTAGGTATTTAAGAACCTCTAAAAATAATGAGCAGGGGTACAATCAAAGAACAAGAACATCCAGGGTCAAAACATCTTGATCAGGCAACGGTGCCTGCGCGCGTCCATAGTGGGTTGCCAGCGAGGCGAGGCAGCACGCCGTCTACGTCTCGCAGGCCAGTGGGAATGGCAGGAAGCCAGAGTGAAACAAGAGTTGCAACTACAGGAGGAGGAGGAGCCGCTTCTTCTGCTGCTGCGCCAGCGCCTCTCCAACAGGCCTTGTCTCCGCTACTGCAAAGTCGAAGCATCGATCCGGAGGACTTGCTGCAGAGAAGTGGAGCCATCCTCTCGGAGGGAGAAGTTGCGGAAGTGGCAGAAGCGCGAGCTCTTGCGCAAATACCGAGAAGAACGAACACCGAGAACAAGGACCCAGCCGCACAAATAGCGACTTTTGGAGACCCATTCCATCCATCGGATGCCACTGTGCGTCATCCAGTGGCGCCACGTGTAGTCAACGTGGTTATGAAGCCAGTGCCTTTTCGGCACGATTCTTGGGGAGGTGACGTGCTAGTATCCAGACCAGACACAGCCGAAGCTGGACTTTCGATACTTGGCGGTGGTGCGACCTCCACGACACGTTCTCTTGAGAGTCGTGGCGGGATGCGTCCGCACATATCATCTGCAGTCGCTGCTGGAGCTGTTGAAAATCATGAACTAGACCCTCTACTACACCAGCATCAGTCCTCCTCTACAACTACAGCTATGGACAAGAACCAGCAAGGCTTGGATGGTGGTGTGAGTCTTGCGTTGATTCCGGGCTCGTGTTTGAAAATAGCGGATACGCTCACTAGCATCATGATACAACCTGCTAAGGAGAAACATTCACCTGGATCAATCGATATGTTAAGCGCGAACCTGAGTTCGAGCTTGCAACTGCAGCAGGCAAGCTTAATGAGTTTAGGGCGATGTCCAGAACAAGATGAGACTGTGCCAGCATTAGATTCGTCACTTCCACAACAGCAGAACACTTCGCTGTTGACTGCGAGCGGTGAAGAATCTATAGCAACCTTACAGGAGGACGTGATTATCCAGAACGCTGCACTTCAACCTTCTTGGACGGGCAGAGGGCAACAGAGGATTGCTTCGCCGGTGGACGTCGACAATCAAGGTGGAGCTTCTCTGGCTTCACGTCCATCCGTGGGAAGCGTGAAAAACATCAATGTAGAAGTTGTGTACGAGGAAAATAATAATCATGTCCTGCCGCGAGAAGGTAGAAGTCCTGCGAGAAGTCCTTCGCCTGCTGGGCCCAATAGGCAGCATTACGGGGCCTCGCCGGAACGCGCTCTATCGTCTCCCTCTAGAAGGATTTTCTTGACCAACATGGTTGCAGTGTGTGGCGACCCCAATATGGATCGGACGCAACAATTGCTCGATAAAGCCGCTGCGGGGCTTACGTCGGTCGCTCCGATCAAGGAGTCGCAGCGAAAGCGCCTAGCCGTTCTTGCCTCAGGCAGTCCACGCTCATCGGGCTTGGTGCCTTTGATGTCCCCGTCTCCTCTGGCCACGAGAAACCATATTACGGCGGATCACGCAGGAGCAGTAGGCGGCATTGGATCGTCCTTGTCACCTTCTGACAGCAACCACATGACAGCAGCACTCCGTACAAAATCGATGGAACCGTCTGTGCCGATCTCCCCGCCAAAAGTGACCGTTAAGTACCCACCAGTGCGCGTAAAACGAAGACTTCTGAGACAGGAATTTGCACCCGCAACGACTCCAGGACAAGCTGGGGACGTTCGTGGCCCGCTGGACATCCGTGAAGTGTTTGTGTACGACCACAGCCCGCGGTCACCAGAGAAGTCGATTCTAGACGCCCTCTCAGCTGATTTACAGGAGAAAGGATGGCGCGCCGGAACGTCTCCTCGAAGAGCGACCAAGCCGGGGGAAGAGGTACAACTGCGTAAATGAATTTCCGCTGATGTTGTTGTGAAGATTTGAATATTATCTATATTCATTTACTTGTCACAGCGAGATTTGCGTACTAGGTCCTCAATCTTCTTCATTTTTACTTAACCTATCTTCATATAATTGTTCCGCAGACGTACCCACTTACACTTAGATGAACGATAGTCCAGAAGAGTAAGAAACTTCTGAACTACAACACGGTCGCAGGTTTCTGTGGCAGCGTTCGAGCAACCCGTGAACGAGGCACGGGCTGAGTCGCTGGAGCGTCTGCATCGCGGTGAGCCATCACGGATAGGCAAGAGAGGCACTAGAGAAGTGGTGGATCCCAAGCTCTTGCATCATAGTCCGATGAAGTTTCCGCCACACGCGATGTCTCCACCGAAAGGAGCGCCATTTGGTTTGTCATCTGTAGTTCCGTTGCATGCGCAGGGTAGTAGCACAGCAGGAGGAGATGCGTTTTTACGACCATATACAGCACCAGAGCTGCATGTCGAGACGACTAATTTTAGTCAACAGGGTGGCGAGGTTCTAGCTGTTGGAGGAGAAGGAGTAGCAGGCACTACAGCATCAGGCCTTGCACTCGAGGCACAGCAACATCTTGCGCAGGGAGGCAGTTCTTTATCTAGAAGTAGTACTAGAAATATCAGGGAGGAGGTTCTTCAGCAGGAGCTGATTGTTCCGGCAAATGCGTTCTACGCGGCTCACCAACCACCGAAAAGTGCACCAGATGGGGGTGTAGCGGTTGCGGGGCCTCGCAGCTTGCTGGCACGACGTGGACGTGGTATTAAGGGCTCCAAGTGATTGTTCATTTCCGACGGTCTTTTTCTTCTGTTTTTTCTTCTGTTTATCACCAAGATAAAAAGTGCTAGTCCTGGTATACCTCCTTTTTTTGAAGGCAAACCATGTGACTTCGGGTTTAGGTCCAGCGACGCTCAAAGCACTAAATAAAACAACCGGTTAGTTTTTACCTCTAAAACTTAGGCTTATCCCATGAAGCAATACTTATTTGATGTTTCCTTCTGAAGCGATGGAAGTCAGAAGAAATGGGCGGGAGAATGAAATGAATCGGTTTGAATACCTCATCTAATGTTATTTTTGCAACCTCCGAACACGTCGTGGACCATTTTCCTCCAGCAGCGGGTCCTCATTTTCAGATGGATTTGAGATCTTTATCTCTTAACACACGACGTCTGACGCGTGAGCAAGAAGAGGAGATCGAAGCGGTGGAGCGCGCAGCCAGGGATCAACAGTTGCACGACGAAATTATCAACATGCTAGAGCATCAACCGAGAATGCGGATGCGGAAAAACGGCACGCTCTGTCGTCCAGGAAGCAGAGCCTGGCTCGCTAGACCAGACGACGAAGTACTACTTTTATAGATTTTTGAGGATTGTAGTGATAAGTGTGCAGGTCAGCGCCTAAACCACTAATCCGACTGCGCAGTTGGCTTAGTGGTTTAGGCGTTGACCTGTACACACTTACCCGATTGAGATAGAAAAGATAGAGACTTCTTTCTCTTGTGTGATGCTGTCTTCTTTCATTTACAGGTCTTTGTTTGATTTATTTTTCGCGGATGGATCGATGTTCACAAAAATTTAGATTGAATTTATCTACTTCGGGTGCTGTCTTTCCACTATGATTGACTAGCATATTTACCCACATGGACATGTACTGCTCCACTGCTCAGCCACTTCCGAATGCTATTGTGCCTTCGAGAAGTCCGAGTCCCCCACTGGCAGAGGAAAGTAGGTCTCCAGAGAAGCGACCAGCGACCACCGGCGTCCACCAGCAGAGTCAACCGGCAGGTCCGCTGGGCTCCACGCGGAGCGGCACAGCGACGCATTTTCGTTCGAACCTGTCGCTGCTTAATAGCAACAAGGCAGAAGCGCCTCCACCGCCAACGCCGCTGCCCCCACACGTGCTGAACAGGTCGTTCGTCTCAACGCCAGCGGCGAAACGACCGGTGACGCAAGGAAGCGCTTCTGGTGGACCGTTCTCTATAGGTCCAGGAGGACCTGGAGGAAACTCGCCAGGAGGCCAGTTTGGAGGAAACTCCCTTAATACAATCGGAACAGGGGATGGAGTAGCTGGAGGAGCACAACTTCTAGGTCGTCAATCAGGTGGAAACGCCACGACTGTATACAACAAGGCGTTTTTGAAGGTTCGAAAGTCTAGTGTGCAGAGTTTGGACTATAAACTTCGCCATGCGCTAGAGAAGTCGAAGATTCCTTTAGCGGATTACCGTAGATTTCGTGCTTTTGTCTCTCGCGGGACTCTGCAGCTGCGCGAACGCAGCGCTTACGAGTTGAGCACCATTGAGAAATTTCAATTCGAGAATCAACAAGCTGGTCATCACGGAGGAAGAGGTGTAGATATTTCAATTAAGGCTCATCCACGTGAAGGTGTTCCGGGCGATCTTCATTATATCGTAATTCTTATCCTAAGGGGCATCTTCTTTGGCCCCCTTTCCCCTAAGGGAAAGAATATGCGTCAAAGATGCATTTCAACAAGAAACAGAAATTTATTAGATATTTATCACATTGAAGTAAAAGGGTCTAACTCAAATAACGGAGGAGGTGTAGATGCGATGTTGATATACATAAGTAATAACAGAGGAGGTGATACATAAGTAAAAATAACATGATCATCAATAACAAACAAAAAAAGTAAGTTAGAGTGATAATAGGTGGGTCTAACTCAAATAACGGAGGAGGTGTCGATGCGTCAACATCGCCATCTCGAGGTGGTGGATATCGGACAATCTTGGAATCGCGTGGCAGAGACCAGAGACCTCTTTTAGGTGCTAGAACAACCGAGCATGTTGGTCTCAGTGGTCAACACGATATACTTGGTGTTGATGTTCTTGCGTCTGGAGGAGGCAGAGGCCAAAGGAGCAGTGGTGGTCAGAATACTGTTGAGCATCATGATCTGCTTCTTCAAGCCGGAGATGAACCTTCGTGGCCGCTTGCGAGTCCTCGGAGAGAAGTACCTTTTGGATTCTCAGGGTCGACGATGAGCGCTGAATTTCTAAGCGAGACGGGCCTTCGCAGTACTACTACAGATCCGGGCCTACTTTCGGGTTCACTTTCCCCCACAGATGGAACAGATGAGAAAAAGAAGAAAAAGAAGAAGAAACGTTCTTCACACCGAAGTCCTAGCAGTACGAGTACTAAAATAATACATGGAACAGGTAGCGGTGGTGCGGCGCAGCATCTACAACAACATCTTCTAAACAAGATCGGTGGCTCTCCTGGAGCTCAACAAGGTCGTAATCAAGAAGGAGCATCGCTGAGTTCTCACTCGAAGGATCTTGCGAAAAAGCACAAAAAGAGGAAAACGGCTACAACAGGGGATCAACACGCCAAAAATTCAGGAAACCGTGCTAAGCGACCCCTAGAAGGACTAGGAGAAGTTGCACCACCAGGCTTAGAAGAGTTGTACTGCTATAACAGTTCCTCGCCCTCACCCTCTCCCTCGCCAAACGATCGCAAGCACGCCTCAGCAACATCAGCCAGACTGGAAGAAAATCCAGGTGGAGGCGCACTACAATTAAGGCCACGAGTAATTCATTCATATTTTTTCATCTCTGTGTGTCGTCAGGATGCCTATAGCGCTAGCATCATATTTCATCTCTGTGAGGATCCCTTCGTGTTTGGTGTAGATAATTGGTTCAAGAAGTAGGTGGAAGGAAGCTAGAGGGATACTTCAGATTTACCTGGTTGTAGTTGGTGCAGAGGTGAATTGTCGATAGAGACCTGGATGTAAGATACCTGGTACGGGGCTGGATTATGGATACCACTTCTAATGCAAACGTCGTCGAGCAACAGGGGACCACTGCAGCACAACTCCAAGTACCAGATCGAACAAAATCAGTCTGTCTCGAACCTTTTCACCAGTATCGAGGATTTTCCTTCGGTTCAGTTGCCACTACAAAAAGAGGGTGCAGCATCTTCATGATATGCACACGACAAATGATGAACTCCCACCTCTTCAAAATAGTATTCAGAATAGAAAGACTTGTCGTGGTACTAAAAGTGTTTTCATCTTCTTCATTCTTGATTCGAATCTATTCGGCAGTTTGCATCTTCTTCATTCTTATCCGACCTTAAAGATTTCTTCATAGTGATAGCAGTCGTTCTCGTTAATACACGTACTCGTATTAGGCATGACATTACTAGATCATTTTCTTCCTAGAAATTCTGCACCGCCTCCATCTACTCAGACTATCGTTATAGATTGAGTTACATAGCCAAGCGGCAAGTAGTTGCATAGCCAAGCAGCGACGGATGCATGTGCAATGAGTTCAACTAGTTGCATAGACACGACTTTGTTCTACTTCTACAAGTTCTTTCATCAAAGACAATAGATTCACAGTTGAGTAGGAACACACATACTTTCCAAGAACCTCTCTCCAACAATCAGTGCTTCGATTTTTACTTCCTTAATGCAATTCAATACCTTCTTCGCGTACAGTATGAGTAAATGCACGTAAAAAAATTAGCAAGTATGAGTAAATGCCGGTTTGACCCATAATTGCTAATGAAAACATGCTTCACGACGGTGAGTAGTATCGTTGTCATGATACGTCATAAACGGCGCGTCTTGATGCGAGCAGAGAAAATTATTATTTGGGTTACAATTTATCAGTTTACTTACGTTGCTGGTGTGAGGTCGATTACATTGTTACAATTTGCACCACATCACGCGCTTCTTTGAGCGGTTTCCCGAGAACCCTTTTTCCGTATGGTTTGCACCAGGAGATCGCACTTATTAATTGAGATCGCACTTATTAATTGGTTTGGCCTTGACTCCTCTCACTGTGACTGAATGAATCTACTCATTCATGAAGAAAGCGGCCTTTCAAGGATCTTCTGGCGACATTCGACAACTAGGATCGGTAAGTATTTTCGTTGTTCCGGAGTGAAAGAGTAGGCTGATGAGGGGTGAGATAACATTGAGGCTACTTGTCTGGAATTTAATCTGGAGAGTGGACGTGACTGAAGGAATGAGTTATGATCACTCTCACTGTCGGTGGCGCCGACGCAGAGTGGACGCGAGTTAAGCCTCTTTGAATCCTTTGGACACGATCTCGTACTGAAGAATTTTTAGTTTTTTTTAGAAAGATCGCACTGCATTTGTGGGCTTTTTGTGGAGAGATTGTGTGTAGTTCATTGTGGTAAATCTTGCTAAAAATATTTTTGTTCAATAACAATTCCATCGTTTTCAACATCCCCTGTTTGCGAATCATACTGAAGACAGATCATGATCATGTTGCCCTATTTTTTGTTTCGTCTTGACCGAAGGTTTTGGTCCCTTTCATCGTTGAGGTGCAGTGCACTTCTTTGCTTTCTTTACGTTCCTGTACGCGTGGTCGAAAGTGCCAGGTTCGCTGTCCGCCCTGCTTCATCTACGGGGCCGTTTGATAATGCCATTACAGCAGATGCGCCTTTGGATACACCGAGAGGAGCACGGCAACAGCCACGACCTTCTTCGACGGGAACAAACGAAAACAACTCCTGTAGTCGCAGTAGTTGTAAACAAGGAGGACGTCAACTACAATCGAAAAGGTCTGATGAAAAAGTTGCAAAGGAAGTGAACAAAAACATCGATCAAGAGATTATTGTTTCCGACTTGGAGTGTGCGATCTGCCTACAAAAGCTCTTTGAATCGCCAGAAGAAGAAGCGGTAGAAGAAGAGGACGAACTATGTGATGCATCCATTGTCTCTTCCGGAGCACGGCAAGAAGAAGATACCCCACTCACACGCCAAGAAGGCGAGCAAAGAGACGGGTCGTTAAGAACTACCTCGAGGCAAGCTCCTCCAACAGGTGGGGCCGCGAGTTCTTCCACAGATCCTGGGACAAGGCAGTCGACTAGCACTAGTACAGTCGCTGACGAGGATCTGGACTCTCTAGAGCCTCAGATCCAGGAGATTACATCCTCAGACGCGGGGCAGACGAACCATTGGGTGAGACAGCACAACACACCTTATGGCGGCTAATCCATGTTTAGAGGCATCTTGAGACGCTTTTTCGAAGGATTAGGGTGGGGCGCCAGGATTAGGGTTTAGGGTTGGATTCGCGCGAGCTCTTTAGGGTTGGATTGGCGCGAGCTCTAAGCAGACGCAGAAGCATTGTTGACACCGCAGTCACTGCCAGCACGGTTAACAGGTTTAGCATGGCCTGCAGGTCGTGGAATTACGTCCACTAGGAGAAGCAGAAACGTAAGGAATCCTGGAAACGTGAATGGCGGCACTTCTAGGCGTGCGAGTCTGTTGCGGTCGATGCGGTTGGAGCATCTAGTCGCAGGTTTGCAAGGACGGCGACTAAATCGAGCGCCTGTTTCGAGCGGACGGCCCGAGGACGACTCGTCGCCGGAAGCCGTCTCTAACGCGTCTGAGACGGCCGGAAGTTCGGAACGAGGAGGAACAAATAACGGTGTTGATATAAGAGGATCAAGAAGTGGCTCTCCTAATCGTGCAGGTGAACAAAGGGGTGGACATCATAGATGCACACGTTGGAGGATGCCACGCCGTTCTTCTATCGGAGTGCCTATTAAGGCTTCAGGCAATCCATCCTCGGAAGCATCTTGAGGCCTTCTGCTAAGGGGAAAGTAAGGGCAGGATGACTTTCAAGGTGGATTCCGGAAAGTTCTAAGCCTACTACAACAGCAACTGCTTCTACTCCGGACAGTGGTGCGACAGGTTCGACATCAGGTTCGCTCGGTGATAACGGTGGTCGGTTTTTTTCGTCTTCTTCGGGGAGTGGATTTGGAAACGGAGAACGGGGTCTAACGGTTGACGGAGCCGCTTCACTGCGGGATTCTCAGAGCCTTGAGAATTCGAGTGAAGAACAAAGAACCTCCTCTGATCAAGACGCGTACTCGCCTGGCAGTGATGGTACCAGAACAACAACTGGTGGTCAAACTTCTACCACAACTTCCGCCGCCCTCGCGACTACAACTATGTATCATAATCCAGAACTACAGGAGGAACGAGGCCCAGAAGGAGGAGCCATAGGGCCACCAAAAAACGAGGGAGTACATGTACAGTCCACTACTTTGCGACGCACAGAGCAGCATAGTTTTTCGGATGTGCGGCAGATGCTAGGACTCCAGAGTCATCTAGTTGGCGCTTTGGAAATTGGGGTTTTGGACCATCATGCGCCGATGCGGCAGCCAAACGCCTGTGTCGGGCTTTCCGCTCGTCTAGGCTGGAGCCAGTCGTGCAACCTGAGTGATTTCATCGTTGCCGACACCTCTGGACGCTTCGTCGTGGTACTACCTACTTCTTCGGACGACGACCAAGTCGTTATAGATGCCACAAAAAGACCAGGACGGACGAAGGGGAAAAAACTTTTTAGGGAACACCAATCTAGTCGCAGTCAAGCTAATGAAGAACACCAGTCTCCATCTAGTCAAGCTAGTGCAGCAACAGTTGTAGAACAAGAGCAAGACGTAGAACAAGGAAATGGGCCTAGAAGGACAGGATCAGGGTCCGATACGAGAACAAGAGCAGGGCAGGGTCAGATGCGAGAACCGTCCTCGGCAGAAAGTGAAGATGAACAAAGCAGAGATGAAGACGCAGGATCAAGAATGGGGAAAGGCAGGACAGTTAAGGCTCGTCTCTACTCACCTTAGCTTCGATTGTAGTTAAAAGCTCCTGAAGTTCGGAGAACAACAGATTGTGACCTTATACTTGTTTTAGTAAGTAGTGGATGTTTAATCAATAACACCCCTCTAATCAATAAAACCCCTCCAATAAGAAGCGTGTAAAACCCCTCTAATCAATAAAACCCCGATAATCAATAAAGCCCCCTCCAATAAGAAGTGGTCTGATAATACTTGATATTCTTGATATGTTAGTCCCTGCAATTCGAAACGTCTCTAATACGAAATGTCCAAGACTACGAAGAGGGCCTCTCTCAGTGGAGCATTTGCGAGCGGTGCCAACGTGTCAGCACCTCTTTCACAAAGAGTGTCTGGAAGGCCATCTGCGTCACACTTGCTACGAAGCGGTTAGGTCCAATGCGCACAGAGTCGGCAGCGAGAATTATGTTGAGGTACTAGATATCTTTGCCTCCAAAGCCTGAATTTGATATAAATTTTACATCGCTTACATCGCTTCAAGACCTCCTCTAACCATTGCGTTTCGTTTATCGCTGTCCTGTGTGCCGTGAGAAATGCGATGTCGGCATCCGCGTGGTCAACCCCGCAGATCTTCCATCGCACTTCCGCACTGATCCTGCTGGTGGGTCGAGTAGTATTAGTAGCATCGGATTGGGGAGTGACAGATCAACTGTTAAGGCAAGGCTCTGGTGACTACTCGTCTGTTAAGGCTGTTCGCGGTCTCCAGGACATAGAGGTCGCGGAGGGAAGTACTATTCTGAATGGAAAAACACCAGGAAGGTGTTCGTCCCTAACATCTTCCCGCAGGGAGGTATTTCCAGGAAAATGGTCATTCTTAGAGGTCGTGGAGGGAAGCACTTTTTTGAATGGAAAAAGGTGGTCATTCTTCGAGTCTGGTGTTGCCTATTCGTGCCCTAGAAGCTTACAACTACTTCCTATATTAACAGGCTTCAGTGCCGTAGCACGAGTTTATTACTACTTGTTTGTTTGTATTGATGCGCTTCGGGCAAGAACGCGTACGATCACGCCGGATTTCTTTGCGCTTCGTGTGTTTATTCCTACTTGCTATGAAGATAGTTGTTACTGCCACCTTTCTTGATGATGATGTGAGTCTACTCGGCAGGCTGACTGCCACCTTTCTTAAGCGGTCAGCTCTAAGTCACAACACCGAGCCACCGCGGCTCAGCGTGGTCAAGCACAGCAGCAGAGACCCGAGTCTGTGGCAAGTCGTGTCAACTTCGAAGAGGGAGTCCTTATCGATGACAGTGGTAACGACGACTTCGGACAAGTTATCTATGAGCATTGCCCTTGCGGCCCTGAGATATCGGCACTCTGCGGATATTTTTTTGCGCCGTTACCGGGGTATCGGAGGCCAAATCTATGAAAACGGTGGATCTTAGCAAGGCCTGTCGGACAAGGATGTGTGTGTCTATGCGACGATCTCTATCTAGGTCTATGTGATCAGTGTTAAGTAGCGTATCACTGGTAGGATGTGGGACGTCTACGTTATCACTGTTGAGTAGATGATCTCTATCTAAGTCTATGTGATCACTGTTGAGTAGACGATCTCTATCTAGGTCTATGTGATCACTGTTAAGTAGATGATATCTTGGTCTATACATTCATCACTTTTGGATGATCTCAATCTTTTCGGTGAAGATCTATGTGAAGATCAGTGTTGAAAAACTTGGCCTTGATCTTCTGTATCTGAGAAACGTTCTCATGGGTTGTGTATCTTAAAAAATTTCTCATGAGTAGTTGTACTTTCTCCTGTCCTCCGTTATGGCTCTGGTTGGTATAAACTTGAAGATAGGCACCCACGAGGCACTACGGTCTCTTCGTTGTAAGTTCTTAAAAACTTGGTTTGTGAATGTGATGTAGCTCATAGCATACTTACTCTGTGGGAGGGCTCATTGTACGGGATCCGCAACCCTAGCCAGCCACTTCACCCCAAACCCGAAGTCTAAAATTCACTTTTCGAGTTGAATCATCCTCTTTCATTCCGAAGATCGTTGTCATCGTCCGGCAGGAGTGGTCCAGGAGAGGATGCGTCTGATCTGGAGTACGTGACTGTGCCTTGCTGCTGTTGTTGTATTTCTGCACCGCGAGAGTTATGATCTTCTTCCTCAAAATGCTTTGGAGATGCTGTTTGATTTTTCAGGGTACTTAGTTATGTTCAATATCAATATCTTCTTTTTTTGTCAAATGAGTAGTGATGTTCAATATCTTCTTTTTTTATCAAGACAGAGTCATGAAGTACTGGACCTAGACCAACCCAATAGAAACATCGACTTTGAGTTGGTCTAGTTATAGTACTTCACGACTCTGTAGTGCGTTTAGATTTGGGTGAAAGAAGAGTATGATCAGATTTAGAAGAGTGTCTTATGTAGATTTAGAAGGCCTAGAAGATGATGGCTTCCTTCTTTCTTCCTAACTCCACTCGTCTAATTCCATACACTCACTTATTTCGCTCTGCCAGTCCTGAAATACGTCGACAGCGTGAAGAAGCATGTGCTGCGAGGCTCCGATGCCTCTCCGAGGCACGCGACTCAGCCTGCTACAAATGTTTTACGCCAGTTTATCCTGGCTATTGTTGCTGGTTCGTCTGCATTTGTCCCTTCAATTATGGCAAAAATAATTTCCTCTAGCGCATTACGTGCAGATGACATCTATAGACGCTCTCAAGGAAGTACAATATCTTCTGTAGACGCTTTCAAGTAAGTACAACATTTTCATCTGTAGACGCTTTCAAGTACAACATCTGTATACGTTTTCAAGTACACCATCAGGAGACGTTTTCAAGCACATCAACCACATAGATACAACTCTAATGGCAGATTTGGCCTTGTTTCGATTGGGTTCCCGATCCGTGCGGTCCACATCCAGCTGACGTGATTTTCCGTAACGAGCATTCTCCCTGTAGCCGCAGTTTCGTTTAAGGCTACTTCCGCTGAAGCATAATCCTTGCCACCATGAAGATTCTTGGTTCCTTTTTCTACTTGAAAAAGAAACATCTCGCCGGGCTCTTCTTCTACTTGTGAAATCGAGCAAACGAGCCCCCAAGGATATGACTTTCAGGGAAGATGCGAACGCGGTAGCTCTAATTCATTGGTTGGATAGAAAATGCTGCACAGTTCGCATCCTCTGATTGTGGCAAGGCCTTGTGCACACCCTATGCATTTATGGAGGGTACTTAAGTACTTACACGTGATAATATTAACTTGATTCAATGAAGATCACGTAAATTCAAGTTTATGCAATGGACACGATGATGTTTTTAAGTTCAATTTTTAGCTCAATGAAAACCAAATAAGCTACTGTTGAATCCGGATTTTTCTGAGTCTCCCTGAATCCAGTTCTGCTCTCTAGCTTTGCAACGTGTTCATGTCAATGCCAGCGTGGTCGCTTTACGGGGTTTCCGTACTGCAACTCGCGCATCACGGAGTGCCCTTACTATATTTATGGATAGACTTTGATTACTCTCATATGACGATTATAAGGTTGTGATTAAGGACTCTCATCTGATTACTCACAAGGTTGATTAAGATTAAGTACAACTCCCAACATCTAGTGTGATGCATTACTGCGAGTACAGAATTCCCCTTCCTCTATGGCGAACTTTCTCTTTACGGCGATTGATGTTCGAGATGAATCACCTACGTATCTTCTCCTTTGAGGGCGCAGTGCATCGCTTAGTCTAGGTTCCGTATCTTCTCCTGCAGTGCATCGCTTAGTCTAGGTTCTAGTCCGTTTGCTAGCGATAGACTTCATGGAATGGAATTCGCCGTTCTTTCTAACGAACTGGATGCAACTGGGAACCGCCGGCTGGTTTGGCTGTACCTTTGCGCTCTGTTGTGCACAACAATGCGACGACTAAAGACAATGCATTACTGAAAATCGATTACCGACTATGAATGATTTCTTGGTCTACAGCAAGAGATAGATCTTTATTGGTTCTTCTGAAACCAACGAAGTAGAGTAGTCTCCCCTTACACCCCTGGAGTGGGTACATTCATTCATTCATTCATTCATTCTTGGAATTACTAACTGCTTACAAACCTTACTTTTTACTTTGAACTTTATGTTGAACTTAATGTTTTTCAAATTATGGCTTCCGTAGTGAATTAGATCTAGAAGGAGCAGACTGCTCGTAGTCATGCATCTTCGAGCAGAAGAACGTCCACTCCTGGAGTGTGACGATAAAGCCTACTCTTTTCTACTATTATATTAGCCACTCTTCTGTGGAATCTTGTCACATCGATTCATCCTGCAGGTAGATGCAATAGATCTATCAAGCGTACACAGAATAGAACTATTATTAGCCATCTCGTCTACTCTTGCTTGTTGCTATTATGTCTACAAGTATTATTAGTCAGTGTCAGAAACAGCTGCTTCTATCGCTCATATTGGATGACGCTAAACTAGTAGACGCCAGTTGGCAGATGACTGCTCTCGCGTACCATGAAATAGAATGATGAAGAGATGAGTAGCCGTGGGTGTCTACCAGAGATGGACTCCCTTCAATGCTATGATCCAACAATTATTTTCCACATCGTCTTGGGGATATAGCTTATGTGAGTAATTACTCATCTTAGCTTGATTATATATTCCATCAATCCTCTCCCTTCCCCGGACATCATCCTGGCTGTTACTACTATTAGAACCTCTCAACATCCTAACTGTCTCAACATCCTGCCCTTACTACTATTAGAACCTCTTCTATCGCTCTCGTCCACTGTTGATACGTCCCTGACAATTGATTCTAAAATGGTACCTGCCGTGCCACCTCGCGTCCCACCTCGTAAGTCATATTCGTTGTTTGTGAAACAAAAGGAACAATTTTGTCTTCAATTCTAAGGCTTCTAAATCGAAAGCGTATATGAGTTCGTAAGCTGACAATGATGAGATGTTGCCATGATTTCAACAACTATGCTAATTTGTTCATCCATATATTCTAGATAGGTTAATTTCGACCATGGTCTGAGAAAACTTTGCGGTTTGAGAATAAAGCTGAGTTGCAGGTTACGAAGAACTTTTGTTTGAAGAGGTTTTGTTTGTTTGTTTGGGTCCTCTGAGAAGAATGAAAATAGAAGCTGATGGGGTGTCCCGTCTATACTTGTCTTTGGGATAAGTGGTTTTTTTGTGCTTGAGAATAGAGTGAACCGGAATTCATCAAGTGGAACTTCCCTCATTTCAAATCGGAGAGTCCCGACTTCGAAGAGGAGTGTCCCGACTACGGACAGAGCTTTTTTCCGTTTTCTGAATACCCAACCGCCCCACATCATGCTCTGCTCTAGAGCCATGCCCTCCTAAATTATGTATATGATAAGACTTTCAGGGCGGGTACTACTTCCCAAAGGACTGGAGTGTTGTACTCGTGGAAAAAACTACCTCTACTAGAGAGATGAGTGCCATGGCGTATTGCAAGATATGAGAGGAGCTGTTAATATTTTACAAAAGCGAAAAAGAAACGGACTGCGTTGTACTAGCAAAACAAACCGCTGCTGAAAAATAGAGACCAAACAATATCATCTCATATGCACGTCTTCGTTTTTTAATCATGATCTCCATTTTTAGAAGTACATAGTACTGTAGTAGAAACGCCAGCGATACAGATGCTGCCCTTTCCATTCTTTCGAATCTTGAAAAAAAAAACAAGAATACATTTGTTAATACGGAACGCATCGTTATAATTGTAGTCTCCTGTTGGCCTCGTGATATAATCCTTCACATGTGATTCCTCAAGTTTAACAAAAACAGTCGGTTTCGATGCTTAGTCTTGAAGAACGAGACATGGGTAAGTTAGCATCATGTGTGACTCATCAAGTTTAGACATGGATGATGACAAAATATGACACCGACCGAGGTACCTGATGTTGGGGAGTCGCGTAACTCTCTCCGGCGGCAGGCGAGGCCACGGTTGCGCACACAGCCGTGAAGAGTAGTTGCATTCCTGAAGTCTCGACAAGCCATAGATTGTTGAAAATATAACGAGTACATCTTGGTGAAAACTAGACCACTGCCGAGACCGGGACGTGGGTCCAGCCCTCGACATGGAGGCCACCAGTGGTGTGACACAACGTGGCCTGCCGCAAGGTAAGGAAGCTCCTCGGGAGCTGTGGATCACAGGCACAAGCGCAGCGACCAGCTCGAGCAACCGGCGCTGGGATCTTTCTGCTCCGGGCCACGGCAAAGGATCAGTTATGGCTACAAATTTGGTAGGCCGTTAGTGTGCGCATCAATTTCTCAATGAATCGCCATCACGGTTTTTGGGCTTAGGTATGTCCATGTGTATTAGCATCCCCTTGTTAAGGACGACCCTGGTACTAGTAACCTTCTTCACCCTCTCTAATCGTAATCGCGCGCCTCTACGTCCTGCCGGCGATGGTTCAGTGCTGCGGGACACCAGGATCAGGCCGAAGGGCTCACGAGTAAGCGGGTGCTCAGGCGCCCACAGTATCGGGCGGACGGGCCGACGCGTCGGCTCAGCTGTGGTGTGCTTTGAAGCGGTTTCGGCACTACATCGCAAGGACAAGCGTCAGAGACGAGCAAAGAGCTTGGCGCAAGTTTTTAGCTCGAAAGGAGAAAGCACGTCACCAGCTGAACGGCCGTATGGCTCAGCGGGTGAACTCACCGCGAATTCGGCTGCGCAGAGCTTCAGCACTGGCGGCGATGCGGAAAAGGCCAGTGCCCTAAACGTACCAGGAAAGCAACGCGGGCACGACAAAAGGAAAAAGACGGCCGAGGGCAAGCAGCGACCAGACAAGAGAGAGCCAGCGGAAGTAAGAGGTACTCATTTGATTTTCCGTCGGGGTCACAAGAAGCATCCATGACTAACGCTGTATGCATAGCAGAGCGAGTTAGAAGAGCTCATTTGACGCCGTTTCACTGTTGTATCCCTTCTGTGTACCGGTTAGTCTCTACCATCCTTTCTCATTACCGCTCACTCTTACCTACCCAGATGGGACAGCGCGGCCGACGCATGCCGGTACCACGGAGGAGGCTGCTGGCCGATCTCAGGATTTTTCCATGCAAGTCACTAGCGGAGACGCAGGGGCCAGCACTGATGAAATCCGTGGGGGCGTAGCTGGTGCCGTTGAGAGTCTCAGTTTGGCCGAGTTCGCCGGCGCCGAGGAAGATCCGGACTTAGCTTTGATTTTATGGGAAAACTTTGCTTGGCACCTCCCTTTCCTTTGAGTTGGTTTGACTATATATTCCAGATGCAGTTGCGCACGCATTATGACTTCATAGAACTGGAGTAGCCTTCTAAACTTACTTAATATGGTACTGTACGTATAAAAGACGCAAGCTCCATACTCATCTCGGTTGGAAGATTAGTTTTGCGTGAGGTATTCGTGCTCTTGGCTTCTCTAAAAAGTGCGACGGCAACGTACACCACGACAGGCGGAAAGCTGAAGATGTTGCGGCGCTCATCTTCGACACCGCCGTCACTTTTTGGGATGGTGGTAGCAGTGTCTAGAGAGATGGCCGATGGGTTTGACGCTTTGCGGCGCCGAGCTATGGGACTTTTTTGGGCGCGTGCGCCTTCGGAAGCTGGCCGAACTGAGGGCAGCTCGCTAGATTTATGAAAGGGTGGAAAGAATGAGATTTTTTTCAATTTTTCGCAATGTTCTACGCCCCTATGCGACTCAGGGGGAAAAAGACGACATGAACTTTAGTCCACGTTTGAGATTAGTTTTAGTGTTCACTTCCATAGCCTCAAAGATAACTCTGGCTTTTCCCACTATGTGTGGTTTTTGGTTGATATATGAGGATGAGTTAGACGGTGTTGCTCTATTCTTGGTATTCAGGATAGCTGTTCGTTGGCGTAGACTGTGCAAGCCTGTTGGTTTTACTAGTACTGGTAAAGTAGCCAACGGCGCGATTCACCCTGAGTTGCTTGTTGTCTCTTGCTGTCCCGCAGGGATTTGCCCTCTTTCATATCTCAGTGGCACCACAATGCTGCAATTGCAGCTGCATGATAACGCAGCAGAGCTGCAGCCGACAATCAATGACTTCTTTGGAAATCGCGAGATTGGCAGGAAGCTGCAAGAGCTGTGGGCGCGTGCGAGTGAGGGCCAAGGGCGTAACAACGTATTTACGCAGGATAAAGCTCTGACGCTCTTGGACACGCCGGGCGCCACAGGCGAAGATGTGAAGTTTTATTACGAGTGTGTACCCGCCTCAAAGTCCGACTCCTACGATTGGGAGTTTGAGCCAGCTCGCGCCCAGGGCGGGGACCAGCCGCAATACACTCCACATGACGAAGGCATGCATATAAATTTACCGAATTCTGCTGCGAACAATGGAATGGCTTCTACGCTAGATTTGCATAGTGTTCAGGAGGCACGCTCGTGTCGAATCTACGCCGTGAAAAGCATTGATTCGAAGACCTCCGTGGGTAAGATGAACGCTGGATTTCTTCTGGTACGCACGCAGAATATGGCTTCCACGGGCAGGGCGCTTGGTGCTTCATCTTCTGTTACGGGCAACATTTCTACTTTGTCACCCATGGATCGGAAGTAGGATTGAGTAATTGGGATAGTGCGGCTGCTAATGATGAGAATGGTGCTGATCGTTTTGATGTTTTGGGGAGGGTCCTTTATCTACTGTGCTGTTGCTGGTCGTGGGAAGGGGCCCTAGATGTTCGGTGATGTTAGATGCACTATGACAGATGTGAAGAAATAACGATGGTCTAATTTTTGGGAATCGACAGAGTCCAGGAAGCTGTTCTGCAAGAAAATGAAGAATGTGCGATCTGGATCGGAATGCGCTGCCGCGAAGCATTTTGTGGAGGAGTGGCGGGAGAATGCTCGCGCGCATGGATGCAGAAGATGCGTCAGCGTGGGGGTTCCTTTTTGCCGACAAAAGTTGAAGAGTCCGCTCATTGGCGCAGGGTTGATGGCGCTCTGCATGGATCCCATGGAACGCGCAGGCGACCAGAACTTTGTCGCGACGTTGGCCATTGGGGACGCGTCTGATGTCGAGTTAGGAGGGGATGGGCAGCACAGCGTCTTGTGGTGGACGTGGGAAAGTGTCAGAGCTCTGACGAAGGCGGGACTCTTTCACCGAGACATCAAACGCGATAACTTCCTCGTGCTACCACAGGCGGGAGGGGAGGCTCCTATCTGGATAGCCAGTGACATGGGCCTCGCGTGCTGGACGTTATCGAGCAATGGCAAGAGCCGGGGCGTGATGAGGTGCATCGAGGCCATGAACCTGGGCACGCCTCAGTACAGTTCTCCCGATCATTTCAGTAGAAGCGACAGCGCAGAACTGCGTGCAGGAGCGGCTGCAAGGGGAGACTCGTTCAGCTGGGTGGTCATGATCATCGACGACGTTTTGACGCAGTGCACGGGCCTCGCAGACCCACAAGACCGGCTGTCGGCTATCGAGATGCTGCTGGGGTACTGTCGAATGGTCCAACCCCACGGCACATCGTTCGAGTCAGCTTATGGAACTCCAGCATCAGAATAGGCTTTCTGTCAGGTTGCCCGTGGCGTAGACATCTTACAGAACACTGCAACTGCGTTATCTGGAATGCAAATAATGCGCAAAAAGTGAAACCGCAAGAAAGCTCATCCGTATCAATTCTAATCACATCACGAAGCGCGTGTCGAGGAGTGGTCTAAGTTAGTGGAGTTCGGCAATGTGTGCGAAAACACATGCGGGCCTCTCGGCCTATGGGGGGAGGATCCTATTTTGTTTACGGTGTGACAACGCAACGATTGCTAGCCATATGAATGCGTGCGTGCTGTGTAATAAGTGCCGCCGTATGCAGGTAGTGTGATTGTGCTTCGTGATTTCTGCTTATCTTCAAGCAACGGCAATTCGCGTAAGTTGGTAGACACTCTCATATCGTATCGACTGGGAACCGCAGGCTCTGATGTCAGGGAAAGCAAGAGCAAACAGGGCTGGAACCCCTTTGCCAACAAAAACCAGAGAAGGGTTGCGCCGTTTATGGTGTGACAACGATAATTACTAGACGTTTGGGAGCGCCGTAAGTGTTTAATATTAAGTTCGGTCGTATGTTGCAAGTAGTCCTGACTGTGTTTCTTGATTTTTGCTTCGCTGCAACCGATGCCAAGCGGCATAAGCAGGTAGACACTCTCATATCGTATCAACAGGAAAGCGAGCCCCGCAGCAAAGCCGGCGAAATGTTGTTTGAGTTATGGCGTGTGAACGTTTGTGTTTTGCGGGTCTTGCTTGTTGTTTGACTTGTCGGTGGTCGTAGTGGAAGAATTGGAGCACTCTCGCCTTAGCTCTCTTGAGCGGGACCGGGACAGTTGTTATTCCTTAATTTGTGGGTCTGCATGTGATGCAGCAATTCTCAACATGATATTCTTCGCGCTTCATTTACGTGGATCAAGAAGAAATCGAGTGCCCCAGAACATCTGACGGCCAAATGCGGATCGATCCAGAAAGCTCTCGTGGAGACGAGGTTGAAGCCTCTGGACCACGTGGACGCTGCCCGCGAGCGCGAGGCAGTACCGGCGATCGACTTGATGGCGCAAGCGCTTTTGGGCAACCCATGGAACTTGGCTTACGATAAGGGCGACAAGCTCTTTTACGCCTGGGACAAGGCAAAAGAGTCTCCTTCCGGATGTCCTAGGAGTCCTGCTAGTGATTTGCTACGCTGGCTGAGTGATCCACGTCCGCGTCCCCTGTTCGGCAAATGGTAAACGAATAAGAAGAGGAGGAAGGTGATGATCCTAGTCGTATGAGTATGAAGACCATCAACATGAACGTGATGGAAATCATTGCAGTCCCATGGTGACAAAGATCACGGCACTGGAATGCCATGCCAATGATGTGGGTTTCTATCGTGTTACTTATGAACAAGAAGGCCCACACATTTGACAACTTTGCAACCGCATGAGAATCATGCAAAACCTTCACGATTTGCACAACTGAAACAGGCCGGGAATTATATAGGAAACGCATCGCCTTGAGGGTGAAAATAAGCAGCCCTAGCGTTCACAGACACTGCGAAAATAGCAATTGCTGCGTAGGTAGTCAGTGTTTGAAGGTTGTAGATCCAAGCTTTTTCCTCGTCTGTCGGTGGGCGGATGTTTTGAAAGTGAAGGATGTGGGGTTCGTAGGTTTGCGTCGTTTACGAAGGAACAAGTAGATTTCGAGTTGTTGCAGGTAAATGATGCTCCGGCTATTGCTGCTACGGAGTAGGGCTCGTTGTCGCCATGCTACATACCTGTGAAGAAAGTGATATGTGATAGAGCTAGTGATGAGAAGCTTCAAACTAGCTGTAATTTGTTAGTGCTAGTACCATATAATTGCCCCTACTTCGAATTAAGAAGTTAGTAAAAAACTACATAAATTCGTTGTCACTGGGGCTCAATGCTGGAGCTCAGAATTTTGATTCAATTTCATTTACTCAGGAAAAAGCTGAGACCACTATGTTATTTTCATATTTATTGAAAGTGGAAACAGAAGACGAATACGGCCGTAACCGAATTCACGTGACTTTGCTATGTAATGGGATGTCGTCCTTCATAGTCAGGTCGCCGAAAGAGGCCACAATCGAACTACAGAGGTTGAACAGTTGAGATGGAATGTAAAGAAATATAGAGACTTCTCCAAAGAAGTATCAAATGAAAAAACAGGCACATTCCATAGCAAATATAGTACTCAAGTATGCATGTAGCTGCTCAATAAAAGAATTGGAATTATTTTAACGCAGTTTCTTTCACAAATTATACAGCACAACAATGTCTTTTTGTTTCGAATTACGAGAAGAATGAATGTAGTAAGCCGTTACGTCTAACGTACAAAAGTACGCATAGTTTTCTTACACATGGCTGTACAGGGCAATCGAATGCATGCTATGGTTGTACAGTTGCATTGACCACCACCAAAATATCATGTCGGATGAGTTTCACATCAACCTGCACGAACTGTGCGCAGATTAAGGCAGCTCGTGCGTTTGGCCTGGAAGTCTAGGATCTTGAGAAGTCGCGGAACTGTGTGTTGGATGACTCTTACAGAGTCGAAGTCGACGTGTTGCTGAAGATGACCTTGGTAAAAAAACAAGGGCGTGGTGTATCAAAGTTGAGTTTCTGGCCGCGCAGAACAACGCTGGATCTTGCTTCATTTTTTCAGACTCAGTATAGTTGATTTAGAAGTTGTTGCAAATGGTGAGCGCCAACTTTTTCATCTCTCTCTGACTTGATCCGGCGATCGCTAAAGTCTTATCATCGCCGATGTTTTCTTCGTATACATTTTCTTCAATACTTATTGCTCACGCACATCTTCTTCACTGTCAACTTGGTCGGGGGCGTCGAGGCCTATCAGCTTGTGGAAGTGGTGCCGGACGCGAAGGTTCAAGGAGAGAGTAATCAGTGGACTCTCGAAAGTGTGCCTAGCCGCGCCCTCCTAAGTGGACTGTGCCGCCGAACAGATCTACACTTCAACGCTCGTGACGTCGCTGCACCTGGCACCCTTGACGCGATCGAAAAAAAAAGATCTTGTGTTGCTGATAGCATTTGAAGTTGCTCCTTCCATTGTATGGCTGGGAGTCAGTTCTTCAGATGACGAGCGAAGCCACTTTTGTTTGTTCCCAGATGCCTCAGAGAGCCTTGCTTTTTCTACGTCGGTTTAGCGCTGGCGGCTGCGATGCTCCATTTGCGAGCTACCCCCACGCACGTGTTTTTTGCCGCAAAGTATCGGCGTTTTTTCTGTGCTTCTCTAAGAGGTCCCCTTGTTGTCAGTATTTTCTTTTTCCCTCTTTTGTTGGTTCTGGATATTTTGCGCGCGGGCCGGCGGCGGTCATGCGATCGAGCTCTCTACCGCCGATGATGGGAAGTACGGAGTACGATTCGACATGTTCTTTGCCGGTAGGAGATCGTGCCACTTTGGAGAGCCAAAAACGAGGATGGGGATTTGCGACCTGGAGAAGACGAGAGACCAAGGAGAAGAATATGTGTTCGAGCTCATACCACCAACGTTAGCGTCATGTTGTACTTGGGGCTTTAAGCCAGTAGTTGTCTATCTCGTAGCTTCCCACTTGTCAGTTGATTGCGCATTAGTAGTTGTCTATCTTGTAGCTTCCCACTTGTCAGTTGATTGCGCATTAGTCAAGAGTAAGCAGGGCTGGCGGCCCTGCCCTCGTGCCTTGTAGGCAGGCGTATAAGAGTGGGACGGCTGGCGGTCGGTGGCGGTTTATATCACACAACTAATCCACCTCCCCGCTGCCCCTAGATTTCATCAGATTAAAACCGGCGGGCCCGTAGGCAATTGTTGCACCATAGTAGAAGGAGGCTAATGGACTCCACCCGTCGCCGGCAGGTGCGCCGGACATCACTGGGGCCACCCTTCTGGCGGTCTTGGCCTACAAAAAAAGAAAAACCGAGACCCTTGAGCTTGGGCGATCTCCTTTTTGAGTTGGGTGCTCTACTGCTACATAATGCGTGCAAGTACTAATGTGAGGACAAAAAGGCCTGCACTAGTTGAAATGGGTAGAAGTTATCCCGTTTATCAGAAGTTAGAGAGGAAGATGACACCTACGACACAAAATTTGGAGGCGGTGCTTCTGACCGGTGAGCCGAAGTCGGGAAATTCGGTCAAACAGTTCACTTGCTTGCGGCTTCTTCTGGTTTTAGCGACCTCACTTACAGCTGCGTTGATGCTTGCTGCCGTGTGCCTACTCCAGTTCCCGAGGTGCCAGGGTGTCGCTATACGTTCTGCATTCTCGTTTACGAATCCTTGTGAAGATGCAGAAGGAGGAGAGAACTCGATCTTTCTCAAGAAGCAGCATTTCGAGCATAACAACTTTTGCCGACTCACAGCTTCAGCTTGTTCAAGTTGGTGTTGCCGATGGGCAGGAGAGCAGCTACAAGTCTCTTCTCCAGGAGGAAGACGAAACTGTACTTCCTGAACAAGCTAGCAAAGCGTCCTCAGATGGCGCATCTGCAGTTGCGAGTTCTGTCTTCGCTTCAATGTCCTCTGTTATCGACGCCACAAGAGACGCCTTAACCACTGGCGCGAAGGAGGTTGGAAAGGGCGTAGGTAAAGCCGCATCTTCCGCAGCTGACGCGGTACGGAGCACAAACTGGACAGCTGTTGCTCACAAGGCGCAAGCAGGTGTGGATGCTTCTGCTGTTGCCGTGGGTCGCGGGATCCACGCTTCCGCCTCCGCGGTCGCTCGTGGTGCGAAGGAGGTTGGAAACAGTGTCTCGGACATTTCCAACAAGCTCAATGCAACAAGCAGTGCCGAGCTTGAAGCCTACGGAAAGGAAATGCGACATCCTTCAGCGAATTCCACGTGGATGAATTGGTCCTGTGCGGACAAGGTTCTAGCTGCCGCGGGTCTCGGTGCTGCTGGCGGCGTGGCCCTGGTTCCACTGTCCTTGGAAATTCTCGGATTCGGCGCAGAAGGGGTGGAGTCTGGATCTGTTGCAGCGAAGTGGCAGTCTTCCATCGGGAATGTTGCGGCTGGGAGTCTCTTCGCGGTGCTCACGTCGATTGCGATGGGCGGCATTTCGAACGCACCATTTGTATTGGTGCCAGGCTTCGTTGCTGGATCAACCGTTAAGCCTTTGACCATTCATCATGTGTGAATTAATAGAATATTTGTAGACACCTACTTCTGATGAATGATTATATCACGTAGTTGCTATTCATGTTAGATCAGAATGTTATAGTAGTAGGTTACAACAAGCTTTTTGATTATCAGTTGTGCCTTTTTTATCGGAAACCATTAGTTGTGCAATTTTGCTCGAGGATTGCAAATTGAAAGCATGCAGGATGATGAGAAATAGCTTCTAACAAAGCTGCTGTTGGCGTTCTGGAGGAGGTTTGCAAGCCTGATGAATATGGGATTATCGGAAAAAATGGCGATAGAAGCGAAGCAAGCGACGCATTGAAGTAAATTCCTCGTACTGGTTGACCGTGACATCTGTGATTATCTTAATCCGCACTGCGCTTTAAATTCCTTACCATGAGTTTACCTCTGTGTAAGTTTTGCTTCAAAAATGGCCAGTAAGGGTCGAACATGAAGTACATGACCATGACCATAAACGACGCTTTTCTGTGGATTTAAGACGGTGGATGTGAAGGTGTAAGATCACTCACCGAATCAAGTGAGTAATTGATCGCTATGAACGAGATCCCATGATCGACGAAGCTGTACTAAGACCATGCAAACAACAGCAAGCTGCTACCTAAAGTTGCAGCATCATACTAGCATACGACAGAACTCTGACTCCTTTTATCTTTCTCGAAAACAGAGCGCCTCGCTTCAGTTTTCACTGACATAAGTTTTTTTACGAGTTGTCACGACAGATATTTTTTCTAGGAAGAAGGTACTAGCGACTCAGACTACTTGAATAGGAGACGAAAACTACTACTAGGACAACATACATTGGAAATACTAGTATTTTGCTGATCAAGATCCTTGTTCGATCTTCCAGTTAGTGCCCCACCACAGCGTATTTTGCTGATCAACGTCCTTGTTCGATCGCAAAAATGACGTCGACGGACCGCAAAGACCGCGTGCTCGTAACGGGCGGCGCTGGTTTTCTGGGGGCGCACTGCGTGCGCTTGTTGGCGAAACGGAAGGTGTATCAAGTCGTAGCCACTGTGCGGAACCTGGAACGGGATGGCCCCTTGCTTCGGGAGCTGTGTCCCGATATTGAGTTGCACGCACTGGATTTGATCGAGAACACTGTCGAAGAGTGGCGTCTAGCGGCGCGAGATTGCAAATTCTGCTTGCACGTTGCGTCGCCGTTTTTCAACCCCGCGAAAAGTGTGGATCCAGAGAAGGAGCTCATCCGCCCGGCTGTCGAAGGCACCCGCACCGTGCTCACGGCTTGCCACTTGGAAGGAGTTGAGCACGTTGCTGTAACGAGCTCAATGGCCGCGGTCTTGGGTGCGCTTAAGTGGAGCAATCTGAAGACTTCTGGTTCTGAGCCCACCAGCACCACGTCCGCGTCCGCGTTGGGAGCCTCCACTTCTTTGGCTGAGATGGCAAGCAAGGGAGAGACCTTGTCGGGATCGAAACACTGGACGATGGACGCAGTCCGAGCCGAGGATCCGATCTGCAAAACCCACTCCTTCGCCTACTTAAGGCTTTCCTCACTTTTCTGATACACTATCTTCACTATCTGGTGGTGAGTCAGTTGTCCAGGTGGCTCATTGTGCAGGGTCCATAACCTAACCTGACCTACTCGAAAACTCAAAATAACCGATTTACTGAGTGAAATAAGGGAGGTAGCTTAACGCCAAGTGGGTGCTCTTCCTTCTCATCAGTATCTCGCTTATTTTTAGTAGTTACTCGCTTATTTCAGTTTTTCGAGTAACCTGGTGTGGACTTTGCTGTTGAGCGAGTTCTTCCCCGTAGAGGTCACATACCCAAGGAGACCGATGCGACGGGGGAGAAAGAAAATCCACCGCTCGACCACGGATAGTGAGCGTCTGGCGTTAACCTTCGCTCGGTCGAAAGCGCTCGCGGAAAATGTCGCCTGGGAGGAATTTCACGAGAAGAAGCTGCTAAAAATCTCCACCATCTGTCCTAGCTTCATTGTCGGCGAATTGTTGCTGAATAAGGGCTGCGAGAGCGCGGAGTTGCTAAAGCAGTTTGCGACGGCGCTCGCCGTACCTGCTCTCGGAACGCAGGCCATTGACGTGCGGGACGTCGCCGAAATGCATATTCGCGCGTGTGAGAAGAGTGCGGACGGGCAACGCTTCCTGGGCTGTGCTCGCGGGCTCACCGCTCGAGAGATCGCTCAGATCGGGGCCTCGGCCTCTGCCGCGGCATCTGTGTCGGTGGAAGAAGGGGAAGAAAACACAAAGGTTCCGCATCATGTTCGTGGTGCGACTAGAATTATTCCTGTAGAGGAGATGAGGAAGAAGAACAACACAAAGATTGGGGGTCCTTGGCTTGAGCTTCCACTCTGGTTGTTGCGGATTCTGAGCTACGTCAACGGGGAGATTCGAGATCTGCTTCAATTCGAAGGTTTTGATCAAATCTCCGTTGACACCGAGAATGTGCAACAGGTGCTAGGGATGAAAACTTTTCGAGATCCTGCGCTAGCGGTCTTCAAAATGGCACTGTCGATGCGTAAATGGGGAAGGATGTGAGTAGGAGCAAGAAGATGTGAGTAGAGGCAAGAAGACTCTGTGATCGAGTTCAAGGACAAAGGCGACAGGACAGGTAAAAGTTGTCCGGATATTTGATCATTTCACACACTTGCTGAATACACTGATCAGTCGTTGATCAAACTCTCGTTCATCTATTCACTTTTGTGACTAACCAATTGTGGTTTATTTCACGCTGAAATTTCAAATTTGTTTTTGACATTTCGCAGGCGTGGATTCATTAGTATCTCCGAATCTTACGAGGAGCCGCCTTCGGTGTAAAAACACCTGCCATGTCCTTGTTTCGATGAAGGAAATGACGTCCATGGTGAGTACTACAAAAGTGGCGAACAATACCATTTCCTACGACTGAAGCAAGAATATCTTCTTCTTCGCCTTGTTGGTCCTTCTGTTTTTCCGAAAGAAATCTAATCATGGGTTTGATATTTTGCTACATGAGAGGTTTAGGTCTAATCATGGTAATATGAAAGTCCTTGGATCCCCCCTGAAAGTCGTGCATGATTGAATCAATGCATGTGCTGCCTATCAAGCTGATTACATACAAGAGCTGGCTTTCTGACTTATCAAGCTGGTGCTGCGTCTGGGTTGTAAGGGCTCTAAGTTCAATTGTCGTTTACTTCTATAATTGAATCACAGCAACAGCAAGTACACGTTAAAAGTATTACAAGTACTAGAACGGGTGGGTGTTACTAAGTGCGTACGTACTTGGTGCGTTCTCCGTTGGAGTTTTAGACTTTGAGCTGTTTAATATGTGACTGGACGTAAGGAGTACACATATATGCAATCGCGTTGGTGGTAAATGAGAGCTTCCGCCAACGAGAAACTTGCATATTACTATATTTCATAATCATATGCATATGATCGGTCAGTTCATCCGGGAGTCATTCTGGATGTTGGCTGTATCTTTCTCAAGTTGGTACTAGTCGTTGGTTACCTGATCAAAATCTTGAGGAGGAGTAATCGAAAACTGAAAATAAGCAATTAACAAATACGATAACCGAGTCTCTGAGATTGTTATCCAGATTACTTGCTTACTTCAGTTTGTCGAATAAGTAAGTGAGGGTAGCCATAGCGTCCTCGGTTTACTCCCGTTGGTGGGGAGTTTTTGGCACGAAAGTAGAGACTATGCACGCACCTGGCTCAACAGCTTGCAGGCGTTTTCGTGTATCGTCACAGTTCTGCTTTTTAAGACTCTTTGCTCGTCTTCTGAGAAACTAGTTGAAGACTGCCCATAGGCCCATAGGTTGCATCCGTAATATAAGGAGGCTAATGTACTCCGCCTGCCGCCAGTTTACGAACTGGATAAAACTGGGATCACCCTTCCGGCGGTCTTAGCATACAAAAAAGGCTGCATCGCTGGGGCACATGAATCAAAGAAAAGAAACTAGTTGACGGAATCAAGTAAGAGGTCTTGGTGCGTAATTAGGTAGAGGGAAAAAGTTTTAGAATTTACAACTTCTGGGACTTCATGTTTATAAGAGCTCGATAAGAGATCGGTTCGCGTACAAGGTTTTAGCACGTAAATTTTTGACATATATTGATAAGTCCATACATCTCGGTGTGTCCGGGTTGTCGATCATTGCGCCTCATTCTGCATGTTGTAAAAACCATGATGTACTGTACGAAACCAACATGCTAAAAAACCATGATGAGCAAAGCGGCTTTTGAGCTGCTCATTACTTTGATGATCGCTTCCTTAGAATAGTATGTATCTACAGGAGCTCTACTTGAGCATCTTCAAGGTACGAAAAACAAAAATTCTAAGTCCGAAGGAACCTCCAAGTCAGAAGGAACCACCAGAAAGATTCAGAGTGGTGTGGTCAGTAAGTGACTAGCATCTTCATCGTTGTGTTGCCAAGCAGAACCCATTGGCCGTCGTTGCCACATCGTCGTCGTCCACTCGGCCTTCGTCGTTCCAGCGATCTGCAGGAGACAAAGACGTAGTTGACTGGAGTCTTGGATCTTTGGGTCTTGGATGCACATCGAGAGAGTGAGAGCGACACACACACACAGACACACACACACATACACACTTGTCGAAGCACTTCGTACCGTGACTCTGTCCTCTCGCTTGTGTGGAGGTTTAGCCAAATAATTGATGTACTTAACGTGCGAGACGATAGGGTCACGCGCGACAACAATAATAATAATAATAAAAGAGACGTATGTAAAAACAGTTGAACACGACCCTTTGAAGTGTACTCAATTTCAACTGACCTTTGAAGTTTGAAGGACTTTATTACTGAGCAGAGGTCGTCCTCCTAGTGGAAGCGGAGGGCGACCATTTACGTCTCGCTCGTTTGAAAAAAGATGAGGCGGCTCGCGCTGAATGCGTCCTCTGTATTGGGACTAGTACTTCTTCTTCCTTTATGAAAAGAAAATCTGTTATCATTATCAAGTTTCTTAAGTAGAAAAGTATGATAATGATAACATATTTTGGTTTCATATCCTTCTTGGGTCTATTCTCGTTTAGAGGAGGAAAGGCAAGAGAGACCGCTTCGAGTGGCGCAGGATGCCGGCGATGAATATGGTACTATTTCACTATTGATGTCAACATGTCGTGACGACGATAATTATGGTACTATAGTATCATCGTGACGACGATAATTATGGTACTATAGTGTCATCGTGACGACGATAATCATGGTACTGCTGTCAACATCTTTATGTTCACCTAAATACATGAAACTCTCCTTCTTGATCTTTGTCTGAGTACGTCTGCAGTCAACATCTTGATCTTTGTCTGAGTACGTGAAGAAACAACTCTTCTTATTGCAGTTTGATTCAAATTATTGCAGCTCGTGTTGGCCCCACAGAGAGGAGAGCCTCTTCGCTCGCCGAAGTACGATCACAGCGAGTGAACGACGACTCTTCGTCTTCAGGAGATGCAAGCAGGATAGAAACCCAGACCTCCTCAACCCAAGATGATGCATTCGATTCTTCCTTCGACGCTGACGGTGACACGACTACAATAGACGAGGACGAAGATTTTGGTTCGGAGGACTACGCTGGAGAGGGTGCTGAGGAACGTTTCCAGGAGAATGCCAGCGATAGACGGAAGCATGGTTATGGCGTGTTTGTTATAAAGTAGTTCGCGAATAATTTGTAATCAAGATGAACATGGAGGACGGATACGCTGAAGTAGAGTATTGCGATGCTGAGACCATATTCAGTATTTATAGACTATCCGAGGCGTGCTCCACCGGTATTATAACATGATTAATGGGAGGACAAGACCATCCTCGAAAAATCCTTAGTTAACCTTTATTTCTGATAGTACCACTAACGCAAGACTCGGGCGAGCAGCGCAAGAAGTACCTCGCAGTCTGAAGGTGCTACTATGAGGAGGGAAGAGGACGATGGCATTGAAGGAGATGGTGACAGGAGGACATCTGGGGATGTCCAGCAACCGCACAGGCGGAGACACGGGATGAGAAATCCAATATTTGCTTATGATATGGTCTGAAGAATTTGATTGGATATTAATTGGTACAATATTGAATATTCGGTTATGATAGGTGGAGATGTCCTAAACAATCGAATACTTAATTGGTACCTCTTCTTTGACGAACTTGGCTTCTAGGTTTCTAGTCTGGCTTTCTACTGCGCAAGAAGTACTTAGACTTACAAGCTTTATTCCAAAAAAGGATAAGCACACTCCATAGTAAGTTTCTAATGAGCGGGCAACGATGAAAAGTCGACATTCGGGATACTGTCGGGACCGATGCAAGAAGCAAAGAATGCTGCCCACTCAGCCTACAGAAAAATCCGCCGCTTTGCACGGCGTATGCTCCAGTCTGCGGGAGCTGCAGATGAGACTATTGGGCCAAAGACGCTCTTGATGCGAACAGGAGGAGCTCGATCAGGAGGTGGACACGCGACTTTTATGCCATAAGGTGTTATATTGATTGTTCTTTCGAGAGGACGGTGGGCAGAGATCTACGTACGTGTAGTTTTTACCTACTAAGTATTGTATTTGTCAGTAAAGAATTGCAGAATAGAGAGAAGTAGTGATGAGCCTTACCTTTACGAGCCCTGTTCCCACATCTCCTTCATATTTGCCGGCAAAAGTGATAGTAAGACGAGCTCCGATGGGGACGGCTCATTTGCGGTGGGTTTTCGGAGCGCTTTAGGCATGATCTTTGCCACGGAGATTGGAGATAGGACGTTTTTTATCGCGGCTATCATGGCCATGAGTAATTCAAGGTTACTGGTTTTTGGCGGTGCTATCGGAGCTCTGGCGGTTATGACGGTACTATATGACGTGAGGAGTATAATCTTGTTGATAGTGGAGCAGGTCAACAATGCCTATTGGTGGAATTATCGGTCCCATAATCCTGTTCTAGTATCCTATCCTACCCTATCATGTTGTTCTTGTAGTTTCTAACTCCGAATGTACCAGCAGGCTGGTAGATTGACACAGGCTTCTTTTCTCTCCTGGTTGACAAATCCATCCCATCCTGTCAAAAAGCTTCAACTCCTGGTTCCTTCCAATGATCCTTGACAGGTACTATCGTCAATTCTGGGACACGCCTTGCCGCAGCTACTGCCAAAAGTCTTGACTCATTGGGCGAGCATCGCATTACTCATCTATTTCGGCACGAAGATGTTGTGGGAGGCGCGACAGATGTATCTCACGGGAGAAGGTACTAACTTACTCGAGAACTAAAAATAACCGAGTCACTGACTGAAATAAGGGAGGTAGCTTTGACAGGGCTACTCTTCCTTGTTCAGGCTTAACTGTGCTTATTTCAAGTAGTTACTCGGTTATTTCAGTTTTTCGAATACCAAGAAACAACACTTACAACGTACAACACTTACAACGCGCAACACTTACAACGTACAACACTTACAACGTACAACACTGACAACGTACAACACTGACAACGTACAACACTTACAACGTACAACACTTACAACGTACAACACTTACAGCGTACAACACTTACAACGTACAACACTTACAGCGTACAACACTTACAGCGTACAACACTTACAACGTGCAACACTTACAGCGTACAGACACCATAATTGTCTGGTCATATGGTAGTGGTGTGCTGGAGAAAGATAAGGACTTTTTTACATGTTCCCGTTGACTTCATAACCTATCCTATTAAGGGGGGCTGACCATTTACCAACGGGCACCACAGTATCAGTAATCTCACCATTTGCCGACAGGCATGACAGTATCAGAGGAACAGGAAGAGGTAGAACCGGAACTAGTTGATATTCTTGAAGAGACCACATAGAGATCAACAGCTGTAGTTGCTGGAACCACATATGTGAATAGCTGGGGTGTCAATGTTGTATTGTATTGTGGGCTCGATGTGCAGGGTCCACAATCTAACCTAACCTGTATTGCGCGTTGATTACAACAGGCGCCACAGTATCAGAGGAGCTGGAGGAGGTAGAATCGGAACTAGTGGAGAAGGGTTTGGCAGCAGAGCTGGCGGACACGAAAGGCAAGCGATCGAACGAGTTGAAGGGCTTGAACGACGATCCAGAGTTCGGTCTCGGAATGGCACCAGTACGATACTTCCTACTTTTTTATAACTATGATTCATTAGAAGTTCGAGGCTCAGAAAGATTTTGTTCGTTTGAGAAGATATTGCGTCCTTTGGTCTTCCACGGTCCACCTCGTCACTATAAATTGAGAGAATATACGGATCTTGGTCTTCTTCGGTCTCAATCATTGTTATAGTAGATACTGATGATTAAGAGAAGAAACAAACGCCTCGTTGTCTTCAATCATGCAATGTACTACAAAATAGGACAGCGACGCCTGCGCGTCGGAAGTTTCGACGGCTGGAACCATGAGAGCGGAAGCAATCTCCCCACGCGAAATCTCTATGGACGCTCCACATGGGGGAACTTCCTTTTCTTCTCCTGAAGATAGAGTTACGCTTACGGAAAGGTGATGAGCGGAACTGAAGTAGAAATACATATTCATCCTATTCGCTGATGCTGTTCTTAATAACGGCAACTAGAAAGAGATAAGTTTTTTTTATTGCGTGTGAACGTTCGTTGAAAACGTCTTCATATTCAAACGTTACTATACTTACCAGCATAAGGACATGATCCGTGGCTGCTTTTGGTTATACTTGATAGTATATGAGCACTCGGCTTCTTGCTGTTTCATACGAAAGGTACAGGGTGGCTGGACGGCCTTTATAACGTTAGAAGAGACGTAGAACGAGGTATCATGACATGACATCTTCTAAGTTTTAAAAAGCGATGGCAGAGGATGCGTCTACCGTTGCGAGTTCATCTGGACGCGAGATGTATCGCGAACAATCGGCAAACATTCTGTCGGCAGACGGATCTACAGCGACAGTTAAGGCTCCCTAATGTGTGATCTTCCGAGACATCCTGGACAGGCTTCTGAAGGGGAAAATGTATTAGGATGTATCAAGAAGCAGAAGGCTGAGCTCCTAGGGGAAATGTATTAGTGTGCCGCTACGTACTGCCTCAAGTATTAGTATCGCAAGACGAGCTAGGGCGAACTCTAAGACAGGAAGGCCCTCTCCGTTGCAAGTACAGCAGCAGCACTTGAGTGTGCTCACGCAAGCCTTCACGCTCACCTTTCTCGCAGAATGGGGAGACCGGAGCCAAATCGCAACGATAGCATTTATGATTTAAACCTTGAACTTCTAAGGTCTACATGCTTATATCAGGATCATAGGATGATAATTTCTTGTTCATGAACCTCTAACTATGTACTCATTCTGACTTCTCTTCATTATGAAAGTAGCAGCTCTTCTTTGTCCTTAGGGAGAACAAAAATATGAGAGCATCGTTCTAAAGAGTAGAAAATGTTGCAAAGTGCTTCATTAACCTTTTTCTATTTGTCAGGCTTCTACTTTTTCTGTTCGTCAGTCTACTCTACAGCTCTCGTCTTCGTTCATACTTGTGGCCGCCGCTCAAAATCCGTATGGGGTCACAGTTGGCGCGATAATAGGCCATGCGATGTGCACGGGGTTGGCAGTGATAGGAGGCAAGATTCTTGCGACATCGATTACAGAGAGGCAAGTCGCTCTGTCTGGTGGCGTTCTGTTCTACGTCTTTGCGCTTTATTCCATATGGATGGGAGTGCAGGACTAAGAATTCTGCATAGTCGTAATTAAGTACTTAGTAGCTGATTGTAATTAACTAGTAGTAGAACAAGAAAGGACGAATGAACTTTGGGAGATTTTGTCCTTACTAAGTATAATTGAGGTTTTTGTTACTTATGCACACGATAGGCAATTTCTTTGTTGTTTTGATGTGAACCGTCTATGAACGATTGGATCCAGAAGTGCCTTAGGCTGGGGGTACATGCGCAAGTAGTGTGTATAGCCGGTATAGTTATCAGGAATTGGCCTGGATGATTGTGGACGCAGTGGGCACCTACATGAGTTTTGCTCTAGTAGAAGTAGCTCCCTGCACTTTCGCTTACCTCAAGGTTTGTCCAGAGCTGCCAGTGTCACAGAAACACTGTCAGACCACGTCTCTACGGTCACTATGAAAGGTGATAACAGGGACATTAGCATGCATTACTTATGCACACGATAGGCAATTTCTTTGTCGAATACTTGTAAAAACTCGTACGAGGTATGAATATTACAGATAGACGTCCATTTCTTACTTTCAGTCAATCAATCCAAAACTTTCAATTTCAATTGCAATGCGTGAATGAGCTGAGTGTGCTGCTCTTAGGAATAGGGTCTCGCTGCAAGAAGCTTGCCTGATTGATATCAGATCAAGATTTTTGGCGCGACTGCGCATGAGCTGCTAAAAACCGCACTGGATCACAGAGTGCGGACGAATTATGAATCGCATAGGACCAGGAGCTTCCTCCATAGATGTTCGCTATAGGAGGTGGATTTGAACTACTACTACAGGCAGGAAGGCTCCGATAGTTTTTCAACAATTGTGCATTTAAGTTTTTCTACAATTACTGGCTTCAAAGTTTGTTTGGATACCTGTATAAAAAGGATTCACGACCAGAGTTGATATTTTTTCGTGTAGATACAATTAGCGCTAACGCCGAAATAGATATTGTCTATCAAGAGCTGCACCATGAACATTATGTTGCGGTATCCCGCCGCCACAAATCTTGAAAACGGTACCATGGATAAATGTGCATGCATTTATAAATCGCCAGAATGTACTAGCGATAGATCGTGATAACGCTCGTTTTGGAATTCCATGTGTTCGACTTTTGAGAGAGAAAATGGTCTTGCGATGCCTTGAGTTTGTGCTTTATCGAAGATAGTATTTTTCATGTGACTGAAGAAGTGGCTGTCAGTATCAGGACAAAACGAGTTGAGAAGTGGAAACCGGATATTGAGGTAATCGTACCGATAAAAGTAAGTATTTGTGGTCGTTAGGCGTTATGGGAAGGTAGCTCTTATGCTTTTCTATCTTCATAAGAAGTCAGTAAGTGTTGTTATTTTTTCATAATCAGGATTCATTATCGTTCTACTTCTATCAGGAGTTGGGAGTTTTTGTTGTATTACGACTTCTTGACAAGAACGAGAGTAGTGCAAATTACAAGTAGAGCACTGCGAATTACAAGCAGGGCCTAGCTCTGAACAAGTAGTGCAATTACTCTCCGAAATATACGAGCTATGAAGATTAAGATCCTTATTTATATCAGTTACTACAAGTTCAAGCTCTCAAAATTTTCACAGGGACCGAAAAGGATGGTCGTCGTGATCACATTCATTACTGTTTTTGGTTACAGGGAGGTCTCTTTGTTGAGTAATTTGAAAATCGTTGGACAGCTCTTTTGTTCTTTCCCAAACAGGCATGCGCTTTTTCCGAGTTGTGAAGTCCCTCCCATTGTAAATGGATATAGTCCACCCTTTTTTTATTGGTTCTTCCGAAGCAAGACTCAGGCTGACTTAGTTTAGTTTGTCCCTCCACTTATACTTCAAATTCGACATGAAGAACATGATTAGCAACCTCGTGTTAGTATTTCTTTTGAGCAAGAATGTGCTATCGGTAGCTTGACACACGACGCCATATGTTGCGAATAAAATGTTCCGAAGTAGGTACTTGTTGCACATCTTTTTCAAGTGAATGCTCTATGCTTTGTAAGTACTTCCTTGCTTGAAAAGTGAACCATCTCTACGAAAATGCGCGATACCGAGACGGAGCACCACGTGTTAGGGGGCGAGGCAGCCCTCTCGCCAAGCACCGGGTATTATACGGTGGAAACGGAAGCGAATTTCGGCGGTATTATTTCCGATCTGGTAGCGACGCTGAGCGGTGGAGCACTTGGAGGAGACGAGCTCAGTGTTGGTAGTACAAGAGAATATAGTACATCGGTAACGACGGGTCACCAATCGAAGCGTAACTGGCGAGACCGAAGCAGTTGGGGTGTCGAATATACTCTGAGCAGTAGCAGGGATAGACCTGATACTGTTCCAGTACAGTCGTCTGCGGAAGGCCCGGCTGTCCCGGAAGCAGGCGACAATGCTGTGCAATTGGCAGAAATTGGCCGAGACAATCAACAGGTGGCGCAGGTTGAGGTCATTGACGAGGCTATTCTTGATAGAGGTTCATCTTCTGCAGATGACCGTACAACAACTCTACTTGGTACAACTACTGTTAGTAGGCCAACATCATCTCCTGCAAGAACATCAGGTGGTGAGCAGAAACCTCTTGAGCAGAAGTCGCTTGCGGAGCTTGCACTAGCACATCCTCTGACTCCAGCTTCCTCGAGCACGTCTCAGAGGGTCGGATTTCCGACGATATCGACAGGTAGTCCTCCACCTTGCACGGCTTCAGCAGCAATTTTTCGACCATGGGACGAGGGCCACGGGTGCGTCGCGCATTGCGCGTCGGAGTTTTCGTTACCCATAGCTCTCTTGCTGCTCGCGATCGGCCGCTTGTGGGTGCGTCGGAAGCGCGATCGCTTCTTGCTACGCATCAGAGATCGCGAAAATCTTCATTACTACCAGGTCTTTGCGCTCCTTCAAATTGTCTTGTTGCTCCCGCTGCTGTCGGGGTCGGCGCTTGGGCCAGTACTGGACGACCAGGATGCCGTGATTGGAGGAGGCGTCGGTCTTTTCGCGGTCTTAGCGTATACGCTATTCTTCCTGATTTCCTTCGTACTAACGCAGCGTGCTGCAGCGAGCACGTTTCTGTGGGGTTTAGCGTGTGCAGCACGATTTGCCCTACTTAATCGCTCCTTAGCCGCGGCCTGGCAGCTGAGCACCGAGTCGTCGATTTTCTCCGCACTATCGGTTCTGCAGCTTTTGCAGTTATCCGGGGATTTCGTAGCCTCAATTCAGGCTCTCGCAACCTTTGGCCTCTTGCTCGGAACGAAGCTAGGACTCCTTGCCGGCCGTCGCACGCGCACAGCCTCCTTAGCACAGCTGTTGCTGGAGTCGGGTCAGAACGCCACAGACCTCCACTCGCTAGCTGAATTGGAAAAGGAGCTAACCAACAGGATCGATTCTAACCTGTCTCCGGAGGAAGAAGCGGGACTCTTCGGCAGAATCTCCTTCAACTGGTTCACACCAGTCGTGCGGTTTTGCTACGCGAAACAGCAACAAGGAGAACAACTGCAAATGGAACAGGTACTAAGGCTTGGTTGAAAGTGAGACTGAAGAAGGTTCTAAGACTTAGTTGAAAGTGAGAGCAGGTACTAAGACAAGTGATGCGACTTTTACAAGAACTTGTTGTCAGGATAATGACATGATATAATACACCAATCTTTTTCATGTCTTTTCAACGCAAACTCCTCTCTTTTTAGAAGTTCACAAACATTTTTGTTATTCTCTCAAGCCAAAAATGTTGAACATGATTCACTTATTACACCAGGTCCCGCCACTCCCTGCAGAGGATTTGTGCCATGTGCATTACCTGCGGTTAAAGCGCGAGTGGGAGAAGGAGCTGCGAGAGTATGGCGCCAATGGCTCGTTAACGCACGCGCTAACGCGCACGTTTGCCACAGAGGCGCTCTTCGGCTGGCAGGGTGTGTTGAAGTTGGTTTCGGACTTGATGCATTTCCTAAATCCGTTCTTACTGAACACGCTGTTGAAGTATCTGCAGGACGATTCGACGAAGAACGACAGTCTCAAGGGCTGGCTGCTGGCTGTGGCGATGTGCTTGACGTCCCTGTGGCAGGCGATCTGCTTGACGCACTACTTCCAGATCGGCTACCGGTGCGCGATGCACGTGCGGTCTGCGCTGATTATGCTCGTCTTTCAGAAGAGTCTCAAGCTCGTTCCCGGAGCATTTGCTGACGAGAAAGAAGCATCAGCCGGAGGAGGGAGTACCTCTGTGAGCGGACCGGCGCAACAAGTGACCGCAGCTCAGCTAGGGAGCGGTCCGCGGTCGAGCTGGGTGCAGAAGCTTCTAGCGGCATTTCTGCCGGAAAAGCCGGGGAAATCGGACTACGAGGGCAGTGTAGGGCAGATTATGAACTTAGTCACTGCCGACACGGATCGTTTTAGTCTGCTGATGCCGTATTTGAACTTGCTGTGGAGTGCGCCACTGCAACTTTTCCTCTGCTTTTTCTTCCTCGCGTACTACGTCGGCTGGGCCACAATAGGCGGGCTCATCGTGATGGGCATCTCGTTCGTGATCAGTAGCCAGGTGCAGCAGCGGGCACAGGCACTGCAGCGTGACGTCATGAAGGCCAAGGACGAACGCCTCAAGATCCAGAACGAACTTCTGAACGCGATCAAGATGGTGAAAATCTACGGTTGGGAGTTCCAGTTGCGCGACCGCGTCAGGGAGATCCGCGATCGAGAGCTCTTCCTGCAGAAACGGGTCCGGCAGTGGAGCGGCATCCAGTGGCTCCAGTTCACGATTGCGCCAGGATTCGTCGGCGCAGCGACTTTCTACATCCACTGCATCGTCTTTGGCCGCGAACTAGACCCCGCAACGGCGTTCACCTCGCTCGCCCTCTTCAGTGTGATTGGGTTCCCGCTGGGGGTACTGCCGATGCTTCTGCAGTGGCTGATCCAGTCGCAGGTGGCAGTGATCCGGCTAGAGGCCTTTTTGAAGAAGCCAGAAGTACAGGGCACTGTGGGAGCGGACAGTCCTGCTCAACAGACGACGAATTCTCTTTCTCCTGGTGCACTTGGCGGAGGCGAAGGAGGAGGAGCAAGAACATCATTTCCTGAAGGAACAGGCTTGACGCATGTGCCTGCACTTGCGCAGACTACCCAGACGGGGGTCGACGAAGACTATGCGAGCACACCGGTTAGGAGTCCGCGAGCGACCCGAACAGCCGGCTCCCTGAGTATCCCGGTGAGTCCGCGTAATGCTGCAGTGACGAAGAGACGAGAGGCACTGTTGCAGAGAAGCTTGCTGTTGAGTACCGCAAACGAGCAAAAACGAGAGGACCCTTTGTTTCGCATGGACCACGCCGAAGCGGAGGGCGCTTTGTTGCCTGGCGGACCGTACCCAGTGGCGCGAAACAACGAGACGGAACTCGCCAGTTCGGCCGACCTGTCACCACGGTCCGTCGCCAGTACGGCAAGCACGGCTGCGGGCTCAACAGTTGCTCCTGCTAATCCTCGCAACCAAGCTACCAACGCTCCAGCGAAAACCATAAAACTACCAGCAGTCGAAGCCTCTCATCCTACAGGAATCCTGTTGTCACCGCCTTCTCAGGCTTTTGGACCAGTAGCGGTTGAATACGAGTGGAATTCGCTCACATGGCCGAACGGCGTCAAATTCCTCGAAAATCCTGCTGCTACGGTCGCTACATCGAAAGTAGATGTCCGCAATGGCAATGTTGCTACTACTATAGCATCATCAAAAGGACCTCAAGAGGGAAAGTTCCACTTTCGTATGGGAGAGCTAATCGCAGTGGTGGGTCCCACAGGAGCCGGGAAGACGGGTTTCATAACGGGTTTACTTGGAGAACTCTCAAACGGTTCGGGTGTGGAGAAGAATGTGATTCGAGGTCGTGGCGTGCGCTACTGCGCACAGGCGCCGTGGGTGTGCAATAAGACCTTGCGAGAAAATGTGACGTGGGGAGCTGCTTCTTCTTCTTCTTCTTCAGGGGCGGTTGCCAATAAAGACACTGGTGCGGACGCGGCTACTGAGCGCAACTATCAAGATACGCTGTTTTGTTCCGCGTTATTGCCGGATTTGGATGTGTTGCCAGACGGGGACGACACCCAAATAGGCGACCGAGGGGTGACGCTTTCCGGCGGGCAGAAGGCTAGGGTCGCAATCGCGCGTGCCATCTACGACGTGAACGACGCAGACGTGTTCATCTTCGACGACGTGCTTTCGGCGGTAGATTCGCACGTAGCGGCGCACTTGCGGACAGAGGTCTTCCGGGGTCGCTTGCGGCCAAAGTGCGTGCTGTTGGCGACGCACGACGAGAATACGGTGCGTTTGGCAGATCGCATCGTCCACATCGGACGCCCGAAAGCAGTTGTGGCTGCTGCTGACGCACCGGGTAATACGATGCCGTACAGTGGTGCGAACGGCAGTGCGAACGGCAGTGAACCAGCTACGAGCGGTGCGATGCCGCAGTTGGTCGCCGAAGCGCGGATCTTCGACAGCTACGAAGCCTACCGTGCTGCGGTGCCGCAGGACAGCTCCGAGTCAAACGAGGACTCAGACGAGGCGAGCAGTGACGAGGGGGTCGACGACGGGGAGACGGCACTGCAGCTGGGTCCAGCGGTGACCCGCGGCCTCAGCAACGCGTCCTCCGGTGGCAGCCACCGCGCGAAGTCTCGGACGAAAAGCAATGAAAGTGCTGGCAAGGGGAAGGACGCAGGTGCAAGCCCGAAGGAGACAACGACTAAGTCTCCAAATGGGACTAGTGTTGGAGAGAACACTAAAGCTGGTGGTGGTGTACAACCAGGCTCCTCTAAATCGGCAGCGGCGCCGAGCAAGGAGGAAGAACGCGAAAAGGGCTCCGTCTCCTTCGATTGCTACGTCTATTATCTCCGCGCAATGGGAGGGTGGAAGTGGATTACGATGTACTTCATCGCGCTGGTCTGTTCCGAATCTTCCACAGTGTTGAGTAATACTTGGATCGGGCACTGGAGCGACTCCGTAGGGCAAATGAGCAGCGCTTCTGGTCTTTCGGTTTATTGCGGCATTTTGATTTGCGGTACGTTCTTTCTCTTCTGCTTCATCGTATATCGCGTCATCATGGGCCAGAACGCAGCTCGGAAACTCCATATGGACTGCCAGACTGCAGTACTCAGAGCGAAAATGAGCTGGCTAGACGTTACGCCAGTAGGGCGAATCTTAAATCGCTTTGCGGAAGATACCGTGATCATCGATAACAACTTGGCGACTACTGTGTCCTTGAATTGCCAGTGGCTCTATCGACTTACCGCCATCTTCGTGCTCGCAAGCAGAGTTAGCCTATGGACCCTGGCACTCTTTGTCCCAATTTGGATGCTATTCTTGCAGACGCAAAGGTATTATAAACATCTAGGACAGCCCTCCACTTTCATATTTTACTGTTTCGTGGCGACGTAGAAACAAGGAAGTGTGATGAAGATGATATTCCAATAGCGGTATATGAAACAGTTGATTTGAAAGATGGCTTATACTTAATCGTTAAATTTAACAACACATCAACATCAACAGGTTCTACATCCCTTCTGCACGCGACTTGCGAAGACTGGATACGGTGAATAAGAGCCCGATTTTCTCTCATTTCGCGGAGACGCTGATCGGCCTCTCCACGATTCGCGTACATCGCCTCGAAAAGGTCGCGTCTAAGCTTAATGTCGAGAAGCTGCAGCGCCAGTTGCAAGTGTATTTTCTGGCGAATTGTGCCAATCGTTGGCTGTCTTTGCGCATGCAGTTGACTGGCACGATGTTGGTCAGCGGCGTGTGCTTTTTCGCAATCGCTATGCGGTCCTACCTAGTTGCTGGCGTAGTCGGCCTCGCAATCATGTACTCCCTGAAATTGACCGATACCTTGAACGCGTTGAACCGCGAGTCCGCAGACCTGGAAACGCAGATGATATCGGTCGAACGTCTCCGCCAATACGTGGAGCAAGTGCCGTCCGAAGCGCCACTGGAAACGGAGGAGGACTCGTCAATAGTCCTCAACGGTCCGGGAGGCAGTGAGCAGAGCTGGCCGTCGGCTGGACGTGTGGAGTTCCAGAACGTTTCCTTGCGGTACCGCGACGAGCTGCCCTTAGTTTTGCGAAACGTGACGTTGTCAGTGCCAGCTGGCACATCTCTCGGCATTTGCGGTCGAACCGGTAGTGGCAAGAGCTCTCTTTTGCTGTCGTTGATGCGCATGGTGGAGCCTGTGGCGCCGGACTCGGTGCAGAAGATCGATGGCCGCGACATCTCACGACTGGGACTGCACTACCTGCGCAAGAGCCTGATGATCATCCCGCAGGACCCGGTGATTTTCAGCGGGACAGTCAGGTTCAATTTGGACCCATTCAAGGAGTCCTCGGATGAGGAGATGCTTTCGGCACTGGAACTAGCGCAGTTAACCAGCAAACTAGGGACAAATCTAGACGCCGAAGTAGCGGAAGGGGGCGGCAATTTCTCACACGGTGAGAAGCAGTTGTTGGCGCTGGCAAGAGCGATCTTGCGGTATTCTTATTGTGAATTTGAATGTTCTTTCGTGTGTACTTATGCAATTTCAATAATTATATAGCCAACGTAGTCTTCTACTTGTTGTTCTTTCTACAAGTATTCACTCTCGATACATGATCTCAATGTGATTCCAATTTGTGCCAATTTCACTCTTTGAACTTCTTCGTTTGAAGATGTAACAAACTTTAACTCAATTCCATCTCCACAGGAAGCCGAAGGGCGGCAACGGTTTTCATGGCATTTTGTTGCTGGATGAGGCTACGTCAGCCTTGGACCCCGAGTTGGACCGAACGATTCAGAGTGTCCTTCGTTCACACTTCGCTCGCAGCACTATTGTTACGATTGCACACCGCATCAGCACGATTCTGGACTATGATGCAGTGGCGGTGCTCGAGAACGGACGGGTGGTCGAATACGGTGAACCGAAGAAACTGCTGCGAAAAGGAACTGCGAGCGGCAAATTTGCAGCATTAGCAGCCGGCGCAACAGGATCCGGATCCACGACAGCGTCGTCAGGAGCTTTGAGCACACTGGGCTGATGCGCTAGATTTAAGGAATTTGAGATATTGACCAGCGAACAAAAGTTATGAAATCCCTATGACTACCACGTTCTCGCACAACCAAAAATTTTTAATTCGAAAAATTTAACGACAGGGATCCGAAATTAAAAGTTAGTATGATTAACACAGATCGATACCTTTCATCTCCTCCCAGTGCATTTGTAATCCACCTTAACCCGCCCAGCGGCAAATAGCGACAAATGAAACACTCATCTTAGACTTTCTTTCAGCTGATTGTGGTTTTTTTTCAGCACCGGTTTCGACTTACCGATAGTCCCTGTGCTGATAATATATCACTACGATAGTCTAAACATTGAAATTCAAATTTCACTCCGAGATCCCCTTCCAGCGAAATCTAGTGACGCAGGTTCTTCGTTCTATTTTTCAACTATATCAGCTAAACTACGTCTACGACTAGATGAACAAAATCGTCAGTGCTTATTTAAGTAATTTGTAGTTCACGACATCAATAGAAATACTGTGGCATACAAGAATTACTGTGAAAGCAGAAAAGAAATACTGGGGCATACAAGAGTTACTGTGAAAGCAGTCGGTGTGAGTGGTCATCGAAGAAGCAGGTCTCTTCGCAAGGGGGTAAAAAAATCTGTGCCAACATTGTCGAGTTTTTTTGTCTGTGCATAACGATTGTTCGAAAGTACTGAAGACGTAACACGGTAGTTAACGGTGAACCTGTGGCTGCGTATACGGGTCCACAGATAGTGGACCCAGCCACAGGTTCACCGTTAACTTCACTCAAGTGATTTTTAATCACTTGAGTGAACTCATCCAATTGGTGAGTCGCTATCACTCACTACAGTACTTCATCATTTGTTGTGGCATAAGTGTCAACTGTGGTAATAAAAGTGATTTGCGTTCTTGAATGTTTGTATCTAGCGTTTCCTCAATGCAAATCATGGGCATGCGTCGCTATATCTCATTTTCTTAGAATGGTACTAAAGACTTTGTGTGCAGAATACCTATGTTGTGGACTGTTACATGTTGACCGCTTTAAGAATGATGAAACTCCGCGCAGGTGAAGACTGTGTGGCACAAGCTTCAAAAAGGCAAGTTTTCGAAATTTTTCGGAGACTCCGTTTTTCGAAATTTTCCTGGTGGCACCGAAGTCTTCATCAAAGCAGATCATATTAGTCGTCGGTGCAGAGAGAGCCAACAAATTTGCAGATTGGTCAATATGCTAGGCTGAATCTGTTGTAGGTGAGTAGCCAAGCCCATTGCTGCTTTCTGCGTCGGTTGGCATGAAGGCCAATATGCGATAGGTGTGGAAACCCCAGTAGTTTTCTAGTAAAATAGTTGGTAACCCCAAGAAAAACTGTAAAACTCTCGAAATTTTGCACCAGTTATTTTCTATCTTGCAGTTGTTGTAGATTCGGTCTTTACAACTGCAACCACTGCTATCCATTAGTGAGAGCGTCCATGAATTTCTATATGTCGCCTGGTAGTTCTTCTCAAGTTGCATCGTATTGTCTTCAACACAGTCATGATATGAAAAATGGCTCCCTGTTCTTCCGTGATTCTACTAGACTTGGCTTCGACCGCGACTCGTTTAGAGCTGTGCGGAAAGGACAAGGATGGTGAGCATTTCGTGTTTTGTGAACACAATGATGCGGCCAGGGCCACTGAAGAGGAGACTGTTGTATGATGCTACTCAGGATTGAGAACATTCGAAAAAAATGGTTGGTTCTCAATGTCGTTCCACCTAAATAAGAAGGGCCCAAAGAAGGGAAACGAAACGATATTGATTCCCCTGTGATCGACATTTTTCTCAATGAGTGCAAGCATTCAACTGTGGCCCTTCGCGGCAGTGTGCGCCATTTACGATGGAGTCTTGCAGCCAGTCGCCGGGCGCCTGCACAGCTGTTCGCTATTTTTCTAGTTCCCAATGAGAAGCTGGAAGATGTGCATGAAGAAAGGGAACAACAACAAGTAGGAACGACTAGCGGGAGAAGAAGTACTAGTGGTGTGTCCTCAGATCTGCATAGCCAGAATGAGGAGATAAAAAGAGAAACGAGGAAGCAAGAACTGGTGAGTGCCCACTGTTAAGGGGTCTCTCCGAATTACATCCCTCATTACCATCCTTGGCTCCTTTTCAAGGGGAAAATAGGCCAAGGATGTTCTGAAGAATGCAACTCCGCAAGCTCTACCACTGTGTAATTGCTGACGAAGAGCCTGAGGAGGACACAGAGGCGCATGGCAGTGGTGAGCCTGAGGAGGAGGATGCAGAGGAGATGCGGAGAAGACAGGAGGAGGACGCAGAGGAGGAGGATGCAGAGGAGATGCGCCTGCTGGAGGACCACGATTTGCTTTCCGAGAATGTAGCTTACAGAGTGGTGGAGAAGACATGGGAAGCGTTTATCCGACTCCATGAAATAGACCTCGTAAATTTTGGCGGAGATCATGCTAGTACTACATTGGAAAAAGACCTCTATTACGAAGGCTTCCCGAAAGCGGTCTGGAGAGCGATTTTGCAGCCGAAAATCGCTTTAGATACGACAATAGCTGAAGTTTTCGTCTACTTTGCACTGTGGGAAAAATTGCTAGATGCGTTTGAGGACAACTTGATGAAAGGCTTGGGTTCTTCTGGTAGTGAGACCGCCACCGCCAAAGCCAGGTCGATGGACAACAACCTTGGTGCTGGCTGTAGGCAGCCTACCATGACCACGACCAGATCCCGATTTTTACACGCTCTACTAACGATTTTGACTTCGACAACCTCTCTGCGAGGACTAAATGTGCATCTAGAACGCATAGGCAATGTTAGTCTGCCGGTCAGGAGTTGTGAAACCGCGGCGCGCACCCTCGCGGCAGCGTTTGCGAAATGGTATCCAGACAGTGCAAGCTTTTGGGCAGTGCCTGGTGGTGAGCATGGTGAGTCTCCTAGACGTGGCGGTCATCATGAGTCTCCTAGACTTGGAGAGCAGTGTCTGACTAGACGTGGAGAGGACGAGATCAAGAGGACTCTGGACAACGAAGATGACGTGAAGGTTACAATCTTCCCGGAAGATATCATGAACAACGCGGAGGTTTATTCCAGGCCTCGGGAAACTTCTAGAAGTGCTAGAGATGGGGATAAGCACTGTGGTGCGTCATCGTCTACAAGAACTCGAGGCGGGAAGAAGATTAGCAACTCCCCATCATCTTCGCGAGCGCCCTCGACGACTGTTTTGAGACTGCACAATGATAACGTCTTCAATTATATTCCTGGTAAGGTCGCTTTCGTGCCATGGAAGGTTTTTGAACCCGAAGAGCACAGCGATGTTGATGTTTCTGTGAACGCAAACCCGGTTGTGGAAGCGGCACCCTCTGCGTCTCCTCCGATGACGTCCCCGATGAGAACAGTTTTTGATGTTAACAACTTTCATGTGTCTGGAGATGCGCCAGGTACTATTTCGGCGTCTCCACAAACGATCTACAACGAGGGCGGTTCGGACGACTATTCGCCGGTCGCTCGCGACGACTTATACAACGATGTAGTTGCACGCCGACAAGTAGTAGATCGTGACACAATCGGAGGATCCAATCGCGCTCGCGAATGTGGGAGAGAGGAAGGATTCTTATGCGGGGAGGAAGGCATGAGCACAGTATCGCTGGCTTTTCGAACTCTAAGCAACTGGAAACAAGGATACGTCCCCCTTCGTCTCATCGAGGCTAAGCATCCAGTCACAGGCGCTTTTTTTATGTCCGAGGTAGTTATTTATTAAAATCACCCCTTTAAGAAAGAATATGAAAGCCCATATTTCATGATGGGTCGTTACTGCGCTTCAGAATGTCCATGTAGGATCTATTTGTGTCAATAGAATCGTCCTGTGTCGATCTGACGGATGGCTATCATGCATCAATGCTTGTGATTTTGTCTTCATTTATCTGGTGAGCAGCGCAGTTTTGAACGCCGTTTTGTTGCAGGAGCCTCCAAATAGTGCAGGCGAATTACCGGAGAGTGACGAAGTGCCAGAGGTACGTCGCCGGGAGCCGTCAGACGAGACGCTTTCCTTCATTAGTAGACTGTCGAAATTGTGGGAAGAGAGTGCAGCGGACGGGTTGTGTGTAGAGAAGGGGGACTCTCGTACAGCTGACGGTGGAGGAAATGCAAAGCCACATTCTTCTGCTGACGGAGGACATGCAAACACGCAAAGCAGGTTAACATCGTTGGAACAGTCAACAAGGGTACGGCTAGTTCCAACCTCAAGTGTGGGCTTTATCCCATTACAAGCTGGAGACTTCAACATGGCTCAGATATTAGAACCTTTTCGCGGTCGTATAGGACCTTCTCGCAATCCTCGTACAATTACAAGTAGTGTACAAGAAGATCAAGGGCGCAACAGCCGCACAAGGTCGTTGATGCAGATTTTCGCTGCTACATTCCATGCATCACCGCCACACTTGCTATTTTTGTGCGAAACCGAAGCACACTTCTGCAGAGTCCTGGGTCGAAGGAGCCGAGGGGGCGACATTGATTTTGCTTGTGAGAGGACGGAAAGACAAAATGCTGACCCAGGGAATTACTTTATTCTTAAGGCTTCCATTGAGGCATGTCCACAACACTATGATCATCCTTGAATCTCCTTTTTCAATTTGATGCCCTGAGTACTGAGAGGAAATTCATGACCCTCATGTTCATAAGTTATGACCCTATGAGGATGTCATAGATTCTTCTCATAGGGTGCTCTTCTCATGTACGCTTCTCATGGGGGTCTCTGGAACATATCAAGGGATGGCGCTTTCAGGGATACGAGGACCACGCTAGCTCTAATATTCGTAGCGAATCTCATTCCATATTCCTGCACATCATCAGCCGAGGGTGGTCGCAGGCAGCTACTCTCTGGGTCGATATGGTCCTAAAATTATGGCTCATCATTGATGTGGTTGGTGATGCAAGTGAAGATGTCTTAGAAAATCTATCTATGGGGTAAAAGACTTGATATGTTGGGTTCGTTTTTGCACAAGCAACAAGCCCGCTGCAGCGCCACATCTTCCTGGACGAGAACATTTATTTTTGTTTGATATCGTTTTTCCTACACCCACTAGTAAGAAAACTACTTATAATGTCTTCTAAGCTATGAAGCTACAGAGCTGAAGCGTGCTTGGGACAATGAGCCGAGACAAAGGACGGGCGGTCGACAAGCTTTACGAGTGTGGTGTCGTAGGATTTTGTTATGGTCTTCAGTGTGGAGTCACCCCTTCTTGATGTTAGAGCATCTCTCGATAGGACATCTCTTCCTTTTCCTCGTACGGACTACAAGTAACCACGCTCAGAGAGGGTGCATCAGGCGCTGCGCGTTCAACTTGCCCGACTAGGAATACTATAAGAGTATGACATCCCATACATAGTATTGCAAGATGATCAAAAGATAAAGATTCCATGCAGATGTGTGCGCTTTCTCGGAGATGGACATACATATTACACGCATCGTTGTGATGTGTCCCAAGCACAGCACATACATATTACACACACTCTCGCTCTCTTTCTCTCTCTAAAGCTGGACGCTTCAGACGTGGAGGGGGCGATGCGCGATGTCCATACTGCGAAGTACGTCAAACGCAAGGATCTTCGAAAGTGTCTGGAGGATTTTTACGACTTGTTGAAACTAGTACTTTGTTAGGCAGAAGCTTTAGTTTAAGTTTGGACGATAGAAGTGTCCTCTTCTCTATGTACGTCAGTGTGCTATCGATTTGAGATATTCTAGGAAGTGTGGTGGTAACATCACTTGAGCGGGCGACATTTGGGACTGAACAGGCGTCCTTAGTTGTAGGATTCCAGCAACTGCATGTACTAGCTAGTTTTAGATTTTAGTTCCTCCTCCTCCAAGATCCGAAGACGGCGAGAAATCTGCTACTTGCTATGGAGTTCGAAGCGGAAAATGGGCAAAGTGTGAGTGGGAGTCCAGGTGGTGGCGTGGCAGTCAGCGGTCAAGGCTTTTCAGGCAAGCTTTCCTTCGATGAGGACGCGGACTTTTGACTGAAATTTTAGTTGCACATGCTAACTTAGGAAAAGCATGCTAACTTAACTTAAAGAATGAATGATCCGACAGGGTTCTGTTTCAATGTAGGCATCTTCTCCTTCTAAACCTAACGAGGAGTAATTTGTTAGGTACAGCACGCGGCTTTTAGACTTCCCACGCGTGTTTCATCTTCTTTCACGAAGATTTACTATAATATGGTGATGAGTCCATGGTAAAAATGACGGTGTCTTTGGCATGGGAACATCGGTTTGTGTCGCCATGAAATTTGGTACTAATCTGTGTTTGCATCGGTCGTACAATCGCAGTGGTGTTAGTATAGGGCATCGGTCTGACATCGGTCTGTTGGCATCGGAAGCGAAGACTGAGTCCGCCATTCCCGTCTAAATAGAATGCAATTAAGGGTCCCATGATACTTGGAATGACACTACCGCCTCACGATCGGCATGTCAGAACTTTACCCGTGCGAATACCTTCCCTCCCTCTTGCCCGTCACCAGTGTGCTTAACTATCTCTAGGGCTCTATTTTTCCACTTTCACATGTTCTGGATCGGATTTATTTGATAATCTAACCTCTTCAAGTGGGTAATTCAAATGTCATAGTTGATTAGGCATACACACATTGTCGTTGATGTTGATGTTCGAATTCAATTAGTTTTTTATTCTCAGTGAGGCGCGACGAGCAGTGACACGGTCACGTCCGCCAAGTTCGGGCTACCGCGCATCGCCACTTGATTGATTGATAGTGCTATCATCACTGTGATAGATCGGCTCTTGGTATCCAATTGACTCTGCATTGTCAAGGCGGTGGTGTGAAAAAGTAACCTGACCTTCACAAACAAGTAGTCATCATTCTTGGTAATATCAAATTTTATCGAATCTTGGGAAGGGGCGTGACGATGGCAACGACTCGCGTTGCCGAGGTGCATGCCAGTAAGGCTTCGCAGCGGGGCGTCCTGGAGAGTGCGTTTTTCAAGTTTCTCTTCCCTCCAACGCTGGAGCAGCCGGAGAGCACTGGGCGATTGGACGTTTTTGGGCACTATGGTCCGGTTGACGACAATGGCTTTCTTCGAGGAGGTGCCGCAGAACGACACAAAGTCTGCGATCACGAGATCAAGAAATTGATCTCCTCTCTCAGTGAGGGGCTACTGTACTCGTCCTAAAGTTTCAAGATTTTACCACATTTGTGGCGTAGAATTGATGTCATTTTTTTACAGTTGACCTTTAATACGACTAGAAAGCAAGAATACTTACTGATTGATTTCATCAACTCAACTTCGATCTTCATTTATCGTACAACAGAGTAAATAGTCACCACGACCACATAGAATTTTAGAAAACGAATGTACACTTTCATTACAGACGCTTTGAAGACAGCCATGGCAGCACGCCACCAACGTGGTTTTACGATGATGCTTCGAGATCGGGTCAGCACGACCACATAGAATTTTAGAGTATGCACACATTCACTTTCACACACCTGGAATCGACAGGTACGAACTTTTCGAGCCGAAGCCTAGGGATACCGTCAAAGTCGTAGTAGACGAAATCCTTCCGAAGGCAATATCCCATTGCTATACTGCAAAAGAGATAAAGAGGCTCATCAGCTCAGTCGCGAAAGACGGAGAAGGCAGGTTACCCTTCCACGAACTGCAGGACATCATTCTCAAAGGTACTACTTTTACTCAGTAATGATCAATTGAGAATCAAAAGAATCTGTTGTAACTACAGACATTCTGCTCTGGAGATGAAAATTACTTGTTGTACCAGAATAAGTACTACCTCGAATAAGTACTACCTCCAAGTACGATCATCATACCAATCAAATCCAAATCTATTATACCATACTTGCAGATCAGAGACGGCGACTGCAGACGTTGGTGCATGGAGGCAGCATTACGAAGGAGCAGAGAAAGCCGATTCCGTTTCAGACCGAGTCCGCGAAGATCCTTACGCGCATCACGCGCAAGAAGAAGCTGATCCCACCACAGGAGTTCAACTACAAGGCCAAGCTATTGAATGGATCAGCGGCATTGATAGCACCAATCGAGATGCAGAACCTGAGCAGCCAGTTGAGCAACAATATCCTCCTGCTGAGAGGAGTAGGCTCGGTCTCGGACAAGTGGGATCGATACTGCGCACTCAGACAGACGGGTATTTTTACATACCGAAAATTTATTTAGTTTAAGTACATACAACTCTTCACTGATGATTTTAGTGCTCGAACTGTGGGTCTATCATCATCTAATTAGGGGCGGTGTGTTTGACTTTATTCGGATTCAGATTATTGTTGTGGAGGAGTTGTAAACAAGTAGTAGTTTCATCTGAGTCTGGAGGACTACGTCATTAAAGAAATTGTTAATTAGTTGGGATGATTTCAATTTCTTCAATCTTATACCTAGACTCAAACTTTCTTTTTTAGGCAAGCAGAGTTATGTTGCGTCTCGGAATACGGGAAACACGAACGCCTACGAAGAAGGAAGCAAGGCTGGAACCGCGGTCAGCGATCTCAAAACCTCTATGCTGCTTACGCGAAACCCACGCGATGCACCAAAGGTGGTCGATTATCCGCCAAAACGTCAGCACTAAGATCATCATTGTCATTGTTCATTTCGCTGCTCTCCTTATAGGAGGTACTACATTATTGGATGGCCTCACAAGTAGACAACAGTAGCTACATAAGAGGTGCCATGACGTGACATCTACTAATATTAAGAGCTTGAAGATATCCCGGGATGTACAAGTGGGTGGGCTTGGATAGTAGCTAGTAGTACTACCATTTCTAGCTAGTAATCAGCGTTCTCGGAACATGTCATTGTACATTCACATTGTATAGAAAATTGTGTTTCTTTTTTTTTGCTTGTTGTAGTGGGAAAATAACTATCTGGTATGGTAAGGACAAATCACAATATTTCATGAATTTAGTTTGATCAGAAATTCACTCAACATCGGCAAACGCCTTAAATATCGAGTAAGGTATGACATTTGGAGCTCCTCTGGAGTTCGTGCACAGAGAAAGAGAATAGAAATTGCATGCACAGCGAAATAACAGAACTTGCATACAACTGGATGACTCACATTACACTTCTTGATCTTTATTTTGCTTCTTGCGTCAATGGTCTCCAAAAACGATCCGTTGGAACCACACAAAACGTAAAAAGAATTCAGACAGCAGAAAGGCAAATGATGGTGGTACTAGGTGATGACTAGAATGTAAAAGTAGTGTGTGATGAGCTCTCTCGACATTCTGGACATACAATCCTCACTGGAAGAAGATCCCTGCAAAGAAATGCAATTGAAGTTCCCTCAAATTTTTCTTCCCTCAAATTGTCAATCCGCATAGATCCGACACCGAATTGAATCCCCAAGATCATCCATCATTTGTATTCACGACTCCGAGCAGATCTGCACTATAACTCTCGTGAAGTCGGTGCGCATGGAATTCTCACGTGATCGAGGTCCGTGAACTTGAGCTTGTAACTAGGTTTGTACTACGAGATCTTTTATGAGTCTTTGCCTACTCTGACATACGCAACTGTGCGATACCCTTACGGAACTACAGTTCTCTGCAAAGTGTTGTGAAAGATTTCGTTTTTCAGAAATGCGTAATTGTGAAGGACGAAGTTGTACCTAATAATTATTTGCTGTAAAAGTAGTTCATCTTCAGAGTGCAGCTGGGTAGTTTACTGACTGCGCTCGTTGAACTACGTATTGAAGTGCTGAAATATTGAAATTTAAGTAGATTTCTGACTGCTCTCGTTGAACTACGGATTGAAGTACTGAAATATTGAAATTTATAAGTAGATTTCTGACTGCTCTCGTTGAACTACGTATTGAAGTGCTGAAATATTGAAATTTATAAGTAGATTTCTGACTGCGCTCGTTGAACTACGTTTTGAAGTACTGAAATATTGAAATTTGTAAGTAGATTTCTTCCTGAACACAAGGTTTGTTAAGCCAGAATGCCGTTAGATTTTCCTCTGTGTGCAGGCGCCGCCGGTGAGCGTCGCGACTCGGGGTTCGAGCATGGCCCGACCACGGCTACTTACCGACTGTCGACGTACAGCAATGCGAGCCGAGGACGCGAGTCAGGCAGTTTGCGATCGGGTTCGACGAAGGTTACCTCCGCAGACCAAGGAGTTGGTGGAGGCGTCGGCTCCTCTCCGTTGCGCCTCGCGTCGCCTGCGCTTAGCTCCCAGCGTACGCCTCTGCGTTCCGCGATGTCCTCGAGGACTACAGGCGACCCGCGCACGCGATCGGCGTCTAGCGTTTGGTTTGTGAATGAACAGCGACAGCCTCTCATCGGGGGTGATGACATTGCAGATGCCGATGGAAACTGTCGCACGAAGAAACCTCGGAGAGATTCGCCTCCACCTCCTCCACGCGGAGATGATAGCAGCACTAGCGGGGACAGCATCAGTACTAGTGGGGACAGCTGCGAGGCGGAGGACAAAGGCAGCCGCACGTCATGGTGGGAATCCATTTTTTCGATCGTAACAACAGCGATTGGTGCGGGTATCGTCACGCTACCCAGTGTCTTCGCAGCCACTGGCTACGTGCCTGCGCTGTTGATTCTCTTCTTCTGCACTGCCGCGAGCATCTATGCAGCGGTGAAAAAAGGCCAAGTCATGGAGCGCATTGAAGATCTCAACGAGGATGGTCTGGATGTCTCCCAGATGGGCGAGCTCACGCAGGTGCTCTTCGGAAAACGCTGGGCTAGTGGTACTTTCTTTTAGCTAGTAAAGATTATGTTTATGAATTTGCTTACCTCGTAATCGCGTATGAAGAGATAAAAGAAGATTGATTCGTCAAATTCGTGGAAATACAGCGCCGTTCCAATTGGCAGCTTGAAGTTTGACTGATAAAGAGAACTTGCTTCTTTAAACGAAGGACTCTTGCTAACAAAAAATAAATGTGTCTTTTCATTTTTAAAGTAAAACAACCGGTTAGTTTTTACCTCTATCCCTAGGCTTATCCCTTCAAACACTAATAATGTCTGTGTTTCTTTTCATTCACCCCCATCCCACTTGGAACACAACAGCGTACAGCAAGTTCTACCACACGTTTATTCTTTTGGTTGGGTGCGTGTTCATGCTGTTGCTGGCTGAGAATTTCGAGATCCTGTTTGACGCAGTGCCCTTCTTTTCCACTGGAGGTTGGATCATTGTCGTGGCTATTGTGCTCACCCTGCTGTGCTGGCTCCGCGATGTGTCCGTCCTAGCAAGGGTGTCGTTCGCCGCGTGGCTCAGCTGTATGGTGGTCATTGTTGTGGTTTTCGCGAACACGCTGATGAGTCCGCGTGCTAGTGGCGACAACGCAGCTCGCGCTTTCGAGTGGCCGGTTTTTACGGAGAGCAAGCCGCTGTTGGCGTGGATGCCAAGTACGGCAATTGTTGGCCGCCAGACGTTTAACTCAGATGCTACAACAGGTGCAACAGGACCCTCAGGAGAGGTGGTGCGTCTGCCGCGGGGGTCTACGACCGCAGTATCGGCCTTATTGGAAGCCGCGGCGGCGGCTCGAGCAGGAGAAGTACCTGGACGAGAGCCAGACCGTTTCTCGCGCGCTGCAGAAGCGCCAAAGACCACGCATCCAGGCACAAAGAGTCTCGATAGTTACACCCTGAAAGTGGACTCAACATCAGGAGCTGTGGTAGCACATCTCGGAGAAGTATCTTCAAGCAGACCGACCTCAACATCTGCTACTTCATCTGCTACTTCATCTTCTAACGCACAAATAGAAATAGCTGAAGTGGAAGAAGAACGTGAATCACTCTTGATGCAAGTCCGCTCGCAACCGATGCGCAAGAGTGGGGAACGGTTTCAGTATCCGCAGTGGGTGAAGTGGCAGCAATGTCACTGGGATAACACGTGCCTGGTTACTAAATTAGGCCGCGTTGACTATGTTCAGCCGGTGAGTGTGGATCCGCGCATGTTGGCCCAGCTGGTGAACTCGGAGGCTGGCGTTCTGCCCCAAAATAGACCAGGCAGTAGTCAGCAAGGACCTGCCTCTTCAGGAAGAGCTGCAGCATCGACAGAAGCAGCTCTAGGAGGTGCAGAAGGGAGCAGTGCTAGTCTAGAAGGGGCAACGCTAACTACTAGTGGAGAAGAAACCAGTGAAGAAGAGGCACTGGGAGGTGCTGGACTCGAGACTGGTACTATGGTTGAGACTGTCAGAGATCACACTTCTCTTTTTGATGCGTCATTGCCTGGGGATTACGAGGCATCCAGCAAGTGGTTGGCGCGATTTGCGTTTCCGAAGGACGAGACCTTGCCCTTGGAGCCAGTGACGTGGCAGCAGGGAGTGTCAAATGTGCAGGCTCAGCTCCGGGCGCTTCTACCTGGCGCGGCTACTTCTGGGAGAGGATACCCTGGCGCTGCTTTCGTCTTGGAACGACCGACTACAACTGGTGGAGTCATTGCTGGTGGACTCATTGCAGAGCAGACTCCTGCGCACGCGCCGCACATTCCTGCCAGTGGAGCGGTTTCCTCGGCACCAGCAACACCATTCAGAGCACAAGAAGCACAATCACCAACAGGGTCTAGAAGTACCGCTGTTGTTGCTGCGGCGAAGCAGCCAGCTGCGCCAGTATCTGCGAGCACGTCATTACGGCAGGAGAGCACGGCGCAAGCCGCAATGCCGCCAACTAGTCTGTACTTCTTCGAACTGAAGAGTGAGGGCGCAGTGTGCGAGTTGACTTGGCGTTGGCATCTTGGTGCAGCTTCTAAGCCCAAGGTGTCCGCTGCAAGGATTCAACGGCCAGCCCAAGCTTTCCTCTTCTTGCGATTCTCAGTGCCTAAGGAACAGGCTAGCACAACTTCGCAACGTAAGGGTGTCGAATCGGCATTGAAGAAGTGGTGCGTGCAAAGTCGTAGTACTAGGAGTCAGACGCGTGTCGAGAGAAAAGTTGCGGGTCAGATGACGGTACAGGAGCTCGCCGCTCGCTTGCCAGCGATTCTCGCAGGTTTGCGTACTTCATCTTCTAGTACTTCTGGAAATGCGAATGTGAATGCCAATGTCATGGCAACCTCTGACTTGCTTCAAGTAGAGAGCAGAGCCGTTATCTACCATCTGGTGGAGAATGAGAGGAAAGAGGAAGATTCTGCAGAGAATTCAACTGCACCTCCTAGTTCTGCAGAGAATTCAACTGCACCAGCCGCCGCAACGGAAGGAGGTGCAAACGCCTCTACTACAACAGGTGGACCAGCCGCCGCAACGGAAGGAGGTGCTGCAAACACCTCTACTACAACAGGTGGACGAGTGCAACAGCCGGCATCGAAGGATAGCGCAGCTTCACAAACAGAGCAAAAAGTCGAGCTTTCCAAGAGCGATACTCATGAGAGACGTTGGTCCTTGGTGCCGCGTCAAGACCGTTTTCGACAGCGAAACAGCAACAGCACGCCACAATCGAGGACGCCTGAGTTTTTCAGAGAATTGGTAGATTCCTGTGGATTCACCGGTTCTCGGGGGCAGAAGCGTTGCGCATTGCGTGCTGGAAAAGCCGGACTCTGGTTAGCGGCTCCAGTAGAACATGAAGAGGACGGAGGTGAGCGAGTAGTGAAAGAAGAACTTTTCTATGCACCTTTCCCAGAAGAAGAGGCTCTTACGACTTCATCGACTTCATCGACCTCGTCTGGAGAAGGGACCGCATCGTCTTCACCTGCTGCTAAAGCACGTGCAGAATTCTTAGCGTTCGTAGCTGATATGACGACTCAGCAGCAGCAGTTGTCCAGCACCCCATCTAGTACGTCTACTGCCTCATCTTCTACATCGTCCACTGCCTCATCTTCTACAGCGTTTGTAGCTGGGATGACATCTTCTACATCTTCCACTTCTGATGTTTCTGATGCTGGAGGTGCTTTCACTCGCTTGCGGGCTTTTTTGCTTTCGGAACTGCGCAAAGTAGTGAGCGTTAGCCGAAGCAGTCCTGCTGAGGTCAAGTCCGCCTTACTACAGGGACAGGAAGAAGATGTTGACGAGGAGGATTTTCTGACTACCTTCGAATTTTCGCGTGCTCAGGGGATGTGTTCCTCCGGTCCCTGGTTTTTCCAGGTGCCAGACGTTGTTTTGGCTTCGATTAACCGCTTCCTAGAGAAAATGCGAACCGTTGCACTGTCTAGGCGAAATCAGGCTTGGCGCACTTTGTGTGCTGATGTTGTCAAAGGTCGCTGGGAGGAGGATCAGGGTGGAGGTGGACCACATGGAGGAGATGCTACTTCTATGCAGGACGATCAGGTTGCTGAAGAAGAAGAGGTTGAACAGGCTAGCGGCCCCAGCGGGAGCCCAAGTACTTCGTGCGCACGAGGTGGATCTTTGTCTCGTAGTTGTTCTGAAGCAAGTAGCCTTGCAGGTGCGGGGAAGAATGGTAGAGGCGTTGCTGGAGGTGTTGGTAATGGACAGGAGGCTTCGAGTTCGCCAGAGGAGTTTTTGTCCGATATTGAGGCTGCAGCGAGAAGCAATAGGAGTACCTCTGGGTTGATGGGTCGACGTCGATCGAGTTTGAATGGAGGACTCACAGGCGAGGCGCGGCGTCTCTTCTCGTCGACTGTTAGAAAAGTGAGCTTTTCGAGTCTGCAGTTCTTCCGATCGGAGCCGGTCGGCCACAAGCTGGGATTTTTCGAGACTGCGGACGAAGTAAGGACTCGGTATGAGCAGCAACAGCAAGAAGCACAAGCGGAGGAGCTGGCCGCAGAGGCGGAAGTAGAACGCGCGCAGGCAAGACTCTCGGTAGCACAGGGCAGTGTCGAGGAACCTCAGAGGCGGCGTCTCCAAGAAGACGTTGTGGCAGCAACGAAGAAACTAGCTGCAGCAAGGGAACGTCGTGCACAGCTACAAGAACTACAGCAAGCTTCATCTAGGAGTCTTTCTAACACCCAGGAGAACGAGAATGATCTCTTCTTCCGACCACATGGTGTTCAACAGCAGACGCCATGGCTTTTCCTAGACCAAGAAACAACCGCCAAAACGGGTTGGAGTGCCTTCACTACGGCTTTGTCGTGGATGGTCACGCAGACGAATCGCGTGTTCTTTTCTTTTACCTTTGTGATGATGATCCCCGCACTCTACACGTCGATGGCACAGCCGGAGAAAATCTACTCCTCAGTCTATGTCTCCAGTTGCACGATCATGTTCATCTACCTCGTCGTGGGGCTCTGCGGGTACTATTGTTGTAGATACCTTTAAGCTTGACTATAAGTTTTATAGTTCCTGGATAAAGTACTAAAAGGTAGTTTGAAAAACGAAATGTGGCTGCTAAGATAAAATCCAACCAACTGGAGTACAATTCTCTTGTAAGAACTGAGTGAAATAAGGTATCTCTTTGTCCTCCAAACATAGACTTTGCTCAAACTAAACGAAATAAAGGTACATCACATACGGTCGCAACACCGGTGGTAGCATTATCGAGAGCATGCGACATGAGTACCACAATGAGGTGAATTTAAAACCCGCAGCTTCCTGGATGGGTATCGTGGTGGCGCTGATGATCATCGTGAACGTGTTCATTTCTTTCGCTCTGATCATGAACGGCACACTGCTACACATCGAAATGTACTGGTCCGGAGCCACGCGGCCATCTGAAGTCCGCAGTGGCACTAGCAAGCTGGTTCGCACTCTTGTGGTGTGGCTCGCGGGTTTGGTTGTCTGGTCAGTCCCCTTTTTCACCCAACTAGTCGGATTAGTTGCAGCCTTCGGTTGCGTGTTGACGCAAGTGCCATATCCGCTAGTGGCCTACTCCAGAGCCTACAAGGGTGAAATTGGCATGGGCGAGAAAGTCGTGCACATCGTGCTGTACATTTTCTGTTCTGTGTCGATCGTGTTTGGTGCCGGCGAAGCGATATACGGCTTAGCGACGTCTGGCGTCCAGAGCATGGCAGAAAAGTTCGGCTGTGCCGAACAAGCTGCGATGGAACCTGCGCCAGAAGGGGCCATGCGCTTCTGGACTTTCCTCCTGAATTACCAATTCTTTCAAAGCAGTTGATTCAATTCTAAACTACCCACCAACTACGACAACTTGAGCTTCGGCTCCTCTGCATAACATGGCATAGAGACCTTGTTCCTGGCGACCTTGTTCATTAGATTTAGATATTAAGAAGATAAGAATTTAGAAGCCCATACCTACTAAACTATTTCTATTTGTATTTCTTGCTGATCGAAATATTACCACATAATCGCGGCATCACCAGTGTAAATAAATCCTTCACATGAAGAAGCACTACAATTTATAGCACCTTTTCATACTACAACTCATACAACTACCTGCATGACCTAACAACTTCAACTTTTTCAAACTAGAGCGTCTGCCACTTAAAGAAATAAGTGAACTTCCTCGAAAAACTGAGAAACTATCCTACAAAATAGAAGTTACATAGAGAAGATAGATGAAGATATTTTTAGCCTCAATTTTGGAAGCCAAGAGACCACCTAACTTCATGAAAGGGATGTGTACGAACTTAGGAAACGCAAGCAAGATCAAAGAAGACAGCGTGCATCGTCGTCGGAGAATATTAACAAGGCGAAGTGCAGCAGTATGAGAATATAGAAACACATCCATGCACACGAAGCTATCATGCATGGACCTCGTGAAGCATATTCATATTCATAGAATGAATCATCTGCACCGTGGTTTGTTTCTTCGAAAATTTTGGACATGACACACTACTAGACCTCCGAGTTCGAGTTGTGCAGCCACAGTCAGCACTCGATGACTGTTCCTGCGAAACGAGACGTTGCAAATTGTTAGGCATAGAAGACATGGTTTATTCCAAACGGAAGAGATACAACGGAAGCTAGATAGGAAAGGCACCGCACGACGACTAGGACGAGCTCGACGTCGACGAGCTATGTATTCATTCATGTACGTCATATGCGTTCAATATCTTATGCAGTTTTTTTTGAGACTTCTTGACGAAGGTTCCTAAAGACAGATTAGCTTATAGGGCTTCTGCAGTTTTTGGGTTTTGTTATGTACTTGGAACTCTGTTTCTCTTGGTCTTTCGCGTTTCTTTTGGACTATCGTCTAAAATCTGATAATGCTAGAGTAACTGAGGAGACTATTTATCTGGCATCCTGCCGTTTCTAGATAGTGAAGAATGGAGGTTCCGAGGAGATAGAAGCCACACCTAAAGTTAGAAGATTGAAGCTTGGGAGGTAGAAGATAGAGCAGCCAGATCAAGAAGATACAAAGTCATTAAATGACAGCAGTTGAAGATTTCTTATGCATGCATGAAGATGTCTTAGAAGGTATAGGAATGATCGTTGAGTATACTTAGTGCAATTTATTGTAGTTTCGTCCTATTATGTTAGGATTATCCATTATTTTTTGGTGGCAGTTTGTTTAGGATTTTCGTTTTATGTTGAGACTAGGAAGACCGAGAAGTGATGACGTAGATGTTGGAAAGAGTTTAAAGGATTTGCTTATGAAGTAGTGATTCCCTTGTATGATGATGATCTCTGATGACCTATGATATGCTGATATCCTAAAAATATCCTTGAAGAATTTAGACATGTATGAACAATCCCTCTTCTCATAGATTGTAACGACTCCCAGGCTGCTCATATCGGCGTGCGCGTCGCTGTTCCTTACTTAGAACAACATGTGATGTTGTCCCGTATTTTCCTATTTGTTCTATCGACTAACACTGACTAAAAACACGTAACACGGACTGACACGTGATGAGGGAGACTCAGACCCTGGCTGATCTCGCTGGTGCATACTCAAAAAGTGTTCTTCAAAGAAAAGTTGCTGTTGCCGATGAGCAGGAGCATAGACCCAAGCTCCGATTACCGGCTTGCGCTGTGTTGAGAGAAGAAAATGCAACTACAAGTTCCACCAACAATATTATGAAAAGAAATAGAACGTTTCTTCAAGTGAACCACTCATTCTGCTTGAAGTATTGATTAAAAAAGAAAAAGTCACCGAATCCGAATCTGAAAAATGGAAATTCTAGAGCCACCATTCGGGAAATATGTATGATCTGCGGTTCCTGGAGATATTATGATCTGCGTTGAAATCTTAATGTTGATAGGGGAGGTTGATTTCTTTGCCTAAAAGATTGCGCTAATCGAGTAAATAATTGTCTGATGCTTGTTTCGCACACCTTTTTTCATCTCTCTTCTTCCCAATGTACCAACGAACAGGTGGGTTTGTCGGTTTTGCACACGAGGAGGTTCGTGCACCAGACGGGGGCCCTCCATGAAGCGGTGGGTCCCGCTGTTGCTGGCACCAAGGTCAGTCAGCGAAGATAATGTTAGCATAGCTCTCTCGCTTCATAGTCGTGAATGCTCACCTCTCTGCAGGCGAGCCAATTCCTATCCTATCCTATGCATACAAGATGGCGTCTGAAAATCGTGCTTCCTTCCGACATTAAATATTCTGGAGAGTCTCGTTGGGGTCATCTTCGGATGTGCTTCTGATCTGCACGAGTCATCTCCTGAGACGCGTCCGGTCTTCGTCGACCGCACGCCGCATTTTCTATAGACTACTACCCGCGCAGTGGTCGGCGACAGACAATTATAAGTAGCAGATATCGGAGGACTGATTGGAGTGCCAACTCGGAGTGCCAATAGGTTGCATTTTGTGATGATGCAGGATGTGCAACACATAGTACACAACTACATGCAATGCATGGATCTCGAGTCTCCTTTTGTACCATCTCCGGTGACTTTGTATTTTTTCTCGCATGAGGAGGTGAGCATCGTCGGTCACCTTCGTCATCACATGAGGAGCAACGACATGAACTCCACTGTGACAGTGGTCACCTTCGTTGTCCCATGAGGAGCAACGGCATGAGGAGCAAGAAGAGAGCAGTCGGAGAACCCTAAAGAACCCTTCTAGTGGCACAGAAAGCACGGCTTCCCAGCAATAGTGATTCGTCGGGTTTCGACCCTTCTCACGCCTCATTTCTGGGAGGAAAATCCCCGTGTCGAATGGCAGAGAGTGCCAATCGTAGACGAGAGTGCAGATATCAACCTCCTAGGGTGTAGATGTCTGTTTTCGCAGAAGTAAAAGCGAATGCCGTGACCGCATATCAATCGCTTTGCTGTCGTTTCTGTCCGCGGGACCATCAACAGTCGACAATTTACTCTTATTATCGGCTCACTTCCGTACTTGATCATGTGACGAATGTAGCCTCTAGTTGTACCCGCGCGTACAATCTAGGCACAGAAAGCACGACTTCTCAGCATTTGTTTGGAGCTTTGGCTTCTAACATAACCTGTACTATAGGATTCTGAGAGGAAAATCCCCGTGCCGAATGATAGAAAGTATCAACTGTAGACAGTGAGGCAGACGACTTGCCGTAGTAAGTGGCCTGTTTTCGCAGAAGGTAAAGTTAATGTCGTGAGCACTTAGTGTTGCGTATGTTGGCGCGGCTCAGCCCGCATTCGTATATACTCAATCTGCTAACTCAACGGGGTTTACTCTTCTGATGCCTGTGAGATTCATTCGAACAAGTACGGACTTGAAGACGTCTCCGCGTTTTTTGTGTAGGTTTTTGTTGTTGAAGATATTTATTTTCCTTGGGTTGACCATGATGAATGAATGAATTTCCTTCCTCTGGGTGGCAGCGGCGGGCGCTTACCGGACTGTTCGCAGCACTAGATACCGCGTTCCAAGCACCGGCGCACTCGGTAGTCGACATTCGGTTTGTATCTAGAAATCTGTCGCATGATATGGCATGTTGGTGGTTATGAACAGAGGCTGATGAAAGGCTTAAAGATATGAAAGTTGTGAACGATAGCGAAAGGATTAGGAAAGTGAAGACCTGGCCGATAGTTCTTGCCAACATGTGAAGCGCCCATAGCAGGATGAAAATTATACACTCATTGAATTAATTTCTTGATCTTGTTTATTTCTTTTCCACGACATCCAAAAAAGTCGTGGTCATCACGAGTTTGATTCTGTACAAATATGAGTGACGCAATCGAGAAAGCTGGATTGGTGAAAATATGACTCCGAGACAGATGTCCAAAAGGAAAGAGGTTTAGACAAGTATCAACCCAAGCCAAAAACCGCAAAAAGTAAGGAAGGAAGAAAAACCTGCTAACCAAACACCTTTCATACCCCACGAATGCGAATGGGCACACTACTACTACTACTACTACTACTTCTAAAATTTCTCTGTCTTGTTCTTGTAGTACACTAGCTTCAATTATAAGTTTAAGAAAACTCATGCCACATCTGAATGTGGCATGTTGTTTTCTTTCTGGTGAATTCCCATTTCAAGGAACACAGTCTTCATATGATTCAGCATTCGATTTCCCAGAAGATTCTGCCAGGTACTTCTAAGAAACGTCCACATATCTTCTCTATAAGAAGCAGGGAAACAAAATGCCTTCATCCAGAGTGTTTCGGACGTTCGACGCCGATCAAGACAATACTCTACTGGGAGACGAGTTGGCCGATGCTATTCGTGTACTCGACGTCTCCCAGGACGAACTAGAGGGTGCTCACTCTCATCAAGGAATTCGAGACAGTTTTGTCGGGCAGACCGAATATAGCTTTCCAGGGGTTGCGCGACATGCAGCTCTGTCGTGGTACGAAGGAAGCGGACGACGGGAATTATGAAGATGCCCATGTCTTCATAGTGGTCAACATACAAGTCCGATTACGCAGCTGATTCATCTTCTTTCTTCTGCCAAGGAAGGCATAAAGAAGCCTTCTATTTCTTTGAGTTATACAGTGTTACCCAATTTCTACGGTGATCACGAATGGTCATATCAGGAGCACACACATGAGCATGACATTTTTGAGTTAGTATTATTTGCGAAAGTAAATGAGACTTGTTCGTCTACTATCAGATAGTATCTTCTAATTCCCGGCAGAGGGCTACGAGCAATTTGAGTAGCACTTTGAGGAGAAGATGTTTGGGGTTCCTCTGCTGCACGTAAAGCAGCCTCCGCAAGACTTCGATCTTGGTGTGGTCCGTACACAAGGACACGAAACCCGCGTCGATGAAGGACACGTCGGAGAGAGTGAAGTTGATTTGCTCTCGTCGTCGGTGCCGTCATCGACATCTCCGAGCTCAGGAGCATCTTCGGACTTGGAAATCTTTATGTCGTCTGATGAGGACGAAGATGAAATATTACCACCCGACGTGGACAAAGACTACAACAGAGACGGTCTCGAACGACAGGCTTGGCAGGAGGATGATCCTTGGAGAACGCGTCGACCACCACCTCCAGCAGCTTCCGGACCGCTGCGTGCGCCGAGTCCTCCATCGTGGCGGTTTAGTGGGCGAAATTTCAAAGATGAACAACTCGTCGCTAAAGAGAAGAAAGACCGTTCTTCAGCTCGTCGGGATACTAGACCCGACTTCGAAGAACGGTCTTCAACTCGCCGCTTTTTCTTTGCTCCTGAGCAGGGCGATCATTCACAAGCCGCTGAAGGCAAGTATTTGTTCACGTCGAGCGACGGTTTGGTCGTGCGTCTGATCCCGCCTCCTAATCAGAAGCCTACTTCGATCTCGCCTGGGGCACCTCAGACAGGCATCAAGAATTTCTACGGGGAAGGGAAAAACGCACCGTTTTTGCTCTCGTTGCTACTAGCAGGGACAGATCCGAAAAGGATGGGCTTGTTCGAACTGAAACTGAAGTTAAGAGTAAAATACTATTTACTACTTCTTCCACTGATACTGCCGTTCTTCCTTAGAATCTAGAAGTGTATTTTTATACTCAAGGACCACGACGAATTTGTTTAGTCATCATGAGGAGAATGAGTATGTGTCACTCAGCGACGAGAAGGACTCATCGATGAGTCACTTGAAAGAGTCACTCATCGACTCGTGATACTCCTACCGACTGCCCCCGCTAATAAAGCCAAAGGGCTTCGATGCTAGCGAATTCAATGTGAACAACTTCAAGTCGCCTCTGGAATGGGGAGAAGCGGTGCTGCGCAAGGCTCTTGGATTTACGCTGAGCTGGGATACCTTTCCCTTAGTGAAGGTGAAGGACATCGCAGAAAACGCGGCATCGAATTTATGTTGGGTTCACTTATTCAGATGTTGGTCTCGTCTGAGTTCTGAGTTCTAGGCTCTAACATCTGAGTTCTGAATTATACACATATTTATATATGAGCTGACAGGACGACGATAGCGCCGGCGCTGAATTAGTTTTAGCAGATAGCAGGACCCTTCAGGATACTTGTGGATAGTTGCCCTATTCTCTTTTCTATCTTCCTCTGGTCTTTTTTTTTTCTATTTAAGTCGGCTCCACCACAGATATATATTATATGAGCTCTGAGTTCTAGGCTCAGACAGATTTTGTTTGTTTTGGGGAATATAAAGCACTTCGGTTCATCTCACCTTCATATGAAACAATAAAGATGTTGGTGTTGGACTTGCACTAGGTCTAGGATGTTCATATGTCTATCCGGAAGTGCATTCGAAGCTGCAGGTCGGCGATCTCCTTTTGGTCTTGTTTGGTGGCACACGGATCACAATGACGGCCAAGCTCAAGGGCCAAGACCCCAACAGTTCGGTGCTGCAAGCCACAAACGAGAGAGCTGCCAAATCCGGGTCAGGCAGTGCGAGTTTTGTCTTCATGCACACCATTAAGGCGCGATACAATCGTCCATTTCCAAGGGTCATTCTCTTCGGTTTCTCACTTGGGATTCCGAAGAAATGAAGGGAAGAAATGAATTGTTTTGAGCTCTAACACAAAGAACGAAAACGACTTCCTTCAACTCTCTATGCCCTCAGTTTCCTGGTTCAAGGACCATCATCAGGATGTAGGCTTAAAGTTCGACTCGAAGACGATGACGACGGTGGCGGAAGTCGCTCGAGGCGGATGGGCGGCTAGCGTAGGAATACAAAAGGGCGATCAGTTGTGCATAGTGGGGGAAAAAGCGGTTTTGGGCAAGAGCAAATACAGAGATCTAGTGGTCAAATTAATGCAAGACTACGAGAAGGGGAATGCAGATCGCGGCGCTTCTGATTTGCTCATTCGACGATCTGGCGGATTTCCAAAGTTAAGGAGTACAGATTTAATTGTTGCGACTACTAAATCTTCTAAAAGTCGTACTAGTTATCAAAGATATTGGAAAAAGAAGATAATTGGGCTTCTAAAAGAATCTATCGAAGATATCGGGCTTTCTAGATGCTCATGTTTATCAACACAGAGACTTCACTGAAATGAAATCATGATCATGACGTCGAGCTTGAGTAAGTAGGTACTTCTAGGTTGTGGTTAATATCGGAGCTCTAACTGAAGCAACGATCGACGAAAAAGCAGTCGACGTTTCAAGAGCACTCAGCGACAAGTGGCAAGCCATGGTCAAGGGTACCAGTCCCGGAAAAGCGCTTGTTCTGCCAGCATCTGGCGCGAAGTCGGCGTCCATCATCAGGAAAAAAGTTGTTAGCGATACGGAAGAGTATCAACGACAGAAGCGAGTACTGAGTATGCTGGAAACAGCGAAAAGAGAAGAAGAGGAAAAGGGTCAACAAGGTCAAGCTCAGCAGCAACCGACTCCGCCTCCAAGTCAAGGCCTTTCCGAAGGCCAGCAACCAAGAACTGCGGTGCCGAGTAGCCAAGAACAACAGCAGCCTCCTGCTGCACCTACTGTGCAAAGTCAACAGGGGCCGACTACTCCTGTACAGATTCAGGAGCAGCCTCCTGCCGTGCAGCAGGGTCAACAGCAGACTACTCCTGTACAAAGTCAGCAACAGCAGACGTCGGCACCACCACAGCAGAATCAGCAGACCACTGTCACAAGGACATTAGAAGCAGCGAATGATGTAGCGGCAACAACGACCACTATTATGGGTACCGTCATCGCATCTTTTACAACATCTTTCAGCCAGTTCCTTCTTGGAACAAGCTAAGAGATGTTCTAAAAGACGGGTTGTCGGTGCCTCTAACACCAGCAACCACGTGCAGCAAGTTCAGCAACAGGTGCAGGCACCAGCCTCCTCCGAAAACGCGGGTGCTAGGTCGTCGTCAAGCACAACTAGCGTTGTCCTGGGAGATCCACCAGCCGGTCGAGGTGCTTCGTCAACAGTAACAAGTGTCTCTAGCAACATATGGCAAGAAAAAGTGTACTCATACTCAATAAATTTTACAGCTAGGATTTAAGTAGGAAAGTAGCTAAAGGGTGAAGAGTACACTTTTTCGTGTCATACAATATGACGCCATCGTCACAGTCAGGACCTCGCAATTATCACGGTAGCAGTCCCCATCCGCCATATCTGCTGTCAGTCTTAGTCGCGAGTGCGAATCCGACAGAGATCGGCCTCTACGAAGCCAAATTGAAGCCTCAGATTACCGGAAGTGACCTCGTGTTGCCTCCACTCCACGTCCACAGTGACTCGACGTCGTCTCTGCTTCGAAGTGAGAAACGGTTTCTCGAAGTTTTTGGAGTAGCTTTGGAGTGGTCTGAATTTCCGATTGTCAGGGTGCGAGAAGTGAGCCCAGCTGCACAGAAAAGTTCCGCGATGTTAAGGCTTCCGGGAATCCATCTTCAGAAGCGTCTTGGGGCACCCGCCCCTCTAAGGGAAAAGCAGACCCAAGATGACTCCCAAGATGGATTCCGGTAAGATTTAACAAATGCTGTCGGCGACATCCTCATAGTGTTGGCAGGCAACCGAATCACCCTGTTGGCACAAGCGAAGGGGTCGGATCCGAACGCGGCTTTATTGAGTCTCTGTGAGAATTAAGGCTCACCCTAATCCATCTTTTGAAGCATCTTAGACCTGTTCCATAAGGCGGGGAAATAGGTCTAAGATGAGTCCCGCGATGGATTGGGGTGAGCTTTAAGAGAAAGCGCTGAAGCAAAGCAAGTCCGGAACCGTGTCCTTCATTTTCGTGCGTGGCACCGTAGCCGAGCGATTCATGCAGCTGAGTGTTCCGAAGGAAGCAGTCTCGGATCCGAGTCTCCTAGGTCTTAAACTGGATAGGCGGAAAACCACAACGATAGCGTTAAGGCTTAGACTCATATAGTTTTTAAAAAACAAATTTTTGTTTGAGAGTAATAATATGTAGACACTAATAGCTATTGAGCGGAGTACTCCTCTGCACAGATGCAATCAGTTTCTTTCTTTGAAGTAAAATAGTTTCTTGAATTCTAAGGCCAATGTGATTGTTTGAGAGAACATATGTAGACACTAATAGCTACAGTAGAGGTACCACGACATGACATGGCCTTCCTCGTAGGTCTCAACTAATCATCTTTCTTATTCTTACGAAGGAGGAGCATCTTCATCTTGGAAGGGTTGTTCGCTCGCCAACAAGGGAAAATCATGGCTCCCAAGATGGTGCTCAAGAATGCTAGGATGAATATCGGCCGCAAGGTCTTCTAATAGCTTCCGTGACTCCAGGTTCCTGGGCAGAGGTCAATGTTGAACTTCAGATGGGAGATGAAATCGTCGGGGTCGCTGACAAAGCCGTTCTTGGTAAGCAGAAGTATTACGACTTTGTGCGCGACTCTCTTGGTTTGGGTCCGAGTAAGTCCTCGTCTGCAGAAGCGGCGGATATCTTGTTATGGGTCGTACCTTGGTCAGCCCATGTCTTATAACATACAACATCTTTTGGCCAGTTTCCTCTTGGAATGTATAAGCTAAAAGATGTCCTAAAACAAGATCATGGGTTGTTAGTAGTCGGTGGTGCCTCTAATCTTGATCCTGCGTACTGCTACTCCAATATCGCTAGCTGATAGGGCTAAGGCGGAAGTTGACGTCTCTAGACCCTTACCAGACGCATGGACTGCACAAATAGTGGCAGCGCCACAAGATCGAATACAGCCATCCACCACTAAGCTAGAATCCAAGCAATCAGTAGCCTCTTCTGGTGTACTAGCTTCACCCACGTCCTCTGACGTCGGACAACATCATGCTATCCCTCGAACGCCAGCGCCACCCGTAGATCATACTGGTTCTTCCAGTGCTGGGCCAGGTAGTAATGTAGGAGTTTCTGAAATTACTCGTCAAATACAGACTGTCGCTCCGAACGTGCCTGAGCAAGGAACAAGTACTACTGCTACTGCTGGGGTTGCAATGATTGCGGCCTCTGCAGCTGGAGTTGCAGGCGCAGTTGCAAATGGAAGCGCCGTAGTAGAAGCTCGAAATGCGGGGGCTGCTGGTGCTCCTCCGCTACCGTTGAAGCGGTTCACTAGGACTAGCGTTGCAGATCCAGGATCTCCGGATCTTTTACCAGAACTGTGCAATTCTGCTGAGGTTGCATCACTCGGTGTTCACGGCTGGCGCCAACAGAAGGCGAACAAGGACTTGCTGAAGCTCAAGGAGATGTCAGCTGAGGAAAAGTTTCTGCGTCTCTTTGGTTTTCTGGCAGACTTCTCTCAGTTTCCTCGTGCCACCATCACGCGGCTGGAGCCCACAACACCACGAGGGAGGAATCCTAGCATGATAGCGAAGTACTCTCCTCACGCGGCACTTGGAGATGAGCTGCTGATTGTGTGCGAGGTCTACGTCTCGAAAATCGCTGATCCTGAATGGGCGCAGCCTCACAAGGAAGAAACTGAAGAAAAAGGTGGTGCTAAAAGGAAAAGTGGAGGAAGGCCTAGTAGAAGTAGAAGCACTGCTATCTCCGCTACTCCGTCATCTAGTAATAAGACAACTACATCACCTACATCAGTAACAACAAGTCCCTACGACGCCGTGATCCAGCGTGTGACCCATAAGGTGCTAGAGGAAGCACCGACAAGACACCGTGGTCATGCGTGGAACCACTTTTTCGCTGCATCGTTCATCTTCCTGGCCAGGAACTCTATTGGGCAGTACCTTCAAATCGCGCTAGATATGCGAAAGATGAAGGCGTGGTACGATAAAGAGAATGATAGACCAGCACGGGTGGCGGATATTCTGGGTATACCACTGTTGAAGCTGGACAACAACCGCAGGATGCTAGTATTAAGGCTACCGCAGGATGCTAGTATTAAGGCTACCGTGACCACACGGCCGAGAGAAAAACACGGCCATGACTACACAGGGCGGTGGCATATAGTCCTAACGAAAGAAAAGAGAGATGCCCGCAAGAGGGTAGCCGACGTCGCCGACTGAGTGAATGAATGAATGAAGCACGTCCTTAAGAACTACAGAAGCATCCTTGGATCTTCTTTTTCTACTTGAAAAACAGCTGAGGGTGAGGCTCCAGCACAACCGAACTACTACAACATCTACACGAAATTCTCGCATGCTGAAGCATTTCCTTGGAACTAGAGAAGCATCCTTGGAGGATGTTCTTTTTCTACATCCAAGAAATACTGTCAGACCACGTCTCTACGGTCACCATGAACGGCGATAACGGGGACAAGAGCATGCATGCTCTCAGGGAAGATGCGAACGCGGTAGCTCTAATAGTAGTGGAGCGACTTACTCCAAACGGATGGGCACAACAGCAGGGCTTTCAGGAACAAGTAGATCGCATCTTGATCGTAAACGGCGAGGCGATTGAGAAGATGACGGATGCAGATATTGAGGCATACTTCTTAACGGAAAGGGATTATGCGGAGGAAGAGGATGGCGAAGAGGATACTACTAGACATTCTGCTGGGGAACAAGTTAGCAAACTAGTGGCATCTTCATCTACGTCTGATGGTGGTCCTCCTCCAATCGGAGGAGGAGCAAGCAAGGCATTCAAGGATTACGGCGCAAGTGCTTCCTCTACGGGCCCTGCTCCATCTTCTTCTTCCGCGAGCAGCAACAAGTATAGCAAGAACATTGTGTATTTATTGTGGCGACGGTCTGGTGCAGCGGGTCCATTTCCGGATGACATGCGGGAACGGTTGGAGCTAGATGTGACTGAGCCCCTTCCGAAAAACTGGCAGAATGACAAGTCTTTCACCACTTCGTTAAACGATTCAGTCGGTGCTTCCATGAACATCAACTATGCGCCACTCAGCATTGCTGGCCAGGACCGCGTCCCGAATTCAGCGGAGGGCTTCGACTTTCCATGGCAAAGCAGCGGAATTTGGATCGTGTCGCGTGCTGACGCGCAGGCTGCAGGAGTGAAGGCGCCGCAGAAGGATGCGAATGGTGACCCATTTGTCGTGACGAAGATTCTAGGTGTAGTGAAGCCGCCTAAGGATGTGAAGAATTATGGCTTCATTTATAATTCGTCTTGAGAAGCATTTAGTGGACACTTTTCCTAAGTGCTGTGGGGAAAGCACGCCAAGGATGCTCTCCAAGAAGCATTAAGGTAAGCGCTAAAAGAAGCAAGACCAGAAGTACATGGTAAGAGCCTACTCGCACCAACCGAATGCTGGAACCGCAGAAGCAAGAAATATTCTTTTGATGCCGAAGAAGCTGAAGATGAGTGCAGTCACACAAGCGAGTCTAGACCCAGCGACGAAGACGAAGATCGCTACGTTTTTTTAAGGGTTGTAAGTTGACCTATAGATACCTCCCTATGAGTATGAGCATCTCTATTGCAGGCTTCTGCACGTAGGAAAGGGACAAATATAAGTGCGCGCCACGACTAGATGGGGGTCAACTTTCAACCGCTAACTTTTCGCTAGTTCAGATCACCATCACACGACTCTTGTCCGTTTGCAGAAACGGGTCAGGAGGACACTGAAGAACCGCGACACAGCAGCCATAGAGGAGCACGTGAGACGCATGCAGAGATGGCATCCCGAACTTTCCCTTGACGAGTGCAGGGAGACAGCGGAGAAAGCCTTACGATACCGCAAACAGGTGATTGCTTCCGCGTTCATGGCTAGCAGTGTTGCGCACGACGAAGGCAGGATGATATCTAGTGGTGCGGCTGGTGCTGAGGGTGAAGCAGGTGAGTTCATGTCAATTGAGCTTGGTACTGACGACCATGCCCATTCTCACTCTGCTGGCAACAGAAGCCCCCATCGCCATAAAGTAGAACTCCTGGATGCGTTCCGCCTAGGTGTCAGTCCTCGTTTGACGGGCACGCAACTGCTGAAGAGCTCTCGCTTCCGACAAGCCATGGACATAGAGACCAAGGTCTTCTTGATGGAGACCGAGAAGCTTTTAACACGAGTACAGAAGGTTTTAGACGACGCCATTGAAGAGCGCTCCGCGATGGCAGACACTAGTGACAAACGCGATGACGCGCGAAAAGCAAGTAAAATTATGGCTCAAACAATACAATTCATTTCTACAATGCATTTCTTGCAGTTTCCTTCTTGGGATTCTGAAGAAATGCAGGCAAGAAGTGAAATGCTTTCTAACGAAAGGCGGCAGAGATTAGACGGCCTGCATGAGGCCATGGATGCATTGGAGTTTCAAAAACCTTTATGCTTGGACTTGAGAGTCATATTTTCCGTTAAAAAGCCGAAGGGAGTACAATGGATAACACTGGTCACTACCTTCTAGGACTCTCCGTTTTAAGTTCAAGACGCAAGACACTTGTCACTACCTACAGGACTCTCCGTTTTGAGTTCAAGACGCAAGACAAAACTTTAGATCACTCTTTCCCTTCTTAGAAGTTCTATCTCTAAGATCTACTTCTAAGAACTTCTAAGTTCTACTTCTAAGTCAGAATTTCAGAGCGTACGTTTTTCTACCTCTAACCTCCGCCTGCCTCGTCGCTCTATCACGGTGTGAGGACACCACAAGATTGCCAGCGCAGTTGCAAGCAGGCCGTAGCAAAGCTCTGAAGGCCATTACAGCGCAGGTCCACGCTGCGGCTTTGACTTGTGTGGAATTGTATCGACATCTTGGAGGTCCAAGCAGTACTCTGACTCAACCGAAGACAGTGGAATTGGATCAGGGACACGGTGGACCGGTGCAACAGTCTTCGCCAACATCTCTGGCTCTTCGAGAAGCGCATACTGGAATTCGGAGTTTGGTCATGCAGATCCTCGTGTCACAGAAAGAGTCTTCCTTGAGTGGTGAAACGTATGCAGAGTGTGACTTTCGTTTTGCGCATCTGGAGAGGACCCTGCTGTTTGTGAGTGACTTGTTCACGGCCGCTAAGAAGGAAGCTGCAGGGGGCGGGGGAGGGGGCGCTGGTGCTGGGGTACTTCGTTTGCATTCTGCGAATTCCATAAAGTTGGTTCTAAATTTCACAAGTTGTTATAAATAAAACACAATATAATTGAAATAAGAAGACAGCAGTTGTTGTTCATGGTGGATGCGCACGTGCAAGCAAATGCAAATTTGTTTCATGGCTACTTCGGTATGTACTCGAAAACTGAAAATAACCGAGTAAGTGACTGAAATAAGGGAGGTAGGTAGCTTTGACAGGGCTACTCTTCCTTGTTCAGGCTTAACTGTGCTTATTTCAAGTAGTTACTCGGTTATTTCAGTTTTTCGAAGTATGTACTTCTACTGGTTTCTCATGCCTACATGCCTCTCAATCCATCGACGGATCTTTACCAACATCCATCAGGAAGCAGACACGACGTTGAATCTGGCTGGTTACGACTACACGTCCATTACGTGGCTAATGCGCCAAGCAGGCGACGAGCTCTTGCGCACCAGGCAAAAACGAGTTGCGCTCCGAGGCCACCTCGAGAGTGGTACTAGAGCAGACCTAAAAGAACGATCGACAAGCGGTTCCCCTCCTCACCAGAATAATAGTGCTGCCAGCATATCTGGTGCAGTTGCAGCAGGTAGAAGTACAACGGGGGGTGCGGCAAGACCTGCTACAACGAGAAGTTCATCTTCCTCACCTCCAAAGATCAAAGGAAAGAATAAAATGGCAACGACTGCAGCTGACGAAGAGAGCAAGGAGACGAGAGCAAAATTCTTTACTGGAGTCGCACGTGCTTGGTTCCAGGTTGACCCTAGTGAGGTGGAAGGAGCCACTGCGGCAGCATTGGCGGGAGATCTCCGGTTGCTCAGGGAAGGGCTGCAACGCAGAAGACTGCGGCGAAAGTACAAATGGCGGCTTCTAAAACGGTTAGAGGAGCATCAGGATGCAGCAGGAGGAGAGGTGAATACTTCTATTGCGTTGAATTTACTCTTAACTAGACATTAACAATGTTGTGGCGGCTTTGAAATAGGGTAATCTTCGCGTTCTCTCTGACCACAGTGACACCCGTACTCCCTCAGCCCTAAGGGAACCCTAACCCAAATCCTAAAGAAGAATCAGCATCAGTAACGCCACATCTTCTCGACAGATACCAAGCTCATTACGGCGAGGACGAAACCGGCGAGGACGCAGTAAATCTGCGCAGACTTCTTCAGCAACAGAAAACGTCGATAGCCTTGGAGAGGATTTATCTTAAGGCTACCGCTCAACCATCCTCAGCGTCATCCTTGTCCCCTTTTCTACTTGAAGAAGAAGCCGAGGATGCACTCTTCAGGGATGCCAACGCGGTCGCTCTAATTATCCGAGTTTTCTAGCGATTCTTCTTGCTCGTCCATGGATCGCGAAGACGCAGACCCTTTTCACACAGAGATGGAGGAAAAGGGTGCATTTTTATTGCATCACAACGAGAACAGAGGCAGAACAGGCAGAGGGAGACCAACTGATCCGGTTACCGAATCAGAGACGATTCTCTACGATTTTCTTGGAACCAGCCATGCTTTCGGCCCTGATAGTGTGAGGAGAAGAACGGAGCAGAGGCCGACGGAGCAGCTGCTGGGACCTGCCCACCGTATTACAACTAGTGGGGGATCATTCGGAGCAGGCGGTGCTGGCGTTTCTGGGCAGCAGGTTGAAGAGAATCACTTGTCGTCACGGTCACATCGTCGCAAGTCTTCGTCAGCGGCCTTTCTGGCTGCAGTTTTATCAAGGGATGCCAGGAAAACCAGTGGCACAGCATCCAGAAGCAATATGATCACGAAGAAGAAAGCATCGACGTTCTATTCTGATCATCTCTATGAAGAACATGATGTAGAAATTATGGGAGCCAGATCTTCACCTCAGTCTACTGCAGTCTCTAGGAGTGTTGTACGGCGCGCTGAAGATGTAAAGTCGGAACTAGTCCTTAGCAAGAGCCCTTTGATAGGAGGAGCATTATCAACGCGACCACGTCGAGACAAAAGGGAGCATTCATCGTCACCATCACCACAGTCTAAGACTACCACCAGTTCGATGAACGCTAATGTAGGTCATAATGGGCAACTGCAAGATACTAGGATGCCTGTGGTGCGCGGTCTTGTAGACCATGAGTCAAAGTCAGAGAAACGGTCACTCGGAGATCCGTCTAAGCGGATAATCGAAGGTGTCCATCGGGCTCTGATTCCTTCAGACCACTCGGATAGTAGTTTGTCTTCAAGTATCAACTACAATTTCAACAGCGACGAAGAGGAGAGCTGCGATGAGTGGCCCTCAACTTCTTCTTCTGGCGACGAGAATGTCCTCGCTAGTGGTGGAGGCGTTGCTTCTGTTCCTCAAGGGCGAGTGTTCGCACAACAACGTCGGGTGCCGCCACCAAGAACAGCCTCTGCATATGATCCTAGCAAAGTAGGAGTTGACTCGAAAAACAGCATGGCATCCACTCTGTCCTCTGTGGGTGGCACAGAAAGCGCCAGAAGTACGGGAGGCGTTATTCGGAGTCTAAAAAGCAGCCCCCTTCCCGGAAACAGTCCCACAGGAGATCATGCAGATTTTCTGCCTTTCTATGGGAGTGTTGCGGGGTCTCCGGAATCATCCGTGGCTTCGATAGCACCCGATAGTCGTCGTGCAGTATTAGGTGCCAAAAACAAGAAGCAACTACCAATTCAAGAATACGAGTCAGGGCCATCCCCATCCGGAATTCCAAGAATACGAAAATTTTCGGACTCATTGTTACCCGGTCCAGGTCCTGGTCGTGCCTTCTTGTTCTTTGCTGACCAAACGAAGACACGAGCCGAAGAGAGCGCCACGACGCCGAAGCAAGCTACTGCGAGTGCGACGGGGGCAGCGTCTAGTTCGTCTTCAACCTCTGTTCCCCTAACCCCATCTTCACAGACAAAAGCTAATAGCAGTGCGACAGCTACTACAGCAACAGCAAAGACATCACAACAAGTAGCACCAGCAGCGGCAGCGGCAAAGACATCACAGGTGCTAACGGCTCCAGCATCTTCCACGTCGCAAACTCTAGCTCCAGCGACTAAGGACGACAAACGTGCAGAGGCCAGTCGCAAGCCACCACCTGCAGCAGCGACAAGCGCAGCGCCAGCTTCTAAGGCATCAGGGACCACAGCATCAGGGACGACAGCATCTGGGACCACAGCGTCTTCCACCCCGACTGCGTCATCCACTCCGACTGCGTCAGCTAAAGCTCAAGCTAAGGCAGAAGGAGAGGGCGTGCCTCCACCCCTGGCTAAGACCGCAGGAAAAGGAGAAGCTTCTTCCTCGTCTAAGGCTACTCCTCTTTCCTCCTCAAAAAAGGCCGAATTGAGTAGCAGCGCAAGTAGCATTGGCCTAGGAACTAGCCGTAGCTCTTCGACCACGGCTAACAAGAACGACTCTGGAGCTCCGGGAAGCGCAATAACTGGAAGCACAGTAACTGGAAGCACAATAACTGGAAGCACAATAACTGGAAGCACAATAACTGGAAGCACAACTACTTCTGCAGCTACAACTACTTCTGCAACTAGTACTACTGCAACTACTAGTGCTAAAGCAGAAGCAGTTGTCTCAACTAGTAAAGCAGAAGCGACACGACCTACATCAACTTCAACAAATAGAGCCTCCTCGCCTATTGTGAAAATAAAGGCTCGTGTTTCGTCTGTACCGATAGAGGAAACATCTTCATCTGCACCAACAAGTGCCTCAGCTGCTGGTCTTGATTCGGGAACGACAGCTGCTACAGCTAGTGCAAAAGCTACGCCTGGCACAAGAACTACCACAGGAGCAACTGCCTCTACATTGCAGTCTTCCTCCTTAGGAGCGACATCCAGTCTTCTACCTTCACCAGCGAAAACTGCAGCCTCTACTCTTGCCTCGTCTCTAGGCGTTGCACCGAAGGGGAGTAACTCCTCCGTACCTTCTCCCGCTTTGGTTGATATCTCAACTTCGCCTGCAGCGGTAGTACAACAGCGCTTCAAGGCTCAAATTAAACCGCCTGTGCCTGTTTTTCGACACTCCATCGAAAATAAGACTAGCACAACAGGTGTGATCGGAGGAGAACTGGGAAACCTTGGATTAAGGCTACCGCTGAAGCATCCTCAGCACCATCCCTGGCTTCTTTTTGAAGGGGAAAAAGGGCTCAGGGATGGACTCAAGGATGCGACGCGGTAGCTCTAATTGGAGGGGAAGGGCAGTCATCGCCTATTCGTACTGCTAAAATACCAGATCGAGCCGAATTAGCTGCAGTTTATAGCGTGCGTGCATCAGCCTTGTTTCAACAAAGCTCTGCCCCGAAAGCTGAGAAGAGTGCCAGTAAGTCAGCTGGTAGTAGCCCTAGTGCCAGTCCCACAACAGGAAAGGACATGGATGGAACTACATCAAAAACTACAGAAGAATTAAGGCTTCCCCTAATCCGTCTCATGAAGCACGATCCTGCACGACCCTAGCGAGGCTCTTCAAGGGGGAAAAAAGGGGCCCAAAAAATGAATCTCAAGATGGTATGAATCTCAAGATTCTATGGATATTTATCCATACTTGTCTAAGTCTAAAACAAGAGGACGCTGGTGTTGCTGACACGGGGAGCGATATGACTTTCTACCAGCTGACTCTCCTCCTTCGCGCAGCCCGCAGAGCAGGTAAGCGGCATGAGAACAAGCGCTGGGTTCAGGTTCTTCAAACGGCTTGCCGCGAAGCACGTCGAGGATGTGACAGTTTGGCGAAGCAACGGCAACGTCTATTAAGGGTTGAAAGTTGATGACCTCTCTATGGGTCCCCCTCTACAGGCTTCTTTAAGTACTACTAGCCATAGGACGACCTCTCTATGGGTCCCCCTCTATAGGCTTCTTTATAAGTACTTAGGAAAGAGATAGATCATATGGTACGAGCTAGAGCGGTCGACTTTCAACCTCTAAATCTCCTTCAGGATAATGATGGAGAGGCAAACTCGATTTCTATAAGGGCTATGGAGCAGAAGGAACAACGCATGTGGCAAACAATGCTGAAACAGCTAAGAGACGCAGCGGCTGAAGAATATCGGACGCTATCTTCTTCTTCTGTAGGAGGAGGAGAGGGGGAGGGATCAAAATCCGGCGTGAACGTTAAGGGTGGTGCGTTTACCTCCTCAGCAGCTGATGGGACCACAAGCTCTGAAATGCAGCGTGCTAACGAAACTATAGCAGCGCTTGAGGCAGAAGGGCTATTCCCAGATCAAGATGGCGGCTCTCCTGATCAACAGACTACTTCTTCTTCTATAGTGTCTTCACTGAGTCCCGGAAAAAGAACGAGTACGGTGGAGGAGGCAGTGAGTAAGGTAAGGAATCCATCTTCTTCTTCAGAAGCATCTACGGGGACTAAAGATGTTCCCTCTGGTGCAGGAACTAGTGGACAACTAGACAACGAAAGGAGCCTGAACGTCGAGGAGTCTCTTCGCCTCAGAAACGGTTTATTGGCGGCACAGAACTTGGAGAGTGCGCGCTACGTGCGGGAGGTGGAAAGGGTAGTCGAGATTCTGCATGCTGCGCGTGCCCATGATCAATTAAGGCTCGATGCAATTCATTTCCAAGGGTCCTCATTTTCTCCGGTCGTTTTCCCCTTGGCATTCCGAAGAAATTTCCCTTTTTTACTTTTCTCCCATTTCCCTTCTTGTCCATCGTTTTCAGCTTCGTCTTCTTCCGCACCCCCGACTTCATTATGAGGGGCAGAAATGGATTGCTTTGTTGAGCTCTAAATCAAGATCTGTACCAGAAAAAGGTGAAGGAGCTTCGTGACAGTCATCGAGAACTGCGCAACAGCTTTTCTGAAAAGGAAAGCACGAACGCGAGCCTCATTGCCGTGGGAGAGGAAGCACACGATGCAATCGTGGAGTTGGAGAAATTATGTGTCGTGAAATTGAAAAGAGCTGCTACTAGCTTCTACTTCATGTCATGTCAGGGAATTGGCCTATATGCCAATGATGAGGTGCTATCAGGAGCCTTCGGAATTACTTACAAACAACATAGAGGAGCTTCAGCTCGAACTTAGTCCCAGCGCGACCACAACGCTTGAAAACTTATCTAATTTTCGAGCGCGACAGTCTGCATGTTGAAAGTGCTGGTTATCAGTCGGAGCTGAAGGCGGCAAGGGAAGAACTTGCGGAACAAGCAAGAGTTTCGGAGCGGGACTCGAGATTGAGTCGTGAACGGTACGACTCGATGCAGGAGTTGGAGCAGCAGCTTCGACAGCAAAGACAAGTCGACGAGAGAACGCAAACGCTAGTGCAGCACTTGAGGGAAGAAAATTATGATGGTTATTTAGGATGTGGTGTTGTAGTCTAGTTGTTGGAGTTACGGCACCTCAAGTAGGTTTAACGCCTCCTCGGCCGTCTTTACAGCCGCAGGAAAGGTATCATTCCGCCGCTGACCTTGTATAGTCGTTTGGGATGCAGTATGATGAGGCTGAAATACTTGATCTTTTTTTTTCTCTTCACGAAGCTACCTGCTCCAAAAATCCATAATTCTTCCCGTAGTATCGCAGTCTCGAATGGTGTCTCTATTAGTCAATGCAGTCTATAGACAGATTCCGAGTAAAAGTCTCTATTTGCCTACGCAGTCTGGAATTGTATCTCTATCTGTCTTTTCTCTTCTTTAACTCCCCTTTTCTCTAATTCCCCTTTTCTCTTCTCTAACTCCCCTATTCCTTAACCGAGCAACGCGACGCTCTGCGCAGAGAGGTGCAGGAGAAGGGCACACAACTCTCGCGGCTCCGCACCGACTACGAGACGGCTTATGCCAGGTTGCGCACGAAATTGGAAGAGGACGTGACACGTGTGACCGAAGAAAGAGCGCGTTCCGAAAAAGAGCTGCTTTTATTAAGGCTTGCCATAATTCATCTTCTGAAGCATCCTGAGTACTTAGGCTTTTCAAGGGGAAAAGGGGAGCGGGATGCTGCTCAGGATGCACTAGGGTGAGCTCTAATGTTACAAATAGAAATGATGCAGCGCGCCAATGGGTCACTCTCAGGATTTGTGCCTTGTGGGAACGCTTTTGTCCCACAAAGCAGGACAGATAATATCAATGAGCCAGCACTTAAGGCTCAACTTTCATTGGTCACTGAAGACACGGAAGAGGAGACTCCTTGAGACAACAGGGGAAAGCGAAGGGAAAGGGGAGAGCTTTGAAGCGGGTCTCTTCCGTCCAGAGTCGGTGACCAATGAGTGCCGAGCTTTAACGCACCAGTAACATCCAGCGCATCATCTTCTACGTTTACTAGTGGTTGTAGCACTAGCAGAGTGAGAATGTTTCATAATTCACCTCCTGCAAGTTATGAACCTCCTAGAAGAAGTAATCCTGCTAGTATGGGGGGACGGCCACAGACTTCTTTTGTAGATAGAACACAGAAGCAGGAGGACGATTATTACGGAGAGGAGTTAGAAGCGCCGTCGTCTTCGTCTAGAGGTCATCTCCAAGGACGAACTTTTGATGTTGAAGCTAGTCTTCAATCTCGAATCGATAACTTGATGCGACAGATGGCGGAGCAATCCTCAATTCAAGGCTTCCACTGATTATTTGCAGTCTGGAATTCGAGGACCAGATCCATTCCAATACCAAGTAGTTGATATCTTTTGATTTCCAATGACTCCAAGTAGTTAATATCAATTCCAATACCAAGTAGTTAATATCTATACATTTAGTTTTGGTTAATGCGAAGAATCTGAATCCCTAACCTATCTAACCTTTCTTTTTGAGCTGTCGTTTTTTCTGTTTTCGGGTTTGATGGATTCATATTGTGAGGATTGATTTATTGCACATGAAAAGTCTTTTTTCTAAGAAAGATCTTGATCATCTCACATAGATTGAGGTAAAGTGAACTATTTGGGGGAATACTAGGCCTACTTTAGAAGTATTAGAAGTAGTTCCTTGTCGTTGTACTCGTTAGCGTAAAGGGTACTACAGTGACATTACAATCGACAGAGCAACAGTTTGGACATAAACGGTAACAGTTTGGACAGTCTGTGTGTAACAGCAACAGTATTTCTAATCGACAAAGCAAAGGCGTGAAGAGAACCACGCAAAAACACCAGCAGCATCATTCCACCACTTCCGAGACATTCCACCTTCCAGATCATTGTACAACCAACAACAGCATTCCTAGTCACATTAGCAATCATTCCACCACTTCATGTGCTTGAAGATTTCCGCGAGGCGACAATACCTGAATGAGTTTGCCTGTGTGATTATGTACAGGGGTTGACAAAAGTAGAGCTGGATCGATGCGACCAGCACGCACACGCAGGCGGGATGTTCCAACTACGGAGTATGCAGGTAAAACTGTGGCTGGCGAATCCGATCCTATTCTACGGAGGACAGACACTTCGGAAAAACAAAAGAGGCCAGACACTCATAGATGACTCGTCTAGAAAGGGACTTGGGCCGACTTCGTAATGTAGCTACACCGATAAATCAAAAGGTCGCCGAGAAAAGTGTTAGAAGAAGATCCAGTATGTACTTTGTGTGGAAATTTTTATGCTGTGAGATGCAAGTGGAAATTTTGAGAAGCGAAAACAGAGAAGGCCGAGAGATACAGCTGCTATGCAACAGTAGACATCTTCCAAAATATCCAAAACATTCAGTAGCGGACCCTCCTCACATTTGAGAAATTATCGTGACTCTAGACGTACGTAGCCTAGTTGTAAGTACTACTGGAGTGAGATAGAGACTGAACAGATATTGTCGAGATTTTAGCGCTTTGGATTCCTGACGCAGCCGCACAAAATTTTGGCTCAAAGCAGTAGATAAAAGTAGTTTTTGTGACTCACGAGGTGAGCAGTAAGTCTAGAACAAAAATGGCATCCATCAACAGCAAGTCTAGAACCCCTGCGGCCTCTCGGCCTGGCGCAGGGCCTCTCTTGCCGCAGACGCGAGCACCTGGTAAATACTCGCTTGTTTCGGGCGGTGGGTCCGTTTTTGTTCCCATGAAGACCACTGCAACCTCCACGAAGGGCAAAGTATTTATGAAAGTTCGTTTTTGTACATGTGATAAAGTTTAAGGTGGATAAGATCATACCAAATTGTATACGGAGGGGTTGCTTCTTGATGCGAATTTTTGATTTTTACATTGAGATTGTCTTCTGACCTGTGCCTGCGAAACGGCCCCATTTCGATTTCATTCAAAAGCTGCGGTTACTCGTGCTTGTGGCCCACCCCTGCTCCTACCGTACAACTAAAGATCTTGTTGCTCACAAGGAAATCTATCACATCTCCACAAACTCTATCAAATCTCCTCTATCAAACTCAAAGGCGGGCGGCCCTCTGCAGCATCCGCCGCTTGCAGAGGCGGCTTCAGGCGGAGTGAGGTCCTCGCTCGGTATGACCCCGAACCGAAAGTCACACTTTGCACGTGCGCAACAAGTGTACGGCACGCGCTCTTTTATGGCTTGCCGTAATTCATATTATAAGATGGTGGATCATCTTTTATAAGATTAAGTACTCACACGTTTTCAACAAGGGGAAAGTACAGCAAAGATGGCTTTGAAGATTTTTTGAATTTATAGGGAAGCTCCTCTAACTCTTCTCTTGGGTCTAGCACGCTGCGTCCGAAACCGATGAGCAAAACTCTAGCACCAGGAACCGCATTCAGCAGGAGAGCACGAGGACTGGAGGGCGGTCCTGCAGGGGCACTCGTTGTTAATGCTCTGAAAGTTAATGTAGCATCTTCGCGCCCAACATCAACTCATCAAACTCAAGCTTGTGTACCGCCCGCAGGGTCAGGCATGCTCGTTGCTACATCAGAGCAAGCAGAGCAAGGGGAGATCAGCAGTATCGCGTTTGAGGAAGCGTCAACCAACAACGTCTCCTCATCTGGCATGGTCATTGACGATGGCAGTGAGTTCAATCCCCCTACGCGAAGCAGGGTTCTCAGCGCAGCATCAACGTCAACCAGCTTGCTAGGCTCGTTGTTTCCTGCTCCACCGTCTTCGATAGGAGTAGTAGCTCCACCAGTTCTTGTGCGAAGAGATGAACAAAGAGAGGACCATAGTACAAGTGCTCAACAAGAGCAGCAAGGAGGTGACCACTCGGGTTCTACAGCACAGGAGAGGCTTGTTGTAGATTCGCAATCAGGGAACACAATGCAACAGGCTTCATCAGCGTTTGCATCAAATATTAGGTCTGACGCACGAACTCCACCAGTGCCGATCTTTCGACCCGTGCCTCCCGCTATTCCTATGCATCTGAGAGCCTCCTTTTAAGACTTGAAGCATTTCATATTGGCTTTTGCGCGCTCTAGTTATTGACACATTTCAAGAGGAAGCCAACGTGGCAAACAATACTTATGTAACGCAAAAAATACATAAAATCGTTTCCTCCTTTAATCCTATGCATCCACGACCGGAGAACAAGGCGATCCACAGGAGAACAGTGCTGCTCTGCTGAATGCATCTATGACCCCTACAAGTCTGCGACGTGGGATTCGGTCAGCGTTGAGGGGCTCAGCTTCGCTGGCATCGTTGCCTTACCCAAAGCCACGACTTGGGAGTGTCTCCCCGGCATCGATTATGCAGCACCGCCGCACACCTCCCGCTACTCGAAACGGCGGAGCAGGGGGTGGAAGCAGCTTGTCACTTCTCAGCAAGCCGGGAGAAGCTTACAGCTTCACGTTTAACAATGACCTGCTACGTCGAACTGTTGGGGGTAGCAGCAGTAGTGCTGTGGGAGCACCACCAGGCGCGAATAGTTCAGCATCGACTTCCTCTAATTTAGTTTCGCAAGGACCAGAAAAACAAGTGGATCGTATAATTAACCAAAATCAATACTCAACATGTAGTACGGGGAAGCACGATATCAAGATGATGGTGAGAAGAAGCGCTGAGCAATTGACTCCTGCTGAGGTTCTCCTGCGGAGGTCGTTCGACATCGAACAACTTCCGTCGTCGAATGTGAATTAAGGCCTACGCTAAGTCTAATTCAACATCTTATTTATGAAAAGGAGCATCCTTAGTTGTTGTCCGCTTTTCTAAAGGAAAACACGACAAGGATGCTCATGCTTTTCAAGATAAGTTTTTCCCTCATAGCCTAGGTTTACCCCACCAAGCAACTAAGTGAGCTCCCTCTAAGTTCAGAAAGCTGCAAATAATGTCTTCACCATTCGTCGCCCAAGCGTTTCTCTAGCAGCAAAGATGAGGAGTGGAAGTGTTTCAGTATCGCAATCGTGGGCAGAACCGTCACCACACACTACTAGTGACCCAGAAGGATTTGGTCTAGGATTATGGCTTCCCGTAATTCATCTGGAGAAGCATCTTTGACACGTTTCCAACGGGAAAACACGTCAAAGATGCTGTGCAAGATGAACTAAAGTAGGCTCTAATCTGAGGACCAAAAAGAGGTGGGGTAGGGCCGCTACCACAGGACGATGCTCAGCTGATGATGGTAGACCCGAAGCAGAAAGACTCGTCAACTACAGCAGCACCAGTGAGTACTTCTGGTGATGGCACGACAACAGCACCAGTGAGTAGTACGGCAGCGCCAATTCTTGCACCCACGTCGATCTTAGACATCGGGCCAAACGAATATCCACCAAATGTCCGCGGCAATGCCAGAGCAGCACTGAGTACAGCGACATCAAGCAGGGGTGTACCTGGTCCAACGAACAAAGGAGGGCTAGCTGCTTCAGCCTCAGCATCTGCCTCCAAGGGAAAAGGAGGAAGCAGCAGCATCCTCCACAAAGAGCATGTTCCTGACAAGGCAGTTGCCGTAATTAGTACAACTAAAAAAGATGGCCCAGCACCAAGCAATGTCGTTGCTGCGACAGCTGCTTTCGAGGCGCAGAAAGAAGAAATCGTAAGAAAACTGAGTGAGGCTGCATTGGGGCCGATGGTTAACAATGTTGATGTTCCTTTTCCTGCGCCAACTGCAACTAGTAGTAGTACTACAAGCACAGCACAAATGACCACGAAGACACCAAACAATCTAACTTCTGGAGGTGCTTCCTCGAGTACCACTAGGTTTGCTGCACCAACCAGAACAACAGCCTCAGGGGGTGCGCACCACCAGCACCCTCACCAGAGGAATGGAGGAGGCTTGAGTAGCAATAGTGCTAGCGCCAGTGCCTCTTTGAGTGCAACACCCACGCGCTCGGTTGCATCGACATTAGCTGGCGCAAAGACCCGGGCTGTCAAGCCTCATTATCCAGCATATAACGCGGTTTCATCCTTGAGGAAAATGGCCAGTCAGCATGCGCCTTCTTCCACCGCTGGAGCTTGTAATAACAGCAGCAACATTAGGCCCAATAAGCAGTCTCTGTCAAAAACTACAGGGGGATCTAGTAGTGCCTCTTCGGCATCGCGAGAGCATGTAGGACATCGCAAAGCAGCATCGGCAAAAAGTAAAGCAGCGTCAACAGCGATCACCAGAGCAGGTTCTTCTAGTAAAGGAGCAAAGTCTTCTTCATATGCATATGTTAGTAGAGGTGGTACGAGTACGGGTAATACAGGTGGTAGAGGAGGTGCCACTTCGTCCAGTACGCCGAACAGTACTAATGCTGGTACTAGAGCGCCCTCTTCTTTTCGACCAGGAGGCACGTCTACAACACAACAGCAGCAGTTGCAAGGTAAAATGAATGCTTCTAGTGTTACTTCTGGCGCTACTTCAAGTGTTTGTGTTACTTCTGGCGCTGGAGGAGGTAGTGGCTCTTCGATGTTGCAGCCCTCGACATCTGCACAACATTGTAGTGCAAACACTGGTAGTATGGCGAGTGGCATGGGTGGCACGAAACACACAGCCTCTTCTTCTTCAATAACAGGCTTTTATGCGCATCGCCAGCACATGACACCCAGTGGCAACGCCAATAAGTCAAAGATACTTCAACAGGCCCTGAACTTTCGTCGAAATGCGTCGACGCCTCACTTGCGGCGCCCCTCATCTTAAGGCTACTGTTGAAGCATCCTCTGCGTCATCCCTGGCCTCCTTTTCAAGGGGAAAAAGAAGGCTCCAAGGATATCGGTCTCAAGGATATGGCTCTCAAGGATATGGGCTCAAGGAGGTAGCTCTAATCATCAGTGGCATCGCAAAGAGCCGCTTTCGCTTACGGGAAAGCTGCTTCTTCTGGCGCAACTACTGGTGGCGGTCCTATCAGCAAATTATCATCATCCAGCTCATCATCTAAGCTAGGATTAAGGCTCAACTTTCAATGGTCATTGGGGTTGGTCACTGAGATCGAAGAGGCGACCCCTTGAGAGCACAGGGGAAAATGAAGGGAAAAGGGGAGAGCTTTGAAGGGGATCTCTTCCGTTCAGAGTCAGTGGCCAATGAATGCTGAGCTTTAATAGGAGGAGTGTCTTCGTCTATGGGGACAACAACGACAACACTTAGAGGATCCAGCTCCTCAACGCATCTAGGAGGCTTTGGAGGTTCTTTTTCTAAAGCAAGCACTTCCGGCTTCTACAAGAACTGTCCACCAAATAGTGCTTCTATGAAAGGGTCCACATCGACGTCGTCAGGCACGACGTCCATATCAGGAGCTCTACTACACCAAGACGCAGCTAGCAATATTGGAGCAGGTGCTAGTCATCAGATGACGCAGCAACTTCCTGTTGGTGCATTAGCACATCAGAATCTTTTCGATGAAATAATAAGGCGAAATGCAACGTACGGACCGTTGTTGACAAAAATCAAGACGGCCTATGACGCTGAGGTCGGACGTAAGATGGCTGAGCAGCATCGGCAAAATTTGCAAAAGGAGGCTTCTGAGGGTTATGAATGTTGAAAGTACATCTTAATCTACATCAGAGAGTTACGGGAGTACTTCTGAGAGTTACGGGAGTACTTACTTCTTAATCTCCATCATGATGTAGTAGTAGTTATTGGTAGTTGTATTTCTCGGCTCTTATGATCTCGAGCTTACCAGTTATTGGTAGGTGTGGTGGTCGTGCGTTCTTCAAAGTACAACCTCTTGGCGTCCCCATATTGTTTGATCCACTTTTCTCTCGTTGGCTTACAAGTTCTACTCTTCTGCGAAATCTTGTCACATCGATTCATCCTGCAGGTACATGCAGTAGGTCTATCAAGGGTGCACTTCTTCGACTTCATCTTCTTCGCCTTCATCTTCTTCGCCTTCATCTTCATCCTTGACTCCTGCTGAGTTCTCTTCTCTCTGCTCTACAGCCTCTTGTTCAATCTCCCCTGTCCTCATCTACCTACCTCTTTTTCTTTCATCATCTCCAGAAATGGACGCACCTCCAAGGAGTAGCTCCAGACGCAGCTGCCCTTCAGCAGGCTTTGAAGCGGAACGAAACGGCTAAGCGAGAGCTGGCTTTGTTAGAGGAGATGTTGCGAATAGAGGAAGAAAAGTTGGAACTCGCGAGCCAACAGCTCCAAAATCTTGGAGGCAGCTCTTCTCGAGTAGTAGTCGGCCTTGGAGCAGGAGGCTCTTCTCGAGTAGTAGTCGGCCTTGGAGCAGGAGGCTCTTCTAAAGTAGTAGTAGACCTCCTAAACAACAACGTCGCGCCTGCTGCGTCTGAGCGGTCATTGGCTCTTCTATCCTCGATAGAACCAACATCAGGGGCTACTGATTATGACCATGTTGATACTGTCTTTGGTTGAACTAGAGCTTAGAATTATAGATCACGTATCATTTTCATTTTGTTATTTTTGAGCACTTGAAGTGATGGGGATAGACACGTCATATTCAACAGGCCTCTTTCTGCTTGACCTTGTGACTTACACACGAGTAGATGGCGTCGTCCTCATCTAATTTCTAGAAGGCGGTAGCGAGGGCCAGACGCCAGGGCTTTTTGATTCACTTGCGCCAGACTGGAATCCCGATGCTCAAAACGCGGCAGGTGGATGCGGAAAGTACTTATCTTCTAGATTTACTGTAACATCAGACAAGAAACCGATGAAGCTTTACAGTCAGTATATTCTACTCTACAGTATTGATTTGTATTTGTTCAGAGCGATTATAGCTATAGCACACACAACAAATTCTCTTTTTCCTCACACACAGTTTTGAATACGACAAACAGTTTCGAATACTTACGACAAACAGTTTTGAATACGGTAATACTTAAGTACAACAAACAGTTTTGAATACGTCGATGCGCGTGGCCCAGAGCGAACAGCACTCTCGAGTTCCCCAGGAGAAATGCTAAACCAAGCTATAATGTCCGTCGGGGACCTCTCATCACTCCCACCAGACGATAAAGGAGAGCAGCAAACTTTGCCTTTGCTTTATGGCTTTGTTTTTGAAAAGTGGCTAGTACTAGGTGTTGTAGGTACATACTGCTAGGTGTTGTAGGTACATACTGCTAGGTGTTGTAGGTACATACTGCTAGGTCGTGTTGTAGGTACATACTACTAGGTCGTGTTGTAGGTACATACTGCTAGGTGTTGTAGGTACAGTACATGGTACTTGTTTCAATGAGAGAGTGCGTACTTATGTTGTGCTTGTGCTCCTGGCTGAGTCTTGTTTGTGGAATAAAGACCGTCCTGCTTGTTCTCTGCGTCCTGCTTGTTCTCTGCGTCCTGCTTGTACCCTGCTTATACTCCTGTGTCCTGCGACATGTGCTTGTATTCTTCCACTATTGTATCTATTGCTAGTATTCGCTTTCGCTAATCCCAAACCCGGTCAAGCAGCACCGCAGCATTAGGAGGAAGCTTCGCTCTGGAGCAGGGGGGAAGGGCACAGAACACACCAACGTGCTCCCTTCGAACGCTGTCGCCACTAGACAAGAATGCAATGTCACTGGGAGGATCACGTATTCAATTTCAAACTTTGATGTAGTCATAAATATAATTCTGTCTTAGCTTAGCGCGTAGAGCAAAATCCATATTACTTTTTCTACGAGGTGGCAGAGTCCCGTGTGGGTGTGCATCATGATAGTACAGTTTCTAGTGTGCTTAGTGCCTACTTCTCGTACAATGTTTTCTCTTTGCTCTGCTTTTTGTCGTACTAGGAAATTACACCAAGAAACCTTCTAGATGCTTTTGTCCTTCTAAGAAAATCATTTCTTTGTGGACCAACCTGAAACACCAGCTTCGTATGGAGATAGCTGCCGGAGTAACACGACGGGAAGAGCAGACGCTACTACGGATTCGATGGATAGCAGTGTTGAGGTTACGAGTCTAGAAAAAGCATCTCCCAAGTCATCTGCAGGAGAAGAAAAAGGAACTAGCTAGATGATCTCTCTGTGAGAGCACTGCACTTTCCCTTTTGATGTTCTTACTTCACTGTCACGACTAACATGTTATGATGATCTCTCTGTGTGATGATCTCTCTGTATGATGAACTACCTAGATGATCTCTCTGTGAGATGCATTGCCTATACCTCTAATGAGGGCGGTCCCAGATTTGCTCAGCGTGTCTTCCATCCAGCTATTACACGGCCAAGCAATGTCCCGACTTTGGACCTCCAAAACCTGCCACCAGAAGAGTTAAGTTGTTCTTTCTAATATTGTAATGATATTGGTGTTTTAATATCCAAGGTAGATCATAAGGTAAACTGAAAAAACTAATACTACTTTTTTGAGCAGCTAAAAAATAGTAAGCAGTTTTTTTTTGATGCAGTGAAAAAACTAATACGCAGTCTTCTAAGAAGAGACGACTACGGTGAAGACGAGGATGACGTGGAAGAGGCAGAAGAAGGAGAGGAGATTCAAGATGGAGATTACGAAGAACATGGAGACACTTACAGTTTGGAAGCAGATGGAGGACATGTACAGTTTGGAAGTTAAGGCTTGCCTGTTAGTTCCCCTCATCGGTCTTCGTAAGTATCCATTTCATCTTTAGAGAAGCCTCCCCTATTGCTTGGTGCATCCTCAGAGAAGGCATCTTCTTGATAGTAGAGACGTTAATGATTTACATAATACTAGACGTGAATGATACTAGACGTGAATGATACTAGACGTGAATGATACTAGATGTATTAAATAGCCGCTTAGGTGATCTATCAAATGGATTCTTAGCTGATCATCGAGTAAGGATCGCAACACGAAGCGTACACATGACATAGATCTATTAAATAGACGAGACGTTTTCTAGTTGCCGCAGCGGTCTCAATCTCAAGATGGATAGCGGTGAGCTCTAAGATGGAGACCATGGGGGTTATCATGGTGGTTACTATCATGACGAGCAAGAGGGCTACTACAATTACGATCATAATGGCGAAGGCGAACAAGGAGAGATGAATGGCGCCGAAGGATACTACTTTATGAATGTCGTTTGTTGCGTAGGCGTACAAAGGCCTCGTATGCGAGTGTGCTTCAGTCGTGCGCGTACTAAGGCGTATGCGTTCATGGATGTCGTATAAGTACGTCATTGACTACTTAGAATCGTTATCGTTTGCCTTCTCACTAGGATAATGAGCATAAGAAAGAGTTGGCTACTCTTTAAAAAATTGATCAGGTCTTCTTCACCACAACATATATTGCATAAGCCTCTTCTAAAGACTACAACGCCAACGCAGAAGTAGGAGATGACGGTCAAATGCGAGTTGAAGGACAGCAAGTGGCAATCGTGGATGAAGATTCGGCTACTGCCCAATACGCGTCTGCGTCTTAGGCTATTCTTCATCTCTGAGGAGGAGGTGCATACAAATTCACTACGTCACTGCCGTCGAGTTTCAGATGCAACAGAAAATGATAAAAATGATGGGAATAATTTTGAACAAGCCTAAAAAAGCCTTTGTCAGGTGCTAGACTGGACCAAAATTATCATTCGGTTTTATGTGACAAGCAGGGGCTCGATGACATCTGCAAGGCAAAAACATATGCCATACACCACGGACGTGCCAAGAAGAACAAAACTGTGCCATACACGGATGGAGTGAGTGAGTGAATGAATGCCATTGGAGACGATACATGAAAACAAATACATCTGACAAGTTTTTTCTCAGCGTCCTACGTTGGACTTATCCCCAGATGAATGGGTATATTCCTTCTACTACTACTCGGGTGCTGCGTTGGAGTTTTGACAAGTAGAGTTCTTGATACTCTACTTGTTCTTAGAAGTGCAGCAACTAGAAAAATGCAAGCTCCCGAATAGGTTCGAATCTTGTACTTACCAGTACTAGTTGTAGTACTCGAACGTACTAGAAAGAGAAAGTTGAGAAGATGATCGCGCTCTCTCCCAATACCAGAGGTGGCATCCACCGCGATGCAACGAGGGTGCATGCGTCTGCGGTTGTTATGGATGAAATATCCTCGAAGTCTCAAAATGAGCAAGTATTAGGTTTAGACTTAATGTCAAAGTCCTGTGATTTCTAATTTCATAAAAATTTTGTTTTTAGTAGTTTTTACGGCTCCACCTCCACTGGAATCAATTTCCTAGTCTTTTGTTTTTTCCTAGTTTTTAGGGCTCCACCTCCACTGGAATCAATTTTAGGAAATGGGAGATGCATAGCGCTAAGTTCGTAATCGTAGGTCTCTTTTTAGATCACGTTTTTACTCGCTTTCTTGATTTCTTTCGGTGAGATGTGAAGCCGCTAATCTACGCCACGCTGACGAAATCGAGAAGCTTCTTACGCAAATCGTCAGAGAATTTCCCAAGATCGGGTACACGCAGGGAATGAATGACGTAAGCTGTTACTTTACGATGATGAAGATGTACTAGATCTCTACTAGCTACTGCTAATGCTACTACGTACTACTCTATGATGATGACTACTACCACTACTACTACGTACCCAGCAGAGGGCAGTGTTAGGTTAGAAGTCTCCAGGTAACAGGATCCACGTTCGCCTTGATATGAAATTGATATAATTCGCATCATCATCATCATCACCATGACCATCATCATCATCACCACCATCATGGTCATCTTGTTCCTTTGATGTGACTGGGGTCACCCTTCCGGCGGTTTTGGCACACAAAAAATACAATGCTCAGGTAGCAGGGTCCCTGATTTTGAATTCTGCGAGAACGGGTCTTGGGCTCGCGGAAACGACACCGCTAGAAGACTTTCGTAGCCTTCTGCGTACTTGTGGCGGCTTTTGGAGTGAAGGGGTATGGTTGGATGATGATTCACAAGTTGTTGAATATGTAGTAAGCTTGTACAGTATGTATCCAAGATATAAATAAGATGTTGGGTGTGGAAGGATGGATATCAATAAGAATAAGCTGAAGCTTACAATGTAAGTAATGATAATCGGGTGTAGTTGAATGTGTTGAATAAGCCCCCTACGCACAGTATGTATGATTGGCTTTTGAAACAAGTAGAAATTGAAATCGACTCAGCGGTTCAAAACGTGACACGAGCAAGGAATTCCTGTTTGCTCACGCTTCCACTTTGACTTGCACTTGTTTGATTTAATCGAATTGATTTTTCGTACTAATATGGCTTCTTAGGACTTTTTAGGTAGTTGAGTAAGGACTACAAAACGAAGCGAACGCATGGGCTCTGTTTTATTTGAGAACCACAACCACTACCTACTTAGTAGGGTCTGTGGTTAAGTAATTAGCTAGCTACTACCTACTATTAGCGGCCACTAACGAACTACTTAGTTGGGTTATGGTTAACTACTACTACGTACTACTACACAGGCAACACCTCCTCCATCATGCTTCACATCTGATGCCGCTGATGCATGAGGGTGTTATGCATCTGTCGACGATGATAGAGGCACACTTGCCGGACTTAGCTCAGCTTAAGGCTACAAGAAGTCCATCTTCACAGATCTTGGCCCCGTTTTTCAAGGGAAAAGGGGACGGAAGATGCTGGCGAAGATGGATTTCTCCCAGTTCTAAGCAACACTGGAAGCGACACGAGGTTCAATTAATGACGATCGTGCCTAGTGGATTACTGACGCTTTTTTCCCAGTGGTTCGGACCGGATCACACAGTACGAAGCGGGCTCGTCAACTTTGTACTTAAGACCCGTTAAGAACTTTGTCCGTAAGACTCGTAAACTTGGTGCTTAAGACAACTCGTAGACTTTGCGCTTAGAGCTTGTTTTTACCCAAATTACCTCAGGAATCCATGGACTTTTGGTAAGCTCTAACGTATTCAGGCAGAAATACGCTGGCGCACTTGCATTGGTGCTCGCAACTTTTGAAGTTATGGCTAGTAAAAACGAGAAGCCTGATGCCGATCCACTTTGATGTTCTCTCAAAAGATGATAACAAAACTCCAAGCAACACTGTGTAATTAAAAGGAACATACAATAGATTGGTTTGAGAATAGATGAAAGCCAGCACCTTCTGCGGCAGCAAGTTTATTTCGACCCAAGTTGGGTCTGTGGACGAATAGCTAGTGCTTCCAACAAAAGCCTGCGTAAAAACGGCATCCTAGAGAGGGACTTCGAGGATACCTGTGTCTGGTTTCACCGCGATATGGCGAGTCGCTTGGTCTATTCCCCAGAGCACCACAACTTCGTTGATGCTTATGGCTAAGCTTAACATTTTCTTCTCAGTTTGTCCTTGTAATCTTGTTGGTTCTGTTGACCATATATAAGGAAGATAGCCATTAAATAACCGGTTAATTTTTCCGTCGTATCCTAGCCTAGGTAGGTCCCACCAGGCCATCTACATGGAAGATAGCCATCTTGTTTCATTTTCAGTCCTGCTTCCTTACACTCCGCACCAAACGCGCCTTCGCGACGCCATGTAAAAGACAACTTCTAGGACAACTACTTATAATTGCTTTATAAGTATATCAGAACACATTGACACACTGCGGGAACTGTTTTGTCCCGCCATTAGGCTAGTAGACCTAGTTGGGACGCGATGACGATGATGCACATGCATCATAATTAAAACACCACTTGGGGATGGCGTTGCTCCTCTAATTTTACGTCGTTCGGGATGCTGAGAGCAAGTGGCTGCAGATAGTATTAAGGCTTCGCTGAATTCATCTTGATAGGCATCTTGGAAGCATTTTCCCAGTGGGCCCACACCTAACCTAACCTAGCGTTTGGTAAGGGAAAATGGCAACCAAGATGCTCTTCGGGCTGAATATCGGCCACCAGGTCTAATAGTACATCGGGAGCTTAGCCTTGGTCAGCCAGAACCGAATCGAGAACCCAATACCTCGACCTCACCAAAATCATTATGACTAATATGAGTACCAAGTTGGATGTGATGCTTATACCACCTGCTCAATGATTTAGTGTTGGCGCTAAATGCTAGTACAACACTTGTTAGTAGGATGTTGACTTAGGAGGTGCTAAATGCTAGTAGGATGTTGACGTAGAACATCTCCTCCACTTCATTGCTCTAACTCATCTCGGTGTAGAGCGAAGCTTTGCTGGCGTTGGCTTGAATAAGGGAGACCACGCAGCAAATCCTAGCGAGTTTGCAGTGACAACCAGCGGTCCCAGTTTATGGCCACCTGGACAAATAACCCGTAGTAGACACGTCTGCCATAGTGGAGCACGAAACTAGATGAATCCACGCACTAAGCTATGCTATACAATGACGGCGCGAAGGGTAGTGGAGCACTCACTTCATTCTCCATGGTGCGTGTTCAATTTGCTAGGTATCTGTTGGAAATTCTAAAAATTGGTCTGACGTCATCTGGTGGGACGAGGGGATATAGTGATCATATCTTTGGCACTAGCAGTAGCTCGACGAGCAGAGTGGTGCCCCTCACCGAAAGAAACCTGAGCACCTACATCGAGAATAATAATCATTATGAACGATGCTGTCTAGTACATCGAGAATAGCTTTTCTATTTGAGCACCCACGTCGAGACTAGCTTTTCTATTTGCGCACCTACATCGTCATAATCCTGTATAACTGTTCTACTTCATCTCAGAGTCATCTCAGGGACCGTTCTTCTTTTCGTTTGTCCACCGTTCTTTTCTACGTCATCAAAGCACGACTTCTACTCATCTAAGTAGCTACCACTTCCACACCTGCAGCAACGATCACTCAGCCGGAGCCGCCTCCGTCGTTGAGGGATCACGTTCCTAGGGACGCGGGAGCGCCCGCCTTTTCGTATGACGGTGGGCAAGGATTTCTGTTGAGGCCATCTGAACTCTTAAACTTGTTGTGTCTGGTCGTGCGTGAACATCTTAGTAAGAAGCATAGTTTTATTCAGGGATTAAGTTACTCAGAAGAATAGTTACTAAAGCCGTAGATTCATTCCCGTAATTCTCGGCTCTTATCTCAAGCTTACCAGTTATTTTTATCTGATGATCTTCAAGATCAACAGGAAAAGAAATGCTGTTCCCTCTAATCAGACCGCCGGGTCGTGGTGGGAGTGACTCATATCATGCTGGTATGCAGCAAGGCGGAGCATCGAATAGTGTTAGCGTATCGAAGATTCAAGGGAATCAAGGTACTTGTGATTGAAGACTTTTGTAGAACCAGAACACCAAGACGTAGGGATAGGGTATTGATATGCTTTGAAGCGTGCTAGCTTTTACTTTTAGAAGATGTAGCATATAAACAGGACGATAATTTATGAATGACATTAAGCTGGTGCTGGAAAGTACTAAATGTATAATTTTAGATATAGAGCATCATTTTGCGTGACTGCTCCATAACTTTGTCGACAACTACCTGAAAGGCTCCAACAGGACAGTCGTATAATCCTTATCCTAGAGGCCTCCACGCCTTGAAAAAAAAACCATCACCAGCCGCGCCGTCAGAGCAGTCGGAGAGTGTAAAGCATTACTTGATTCGCCCAGGAGCTAAGCGGGATGAGCGAGACAGCCGCTTTTTAGAGCGTCTTTATTTAAGGCCTGTGAAGGAAATAGATATAGAATACATCTGTCTCCAAAGCCATTTGTGAAAAGAAATCAAGCTACCTGCATTGGACCAGGGTAGTCTACATTTGTAGCTACCTTGTACTACACCCCTCTAATGTATTCTGACAATGGTGCAGGATCGCCGAGTATAGGAGATCGGGCTTCTTCTATGGGAGGAAGCAATCTTGTTGCACAGCAGACAACCCCCGGATTTGCACAACAAACAACTCCCGGAGGCAGCTCTAGTATCAACATTAAGGCTTGAGGAAGTCCATCCTCCGCAGCACTTTGCTGCCGTTTTGCAGGGAAAACGGGCACGAAGATACTCACCAAGATGGATTTTTGCAAGGTCTAACAGCAACATTCTCGCTAATGGAGGAAGAGATGGCGGAGTACCTCTGACTACGACCATGGGGATGAGAAGAGCACCAGGCAATGGTAATGCCTCGCCTCTTTCTGTTCCTCCTGTTGTATTAAGGGTAGTTTATCACTGTCCCACGTGGACTATACTGTAAGTGAATTCCCTCCTGATCTGAAGGGGAAAGTAAAGGTGGAAGAGGGCTCCGCACTCGAGCAGGGATAGTGATAAACTACCTCTAATGGTAGAGCCTCCTGTTGGAGGACCTCCTGTTCCTGTTGGAGCAGCCTCCTCTGGAACACAACATCAACCTGCAATTGCACCGCCTTCAGGATTACGGCTCGATGCAATTCATTTCCAAGGGTCTCTTTCTTCGGTTTTCTTCTTAGGAGATTCTGATGAAGAAATGAAGGCAGGATTCCGAGAAATTGCTTTGAGCTCTAACAGGAGGGGAGAGGAACAGAGTCGAGCAACTGGAACAGCAGCTGCGCAATGTGACGGCCACGAATGACCACACTGTATGACAGCAGGAATGAAGTATAAAGGCATTTGCACAACTATTGACTTCAACTGTCTAGCAGCTAGGTCTAGGTAGCAGCTAGACAGTTGATTGTAAATGTAATGAATGCTTTTGTCTTTTTCTGTCTTTCTCTGGTCTTTGTTTTTTCTAGCTTTTTAGGTGTGCTCCTCCACAATTATTTCAAATATCCTTTAGTAGTCAAGTACTAGCATCAGATCTGTGTTGTGTCTGTGTACTACTTGTGATGTTGATCTTCTTGGTGGAGATTCTTTCACTTAGTTTTGATTTTGTGGACTTATGGTGACCACCCCACTTCATCGCTCGTGGCAGAACTGGCCAGCACAAAGACGGAACGGAATAAGTTCAGGGATGAACGAGATAAGTCCGATGCTCGCGTGAAGGAGCTGGAGAGCAAGATAGCGAGCCAAGAAAAATTAAGGCCTCTCAACGCCTTCAAGCTTCTATCCACTAGTGTTTTCATTTCTCCTTCTTCATGTTGCTGCTCATCTTTCCTCTTTCTTTACGAACGACACATCCACAGATATATTGAAAACGAAATGAGTAGGTCCTATAGGGTATACCTATATTACTTCTTCATTCATCTACGAAGAGAAATCAGTAAGAGTATGTTCACGTGGTTCAGTTCCCACTTCTAGTTCTAAGAGAAATCAAAGAGTATTGCATGCTCAGATAACTACTGAGTACAACTAAATAGGTAGCTACCTTGTAGTACAAGGGGTTGCGCTACCAAGATCGCGTGGGACTAGGTGTAGTACAAGGGGTTGCGCTACCAAGATCGCATGGGACTAGGTCATATCCGTATCCCTGGTCTAACTAGGTCCTCGTCATATCATCATATCCTTTTCTGTCCTCTAACATTCGAAATCAAGGAGTACGCCCAGATGGTTCAGAATAGTTACAATGAAATCTGCAAAAAAAACGACGACGAGGTGATGTTCAAGAACCGGATCCAGTCGTTGGAGAAAGATTGCGATTTTGCAGCAGAAGAAGAAGTAGTGAAGGAGGTAAATAAGTTTAAGAAGCTGAATGACGTAGAGGCTTTATTTTGTCCTAGTAAACTACATTGGTAGAGGTTTAGGCCCAGCGGCGCTCAAAGCACTAAGTAAGACAGCCGGTTAGTTTTCACCTCGACAATATTAGACTTATCCCGTGCAGCACTACATTGGTAGAGGTTTTTTGTCCTAGGTACTTTGTGCCAGTAAGTAGAACTAATTGGGACACCATGACGATGAAGAGGCGAATAAGTTTAAGGACGAGGCTATAAATATCTTACATATAATAATGTCCTCGCTGCAACAGCACACTGTCTGCTTTTAGTGTAAATCTCGAAGTGAAGGAGGTGAATAAGTTTAAGAAGCTGAATGATGTGGAGGCTTTTTGTTAGAGAGAATAAGTTTAAGGACGGGGGGGCTGTAAATATATCTTACATATGTCCTCGCAACAGCACACTGATTCGAAGCATGTTTAGTTCATCGTTCCTCTCCTCGAAGGTGCACAACTTTTAAGTGCTCTAGTATCTTCGGAAGGCTACTTGAGACGCCATGATGATGATGCTCCTCTAATAACTTCCTGGATGAGTATCATGAGATTTTTGAGACCTTGGGAGGCTCAGGCGCAGAAGATAACATAGGGTTCGAAGACTCCGTTAGGGGTTGGCTGAAAGACGGACGTCAGACACAATTTGGACGCTTTGTGCGACACTTGATATTATGGCTGTTTGAAGATATTATCACAGATTGATCAAGGACTATAGGGTTAGTAGTACATTCCATCTACTTGTCACAGATTGATTGGCCGCCGCTCGTTAGATAGACGGCCGCATACAGTTGATTCACATTTTTCTCCAGTCAAAAACGAGAACTTTATTTGTCTTATTAGTTAAATTATGTTTCATTTCCAAGAGGACGAGGAGCAAGAGCAAAATTCTCACCTTCTAATGCCGGTTCTGAATCAAAGAAGGATACTCCAGCTCTGTGGACTGTGCCTATCGTTCAAAGCAGAGAAGGAGCACTACGTTAAGAAGTAGAGATAGGAACACTTACACTACGCTATGAAGTGGAAGATGAAGTAGAGCACTAGGCTACGATCTCTGAAAGAAGTAGTAGAGCGATAAAGTTGTAGAACACTACGTTACGACTTCTGGATGACATGACAGACAAACTGAGAAAGGAGACAGCGATATTCTACTTATGATACTACATGAAGTCTAGAAGTAGTACGCGGTAGTACAGTCTAACTCATATAAAAAGAAAATAGTCATAGCCATAGACTGGTTAATTTTTCCCTCATTTTCTAGGTCTATCCCACCAAGCAAAATAGTGAGAGACCAAAACTGTGAATGCTTCACAGTCCTTAAGAAATATCGACTTCCTGCCCCTTCTCATAGTCGTGAACGCTCGCCTTTTCGAGGCGAGCCAATTCCTATCTTCTTCTATCCTCTCCTAGAAGAGTTTGCTTCTCTAAATTCTAGAAGAGCTTGCAGACGCAGTTCCAGCGAGTAAAGGACATGGAAGGAGCGTTGCGCCAAAGCCGAGGTTCGTAAAAGAGTTTTCTCTTTGTCGAGGTCACTTTGCTTATAGCATGAAGATGAAAAAGAAGAAAGAAAAGCTAGACCTGCATTTCGTCAGAGATGCTACACCCAGATTTGAGCCCTATCTCAGAAGTCTCTATCTTCCATGTCAACAACCAGGTGCCGACTATCTTGATAGCAGCGGCACATCTGTGCAGCAAGGCCAAGCGCAACAACACCAAGCCGCAGCGCAACAACACCAAGCCCAAGCGGAACTCGTTAATCATTACGGCTTTATTACGTAGAGACATAATATCAGATTTAGTAGCTCCATTCCAAATCCAACGACATCGAGGTGTTGTGTCAACAACTTTAGAAATGAGTGAGAGCAGGTCATCTACTTTTACTACTAGATGATTAGATGCTCCAGAACACCCACGAAAAAAATAAGTCCCCTTGAATATAATTTAGATTTACTTATGTGTTGGGGCCCCGTTATATAATTATCGTAGAAAAATAGGCCCCCTTATAATTGAAGGAGATCAACGAAACCTACTTTTTCCAGTGAAATATATCAGGACAGTTTCTATCGAATTACTCAAAATATGTCACCTTACAAAGATCAGGACAGTTATCTAGCCTTCTCGAATTAACCTAACCTAACCTTGACATAACCTAACCTAATCTTATCGAATTACTCCCGCTCACCTCTTCGTTCTAAAATTGGATCGAAGTTTTAAAGGCCAGGATCCAAGAACTAGAGGCTACAAATGGCGAACTAGGACGCAATCAGAGTAGCCAAGAGACGGCCAACGCCCAGCTAGCCGAAGAGCTTGCCCGAATGAAAAGCTACACCTTTTCGCCGACTGCGGCCGCTTCTGTTATGCTTGTTTGATGAGAATTGATGCAGATGCTAAATGAAAACGTAGTGGATCGTGTTTTCACCAGTGACATTCAACAACACTAGTGGATAGTTGTTCATGGACACTGAGTACTGAATACTGATAATGTTGACAAATAAAGGGGTAACCATGTCCGAGAACAGCAATCTATCATCAAATAAGTAGCTGTCGCCCCTGCTTACAACAAATATGTAGTTGCCACTGTTCTAGTACCTCCTATCCTATCTTGCTATCCTATCCTATCCAATCCTATCAAAGGCACCCGCCGCCCTATCCCATCCTCCTGCTTGCTCTAAAAAGAAAAGGAGTCCAGCTGGTGGGCCTGTCGTTTCGTCGTTTGGTGGAGGGCGTATTTCTCTCTTTGCTGGCGTTGCGGGAACAAGTGGTGGTGGCCCAATTCAACTCGGGACGAATCAACCACTAGCACAGTACAGAAGGCCGATGCCTGGTGGTAGCTTTGCGGGAACCAACAGCTTCGGTCCTCCACAAGCATAGCTCGTTAGCAGGATTGTCGCTACACGAACATTTAGAGATGACCACTGAGAATATAGTCTTCGACAGTACAACCCGCCACAAGTACTACAAGTACTTTTTATGATGTTTACAACCGATGAAGATCATCAACATTTTTAGCATACAGCGTAGCATTTTTACGATTACCAAGCGTTTATCAAAAGCTGAAAAGTGTAACACTCGCATTGAGCATAAAAATGAAAGATTAAATGCAACGAGAATACGAACTCGAGAAGCTTCGAGCTCGCATTTCGAAGCCTAAGAAAGTGTAGGCGCCAGCACAAGAACAAACTCCGAGACATAGATCAAGAGAGATAGACCACCTTCAGCGTAGTGCAATAGAGATAGACTCTCATGCTTATGCGAACAAGGTTCAAGTTATTTTTACGATTACGTCCAAGGGCTTCGAAGATGTTTTTCTTTGTCTTACGATTGATTCAGAGATATTCGCTATTTTCAGGCTTACAATTGCAAACATACCATAGGACATGGTCCTCTATAGTGATGTGCTACGAATGGTTAAAATAAGTACATGTAAATGACTTTTTACCCATGCTAGTTGTTAACTGAAGATCACAATTCCATACCATGCATTTGATTGCACAGCTACACGAGTGACTCATCTTGAAGATTTCATGTGCATACTCATCCTGGCTGATCATGTTATGCTAAAAACTTGGTGACCAACATTCATATAATCATGTTAGCATACCGAATGCACTTGTATAACATCACTTTGTACTAGCGCTAGGGCGTGGGCTTCCACGAGGATGCAAAACTAAAAATGCTAGTTGTTGACTATTCTAGTTATTCTTCTATGAGCTGCTTCTTTTCCCAGAGCACTTCTATGGTCACATTCCTGGAGCGCCTATTCGTTGCAATCTCCCATCACCGCGACGTCGGCGTCGTCCACAACCAACTACAGCGAGCTTGTTCCTTCTTTTCACAGAGGACTAACATCAGTATCCAGTGTGCGCCTCAAAGTATTCATATTCTTCAAAGAAATGTTTCTGTCGCCGATGAGCAGGAGCATGGACCCAAGCTGCGACTACTGGGTGGCTTTGTGTTGAGTGAAGAAAATGCAACATGTGTGGTTTCAAAACCGGTTGAAAATCATGCTGATGGAGGTCTAGTAGCTGCAAATCGAAAAGTACTTAAGCATTCACTTCATTTTGTTCCCACCAACATTATGGAGAAGTAAAGCGTTTCCTCAAGAAGTGAGTCACTCATCGAACTCGAGCAAATACTAGTGATAGGTTTAGACCCAGTATCTACGTAAGAAGTTATCTTGTGCTAGAAGTACTAATCATTCAGCATCTACTTGATCACATTCACAAAGGGAGTTTCTTGAGCAGTAAGTATACTGAAAAATTTGAAGCGCCGTAAGCGACATTTTTCATTAATTACATCAATAATACCACCGGAAAAATGACGGGTGGCGGCATCAGCGAGCTGTCGGTGCCAGTCGACTTGACGCCATTTGAAGCAGAGCACTTCATTCAGCAGATCGAGCCATTAGACCTCGAAACCGTTGGGGATAAAGCCTTCTTGGATCAGTTATGTTCTTAAAAGAATGAATGGTCGCTGTCTTAGTCTTTCTTTCGAGTTTTTCCATTCGAAGAGCGTTTTGCTAGATTTTCCTTCATTGTTGCATGAGCGGCATTGTTGCAGGCGCATTACCAGGCAGAAGACAAGACTGTCCTCCCCTTGCCACAGGCCTAGCTAGTTTAAACTTAAATTAGTCTAAAAGTTAACTAGCTAGATTCCTCCTTAAGCGTAGCTAAAATTTATTTTTGCCTTCCTTCATTGTTGCATGAGCGGGTGGACAAGCTATCGGCTCAGGCGCATTACCAGGCAGAAGACAAGACGGATGAGTACATCGTAGACCTCCTGAATACGCACGAGAAGGTGCCGGTCCTGGTGCATAACCTCATAACCGTCGAAACGTGGAAGGAACATTGCTGTATGAAAGGAAGAACAAGAACATTGTTTACTCCTGTAGGGAGCAAGGATCATTAGAAGGACGATTTTTTGCACACGACTCAGAGACCCTACATGTAAAGAGTGCGCCTAGTACTTGCATACGCAATTTCGTAGGAAGAATTATCAAAATTTGAGAAGGTACGAATATCGACCATATTCATAGACCATTTCTTGGATCCAGAAGAATACTTCGACTATAGACAACGTAGATCATAGTAGAACAATCAGAGGTAAGTCAATCATTAGTAGAGATAAAGATGAGCTGTTTGTGTTTTATACTACCTGAGTACTTGTAATTATGCAGCCATCAGTTGTGAGTAACCTGTGCGTCATCACTTATGAGCACTTTAATCTCGTTCCGCACCTGAAGGAGCACGTCAGCACCCTAAGCAGCTTGCGGAGCTACATACCGATTTACTCGGAGGCTTCTTTGTTAAGGCTTCCCACATTTTTGCCTTCTGCACTTGCATCCTTGACCACTTAAATATAAAAACATAAACAAGCGGTTAGTTTTTCCCTCCTAGTAAACCTTAGAACTCCCTGCATCATTCTGAGACGTAGATACTTACACGCACCATGAATGGGTCGCACATTACCGATTCCACGACTACTACTAATACTACTGCTACGTGTCTTCAGGGATCATGTTTTTTTGAAGAGAGCAACGAATGTTAAAACCTTCTCTAATGTTGGTATCTCTGGTAGAGATGTGCCTGTACCATTCGCAGTCATGCGAGACAGCTGGAGACTCCCTGGTCGACCTGATTGATTACGTCTACCGAAAACTTACCTATCTAGTCCAGCACCCCAACGCGAAACTCTACAGCTGGCCGCCGCAGAGCACAGAGGAAGCATTGGCGAAATCAGAGGTGGACCTGCTGAATGAACAGTATATATGGGCTCGTTGTTGTCGTGGGTTGTAAGAGGAGTACTCGAAGATGCTGATTAGGGGGAATGATCACGACCATGACCTGGATCATGACTAGCTTGGGTTTGTTCGTTATAATAATTGAAGATACATTTTGTAATATTCGCCAAATAATAACCTCATATTGTTTCTGTTTCCTCAATTTATTCCTCGTTGGCTTACAAGTTCTACTCTTTTGTGGGATCTTGTCACATCGATTCACCCTGCCGATAGGTGCAGCAAACCTATTTAGGATGCACAGAATAGAATAGAATACGAGCAGTGGCTTACAAGTTAAGAGTAGCACCTGAACGCGTCACGAGTAAAGAACTCGATTGCAGTGTTTCTCCTGACTTTGCAACTGGTTGACCTCACAAGTAGACACTAATAGCTACATAAGAGGCACCACGACATGACATGATATTCGCCAAATATTTCCCGGGGAACATGTTTTGTTCTTCCTCAAACGGCCATTTACAAGAGTGACTTTATCTCTGACTTTATTCACCCGAGGAGGCAGGTCAAACTGTGGACGGTGAATCAAATCCTATCCTATCCTCTGTGACTTCACAGGTTCCTGGACATCGAGTTTCAGATCTGCATGTCGGCGCTGAACATTTGCCGATACCTCACGGACCACCGACAGCATCTTCCTCTGACGCTGACGACTCGCTTGTTAGAGAACCACGACATTCTGCTGACGCTTGTGCCCCTCATGGAGAAGGCGCCTTGGATAAGAAAGCGACGTGGCCAGTTCGAGAAGTTCGAAAAAAACGTGTGGAAAGTGGTACAACTATTTTGATGATGGTGAATTTCGATTTTGATTTTGATGGTGCAGGATAGATTTACGTATAATGTAGTTCATGTTGTTCAATATCGGCAAGCAACACAACTTCTAGACAATCTACTTTTCATTGTTCTCAACATTATATTTAAACTTTCACCGCCTACCAAACCCATCCTATAAACTTTCAACGTCCTAGAAATCATCTTCTACTCCTTCCGCCTACCTTTTCCCCTCCAGATCGAAGAGGACGATCTTTGCACGCTACCGAAAATGTCGTCGCAACTTTGGCTGACCATGTATAATTTGATCATGGATTCTCAATGCAGGCAACGATACGAGATGCGAGGGCACCGAAAAGACAACTTGCTACGTCTTCGGAGATTTCTCAACGAGATTGTTTATGGGACATTCATATCTATGTAGTATTAATCAATAGGGTCGTTATGTCTGGCCTTTTACTACCTGTAAAAACATGTGTGGGAAGATTTCTAGGGGTAAGCATTATTAAGAGCAGTAGTTTGTAGTAGAGGCGACTGCCCTATTAAACTGCATCCTTCCAGGAGTCGGTGACAAGACAACTAAATATGTTGTTATACATCGAAGAGGGAACAACTAGAACTAAATTATATGTTCCCCGTATGAAGAGTGTAGTTTTCAAACAAGGCAGCTGCATTTAAGCGCAGAAGTTTGTAGTAGAGGCAACATGATAGAGAGAGCTCTAAACTCCATTCGATCAGATCCCGCCACTTGTGGAGCTACTACGAACCCTTGAGGAATTGGCGATCGCGGGACAGTTAACGCAAGTACAAACCACCAATCTCCCAGGACAGAGGCGTATTTGATTTTGATCTTTTTGTCGGTCCAGCAATCGTGTTGTACTAAAGATTAAGATTTCTTTTTTTTTTCTTTCCGGTTTACGAAGTGCCATTGGCCCGGCTGGGCAGTTGTTGTGGGAGTTGGCCTTGTGCTGGCTGCCATTTGGCTTCTACGGTGATTACGACTGGTCATATCAGGAGCACAGCACACATGACATTTCATTTTTTCCCATTAATAAATACTGTTTTGTAGCTAAGCCTCCTATGTAGCGGTTTTCAATGACGATTGGAATCCATCCTCCTCATTTCAGCCAATCCCTCGGATTCCATCTCGTCTGCGTTTTTTGTCGAGTTAGTAGCGGAGGTACGGGAAAGTCTGATGCAGAGATATCGCGGTAGATGGGAGAGTGTGGCTCGCACGCAGAAAGAAGAAATCTTTACCAAGTTATTCTGGGAGAGTGACTTAGAGATAGATTTTTACATGATTAGGAGTTCCTAATCATTGTAAGTTGTAGATGTAGACTTTTTTTTTGTAATCAATCACTCACTCATTCAGCACTCATTCAGCACTCATTCAGCACTCATTCACTCACCCACTTACTCACTCACTCACTCACTCACTCAGTGTAACCCTAAGAAATATGTTCACCTCTTGTAGACCTAGACCAATATACTTAAGTATGTCACCACGTTGCACAAGTAAGAGTATCATTTACGCTTACTTACAACAGTTCGTTGTAGGCATCATCATCTTCTCATCTTCTTTATCATCATCATCATCATCGCCTTTATCGTCATCATCTCCCCTCTAATCTCCGAAACCGAAGCGGAGATGAAGCGGTTGCCGGATTTGATGTGCATTCCGCGATTAGACGACGAGGATGAGCCAGAGACTTTAGAGGCCCGAGTAGGGCAGAACGCCTTTGAAGGGAAGAAAACGTCAGACGACTGGATCGCTGAAGTCGCTAGAGACATCGGGATTGAGCCAAGGAAACCGGGGAGCAAGGAGTCGATCGGAGAAACGACAGCTACAGTTACGGCAATGAGAAGATGCCGATATTTGATTACATTTTTCATAAGAGTCTAGTATTTGGTATCATCCCACGTTTGCCTCCTTCTAATCTCTCATCTGAATCTGAGAATGCCGACAAGGAGAACGCTGTCCCCGAGATCAATTTTGATACTCCTGCGATGCGTGAGCTTTACCAAAAAGTACATGGGAGGAAAGGCGCGCCGCCGACTGTTGACGCCGTTCCACAAGGCGACATAGATGAGATGGACTGATACTGAATTGTTACAGTCTTTTTTCTATGGAAAGCCTTGTCGTGCTAGAAGGGTGTGAGCAGTAGTTCTTGATGGCAGAGGAGGTTGACGGATTTTTCGAAGTGGTAGGTTGAGTCCTCTACTAGTTCTTGATGGCAGAGGAGGTTGAGTCTACCAGTGGCATCATGGTTTTCACTTGCTCTATCATCACCACCTCTGACGTACAAACGAGCTCAACATTCGCTGTACGGCGATATGAGATCGAAAGACATTACTTATGGACTTTCCTACCTGGACTAGTTCTAGTAGATGCTCTTTGTTGAGAGTGTACGTAGCAGATGCTCGGACGCGTCTCAGGACAAAGCGTTATTGGACGATCAGATTTCAGAGACTAGAGTGGCGCTTTCGAGCAAGAGGCATGTTAATCGGTTAGGCGCTTTGTCGTGTCTTGTGCATCCAGTATGAGGAGAGACAAGAGCGGACGAACGTGCGTGAGATGCGAGAAAAAAGACTAGTGGTATCGGTCATTCAGTACTGCTGCATAGTGAGAGTGATGAACTCGATTCGGAACTCGGAAGAATATATAGCTCGTTTGGCTTTGTCATCATCGCATCGGTCGCTTCTCTGATACGGCGGGATTAAAAGGAGCCGCTCGTCGGAAAGAAAACTGGGGCAACAAAATCAAAATTTTTGATTCATAATTAGACAGTAATTTATTATCCCATTTGTCTATGTCTATCCCACCCTATCCTTCAACTGAATGAATTTATAAGTTCAAAGGAAAAAGAAGTAGTAGACTGCTAACAACGTTACGTAGTATATCAGATACGAGTTCTCGTATATCAGATACGAGTCAAAAATATACACTAGAGCTTGACTAAGAACAAGGGAGAAGAAAAATGTCGAAGAAGGAAGACAAACTGATAAAGCCAATCGAAACGCAGGATGCGTTTGAAAACATCTTAGGGAACGAGAAAAGGCTTATCATCCTGGATGTGTACTGAATCTTTTGTTTTGTACATCATGAAGTTGAAGATAATTGTGAAGAGAGAAAAAAGTCCTGATCCGTTCTTTCCACCTCTTCAGGTATCATTCGTGGTACGGACCATGCGCGCAGATGGAGCCAACGTTTAAAAGCACAGCAACAAACACGGACTTCTTCGACATGAGAGGAATTTTCTACAACGTACTGTCTTATTTTTCTTGACCCACATCTACTTCAAGTACAATATTAGGGTTAGTACTTTCTGTTCATGGTATCATCGTTGTTAAATAAACCAAAGAGTCCTCTTCATTAATTGTATTCTCGTCCTGTTACAACTTTGCCGTCAACCTTCTCAGATGGAAATCGGAGTGGTACCCGAATTGTCGGAGAAATATATCGAGAAGAAGCCAAAAAGCAAGCCACTATTTCTCTTTTACCTTAATGGCAAGATCGTAGCGGAAGTGCTGGGCTGTGATTCTCCTCAAATTCTAGGTACTGCTTAGTCGATTCTTTTTTTTTGGTTCCTTCTAGAGATGACCTGAAAGAAACTGTCTATCTTTATCTAACATGCTTCCTGTTGATTTAGAGATGAAGATGCGGATAGGCATTGTTGCTGTGATAGATTCGCTAGAAAAAGAGAAGCATACTACACGTCGACTCTCGCTTTCCAGGTGCACTGGAGGAACATTTGCCGGTTTACACGCCAGACGAGGACTAAGCGGGTCTTCGCGCAAAAGTGCACTTCCCGTTATTCTGAAAAAAAAAATTAAATCGACGAGAAGCTCCCCACTTTTCGTAGTACTCGTTATAGGAACCCCTTGTTACCTCTCACTCTCCTGCATCTACGTTCCGTTTACTACTTAGATTTACATCCTTTGTTGACAAACAAGAAAATTTCAATTTGCGCGAAATACATCATGAGAAAGGAACCATTGCTCCTAAGCTGCATGCTGGATTTGCATATCTAATGAAAGGCGTTGAACGTGTGACACGAAACAAGGTGCTCGCTACTGGGTAGAACACTCACTGCTTAGAACGTTCACTGGTAAGGAGAGAGCATGAAGTTCTCGCGCGTGTGTATCCACCACAGCAGCTGCTCGATAGTATGTTAATCTGTCAGTATTTGATTCGAGAGCGACATCTGTGCTGGGGAAATACGAAAGTAGGATCTTCTCTTCTTGTGGTGTGTAAGTACACACCAGTGTGGCAGATGACAGTGAAACACTACTCTGAGAGAAGCAGATGTCTCTTGTTGAGAGCTGTGTTGGTGTGGTCGGTACGAGCCGCCCTGACCGACGGTGAGGTCCCGGCCTCCCCTCTCGCCACCCCCGCGCCTCTTGCTTGTGCTTATTCGCTTGGGCGTGTGTCATTTTTGGCCGCTCTGTGTAGGTTGTCGTCGATCATTCGTCTGGTCTTGGTCGTGTCGTGTTGGTGGTGTCTGTTCGTTGCAAGTGAGCAGCCCGGCGGCTTCGACGAGTTCCTCTGTTAGTCTGTATCAAAAGAGCACACGAGAAAAAAGGGCGGCAAAGCGCCACCCACCTAAGAGAAGCAGATGTCTCTTGAGAGCTGTGCTGGGTCCAGAGAACCTTTTCGTAAGGAGCGAAAAAGAAATCTGTTGCGAGTAAGCTAAAATCGGATCAAGAGTGACGTCGTGGCTAAAAGGTTCTCTCTGTACGAGTACGCAATATTGTCTGTGGTTTATGATCGCGAAACGTACTGTGCCCCTACTGGTGGCCAGAAAACTTTTTCTGAAATCTCCAAAGCTTCATTCTTGTTTTATGTCTTGTAAACCACCAGCTGAATGAGTTCTGACGCCTAGAACGATAGACATAAGACAAGTTCTGACACCACCTAGATCATGAGTTCTGACGCCTAGAACGATAGTAGATGATCAAGATTTGCACCATTTTGATGTTCTGACGCCTAGAACGATAGTAGATAATCAAGATTTGCACCATTGTGATGTTCTGACGCCTAGAACGATAGTAGATGATCAAGATTTGCACCATTGTGATGTTCTGACGCCTAGAGCGATAGTAGATGATCAAGATTTGCACCACAAAACGATTTTATTTTCTTGCCTTGGCAACGTAGACCTAGACTTTGCTTCGTGAAAATTGTTGATTTTGAAAAAGCAACATGACGTCATCTGTTACTAGCGCTCCTGGCACCGGCGAGAGTCGTGGCAATGCGCGCGGGTCGAAGGTTGGGGCTATGCTGCGCAGCGTCGCGCCCACAAGGATGTTACGCAGGCTAAATCGAGTCGGAAGCGCTGTGTTACAACGCGCTTCAAGCACGACTAGCTCGCTAGTTATCACTTCTGGTGAAGATGATTCTTCACAGAAAGCAGATATTAAGGAGCAAGGGTCTGGGTCTGGCGTATCGACGCAGCGGACAAACCAGTCAGGAGGTGCAGCTGGGGTGAAAGAAAATAGAGGCGAAGGCGAAGCTGCGCCAATGAAAGCTGCAAGAAGAGGAAACACTGGACTTGGCGGAGGAAAAAACTTGAATAACGCGAACGGATTCGAAATGACTGGAAAGCAAGGGTCCTCTAAAACTAGAGGGACTGTGGAGGTCTCGGCTTCCTCTAAAGAGACTGTGGAGGTCTCATCAAAGGTGTCCGGAGCTGCAACCTGTAAGCAGGATCTTGAAGAGACCCAGGATCTTGAAGAGACCCCTGGAGGAGATGAACAAGGCCCACTAGTAAGATCTTCAAGAGACCAGCAGGAGGTGGACGGACCCACAACTGTTGTTGAGCGCTTATGGCAGGTTGAGCATGGTGTCGATGTCATGATCGACCAACTAGGCTTCGTACCTCGTAAAGTGGTGCAATTCGCGGAAAAAAAGGCCCATAATGCCCCAGACAGTATTGCTAATGGAGTCGCCTATGTGACTGGGTCGGATCACTTAGCTGGCCTGGTCCGCATCTGGGACATCGATTCGCCGTTTTTGCTCATTTTTTCCGGAGTCTGCGTTGCAGTGCACTTATTCGCAGGTGAGGAGGCTCTCTACAAATATTTCATTCAGTATCCAGCAAGCTATTGGGACTCCAAAGATTGGCTCTCGTGGTTTCGCATCGTGGGTCAGACATTTGGGCATGGGGACCGTAACCATTTGGCTCAAAATATGACCAATTTGTTCCTCGTAGGTCCTGCGTGCGAGCACCAATTTGGTGCTTGGAACTTGGTCAAGTTTTGGCTGTACATTTGCGTTTTCTCGAGTTTGTGGCACATGAGGTTCGGCGCAGCGGACGCAGCGCAACTTGGTTGTTCGGGGCTTGTCTACGGTTTCATTTTCCTGAACTCTCTACTCTGCCTAAAAGCTGGCCGCATCCCGTTGACTTTTATCATTCAAATCGTAGTGTGGTGTCCGAGACCGGAAGAGATCTATCCCGGAGTAACTCGAGACGTCGCTCAGTTTGTGCTGAGAGAGCTGAATCAACCGAGGTATGCAGAAGCAGTCGCCGGTCTGACGTGGATCACACAGCCTTTAGAGGCTTTGGCGCGCGCACCGGGACCGGGGTCCGCTGGCGGAGCGGTGACAACGAGTCACGGTGCCCATGCAGTAGGCGCTTTGGCTGGAGCGCTGTTAGGCTACCACATGCACCACGAGAAACTGCACCACACAGCCAGACACATCGTCGCCGTGTGGCATCGAAAAGTGGAAAAGCACAGACAAATTCGCGACCAAGAACGAGCCCGCGTACTGGAAGAACTACGAGAAGTAACAAAAAACCGAAGGGGATGTGAAATAGAAGATTCATCCTACTCGGTTTTTTGTTGCTTCTCGTAGTTCTTCCAGTACGATGAAGATGAGCATTACAATCCTACGTACTAGAGAAGTTAACATATGAACGTTTATAACTATTGAATCATAACAAGTGCAGAAATTAAGATTTTCTCTACGTCCGTAGTATTTTTAAGGCTTGCGTGCGTGGTAATCCGCACGTGCTGGAAGCAGATGGCCATCAGTGCGAGTTTTTTCATCTCTTCAGATCGAAGTGCAGCATGTTCAGACTGTTTCTTATTTGCTGTAAAAAGATAAAGAATCTTCACTGTACTTTGGTCTTCCTCGATCTACTGCAATCTTTGCGTGAGATCCATCGTGTAGATCAAATATGACGCCCCTATGGCAGTCTGCACTGAACTTTCTGCGAGATTAGTTGTATTGTATTGTATTGTATACCGCTCGCGTCCCGCATCGAATGCTTCGTCCCCTCGGGAAGACGTTTCATTCAATAGAGAACTCATTCAATCAGATTAATACTGTGCCCTTCTTCGGGAATGCAGCACGGTATTAAATAGTCCCATCGACGGTTTCGGAGCACTGATTTGGGCGAAATTCCATTCCATATTGTATGGCATTGTAACAAGGTGTCCAAGTCCACCACGATGAGGATGGCTGTCAGTTGCCGAATGAAACAGAATAGAGCAAGAAGAAGATCCTAGTGCAGTTGAATCAATCAGGTCTACCAGGGAGTAGGTTTTAACATTCGTTGCTGAATGAACGAGGTTAGAGAAGGTTACAACCTTCTCCCTGGTAGACCGTTGATTATAGTATCTATGCCTGTGATGCTTTGTGGTTGCGTGTTCGTTTGTTCATTTCCAGCAAGAAGGAAGCGCTGAGGCAGTTCTAGGCAGCAGCATTGAAGATCTAGGTTGAGAGAGAAGTATTCAGTCTACTAGTACGGATCACGAGACTGAGGCCGACCACGGTGGTTTCTTGTGCAAGCTAGAGGGGTCCTCTGTGTATCCAGCAGGAAGATGACGCTCTTAAGGCTATAAGAAATCCATCTTCGGGCCCAGCATCTTAGTCGGTCCCGTTTTTATAGAGGAAAATTGGGAAGCAAGATGATGGGCCCGAAGTTAGATGGATTTTTTGGTTTTTTTGAGTTGTTCTAATAGTTCTAATGGCGAATGAGATAGTTCTTGAATTGTAAGGCCAATGAGATAGCTCTAATGGCGAAGAGTCGAGGAACGAGAAAGTGACAGCATTTCAGAAGTCACCACTTCTTCAGACAAGAAATCAACGAGGCTCCAGCTCTGGCGGAACGAGACAGGAGGAGGAGGGCGAACAACATACAACGGCTTGCAGCACTTGCTGAAAATTGTCCGCCGGATTGTCATGTTCCCTAAATCTCGATGAACGCAGTACTAGAGCTACAGACTAGATAGACTAGAGGAAACCCTAAACCCTTTCAGCAAGACGAAGTCGAAGTAAAAGAACGTGGTCACGCACTTATTATTTATTTAGATATTTGGATTACTTGATTCTTTTGGTTTTTTGTTTTCTAGTTGTATGTGCTCCACCGATAATATTTAAGTATAAGATCGTGGTCACTTAATAAGGATGTGGTCGAAGGAGCTTCGTACTGGTCGTGACTGCCACCTTAGACTAATATGAATCTTATCAGGTAACTACTTACTATGTATTTACATGTTCAACATCTTCGCGTTTCTTCGGCTACTTGTGTTGTATTCGTGCTTCTTTGCTTCTTCAGCCCATTAAATAGTTTTTATGAACATGGTATATACAGTGACCGTTGTTAATCTTGTTCACATGATACGTAGCTAATCAAGGTCAAATGTCACATCTGCTAAGAACATCCAGGACAACTTCAAACGCATTCTTTTCATTTTCATATGGGTAATCCAAAAATAATATATGTTAACTGTTGCTTCTCTTCAGTCATTGACAGACAAACGAGAAGGGATCATGCGCCTCGCGACGAGTGGTTTTAGTCTATACTGGCAGCAGAAAAAGGCACCAAGCTCAACTACGTGTAGATCAGGGACTTCGACGGACAACTATTACAATTTCATTAAATGGTATGCGGGCGACACGAGAAGACGTTACTTGTAGCTGCAGCTTGGTTCATCTTATCCTCATCTTCTTGAGCATGGTTCAGCTTTTTGCGCGCTAGAGAATGTGCTAGCATGGTAGAAGATGAATTCTTTCGTGAGCGAGACTACTAGCGCGAAGTGTCAATGTTCTTGTTACCACCAAAGCGGATGTTGATTAGATTGACTCAGTGGTGCTTATTCTTGATGTAGACGAGAAAGAAAAAGTCAAAAGTCTACAAGAACATGTACACTTTGAATCCTTCATTACTGAAAAATGACGAGTGTGCGTAGTAGTACGAATAGCGGTTCCCGAGGGGGAGACCACCAAGACGAGTCTCGCGTGATCCCACCTTCGGTGGATTACCTCCGCGTTGCGCCAGGATGCGCAGACAGTCGTAGGATTTGCAGTGCTGCCGTATGCGGTCGACGTGTTTTGCTTGGGACAGAAGGCGGCTTTGTGGCCTTGCATCGGGTGGATGGAGACGCGGACCAAGTCGCGGGATACTCTCCCGATAGCAGTAGCAGCAGCAATAATAACCCAGGTCGTGGCCGCAGTAACAGGGCATCTTCATCTTCTACTAGGGGGACGATCGGACGGGGATCGTCGACCACCGCGAGACGAAGGGGACAGACGGATGCGGCCGCCGTGCTAGAAGCGTTGACGCTAGTATCCGAGAAGCGCGTGTTCACGAATAACCGACCGGTGGCATGCGTCTCGATCTCGAAGAACTTCATGCTAGCTGGATGCGACTTCTCTGCGGCAGTCCTAGATTCTCAGTGCGATACAGTTTGGCGCATAGATGTCACCGAACGCTGTTTGAGTTGCGCGATGGACCCCGGCGATCGACAATACCCCAGGTACTAGAAGAAGTAGAATAAATATTCTGAGTCAGTAAAAAACAACCGGTTAGCGTTAGCTTCTTCCTCGTAGCAAACCTTAGCCTTCCTTTCATGAAGTAGTATGCTATGGGCTTGGGCTTCTAACATTCGACGTCTGAGAATACTGAATGCATAGTGAGCTGTTTTCTCTGTAACTCCCGATGAGCATACATTTACATTTGTACGTTTAGTTAACTCGCAATATGCTTACTTGAGTCACGCTCACGCGACCACCACAGGTTTCTCTTGGGTACACAGGGAAAGACGTTGCTAGCGAAGAAACACTCAGTACGGCAGCCCAGCGTGGACGTATTAAGGCTTGAGGAAATACATTTTTACAGGCATCTTGGTTCCGTTTCTCAAGGGAAAAGGGCGCGAAAGATGCTGTTGAAGATGGATTTCTGCAAGTTCTAAACGCAATTCACCAAGGCGAGGGAGGAGTGTACGCGGTCAAGTGGGGGCTGAACCAGATCTGCGCATGGTCGACGGAACGTGGCGTGAAGCTGCTGCAGGCGAAGACACTCCAAAAAATATCCTTCATTCCCTGTCAGGAACACGATCCTGCGATGATAGTCCTATCGTGGCTCGACCTCTCAACACTGGTATGGATGAGAGACTGTAGCGAGTAGGAAAACCAACAGCATGAGTATTTCATAAGAAACTGCTCCTCATAGGACGGCGAAAAGCTGCCATTGCTCGTAGGACGACAAAAAAAGTATCAACATAGCTTGTCTGATGTATGAATACTAGTGGTCATCAACATTGCAGAACCAGGTTACTTCTAGGATATTGACATTCCCCATCCCATTAATGTGATCATTGCACCAGCAGGTGACTAGGTGACTAGTGTCTTTCGTGATATTGTTTAGTCTCCCAAATAGTACATGTAAGACTATGCGAGACTCATGCCATGCCATAGCATACCCATTCCTTGTGTCTTTCCCACAGCATACCCATTCCTTTTGATTTTTCAATATTGTGCGTGGGCAATTCGGTGGAGCTGAAACTTGCCAAAGTGCGGGAACAGCCGACTGCCAGCGGAGTCGTGCACTACTACTGCGAAGTCGTGTCGACGGTGTATCTTCCCGAAACGCAGGTCGTGCGTGGCATAGTCCCGGATCCGAGGACACACTGCAACGACGTCCTTGTCCTTTCGCGTTCAAGATATCCGGATGAGAATTATGGGTACTAGGTTTTAGGCGTTTTTGCTGCCCTCATTTTTGCCTCTCGTCTTGAGGGGGAAAGAAAGGCAAAATGAACGTGGATCAAAAAAACCAAAGGCGTACCTCTAATGGAAGGTTCCTGATTTGCTGCACGTGCGCCGTGCTCGAGCCGATGCTTTGCGCGTCGCTCCTGTGGGTGGTGCAGCGGCGTGGTTCGCTGTAGCTTCTGATTCACAAGTTTGCGGAGGACATCAGAGAACTGAGGCTTCCACGTTGAGAGCGACTGGTTCTGACGGGTCGCAGAATCGATTCCCAGAGGACGGATTGTTGACCAGTCCAGTGCTTGAGAGTGGTCCTCGCGTGGAGGGTCTAGAAGGCTTTGTAGATGATGATGGATTGGCGTCGAGCACCTCGGAGGTGCGCAGCATATCCGAAGGACGCGGCGCTTTGCAGTCGACGCCACGCGAGGGGCGCCCCGACGACTCGTCTCGCGATGACGTCACAGTGTGCTCAACGGAAGTCGACAATATCGAAAACGCTTCAGAGGCGACGACCGCTGCTGCACGGACTTCTGCAGGTGCCACGACATCTTCAGGAGCTGTCACAACTGTTAAGGATTTTGAAGCAAACTGGCAGTTCAAAAAGTATTTCGATTTTCTGAATCTGGAGCATGTAAATACTTAGTTACACTTAAGTAACAACTTCGTAACTAGTACGTGTTGTAACCTCTACTAATATAACTGCCCCGAAAATCTTCACGACAACCAGTGGCGCACGTGGAGGGGGTAAAGAACAGCAAGAGCAAGACGTGGATGCTTCGTCCAAAAGCAGTGGAGAAGGCCGGTCGCCAGGTCGAAACACGCTCACGGCGTCGCGATTACTGGGTCTTGGAGATGTGCGATTGCCTCCGCGAAGTATACCTGTGCCGACCGATGCTTCATCTGACTCTGAATTGCCGCGAAGGCTGGACGGTTCAGGCGTCGTGCAAGAGCGAAGAGCTCCTGCGCCAACTACGAGATCGCCGTTCAGACCGCGGCCAGCAGTGAAAATCGACGTTTTCCACCATGTAGTGAGCTTGAGAAGCAGGTCGATTCTGCACAGCGATCGGTTGCCAGGCGTTCTTTTAAACCACACAAGGACAAGTAGTACTACTCCCGAACAAGCAGCACAACTACTTTTAGATGGAGGAGACGCACAACAGCGAGACACGGGTAATAAACCAGAGGTGGATCATGATGATCAAAAAGCAATCCGAAAAAGCGATCATGATCAACAGAAAATACAGGGTTCTCCTTCGCTCTTTTCCGCAGCCGCTGTACCCGCAAAAGCCGAAGCTGCCCTACTGTGTTATTGCGTGGACGAGAGCGTGAGTCCCGAACGCTTTTTCCGGGATCACCTCCAAAGAGACGGAAGCACAAGTGGCCAGTCCAGCAGTACTGTATCACACGACAGGAAATCCAATTAAGGCCTCCCAAAATCCCCTACCCTAACCTACGTACCTCCCAGAATCCATCTTTTAGCTGCCCATCGGTGAGCTGTTTCCAAGAAGAAAAACGGAAGTAGATGAGGGAAGGGATGAATTGTACAGGTCTAATCCATAGGGCCAGAAGCACAGGCGATCCAAGAAGACGACGAGCAGATTCCGCTATTCCTCGTCACTGCTGTAGATCTCGTGCGGGTCCACCGTCGCGACGTGCTAGAAGATGCTCTGTTTTTGCTCGAAGAAGGTCGGTATGAGGACGCTCTGGACCGCTTGCGAGACGAAGAGCATCCAGCTTTGAGTCGAGTCCTGTGCGCAGCAGTTCGCCGGATCTTCACGTCTGCGCGTGAACAAGAGGGTAACGGAAATGTTGGACGAGAAGAGGGTAACGGAGAGAATAAATCTTTATCTTCAGGACGCACAGGACCGCTAGAGGTAGAGCCTTCGACAATAAGTGCTGGCGGGGACTACATGGCTGACAAAGAGTACGACAATACAAGTACTTCTATCATGCCAAGAAAATCTACTGAAAATAACTTTGGCAGAACTACAGACACATCGCTTGCTATGTGGAGCCCCCGGTCGCCCGACACACCTCGAGGAAGCAGCTTTGGGGCAAAAGCAGGATGTTCCCCCCCGCGAGGAATTTCAGCAGATTTGGATCCAGGCACACGGGCGCATGCACTCGTGCAGCGATGCAGTGCGAGTCTACTGGCCGAAAGCGTAGCAGCAGCCGAACTTCACGCGCAAGAAGTGTTACTAGCTTCGCGTGCTCAGAAAAAGGAGACAAATCCTCTTCACAACTACAAGTCTTCTGCACATCAAGTCTTCGCAGAAGAACTTTCCTCCTCCTCGAATGAGTTAGATCTTCTTGTGCCTTGCTATGCGGTGTACCAAAATCTGCTGGAATTGTTCGACGAGTACCAGTGTCTCCACTACGTCGCGGCTGAGCTACCTCCAGAGCAACTAGACCGCGTCCAGAGGGATCTGGTTCTCCAGCGCCTGATCAAGTACCCTAAGAAACTGTTTGAAGTGCTCTCCATCTGGCCCTCAGACGCGTACTCTGCCGAAATTTTGTCCCTTTTGCTGCAGCAGGCGCTGAGCTCCAAGGAAACAGAACTTCTACGAGCCTCTGGAGCGTTGCTGCGGCTTTGTTCCGACACAGAAAAAGCCATTATCGAAAACAACTACACGACCAGCGCGCAGTGCCTTATGGCAAGAAGATAGAAAAAATGCAACTGTAGTTGTAGATGCTCCACAACAACTAGTAGACTCTGGGGATGGGGTATCCTTCAAATTTGCTATGTATAATAATTCTGTGCTAGAAGAAGTTCTGCCATAGATGATCTTGGACTGATTTCCATCAAATTCTGAGTAATCAGTTAGGTCCAACTACACTGAACAAAATGTAGATTTACATTCTATCTTCTAGGTGTTTTTAACTAGCCCATTTGTTCAAGCACTGTTCTCTCCGCTTCAAAGCCGCGCATTTACATTTTATCTCCAACGAGTACACTGATAACAAAATGTATTTACCAATCACCGTCTTGTCCATCCTCCTCTTTACAAATTCTCTATCTTTTCCACTTCCTCTTCATCCACTTCCTCTTCATTTTTGTTGCCCTTCTTTACGAGAAACAGGGAGCGGTTTTGGAGGGCATGCGGGTTCTGCTGGACTTCCAATCCGTGGGAGTCTTTTCCTTGTTGCGGCGTTCCTTTTTATATAATTCTAGCGCTCCTAGTTGTATGAAGAGCTCTAGTAGTACAACTTCGCAGGAAGAGCTCAAGGAGATGCTGCTAGAAGAAATTAAGTGTTGCCATAAATTGCATTCTTGATGACAACTATGTATCAACGTGCTACTTGAGGACCTGTTTTCCAGTACTAGAGTGGAAAACAAAGGGGTCCGTCAGGTGGGATGATCTGAAGAATGGAATGCCAAGAATGTCGCAACCTCTAAAGAAAAGTTTGAGCTTCTTATGCGGATCGATTGCGATCTCTACATCGCCTTTCTAGTGGATCGCTATCTGGAATTTCCTGTCAGGGATGTGCTCGACCGTTTACGAAGAGCGATCGCAGATGAACTTGCGAAAGGAAGTCCCTCTACGCTAGGGACGAGAAACAACAACACTACCTCCAATATGGGTACGACGACCATGATGAGGACATCACAAGAACCACCACCGACCTCAGCTGGCTATTGGCGCCATGTCTATCTCAAATTGATGCTCAAGAAGGACTTTTCTTATGAAAAAAAGCTAGAAAGCCCTGTTCTAGTACACACATGATAGCATTTCCTAGGCCATGTCTACTTTTTATAGGACGTGTCTACTTCGAGTCTTGTCTTGTCTTGTCTTGTTATGATGTAGTATCTATCTATCATCTCGTAGCTATCCTTATCGAGTCGTTCAGTATATCTTGGCTACTACAATTGCTATCGCTATGTCAAGGTCCTCTCCCTGTTTCCTTCATAAGTTACAAGTTCGAGAGTTTGCGGACGATATGGTAGAGGCTTTCGCCCAGTACGAACCTGAGGAACTATTAGAGTTTCTGAAGATCTCAACGAACTACGACATTGAGCGTGCTCTGGAGTTGTGCCGCCAAAGGGAGCTCTTCGATGTGCAGGTGTACTTGTTGGGACGTGCTGGATTGTCCCGAGAGGCTTTGGAGATCCTCTGCTACAAAGTGGGTGACGTTCCCAAGGCGGTCAAGTATGTTTCGCAGGAGAATTCAGAGCAGCTGTGGGAGCAATTGATCGCCTTTGTTGCTGGGGACAACGGCATCGAAAAGGAGAGAGAGAAGGAACGCCAGTTAATACGGGAGCGAAGAAAAAGCGAAGGAAAAGCGGAGTACCAGCAGAGTACAACGAAGACAGCAAGTGGCGCTTCAACTTCATTATCGCCGAAGACCTCTGGGACGATGACGACTTTTACTAGGTTGTGCGACTTTTTCAGTAGCATCGACGCCTCGATGTCCGTGAAGCCTTCGCAAGTTTTACGACGACTCGAAACGTCGTTAAAGGAGGAAGGAAGTAGTTTGTCTGACTCGGGACCACTAGAGCAGCTTGGAGCATCAGGTGCAAAAAATGCTGGTGCGATGTCAACATCGAGCAGAAGTGACGGGGAATCAGGGACGCCAAGAAAATCCTCTACCAGTATTAAGAGACCTAGTACCAGTAATTGTGACCAGAGTCCTGCTTCAACAACCGCAGAACAATCCTCTATGTCGTTTCGCTTAGTCCTGCGCGAGCTGTTGGGCGACTTTGAGGGATACGCTCGGTTGCACGAAAGTTGTAACCGTTTAGCGGAAGTGGAGTGCCGCCGCTTGGGCTACGACCGGCAGTGGCGCAAAAGGACAGCACTTATGGTGGACCCACGCCGCGAATTAGTATTAGACAAAGATCATGACCACGCGAGTACAGGAGACTCCGACTTAACGTCGCCTACTTCGGGTCCGACATGGAGTGCAGTGTTGAACGGTTCGCTTCGTATCTCTCGCGACCTAAAGGAGAGGACGCGGATGCGGATTGTTTGACACCTTGTTTCACATAGTTGTACCAGCTCTACTAGCTACAATTATCTACGCATACTTTCATAAGAACTACGATCATCTTCATCATCTACTCTACTCTCAAATATTCATCATGTACTAATCAATACACTGACGCGAGATCTCTCGTTATTTTTCCTTGCGCGCTGAAAATGTCATGCTGGGTCCGTATCTCTTCCAGTATCAGCTTAGAATAGACGCCCAAAGGTCTGCGCTCGTGCTGTAGGAGTGACGCTTCCCAAAGCACAATTAATTTCTGCTTGCAGCTATGACGAGTGGACGCGTCTCTTCAAATAGTTACAAATCGGTCATCGGAAATTTCCCTTCAGAGATTGAGCGTACGAGCGAGCAATTGAGTGTTGGCACTCCTATTGTTCCATGAGCATGAGAACGAGTTTAGCATTCCTACAGAATTATGGTGCTTGTTGTACTTGCAAATGCAAATCGGGTCATAAGTGTATCTATAGTCAGCCGCGCATCGGAACGAAGCAGAAGACGATGTTCTCATTATCTAGAGCAAACTGGATCGGTCCTTCCTCAAAAAAGTTTGACAGTTGAGACGCTAGACGAGGCCGAGCTTCGAGGAGACAGGCCTAGATTAGAATATCTGTTAAAATTTTGTTGACCAGGGCTGGAGGAAGGCTCCGTGTAAAAAAAGTCCCTCTACCACCATTATACTTTAAATCCTAGTTGTTGTAGTCCCGATTGCATCCCCATTGTTGTTTTCTGGTATATTAAATACATAGTACGAAATCGAATGCTGACGTAAAGTTATATTGAGATGCTACTCCGTTTGATTCGCATGAATGAATCTTTTCCTGTGTTGATTGTATACTAGATTAAATCAATGAACGTCTTTTTGGTAAAAGTTGCATATCCTTCCAGTCCTAGATAGTTTTCCTATAGATACCTCACCTCAAACTGAGTCTCTCCTAGACCTCAAACTGAGTCTCCTTATGATAAGATTTTTTACGATTCTGTGTGTCACGTGTATTGAGTGTATCAGAAAAACTAAGTTGCTATGTCCCCCCTACATTCACTCTTTTTGAGATCAAATGATTTGTCTTGAAGTTATTTGTTCAAGTTGAGTCACACATTTGACAGATGGTTTAGTTTATCTAGTTTAACATCACTCAGTACTATCAGGCTATAGTATACTTAAGTTCTCATCTAACTGCTCTACTTGCGTCACTTTTTCTACACATCGTTGTCGATGAAAGTAAAAAGAAAAGCACGCACATGGATTTTTCGACTTGTTTCATTCTTTGGTGAATGATGAGTCTTGATTTAGTAGCCCCCAACCGTAACCCTATGTACTTTATGAAAAGAGGTACTAGTCCTACTCCTACTTGTGCTCATGTGAGTCGCGATGTTGCGATTGGACTTTCTGAACCTTGCGGGAGAGGTCGCCCGCTACAGCTTAGACCTGGATCCGCATCTTGTAGCGGAAAACCACGTCGACCCCTATTGCAGCGTTGATCACATCTCCAGAAGGATACAACACGGCGAAGAAGATCATGACAGGACTTTCGACGATTATGTTGATGGTAACTCAAACTCTACGAAGAACGAGATACAGCAACATGCTGGAGGGAACAGCAACAGGTTTGGTGAAAGGAGAATCGTTCATGTGAGGCCTGGCTTGACAACTGGAACAGCAGTCCACCTCGATGATAGGTTGGTGCTGTCGACGTTGCGGGTGAAACAGCTACTAGCCGAGCGTTTCGGTGTACCGGAAAGCCTGTTAAACATTTGCTTTTGCCCGCACGAAGTTGTATCTACAAGAATAATCGGTGGAATTACGAATATTCCTGACCATGCTGCAGACGAGGAGCAACCTGTTAGCGGTAGAGGAGTTGCAGATCCTGTTAGCGTTAGAGAAGTTGAAGATGATCCTGAACAAGATAAAGAAGATCTACAGGAACAACTATGTCAAGACTCGTCAGACGAATTCGTCCTGAATGACCACGATGAAATACTTCTATACTTTGGAGACTTTGCTGGTGAACAAAATCATGGGATAGGGAATCTGCCTAGGGCTAGAAGTAGTTCTAGAGTACTAGATGGTGACGAAGGCCTCGACTTTCTAGAGGACTATCATGCCTGTGGTAAAAGCAAGCATATTTTCGGCACATTGCGTCTTGTGGAACGGACCTCGGACTTCAGGGATTTAGCAGACTGGAGAAGCCTAGATGAACTGGGCTTGCCTGCCTGTCGGGAATTCTTCTATCAGGCGTTGATGCGCGACGAAAATTGGTGTGCTCCTTCTAGTTCTACTGCTGCGAAATCGGGTACAACTGGGAGAAACTACATCACAACGGTAGCAAGAAGTCCTGTGGTAATTCCTCACAAAAAGACGTGTCCTCTAGCTGGCAGATGGTTTTTCAATCCGCCTGCGCGAGAACGAAACGAGCGCGCACGAGACGGACAAAACCTTGTTCTTTTCGGAACACCGAATACGAAGAACAAAGTAGGCAAGAGAACGGGAGTAGACTTACTGTTCTGCGAAGATGATGATGAAGAGGTTGAGGTGTGTAGTGAGCCTACATCACGGCCGTCGCGGAAAACATCCCTATCATCCACCTCCTCCGTATCAACGCCTTCCGATGATGATAGTAATGAATATTTCCCAGAAGCGGAAGAGGTAGAAGTAGAAGGACCATTGAAGATGTTCGCGGTTGGAGAAGATTTTCATCAGAGGCCTTTTTTCCACGGACCTCAGAGGGCCTTTCTTCGCAGTTGTGGGTTCGGGCCTGACACGTTGTACCGTATCTGCGCTGGCGCCAGTGTCGGCGGGTCTCGTTGCTCGACTAGTGGGGAGGACGCTATCCCTGAGAATGTAATCGCGGCGATATTGCAGAGTCCTCACGTCCCATCTTCGTGGTTAGACTACGTTGATCCCGTGTCAGGGACTTCTGCGTTTTTGCTCCTGTGTCAGCGTCTGAGTGGTCGCGAAATGATCTTGTGCGGTGCTACAGCCACCGCGTCGGAGGAGGCGTTCTTGCCCGACCAGCAACCTGGTGTTGAGGCTCAGCTTTGCGAACGCTTGCTGGCTCGCATCCGGCCAGAAACAGCTCTTTGTGTGAACCGACGAGGCACAACCGCATTGCACTGCGTGCGAAGTGAGGCTCTAGCGTTGAAAATCATCGACAAATTTTGGCCGATCATGAGTGTACAACAAAACCCAGGATTGACTCTTTCGAAATTGGTGCTGCCGTTCATGACCAGCGTCGATCAGCTATACCGCACAACGGTCCTGCATCGGGCTTGCGCCAGAAGATGGCAGAGTGTGACACAACGGATTGTTGCGATTTTCATGGCCTCTAGGCGCAATGGCTCTCCTCAGCAGAACTTTCGAGAACGAGGTGTACGCGATGTAGATCAGAACAATCTCAACAACCAGAGGTGGAACTACAGTTCGTATTCTAAATCCTGGAACCCGAGTTCCACAATAGGGCTCCTCGCTAGGGCTGACAACAGGTTGTGTGGTCACAAACTAGTTCGCGCTGCAGACCGTGCAAGAACAGGCGGACGCGTATTGCTCTCGAAAAACACTTACGTCAATCAGCTACTAATGGCGACAAAAGCAGGACGAATGCAGCTGCAACACCGGATGATACAAATAAGAGGTCAAGAAGGAAATTCCCCTAGTGCTACGACGAGAACTTTATCTACTGATGAACCTGCTGTTCAACTGCTGCGACAGACGTTGCAGATTCGTGATAGGCAAGGAAGGACGCCCGTGGACTATGCACGAATAAATGGTTGGAGATTGATGTGCGACTTTTTTGCCGATGCACAGAATAGGAGACTTTAATAAGACTGAGTACTTATGTTTTTAGAGCTAAATTTGGTGTTTATGAGATGTAGGAGATTGAAGAACTTACCTAGTAACTATATTGATAGAAGATGAAGATGCTTATACCACGAGCGTTGAAAAGATATCATGATTGAGCTATACTAGCTTGCGCAATTTTTATATCAATATGTCCAGTGCTAGTTGTAGTCGCAATCAGTCGTGTACTAATATTTTTAGTGGTGATCAGATTACAGTCATATTTTTGGTGTATCAGAAGTCCGTAATGGTAGTGTCATAATCGAAATTCAAGACCGCAATCATTTTCATTGGGTTTTGGCTCTTCTTTTTTTGGTTTTATGAGTTGTAGCAGTCATGCATAGTTATTAAGCTATGTCGAAAGCAGCCACCTGCTTTCGCGACTCCCATCGATATCTCTTTAGAGCATAAAATGTCAGCAGTAAGTGTAAACTATATAATGAATTTCCTTTTGTGAGTGTCAGAGCCGGCTTTATGTATGAAAGCGCGCATATTATTATAACGCATTGTGTTTCTTCGGCACTTAGTTTTTGGTATCAAATCTTTGACGCATGCGGCAGTGCAATCAAGAACTGATGCATAGTATTTTTTCCCAGAAATGAACCGCATTCGATTTGACTTGCGATATCAAGAAACGCAAGGCGGAAACTTGTACAAGCCTACTAAAGGTCAACATGATCTTTCCAACATCATTTTAAATCTCATATTCCTTGAAGAAAAAAGCTGATGAGCGATGATAGAGACCGCAGTTTCCGCAGATTGTGTGTGGTACTGACAATTGAGCTCTGTTCATCATCAAGAAGGGACTACAACTTCGCAGCCGAGTCACCGTACGCTTATCGGAATCAACACTACGAAGGTGTATTAACCACCTACGAAGGTGTATTAACCACCTGCTCAACGAGGTGCAAGTGTTGAGTGAGTTGCGATCTTCAAGAAGGAGCAAACAATCTAGTGGTCAAGGGGTCTCGCGTCCACTATTGAAGAGCATGAGTGGATTTTTGTTGACTCGAGATAAACCCTTATCGTTGTTGCTTATTAATATCGGAATATCTTTATCTACAGGCATCTGTTGATCAGCACTATTTAGCACAACAAGATCATGGTGGCGTTCGAGTTCTCTTTCGCCGTCCTTCAACTCTTTCAACATTGAGGATGGGTAAAGCTCGGAAAAAGCCCGGTCCCGCAGGCACTGATGCCAAACTCGCAGTGAGCCCTAAGAGGCCTTCTCCTGCAACATATGAAGCAGCATGTCTAAAGACTAGCACTCCTGCAGAAGCTGCCGCCCAGGAGGCAACTACAGATGAACCAGCATGTCTTAAGACTAGTACTCCCGCCGAAGATGCCGTGCAGCCACTGCTGAGTTGCGAGCTTGTCCGAGAATTGAGTGGGAACTCAGCTGGCGCATCGAGCTCCTCTACCTCTGTCGGGCGATCTGTCGATGGGCCACCATCCTCCCTAACGAGCGACGTCTCATCGGCTGTGGTCCGCCAGACCGCAGCATCGTCTTCTAGTTCTTCGAGCAGTGCTGCACAAGATAAAGATTCATGCGTTTCTTGCGATGTAATCCCTGCAGGAGGAGCTGCGGGAGGAACATCGCCAATGATAGAACTACTAGACCATCCTCCTGTAACAAGTGATCGTGTTGCAACAACAGAGACTACACCCATGGAGCTGACATCAAGTGTTGCAGGAACACCGATGCAGCAGTTTGGAGTCCCTCCTGTGGGTCCATCTCCCAACAATGCTTTGCAGAGTCCTGAAACAGATGGTTGGAGCGCCTTTTTTCTTGGATCTTCAAGTAAGCACCACAATCTTCGTACTAGTCGGACTACGTCGAAGGATGGCGCGCCTTTGACTTAAGGGTTTAAATGGTAACTACCATAATTAATGCATTGATTCTTCACCAACTTTCTTCACGACCTGTTTTCCAATGGGAAAGGAGTTGAGATCGTTCTGAAGAACGCAAAAGTGTCGCAACCTCTAATCGATTGCGAGGACGACCGACGACGACGATGACAATTTCGGTTTGACGTTCAGTGCGCCAAACGCAGATCTCCAGAGAGTAAGAGTTCGAAACTTAATCTCTCCGGAAGAGCCCTCGAGCGACAGCTTGGTGCTCCACAACTCTTCAGAGGATACTTCTGGAGGGAAAAGCAGTGTTGTACTGAACCAAGTTGCTGCCGCACCAGAAGGCTCGATTAAGGCTCTATAAATGGCGAAGCATCCCCCTACATTACTATCACCTTAGGAGGCAGCTCTTTATTCACTTGAAAAATAAGAAGCCTCGCCAACTGATATGACTCTCAAGGGAGATGCGACGAACGCTTTGCATCTCTAAATCGAGTGCTAATTGTTCCAAGCGTGTGTTTATTCGTGACACGCTGCCATGTCCGGCTGCTTCATCGTCGTTTGTCTCCGAGAGCGGGAAAACAGGTGTGTGCCTGATCGGAGCAAATACGAGTATTGTGAAAGTACGACAACAGACGGGTCCGGGAGACCAGACCACGGACGGGGAGATTGATTCTGCTCCCTGTTCTCCCCTCAGCGATGGGCCAAAACCGGCACCACAGGAGATGATGGTGCTGCACCTCGATCCATCGGAATTCTCCAACCTGCCGTCGACAAGGAGTCCAGGAAGCAACACAGCGAACGACGATGTCACTGCTGGCGATATTAAGGCGTCACAATAAATTTTGTTTTGTGCATGATTTGCACTGATCGCAGAAGGAACCTTTATATTTTATATAAATATTATCGGCTACTATCATTGTTCATCTCTAGTGGAATATGATTTTTGACTATCTAAGGTTTGCGCGCATATTATGGCCAAGGAGTAGCAATAGACGCATAGAAGAAATTGGAGATGGCGCAAAAATAGAAGATCATCATGATGCACTACTGATTTTAGTAGTGCTTTCTAATGATAGCGTGAGCCAGGTGTGGGAAAGGGAGCGCGAGGCAATGCGGGCAAAGATCCAGGCCTTGGAGAGCCAAGTAGGCGTCAACAGCGGCGCGATGACGGGTGGGCAAGCGCTCAAGCTGCGACTAGGAATGAGGAATGCAGGTAAAAAGTGTATAAGCACTCACCTAGTACAAGCAGTAGCTGTATGATCGATGTGATATGCCGAAAAGAAAAGGTAGCAACTTCTGGCTTGATCCACTTCGAAATCAACGTTGACCTTGACGATCATGTTTGCTTTTATGAAAGTACTTAGGCAGTGTGAGGCGACCTGATCTACTAGAGTAAATGATGCGCATACATTGTTATTGCAAGTCCTCTACTCAGGTTCATCTCCTTCGTCGGGGTTGCGAAATTTTGGTCCGAGTGGTAGTTGTCCCATTTCTGGGGACACATCTACCAGGCCTCGAACCTTAGCCGATTTGCGTCGCGGGAGTGTGTGCGTTCAGCCGAATCACACGACGCTAGCGGATTTGCGTCGCGGGTCGTTGTCTATCGAAACGCGGAAAGGCTCCATCAGCCATGACAATGCTATGTCGCTCGATGCTCTGCGAAAACTAGGTGTTAGTGGAGTGCGCCGGATGCCGCAGCCGACGCCCCGGGAACTAGTTGAGCGCGGTTTACACCCTAGTGCAACAGGACCACCTGGCGGCGTCGCAGGTTCTACGGGAGGCAACAGCAACCTGGCGAAGCTTCTCAGTCGCACTCAGCGGGGTGATGGTAGTGGTGCGGCGTCTGCAGCAGCTGCAGTCGCGGGTCTGGATGCAGGAGGTGCAGCCGCGTCTTCAGCTAAGATCCCGTACACGGGTCCAGGAACACCGCCATCACCTACTGGTAGTCAACTTCAGGGCCCTACTAGTGCTAGCACTGACAACACTTCAGCTCCTGAGCATCCAAGAAAACCACCTACTCTCGGAGCTGCGCGGTCGTTGGCTTCTTTACGTAGCAGTGACGCTTGTAGAGATCATGGGGTAGCGACTCGTCCTCCACCGGCTCCTGGCATTCCATTAGGAGGGAGTGCTAGCTTCAAGCCACCAAAGCGCGGCATAAAAGTTCGAACCCTGCAGCAAGTCAAAGAGGACGACGTCACTGGTAATTGTACATGTTTGGCCATTGATAAGTACAAACTAGAGAGTAGAGCCGTTGCTAGAACGCTGCGAGGCCGACAACTGGCACACGCGGCTCATCCCGTTCACGATTTTCCGAAGTTCACTGGGGTCCTCGCGGGGATTGTTTGGCCAGCTACCGACCACGGCATGAGGCGCAAGGAGGTAGCGGGCGCATTTGCACGGGGGCATGCCGCGCACTCTGAAGGCCGCGAAGCGTAAGGCGAACGTGGCTGAGGGAGTGTGATCAACGAGCGAGGGGCTGACAACGTGCAAAGCGGTGGGGGGAGCCCTTGCTGGTGGGCATCACGCAAAGCCGCGCCCGCTCGGTTGTTGGGTTCGTGGGCATGCTGGTCTACAGCTCAGGAGAAGCACAAACGCGCGCTGGGCGTGAAGCCGGTGCAGGTGCACCGGCTCGGGGACAACATGCGCAAGCGCATGCGCATGCGCTCAAGGCTGCCACTCCGCGCGGGCCACGGGTGTTGTGGCCGGTGGCGCGGGCTTGGTTCTCTGGTCGAGCTCGAGGCTTACAAGGTGAGGAACAGCCGAACCCCCTGAGCAGTATGCAGGCGCCGAAGCAACAAGGAGGAGAACAAGCAGGCAGGGACAAGGGAGAGAACGTCGCCGAGGGAGGCGGAGGGCGGCGCGTCGGCCGATAAAGACGCGGCGACCTTATGGGCAGGAAGCGGGAAGACTCGCCCCTTCGCAATTTGTTTTGCTTCTCATCCAAGCTGCTCAAGGAATCCTCACTCCCCACTTTCAGTGCTTTCCTTTCTTTGTTTTTGTAGTTTCTTTCGTTTGATACTTGGGAAGCTAAAACATGACGGGAAGCACGTTACCGGCTGCAGTGCCGAAGTCGACCGGAGGTCCTCCTTCGGCTCCTGCTGCTGGTAAAAGGGATGCTGCTGCCGGTTCTTCGAATGACGGACCGGCTGCGAAGCGTGCCAACATCGATAAGGAAGGCAAAGTTTTGGATCCGGGTAGCCGTATTACAACTGGCCACCTTACCAACGTTTTCGAAAAGTCTGCAGCCATCATCTCCAAAGAGGCGACGCCTGTTGATGCTTTTCAACGAGTACGCACTGAAGTTGCGCGTTTACCGAATAACCTGGCACGTGCGGCCACTTATACGAGCTTTGTTAAACCGATCGCGAAGATCGGTATGCCGTTCGGTGTCGGAAATTGCGTTCGATGTGGTGGGTCTGATACCTCGCAGATCGGGCGTAGCGTTTCCGATTCGCGCACCCTGGACACTCCTGCTATGCTCCCGGGCGAGCAGCTTCTCGCGTGCATGTTTTACAATGCGCGCGAAATTGCTACGGGATTGGCGTCGTCTTCGAGTTTGAAGATTAAAGAGAGCGAGACTCGGCTTCTTACGGCGTTGGCTGCTGTGCGGTTGTTTGCAGGAGAAGACCATTTGGCTTCTCGTGCTGTTGCAGGGAAGCCGCATATGGTCACGAGACAGGGAATCGTCTTTATCGCGGGTTCGTTCGAGCCTCTTGCTGAAGGCGTTTTCGTTCTGAGTCGCGTGATCGACAAGATGAGGCCGTATGTCATCAAGTCGCAACCCACGATCGCGACGAAGATGAGTTCCTACATCGCGGTTGGAATTCGTCAAGATGTCGCTGGCGCACTGGGGCGCCAATTGTATGGCATCCATGGGGCTGCCACTGGTATGGTCCTCAGTGATATTGTGCCTGGTTCTTGCGATCCAGTCCAGAACAGGCAGGCGAGGTGGCTGCCGCGCTCCAAGACACTGAAGGTGATCAATTCAATCTGGCCCCGCTCGGAAGTGCTCGATTTGTGAAAGAGATGCCGGACCCCGCCAGTTTTTCTGAGATGGTAGCGCCAACGAAGTGAGGCATTTTTTCTATTGATTGGCGGCTGGCCAGCGGCCTCGCGAGGAAAGCGCGCAGCTTCGTCTGGCCTCGAGATCGAAGTCATGGCTGTGGAGAAAATTTCGCCTGCCGGATAGTCGTTCCGGAGAAACTGGCGCAGTTTCGAGCAGTGCAGACCCATAACTTTCTAAACTGCTCACCTCCTGCGGGCTATCCCGTGCGCGCTGGAAGGTTGGAGCCATTGGCGGCGCTCCGTAAAACAGCCTCCCGCCCCACCTTGGTAGAGAACCCTCCGCAAGTAGTTCCTTTCAGTACTCTGGAGTCGAGTGGTCGCCTGCTTGTCTTCTTGTCTTTGGCATGGAGTTGAGCCGCGCTCCGCTGCCTGTGGCGCGTGTGGTCTTGCGCTGGCTTGCCGGTCTCTTCTTTCTTCTGGGCATCTTTGCTTGGGGCATGTTTTTGGCTGCATCTTCTTGGTGGCGCTTGGGATGTCTCATCCCTGTGCCAAGAACAAGGGCAGGCAAGCTTACGGTGCTGCGAATGGGGTCCCCGTTCGTGCCGCAGGTGTCCCCTGTGCATAGAAGTCTACACTGCGGCTGGGACAAATGTTCGGGCTTTGTTTAGTTATTTAGTAGTTGCGCGTGCGGGGGGGGGGTGCTGTAGTCTGGGCTTTAGTTAGTTTAGCGTGGTGGAGCGTAGTAGTTGCCAGGAGGGAGCCTCACTCCTCCCCGCCGGTGCTCTGGTTGTGCGGCAGTGTAGTCGAGAGTGAGGGTGTGGCCGTCTGCCCCCCTGGGTAGTTTCGCTCGCCTTCGGGTGTGATGCTCGCCCCGTGAACGTGTCTGGGGAGTGGGCTCCCCTTCGTCCTCTCTTGTGATCACTAGGCAGCACTACTGCCTCTGGCAGTTCTTTCTTCCCTTCAGGCGGCTTGTTTGGCTTCCTTCTTTTTCCCTTTCTATCTTGCTTCGATCGTGAGGCGGGCTTCCCTTTGTCCTCTCACGTGGCCCCTACTGCTTCAGGCAGTGCTGTCTTCTTTTCAGGCTGCTCGGCTGGCTCCCTTTTCTCTCTCCTCTCCCTCCTTCTGGCCTGTGCTCTGGTTGTGCGGCTGTGGAGTCGGGTGTGGGTGTCATGTGTGGCCGTCTGCCCCCCCGGGTAGTTTCGCTCGCCTTCGGGTGTGGGGCTCCCCGCGTGTCCGTGAAGTGGGCTCCCCTTCGTCTTCTCTTGTGACCACTACTGCTTCAGGCTCTGCCGCCTTCCTTTTAGGCTGGTCGATTTGCTCCCCTTTCCCTCTCCTCCTCTCTTCTTGTTGGTGAAAAAGAGGAAAAGCGGCCCACGCTGTGCGCCCCCTGGCCCGGGTTTTGGGCGTGGGTCCCCTACTCTTGGCAGTGTCTTACGTTCCCGGCATGACTTCAGCGTCGCGCGGGGGGCCTCGGGCTTGTCGTCTTCGGTTCTCGGCATAGGGGGCGGGGCACTATGCTCAGCGCGGGCGTACAGCGTGACATGTTCGGCCTTTCGTCTGTGTGTGTGTGTGTGTGTGTGTGTGTGTGTGTGTGTGTGTGTTTGTAGACGGCGGCGCCGTGTGTCAGCGTCTGGGGCTGTGACTTCCGGCACCGCATTGGGGTAAGACGCTCGCTCGCCGAGGGTGCTCGTTTCGTTGATGGTTCTTCCAGTTCCACGGTGCTCCGCGGGCTTGGGTGTGGGTTGCGCAGGTAATGGGCCCCGCTTGTGAAGAAAAACGCCGGGGGAGCGCCCAGCTTGTTGCTTAGTTAACCTCTGGCGGGTGTCTATGGACACCGTTCGCTTAGAAACAAATTGGAGAGCATCCATTGCGGGCGCCTCTGATTCGTGACGAAAGTGGTCGGCTGTAGCTGGGTTCTAGCTCTAATTTTACTGGCTAGGCTAATCCTTGCCCTCAGTTTATTAATCCATGCATCGCGGTCAGCCTAGTCGTTTCGCCATTTCTCTTCCTGTTTTTCCGCGTGGGTGGTTCGTTCGTCTGGCTTGTCAGTCTTGTGGCTGTTTGGGCCTTCCCAGTCTGCGCACGTAGGGTGGCCGCCGCTGGTCTCTTTGTTTTGTTTTTGTCGGTTTTGTTGCGTGTATCTATCATCTCGACGGCAGCGCGGCGTCGTAGGCCCCTCGGGCTAGCCCCTCGTTTCTGTGCTCTGAAAAAGGAACAAGCTTTCCGGCAGTAGCAGCTTTGGGCCTCGTTTCTCTGGTTGTAAAGAGAGGCACCACTCACCAAACGCTCAAGATGGCAGCTTGCCTTTTCCCTGATTGGCGTCTGGGCTCTTTCAGACTTACTTCAGTGCCTGCCATTAAAGCCACCTTCATTTGATGCACCTTCGTGTTCGTCCTCCTCTCACGCCAGGTTCCCAGCCACCGTTGGCTCCAGACGTGATCGCGGCACTGAATGAAGCGCGTCGACCGAGCATCTCTCTAGCGGATTTGAGGCGACCAAGCATATCTTTGATCGACGCGCGGCGACCTAGTGTGTCTGCTCGACTAGTGAGCCAAATTCAGGCGAGTCAGCGAAGGTGTCAGCCGTCTGCAGTCAGAGGTGCGGCGCCCAGTTCAGGTTCACAATCGCAGCTGTCCTCTTCATCATCGGGTCACAATCCCGACGTACCAATTGCTGCAACATCTTCTATGTTGACGCACCAAGCAGATGACCCCAGTACTTTGCAAATGAATTCTTGTACCAGCACCTCTTCTACGTCGACCAGCACAGGAGTTCCTAATGTTCAGCCTGCGGCAGTGAATGCCGCTGAAGCACCTACTACAACGGCAATCAGTGGTAAAGTCGTGCTTATTGGCTCACGTGGAGTGGGGAAAAGCGTTCTTTGTCGCCGTCTAACAGCTCTCGCCGAAGCCAAGGGGTGGTTGAAGAAAAGTTCTCATTCTTCAATACTATATACCTCCTCCTCATCTTCTTCAAACACAAATAAAGTGGGATCGAAATCTTCAACTAGTTGCGCCTCAGATTCGCCAGACTTCAGCACCACAACGGGTGGTAGTGCAACAGATGACGCTGCTTCCCCGCCGCTAGTGAGTCCTCCAACACAAAGAACTACACAACGACCTGGAGAGACGAGTGCCGGTGCTACTGCTTCCGCAGATGGAGAGACGAGGTCGGTGAAAGAGACTTCTAGTAACACTAGTACCGATCTTCATCCTACAGGTACAACTGAAGGTGGAGGACCTACAGGTACAACTGGAGGATCGAGGCAGAAGACTAGTTCAAGTGCCTCCACTTCTGCTGGTGATGTGTGTCGTATTGTATTGCCGTTCGGTGATGAGGAGAGTGTGGAGCTGGAACTGCACGATCTCGCTTCGGGACAGGGGAACTCTCCTTTACCACTGAATTTCTTTCGAGGACATCGCGTTGTCAATCTTCTATGCCTGGACATGAGCGACGATACGGTGGAAGAGTACTACTGCTGTAGTTGTTGAAATTTCTCTTCAATGTTGTAGCATTCTCAATACGTGGGGGGGAGCCTTCGGCCCTGAGCCCTGGAACATATATAGGATTTGCTGTATAAGATTTTTCTCTTCAGACAGCGCACCAATATTTTCATTTCTGTGTACGTCTTCTAGCATCAAATACCTCGTTCCCTTTATAATCCTAGATCAAATACGTCCATAGCTACCCTGACAATACTCAAAAAAATTTAGGAACGAACTTGAAACGCACGAAATTCGGCTCAAAGAGGCCCTCGAGGCCTGCAATGCGAAATCCGGTTTTATTGTTGGCACCAAGAGCGACCTTGCCAAGGGAAATGCTCGTGAGAATCTTGCTTTCTTCGCGGCGCAGAAAAACATGCCCTGCGTTTTCCTATGTGCAGCACAGAGTTTATGGTTGTAATACAAAGGAGATGTATCCTTCGTCCACAGAAGACCCTGGAATTGAGTCGTTTTGAAGGGAAAATTGAGGAACTGAGACCCTTAGGATGCCATGGAGCGAACATCAAGATTGATTTTAATTTCAGTATCATCGTGACGAAACACTACGACGCCCTTTGGCAGTCTGCACTGAACGTATGTCGTATTGTATTGTATCTAACAGTCATCTGTATTGAAAAAAGGACGACTAGGACAACTTAAAACTCAACTCTTATTTCTTACTGCTCTAACTCCAGCAGGCATACTCGAAGGCAGTGACCAGGTGATGGAGCAGCTATTGCGGAATATAGCGGAAAAAATCTTTCTGCAGCACGCTCTCCGGTCGGGTGGTCCGGCACCGACAGGCACGTTTCGTCTCAAGGCCGATAGTGTACCATTGAATCCGGTGGACGCTGACTCGTGTGCGACGATGTGAAGCGAAGCTCAAGGGTTTTGTTCTGCAGGAGCGACTCTCTATATTTTTAACTTTGTGTAAGAAAGTAAGTAAATATTTGAGTGCTAGAACAACCTATCCTCAAATCAATGTTTGGCTCAGATGAAATACATCCTACTGTGTGTTCAAGAGTGGCAAGCTTGGCTCGAATAGCCAGATGAGCTTGAGGACTTGTTGCTGTTACAATATTGTTTGCACTAGTTATGAAAACAAGGTACTTGATTCAACACCGTGATGCGTTCTTCTTCGAGACGCGGCAGCCATCAGCGTATAAAATTTATCTCCGGGAGGAAGAGTTGTGATGGTTTCGAGTTGATCATCATAATGATGATTGATACAGGTCGACTATGCTTGCTCATAATGATGATACAGTTTTTTTGCGTATATATAATCGGCGAGGCTACGAAGGAGACTGACAGAAGTGAATTGATTTCTGCTACCCATATTCATTGGCCACACCACATACATTACCATGATCCATGTGTCATGATGACAGAGGGGCTGGCATGCTAGCCAGTGCTAGACTTCATGGCAAGCAATGGAATGGCAATGGTGCTTCCCCGTGGTTTTAATCATGTTTGTATTAAATACTCCCCTAGTCGTAGTCACATAAAAAATGTCTCCAATTGATGTTGTCTATTTCATCCCCGTAAGCCTAAGCTCATCGCGCGACAGTTCTACTGAAGAACCTCCTGAAGGATCTAACAGGGCGCTCATCAACAGGGAAGTGCTCAATTTTGTATTTCATTTCATGTTGATGATTGCACGGCGGATCATACTAGGTGGAGAATTATGCCGCCTGAACAATTATAGTTTAGGAAATTGGATCTAGTACGGACTAGTCTGCTTCCGAAAGGATGATAAATAATGCCTAGGAAACAAGTTGGATAACGAAATGAAGCATGCTTTCAACAGTTTCTGCTAAATTGTTTCGCGGCCGCGTCCGTGAGAGGAGAATAGGAGATAGGAGATGTCCTGTCAGTGCCGATTCCACCTCCGTTCGCCATCCGACATTCAGAGGGACCCTGCGTCAGACGCATTTTGGAAGTGTGTTCATGCGGATCAATAGAAGTCTAGACAGAATACGTATTTCCGGGCTTTGGTCTAAGCCAATGGATTCACTTCCGGTATATTATCGACGAGCTACTAAAAATTTTGATTGTGATTTCTATTGTTAAACAAGAACGTACATTGTATTACAAGAAGTACTCCTTGTATTCAAATTACAAGAACATTGCTGTTTCTTTTTTGGGTAGTAGCTAGTACTCGACCACCTTCATAGTCGGGATGACGTAAGTCGTTCACTCGTCAATCAAATGAAGGGACGAAAAATGAGGCGAAAGTCGTCTTCATCTAAGAAGGTCATTTGCTGGAGCTTTGCTGGAGCTCTGGTTCCCCATCTCAGCGGAACTACAACTGCGGTCTCCGCGTTAGCAGTTCAGCGTCATGGCTTGATTTCTCGTGCCGACGCAATCGAATCACCACTAGGGAGCGACGACCCGACGAGGAACGAGCTGAAGCAGAACCGACCTTGGAGTGCACCAAATGCCTTATCAGAGGACTACTATCGTTAAGGCTCCTCAGACTGAGAATCAATGTTCTTGACCTTAAGGGCTTAGGGTCACTGAGACATTCAAGAAGAGCGAGGAATCTTATAACCTTATCCTTGAACAACTTCAGAGATGAAACGAAAAGAACTAAAGGAACACGACAAGGCGATAGTCGCCTGTCGGTCATGTGGAGGTCCTCGTGGCCCTTTCAAATCTCATAACCAAATCAAGTCCGCCGCCCTCTAATGCCGAAGAAAGTACTTGCCACCTGAGCATACACTGCGGGTCTGCAATGCTTATCCCTATACGAAACCGATGAACCTCTACCTTAACGACGTGGATCTGTTTGGCGGACTCGAATACAAGGACTGTTTATGTGATCGAAAGCTGGAAATATCCGAGTTATACTGAATGAAATATACGAAGCGCAGCTCCTTTTGAAGGCTACGATTGCTTCCCGTCGGATGTTGTAGGTTGATTGTAAAAGCACAAGCAAAAATTTCAATTCCTGTAATTATAGGAAAAATAGTTCGTCTTTCTAACGGCAGTCGATTTCGTAGATCTCAAGCTGCTCCCTGGGGACAACATTCGATTTAAAACCGAAGTTGATCATCACGAACGGGGTGCTGGCATTTTCGAGATCGCAGATATCCCCGATGACGAAGCCACGACCTTGCTGTTAGTGGTTACGAGACATGGACGGTCGAGCAACGCCGTGGCATTCCAGAGCCATGTCTTCAAGGCAAGCAAAGATGCACAGGTATCTACTACCTTGACTGTTTATTTCTTCTGCTGTTTAGAATAATGGTAATGGGAACGAAACAAGTAGAAAAGAGGATTAGTGAAGTGTCTTGAAGTGAGTGTAAGGTCTGACGTACTTCATCTAGAGACCACTATTTTGAATTTAAGTCACAACTTTCTTTAGTTGGTACTATTTAGTAGTACTAAAAGTGAGTGATCTGATGATTTCCGCAAGACCCTAAGAGATCTGAATCTCTCTCGTAGTAATCTAAGTGTCTAGGTAGAGGTACATTCATCATCTCGAATCCCCATGACGCAGGTTGCAGTGCTAGACACTTTTCAGGGTCTTTCTCCGTCTGGGGAAGCAGGGCGTGTGGAGATCATGCACGAAGGCGCATCTAAGACACCGCATGGGCGACCAGAAACGCTTCCTTTTGGGCGCGTGAACCGAATCAATGCAGGGGTTTATTATGTGATGTTGTAAAAGACACTTTGGACTAAATAATGGTGGAAAGTCAATATTTATAAGTTGTACTGATCGATCATGCTATCGGAAATGTGTATACACACAGTTGTTTCTTGTCATTCTATTAATATGGAAGTCTTGCATTTTCACGGGAGATTGTTTAGTGTTGTCTAGCCAGCTTGATTGGCCGTCTAGTTGTATCCCATCTGTCTTGTGAATAGAGGCAAACTCCGAGCATTATATGTATACAGTTATTTGTACGACCAAATGACCTGCCCTATGTATCGTTTTTTTTCGCTAAAACATTGATCTGATATTGGACGATCGGCTCATGGGAACAGCGGATAACGCTGTCCGGGAGTTCATTGCGTTGCCTGGACACGATTACGTTGTGCTCCGCGTTGGCATCGAAGACGAACCTGAAGCCAATGATGGGCCACAAGAGGGAGTTTTTATGTTCACAATTCTGTAATGATGATACGAAATATTTCCACACTAAGCTTGTCAAATTGATACAGGAGCAAGGTGCGACTGGCAGCGGCGGGCGGAGCTGCTGGAATTGGCGGCGCTGCTGCATTTGACAGCGGTGCCGCGGCGTCGTAGAACCGTCGGAGGGGCATGGCCGCAGATGTTTCCGAAGGGTGCGCGGCTGGTGAATGCATGCGGCGGGCGACCGCACAGAAGGACAGAGAGCACGCGACGCCGTCGCCACATGGACCGCGCAGGCCTTCGCGTGTTCTCGTGATGTGGCGAGCACGTAGGCGACTGACCCGGGCCGCCTGCGTGTGCGTTGTGCGCTCGGTGGGGTACGAAGATGGCGCCGAGGGGCACGGAGAAAGGGGCGCTGACTCCACACCTGGCCGACTTGGTACCAGGCGGCGTGGAGGCAGCTACGACCAGGGCAGGCGCAGCCGTACTATCGAAAGCTGCGTGAAGTTTGCGCACTGCGTGGCGTCAGAGCGAGCCTCAGAATGGAGAAGCCCACCATCGGCCTGATGTGAGTCAACTGCTGGGCAAGAGGGATTGGAAGCCTCTTTTGTGCTATTTGCTAGCTGGGGCGTCTTCGCACAGCTATAGCGTCCGGATCACAAGTCCGACGACATTTCCACTTTCGTCGATTGGCGCCGGTGGCTTGCGATTGCCGTCCTCCCACGGGTTGCGACTTGGTTCTCTTCTTTTACGCGCTCTGCTTTCTCGCTTCGGAGTGCCTGCTCCACTGTAATTTTTGGGGACGCAAACGCGCTCTGACCAGACAGCCGCAATTCGTCACCAACCGCGTCGCCTTCTGTCGGCGTCAGTGCTATGGTCTACCCTTTCTGTCGCTAGCTCCGGCTTACATCGGATCAACAGCAGACGCGGCGGGGACTGTATTAGTCACCTGGCCGCAGTTTCGCGATTTTGTCGAACTGCGCGAAACTCGTTGACTCAGGGGCCTCCCTCTTCTATCCGGCGAGATTTTGGCAAAGGCCGGGGGTGTCCCACATGGCTGCAAACCGCTCCAGAACGAAGCTGGGGCCCTGGCGCAGGTTCTGACTATTGACAACCCGGAGGCAGTAAGCGAGGCCCAGGCCCGGCAGCCTGGGCGGAAAATTTAACGCAGCGAGCGCGGACCCGTCGCAACAGCGCAAGACAGAGGGCCACAGGGGCCAATCTCTCCGGCACTCTGCCCGGCAGAAATCTAAGACGAGGGGCGCAAAGGTTCGCGATGTCGCGGCGTCTACCGAGGCCGGACGCCGTAGGCCTTGGGGCCAAGTCGCCGGCGCTCCTTGTGTTGACTTGGGCGAAGCACTCAATGCCCAGCCGCGTACTGCTGACGGGGCTCACTTCAGAGCCTGCCCTTGCTTCAAACGCATGAAGACCGACGACGGGGCTCTGAGTGGCAGAATTGTGGATAACTGGAAGGACTTTGCTGAAGTATACGCTTGCAGCGGCTTTGGTTGGCGGCTCACTTGGAAGAAGGTGGGGGCGTGGTCGGTAGGGCTTCTCGCTTCTTGAGTGCTGGCGAAATTTTGGCGATGGATGGCTGGGCTTATTTCCAAACTTCAACATGCTTCCAATCTCTCGGGGTGGGGCTTCCTTGGTTGTCGGGCTGCTAGCTTAGGGCCCCGAGAGATCACGCGAACCACCTCGCGGGGCTGTGGGTGGTGCCCCCTTCACTTGGGTCGGCCGCTCTCTGTGTCTTGGCTTGCCATGACATGCGTGGAGCTGGAGGGGCTTCAAAAGGTAGCTGGGCAGCGTGCTGGCGATGGTGTGTGCATTTGCAGACTCTGAAGCGAGGGCGCCTGGCGCCTTACATGTGGGGCAGGAGCGGGGTCGACGGCTGACTGTCGTGCACGTGCTGGGACTGGCACGCACTCCGCGAGCCTTGGGTAGCGCTGCGCAAATGCGTGGCTTGTTGGCATCGATCTGGATGAAAGAAACGCAGGGGGACGGAACTGCGGGGGGGCTTTTCTTTTGCGTTGCAATCGGGTGTGCCTCGGCATACTTTTCAAAGGGGCACCAGCATGCAGCGGCTGCGCCAGGGTGGCATGACAATGAACGAAGCGGAGGGCCCGCCCTTATTTCAATGGCTTAAATTCATTGAAGAAGTGAGAAAGCCAATGGTTGAATATAAGTAGATGGATACAGGGCTTGCATCTGAAAGGCGTGAGACCTGAGTGCCATTTTTATAGTTGATATGAGCAAACACGCACCCCTTGCTTTCATTATTGCGGAGCTTGGAGACAAGAATCCTGTCCCCGGTGACGCGTCGTTTCCCGAAGAACTCGTGCTATTTCCTTTGTCAGATCCTACGCGTCTGGTAGGCTATCGTCGAGGCGGCATGCCGGACAGCATCTTCTGGTTTCTCCTTTGCGCTTTCTGCTTGTATGAACATGGATTAGTACCAGTTGCCGCCGGTCTTCATTCTAGATTCCATATCGTGGTAATGTTTGACCTGACGAACAGTTTTTTCCTGTTACAAATTGATGAACGAAGCAAGGAGTGAAATGAAAATATGCGGTAAGTTTTACCTTCTTCATATCTCTAACATTTTCTGGTCGTATATGTCGGCTACACGCATGGCGGTAAAATGACGACCGCTGCTGGTGGCGCTGCGGGACGCGTGTTCACACCACGAGGCTCGGCGGCAGTTGAGGGGACAGCGACAGCTTGAAGAACTCTAAGAATATTAGTAAGAAGGTTAGTTCTTAGTTGCTGACGTTTGCACAGAATTGCTATCGCAATTGCTTTTATTTCTTTTTTCCACTGAAGGGAAGCAAAATCTATTAGCCACCTGACTTTACAAAGTGTAGAACAGGACCATGACCGACTACAAGGGTATTCTCGTCCTCCTGAATCACATTGATTTGAACAGATGGCGCACACACAAGCAGCCTGGACAGAAGTGATAGGAGAGTACAGATTCAGTCTAGAGTGTGTATTCAGGTGAACAAGTTGAACAATTAGAATTGAAACTCCGGTGACTATGAAAAGAGTTTTTGAAGAACTGACCCATGAGCGTCGCTGAAAAATGGGATCAATGCAGCACAACTAAGTGTTCTGCTTCTGGTATCCGGTTGCAGCATGGCCTCCAGACTTTAGACCAGGATTTTTCTCGTGTGGTGTCAAAAAGAAGAAAATGGTAGTGGCACTTGCACACCGCAAAAACAGAGGAAGAAAATGAAAAAATGCACCCTCACTACCTCCTTCTACGTTATTCCCATCTAAAGAATATGAGAATTAGTAATTGCTGTGGTTTGATTTTGATAAGTCTGCGGCTTCCTCTCACTAAAAAAAACCACAACCCCGTAGAGATTCACAACCTCCTGTTCGTCAGGCGCTTTTCGCCTGTATGAGAGGCAGTGAGGTCGTGGAGAAAAATGTTATACTAGACAACATCAACATGGTTCCGGTAGACAATGGAGGCTGACGTATTCGTTGTCTCAAGACCATCGATATCGTTACTGATTAGCCAAGTACTAGGACAAGGATGACTGGAGGAGGCACAGACTCTTCGGTTAAGGCTGTACCTAATAAGTACATCTTTGGACATCACATCCTTGATGAAATGTATGGGCGAGGAGTATCCAAAGGGAATACTCCCCCATACTTTTCAAGGATGCACTTGAAAGATGAATTGCGGACAGCTTTAATTCGGAGCAGCAGCCTCGCTGCTTGGGAGGCAGCTCGGAACAGTGCTGCTTGAAAGGCCAGCGCAAGCACAGATCGCCAACGTCGAAAACAGCACAGTTTACGAAACTATTGAGTAGATCCGCACTAGGAAAGGGTCGAGTACGATCAAGCAGAAGTTCGTTTCACCGACGGAGCTCGATAAGCTATCCGCTTCTGATTGCGGCGCAGACTTTCTTGGCTACATTCGTGTCGTATGTGCCAGTCACGACCTCGTTTACGCATCGGACGGAGTCACGACCCTCATTTTTCGACCTATTTTCCCAGAAGAGAAAAGCGCGTGAGAAACAAACGGCTGCAGCTTCGCGCATAAAGCAAAACGAAGCATCTGCACAGCATGTATGAGACAGAGATTGGGCCTACCTTTTCAAGTAAGCATATCGATAAGGGAATACCTTGAAGTCAATTTGACAGTTCCTCTAACCCCATACCCAAGCTCACCTGGTAAGAAGGAACCGAAGCTGACTGCGCACAAAAAGTCTGGAGGCTTGTGTCTGAATACACTGCCGCCGTGCAACCGGAGGCAGATTTTAGAGAACGACAGGCGGTTCTGCAATGCAGAACGGATTCAGTACTGTGGACACCACCTGAAACAAGTGCAGATGGATGATCTGAGTTATGTCTACGCGTTCTTTAACATCAAGTAGGTCTTTTCTTGTAGCTTACAATTACAGGAGTATCTAAATCGCATATGCACTGGTAGAAAAACTGCAAAACGCCAAAAAATGTAGTTGAACTCTAAAGATAGGCGGGATCGAATACCACTGAGTCGAGGTACATTCCGAAACGCACAGAGGATGCTCGATCGCCGCGTCGCTTCGCCACCAAATCAACGACACTTATGACGGAGTGGTTTGAACTGAGATATAGATAGGCATACCTCAGGATTTGTTTGTATTTTTGAGGCCGGTGATGTCTCGAACCATTTTTCTGTAAGGATTTACCAACATGTTGACCATCATCTATCAAAACAAGAGAGACCACATGATTGTGAAGATAAAAAATATAACAAACTCTCTTTATATCTGTACGACTTGTTGATATGTGTTTCCTTCATACCACTTACGGAGATCGGTGCTGACCCTGATTCGAGTAGTGAAGAAACGACTGCTAGTCCGGAAGCAAGGGAGGAAGGAGGAGACCTGTCCCATCGGATCCGGCCGTTGGTGATCCTCGTGGCCGATAAGCGGAACCACGTGTGCGGTAGCGAGAGGCTTGAGCCCTACGAAGATGCCAAGGAAAACCGAGAGTACGTGGTGCAATTCAACGTTAAGGAGCATACAGATACAGTTTTTCATCACATCTTTCTTGTGTGTGGTAGTTCTGCTGTGGACGGAGTGTTTTTCCTTGGTCTTCATGGGTTCTTTTTATCTTTCCGCATGGTACTTGATTGCTTATTCTGGACTTGATCATCTAGTACAGAATGGAGTAGCGGCTGCGTCTGCAGTAAACGACTCAATATCTTTCCGCATTGTATCCTCTCTAACAACGGTCCCCGACTGGGCCTCCCGCATCTGAACGAGGGAATCACGTGCGTGGGTCCTCCGGAAACAGGCTGTCCCGAGGTGTGCTACGAGGTGCAAATGAGAAGCGGAGAGTGCTGGGGCAGTGAGGAAGTGCCGGTACCCGGCTCAGAGGGAGAGGAGGCATTGCTCACGGACTTCGGCTGTATGGGTCGATGCGGGACCGGGTGTGTAGGCGACGACATTGCAGTGCAAAAGTGTTCCAACTGGGGAAGAGACTGTTTGAGGTATAAATCAAGAAGGGGAAGAGACTGTTTGTCTCGGTTTCTTGTTGGATGTATAAATATTTATACATCTAGGTTTGTTAGGACGTTCCTTTCTTAGTGGACGTTCCTTTCTGAAGAGACTGTTTGTTGGACGATAGTCAGTTTCTCTTTCGATGGCTAGGCTGATGCTGCTTGAGAAAGTGGCTTTACTAATTGTCAGTCTTGATTCGTTCCAGACTTTCCTAGTAGTCGCACATTGACTTTTATATTTCTTAGTCGACTACTCAACGCTCACGCTTACCCCATACCCGATTCTTTCCAGGTACGACGTTTGCAGCTACATGTATGACGGGCAGTTATACAAAGAGAATCCGTTGTCGGATCCCAACTGCGCAGACGAATACTCGCTGATCTTTGACGATCTGCGAAGCGGTTGTTCACCCTATGAAGACGACGTGGATATCTATTCCAGGGACTACTGTGGCTTGCGGCCAGAGCACGCAACCCACGTCTGCTGGCAGAAGCAGCGTGCGATCTGTAGCGCATGCAGCGTCATCGGTTTAAGGCAGCTGGGACCACGATAGTCTCTCTTAATAGAATATTGAATTTTATCACTTAATTCTTTTACACCTTGATTCTTTTACTAGTCCTAGTCAATAGTAATTTCTGTGTATTATTTTCTCACTTATTACGGCGAAGGTTTAGGTCCAGCGACGCTCAAAGCACTAAATAAAACAGCCGGCTAGTTTTTACCTCTCAAACTTAGGCGTATCCGATGAAGCAAAATATTTCATCACTTGTTTTCTGTTTCATGGTTGTGTACAAACAAGGGAGTCTTCTAATCATCGATAAGCAATTTTTTTCCGGCGAAAACAGGTGGCGACAGAAGTACGGGCCACGAGATCCTAGCGAGTTTACATGCTACTTATCCGCGGGTGGGTCGATGGAGTTCGAGGCCACAAACGTGGGTAAGGACGCGAGCGATGCAGCTCTGTTAGGCAAAACAGTAGGTGATCGTGCTGAGGTACTACATGGAGGTATCTCTGCTGCTAAGAAATCTTCACCGGGAACTAACGAAACTGGGAAGAAAAAGGATCACATGGATCAAGCTGCTATTCCAGGACGTAGTGCGGCCTCCAGTAAAAAAGCCGGCGCAAGAAAATCGAAGAAAGGAAGACGGAAACCGGTTAGCGCCGAAATTATTTTCAATGCGGAGGACCCTGAAGATGAAGAAGATCCAGCGAAATTGGAGAGAGAAAAAGCACTAGCTGGCGAAACCGAGGTAGCGGAATCTTCGGAGAGCTCAGTTACGATGAAGAGAATTCGTGATTCAACATAGTGACTCATTTCTTGTACTAATTCATTAGTACGTTTCGTACAACTCATACTTCCTTGATAATTGCTAACCTAAGACTGCCTGTATTTCTCGGCTCTTATCTCTTGCTTACCAGTCATTACCAGTGCGTTTCGTACACAATGGCAGGCATTGTTCGTGTCCTCCTCGTTTCTAGGAATTGATGCTCCCAGTATTTTCTAATTCACCAAATGAATAGAATTGATGAAGATTCAGCATACTTTTTGTTACTGATAGTACTCATGATTCACCATTATAATATATGGTTACAACTGATAGTACTACTTCTGAACAATCTGCAGAGAGCTCCAGCTCCTCTAACCTGCCCAGAGAGTGGGAAGCGCAATCCACGGACACGAGTGAGGGCTGGGTCGCTGGTCCGGGTACAGATTCACCAGAAGCGGCAACGATGATGGACTTTCCAGAGGCTTTCGCCCATCTCTATCGTGTACAGGAAAACCATCTGCGCTCAAGTGCACTCGGAATGTGCACCAAGGAGGACGGAAAGAATCGAGTCACTGGGAGCGTAAGTTATGCAGATGGTTTGGGAGTAGAGGACTTCTGAACAGAACTGTAGTAGAAGACTCTCTGTACTTACTAATACTACCTCAAGTACGTACTAGAGCAGGCCACTATTAGATTTCTGAATATCACTAGATTAGAATCAGAAAGCATGCATAATGTCTAGGAATATTAGAACAACAGGAGATTAGAATCAGAAAGCATGCATAAGTTCGACGTATAATTGAGTATTCACTCTTCAAATAGGAAAAGCAAATCTATGCCCTTGATCATCCAAAGCAAAAAGCCCTTTTTCATACTGCCGTGCAAGTCCGGAACGCCAATGATCCTTGGGAAAAAAGGGAATTTTGTAAGAGATTGAAGACAGCTATCAGGACAGCTATGGAGGCCTTTGTCGATGCGGCGCAACTCGAGAGAGGGGTTCAAGTGCAAGTGGACTACTGCTCATTTGACTCGAAACCGATGAAGAGGATTGACTTATGTTGACCTACGCTACTAAACCCTAGAGGACTACAGACACGGGATTACCAACAAAACTTGCCTGACTACCAAAAACATGACTAGCTTTCATCTCATCTTAGATTTAGTGCTTGTTTGATACATGTAAGATTCTTGTTCTAGTACTTATATTGGGATTTCGTCATGTTCTTCTTCTTTGGGACCGCCCAAAACACAGGACTTTCTCTAACCTTTGGTGACATTTACACGGATTACACGGTCGATGGACAAGCGTCGCCACCGGACGTGCCTCCACGACCCGCTTTTACCGCAGAGAGAGCGGAGCATGAGCGACCATTGTTGTCGGAATCCACAGGGTCAGACGGCACGGAGATGGCTCAAGAAGTGGGTGAATTTGCTCAATTGGTTTATGGAAAGAGAGGCGAAGCGAAGAAGGTGAAAATGGCATCGAGAGTGGAGGAACATCAGTCTTCAAGCAAAACATCTGAAGAGAAAGCATCTACAAGCAGTAGAAAGACAACTAGAATAAAGTCAAACGTTCATCAACATGGAACTACAACAAGTAGTAGGAAGACATCTTCAACAAAGATGGAGTCTCATCTTCAAGATGATGAACATAGTACTAGGGATGCGGAGTTTAATACTAGGTCCACAGCCGCAAATCGAAGGCGTGGCCGTTTCAAGAAGAAGAGGGCACATTTTTTTCGAGCAAACGCTGAAGTCCAATCTCACTCACAAGATCAAGATTCCTTCAGACCACGAGGAACCAAATCTGTCAACAACAAGCACAGGGAAACACCTTCAACTTCATTCGTGCAGCTAGTTGGATCCTCTTCGGCCTCGTCGACAGCTGCAGCATCGCGCACCAGCCAGTCCACACTTAGCGAATCGGATCCATCACCCGTTTCCGCAGCCACGTCGACATTTCCCGCTTCCATGGCGATTTTGAACGACGACCCCGTTGTGGGTAGCGGCTACTGCGTGGAGGCCAAGTCTTTGCCTACCAGCAAAGTGGTAGTGTCTCTCTCCCAAGTCGACCGGAAGCGACTATTTGAGAGGCACGAGCTGGACAGGAATGGTCTTTCACAACAAGATCATGATCAAGAAATGCTGCTACAAAGACATCACGCGATGGAAAAGCGGACTGAAAATACGAGGAAACATCTTCATGCTAGAAGTTCTGGTAGGTCAGGACAAGGTGACGAGCAGCTACCTCCCAAGGGGAACGGGGGAGGCGGCGACGAGGAGTTTCGTCCGTATACCCCAGGCCACCTGCCAGGTGTAGAGGGCGGACTAATCCCACCGTATCTTATGAATTCCACACGATCATACTGAATTCCATCCTTCTGTTTTGATTTGTACTATAGATACTTACAACTCTATGCTAATCGTACTGATACATTGATGCAAAAATCAATGTACTCCTTACTATCTGGAATCAGTATAGATAGTGCGAAAATCAAAGTGCTGCTTACTATCTGGAATGAAATCGCTGTCCTTGCTTCCGTAGAGGAACCGCAAAAAAATTTCTCAAAGGTTGACATTCTAAGCCTCAAAGCGATTCAAGTATACTGAATGATCAGGAGATATCTGGGGTATTCGGTTTCCAAGGGGATGAGCAGATTAGGGCGCAGCAGGAAGAAGGTGGGACGAACGCTGGAGCCTTACCTAGTTTTGGGATCTTAGAAGGAGACTCAGTTGCTGGTCTTGACGGTCTCGCAGCAAGAAGCATTTCCGATGGCCTGGACTGGTATGTGGACCGAAGAAGTCCTCTAACGCCAACATTTCAGTTATGGGGAAGACTCAAGAAGTGTCTGCTCTCATTCCACCTTTCCCTCTAGTTCATTTCACGAAGAAGATGTTGAGAACTACTGATTCTAGAAGAAACATTGTTCTACTGATGTTGATGATAGATTTTCCATGTCTTTCTCTGAATCCTGTTCTCCACCCCTATAGAGGCTGCTTTCTTCATATTCTGCTTATTTTCGGCACGCGGACAAGAAAGTGAAGGATCCACGTGACTTGCGCGAGTCGCAGGCTAACGTTAAGGCTGTACCTAATACATCTTTCGACGCGTCCTTGATGAAATGTATGGACGAGGAGTATCCTGCTAAGGGAATCCTCCCCCATACTTTTCAAGGATGCACTTGAAAGATGAATTACGGAGGACAGCGCTAATAACGCAGGAGCCACGCCAAGGATAGGCCGAACGTTGGACGTAGATCTGTGCTACCGCGTGACTGGCTTCTCCTCCCACGCACCTGCCATGCGCTTTGGCATCGACTCGGAGCGTTTCGTGCACTGTCTGGATCACCATGTCCGCGCCACAGTCGAAGGAGCAGTTATCAATTCGGAAGTTCTGCCACAACTAAGAAAGGGTTGCTAAAGAAAGGGTTACTAAAAATAGGAGTACTGGTAAAAAGGTTACTAATATTGGGGCTGACAGGACCACGACTGGTAAAAAGGTTACTAATATTGGGGCTGACAGGACCACGACAGCGCCGGCGCTTAGTTAGCAGTAGATAAGTTCTTGCCTGACTTTTTTTTTTTCGGTTTTTGTTTTTTCTAGTTAGATATGCTCCGCCAACAATATTGGTAAAGAAAGTCAAAAATTCGTAGAACTCAAAGAAGATTCAGGGAAGTCGTAGGTCCAATCCGAACGGACTAACATCATCAAAATCAAAGATCATATTCAGGCTCAGGCTATCCATCATAGGAATAGGAGGCCATGCTCCCCTACTTATACGATCAACATTCATCTTCACAGATATCAAATTTATGTCTTATCAGACCCCTTCTGACTCCTGGGGATTCTGAAAAGATGAGTTGAGAAGGTTGATTTTGATAGATTACTTTAAATCTAGTTTGAGGTTCTAAGACAAGGAGTAGCAGTAGATATCCACGTCTACAGGCACAGACACCAGGCAGTCCTTCCAGATTCGGTTTTCGGGACCACAGCGTTGCAACTTGGAAGGGTACCATTTATCATGAGAGCTATAGTTCTGCTATAGTTCTGCTATAGTTCTGCATTGAAAGCACAAGGCTTATCCCCTCCTTACTTGTCAGAGGGGATAAGTCTAAGAATAGAGGGAAAACTAACCGGCTGCTTTACTGTAAAATCGGTTAGCTTTCCCTGTATTCTTAGGCTTATCCCTTCTGACATTGTATTGAAAGTCAGTGACTGACTTGGTCAAATCACTTTAACATGCCTACTTCATTCAAATTATACTTTTAGTGAGTCTTCCAACTCCCGAATAAGTATCTATAAGGATCATCTTCACTTCAATCCTTAGTGAGTCTTCCAACTCCCGAATAATATAAGTGTAAGGATCATCTCTTCACTCCAGGTCCGCCCTCAGCTGCAGGCGCCGGATTTGCCGCGAATTACGATTGCAGAGCTGCTGGATTCACAGGGTATGCTTAGTTAAGGCTATCGCTGGAGCATGCTCAGCATCGTTGCTGGCTCATTCCCAATTAAGAAAGAGCTCAGATGAGATGTTCTGAGGAAAGTAAATCCGTATTAACCTCTAACTTAGACCATCGTGGGACACTGAAGCTTTGCGAGCGTTCTGGATGAGCTTGGCGCCAGGCAGTGTGAAACCACCACACCTTGTCGCAAAACGAGACGAGTCGAATGATATGTGGGTTATGAGAACAGTGCTGGTGATGTGTATCTCGTAGAAAAGCTTTAAATTCTTATAATTTAGATTTACATCTCAGGGAAAATGATTCCAAGAGGCTTTTCTGCATTCGGGCGTTAGGAGTGACACTTTGCAGCTTCATAGTGATGAATAGTCTTTTTAGTCTTAGTCACACCTTTCCGTTCCTCTTGTTTTATCTTCCTCCTTCGTCCTTCCTCCTCGTATTTTTTCATGCGTAGCGCTGGCGACGCAAGTTCGGGTAATTATGGTGCTGCCGGCAACGCGGAGGAGGCACGAGCAAGCAGCGGCGGGACAGCTAGCAAGGTTGGCGGTAGTGGGCAAACCGACGCACCTCCTCAACCAGAGAAAGTGTCAAAGGCTTTCGAATTTGAGGTTCTCGTCAATGGCAATGCTCCGAATACACCCTCACTTGTTTCTTCCTCCTCAACGCAAAATTAAGGCTCAAACTTCAATGGTCATTGGGGTTGGTCACTGAGATCGAAGAGGCGACCCCTTGAGAGAACAGTGGAAAACGAAGGGAAAGGAGGGGAGAGCTTTCTTTGGCGGGGGTTTCTTCCGTTCAGAGTCAGTGGCCATTGAGTGCTGAGCTTTAACAAAAGCACCACGACCAAGACCAACGTCATGGTGTGAGTCCTCTATCCCTGGTGACGTTGGTGGAGAGCCGTGTGAGCGCGCGACACAACGCGAAGGAGACAGCTGGAGGAAAGAGGAAAACATCTTCGAGTGCCCACCATCTGCACCGGCACGGCATTAGTACCCTGAACAGGAACAGCACAAGTTATGAAGAGAAAATCTGTTATCATTAAATCATGCTTTTCTTCTTCAGAAACTTGATAATGATAACAGATTTTCGTTTCATACAAGTAACAGTGCGTCGAGTACCTCCTCTTCTAGTAAATTGTTGCTCCCTCCGGTAAAGGACGAATTTTTGGTGGAGCACGTAGTGTCCGGAACGAGCGGGCGAGAGTATTGCGATCGTGCGTTTGGAGAAAGGGTCGACAGCAATATTCGCTTGTTGCTACTCGATTGTTTGCAGGATACTGAGTGTCAAGCAGTGACGATCAACCCTTCACTCACGTTGGGCTGGAAATGCGCGTCGCAGAGAATTTTAGACAGCGAAGAGGAAGCGGCCAAATTATGGCAAGTTGTCTTCTTCAGACACTAGAAATATAATCTGGATCTGGTGTGGTAGGTGGAATCCGGTGTGCTACTAAGAGGTGGAAGATAAGTGGATAATGATCCTGCGTAGAATTTTTACTTATATCTATCAATCCTCTTGATTGATTGATTTCAAGAGGAAACCATGGCCGATAGAGGGAGAGTGAAGATCAAGGAACCACCTAAAAATGGATACTACAAATAGTGAAGATTACCTCTGGACGAGGCGCTAATCAAGCAGAAAAAGAGCCAAGAAGGCGGAAGCACAGCGGGTGGTGATGAGGAGGACCCGGACGCCGCTAGTTCTGACGATGACGCTGAGGAAGAGGCAATGTCGCTGAGAATTCGAAACTGTGATAAGTATTTTCTCCGTTACGGTGAGCTGAAGCGGGAGTGCGCACTCGGCTATCGCATCGTGCACCGCGACGGGCTGGACAACCCACGCGAACCGACTGCTGAGGAAATGGCCAAATACGTCATCAAAGTAAACGCCACGATCGAAAATGCTGCTCTCGCTGCTCGCAAACTCACGAAGAAGAGGCTGTCAACCGCCGCGGAACTAGAGTTATGGGTGTAGGAAATGCATCTCCAAAGTCATCTGGACAAAGAAAATAAGAAGGAAAACGGACCCAGATGCTGATCTGTGAGATGCATTCCCGAAACCTCTAAGAGAGGACGCAGCAGCCAAAGCGGGAGACAAGGAACCAGAAGCCGACACTGATTAAGACTTGAAGATCGAATTCATTTTCAGCTGTCAACATTTTCCTCCGTGTCCGTTTCCTTAATATTGGGATAATTCTGAAGAAATGAACTGAAGAAATGCGATATTTTCAGCGCTAAAGTGAAGTCGAAGAGGATATAGAAGATCCTCCGCCAGATACCAGTGCGACAGAAGATGAGGAAATAAGTACTAGTGCCGATGCAAACTCGACAACAGCGAGTCCAACAGCAGCAACGACGAGTCCTCCGGTTAGTGGAGGCGCCAGTCTTCTGCTACGAGTGAACGAAGGAACAGGTTTTTCGTTGCCGAGGACAAAAGACGAAGGGGCGGCAACTAAGAGACCATCAGGAGATGTTGAACATCTTCGTGTAAGGGATGCAACTAGTTCCACATCGACAGGAATTTCATCGTCTCTTTCTATGTACAACGGTGAACAAGATGACCATGAGCGTGACAACAACATGAAGATGATGACATCGTTAGAGTTGGCCTCTGCAGCCTCATCTGAGACGGAAGATGGCGGTCGTGGGGTTCATTACTACAGAGATCGCAAAAGGAATTCTGGCAGGCCTTCTCCCGTTGTAGGGATCTCGCGGCATCGGGATGAAAATATGGAGGTGATTAGTAGTGCTACGAATAGCCCAACATCGAACACGACAGATGGTCACGACAACGATGGCGATTCTACTGCGCCGTCAGCAGGCGGTACAGCGTCATCGAAGTCGCCCGGCTCAACAGGTCATGCAACAGCAGGGAAAGGAGCAGGAGCAGCGAACACGACTACCATAGGGAATGCTACTATTAAGGCTACAAGAAATCCATCTTCACAGGCATCTTGGTCCCGTTTTTGAAGGGAAAACGAGACCCAAGATGCTGCTCAAGATGGATTTCTCTTAGTTCTAATACTATATCCTCTGGCGCTGGCAGAACAGGACCACAAGGACCAGGAGCTTCTAACGGAACTACACAGATGGCAACAAATACCTCAGAGGACTCCTCATCTGCAGCAGGCGATGGGTCAGCCACTTCGGCGACTGCGACGGGTGCGAATGGTGGTTCGTCGTCAGATATTGCGAGCACTGTTGCCGCTGAGGTGCTTGCAGAAGATGATGAAAGTAGCACCACTGACCCATATCCGGCACCGACGACAAGCACTCCATTACGGGTGTAGGGAATTCATCATCTCCAAATGAGTCATCGGAGAGAGAGAGAGAAAGACAAGAGGAAAAAGGGACCCAGATGATCCCTGAGATGCATTCCCGACACCTCTAACTCCAGCGCCGACGCTACAAAGTGTCCCGTTGCCGTCGCCCCCAACGAAAGAGAAACTGGCGAGACTAGCGAATCTGACGCCCCTACAGCGACTCCTATCTCGGTGGGAGACATTACCTCTAGTCGACGTTTTGCTCGATTATGGTGCAGCTTCTTGATTTGTAATTACTTTGCGATGACTTGTTTTTTTAGTAGAAGACATTCAACTTCTTGTTGTAAAGGAAAAGAACTTGAGCTCTTCTCTACTAGATCAACTTCAATTGTTCGGTATACTAGTAGATGCGGGACTTGCAGGTGTTGAAGCAAGACTTGCAGAAGTTGCATCACTGCTACAAACATTACCATGATTTATAAGTAATAGATACAAAAATACTACTACTGTTAGTAAATAAAGGACTACTCTGTGTCTGTCTAAGGAATACAATTACTTCTCACTCGAGTAGAAATTCTAAGATACAGCGAAGGCAGCCACGAATCGGTTCTACTGCGAGGACGAGGACTTAGATTTTCGAAGACGCTACCAAGATGTGCGGGGATTGATTCGCGACTGTTGGGAGGACGATAGGTGCAAGGGCTTGTTCGTGAACCCAGACATGACACTCGGATTTCAGTGTCACAAACGTGCTAGCTGTTTTACTTAAGACCATGAAAGTTGATTTTGTGAAGGGAAACCGCTTATAATTCCAAACACAAGTTGTAGAGATCAATCTTGAGAAGATGGCTTTTTTTCCAAGAAGTAGATGATGATTATTTGGAATTACAACAAAATCCGTTTTTCTTACAAGCAAATCCCGTTACCTCCGTCACAACAAATCTAGTACCTATCTATCAATCTAAGTACTTATTTATTAACTTCTTCTTCTAATTCAGTCTCCCCTTCTCCGACCGTCCGAAGGTTTGCAGTACAGGATGGCACAGCATGCGGCGAGTGTCAGTCGACGAACCAGAAAAGCTGCCATACACACTGCAGAGGGGACCGAATGACTTCGCAGTCAAACTCAAGACTTCCGCTCAAGCATTTGGTGCGAAGTACGCTTTCACAGTCGATCCGCAGCGGTGAAAGATCTTCATTTAGTACTAGGATCTTCATATAGTACTTCTAGCATGCTCTCACTCCAGCACTCATTGTAGTAAAAGTACTTTTTGAAGACCTGAATGAACAGAAAAATTAACGATTGCCTCTATGTGGATGTGAGCAATTTACCTAGTAATCGAACAAGACAAGTAATCAAACACGACATCAACACTTTTGCTCACCTTCAATATCGACATTCAAGCTTCTAGCACGATAGTACGTTAATACACCTAGTCAATATTCGTAGTTTGTTACACATGACATCTAGCGATTCTTGATTTGTTTTCGATCTTAAAGTTATACGGTTACCCCTAGTCTTATCCCTAGAAGTTCTTTGTTTCGTTTTATTTCTGGTTACGCACACTAGGTCTTACTCGGGGTAATTCGGTAAGTTGTGAGTCCTTGATGGTTTTCCTTAAAGTTTGTTTCGAAGTCTTCTAGCATGTCCACTGTACAGAGATGTTTTTGAATACATAATTTAGCCATGATTGATTACATGTCCAGTTTTTTTCTGATGGTGATGAACAAGAGTGACAGAATGTATTTTTTCATGACCACTAGTAGCGCATGATCATGCCAAGCGTATTTGTACAAAGAAATGCAGAGCAGACTCCATCACGCAGGTACGGCTATCAGTTTCTGTGCAGGCATTCAGCGACTCAATAGAAGAAAATGACAAGTGCAGTTGTTTCCAGAACCTAGTCCAAACTTCAGAAAAAGTAAGATGAAAGCCGTTATAACGTTGTGGAAAATTGGAAAAGGTACTAGAGACGTGAAAATTGTGTACCATGATAATCGGAAAGAGAGAAGGAAAAATTTTGTGGAAGTGTACCGGAGCAAACTAAAAAGGGACCTTCAAACCGTGTCAGCTACTAGGATCAAAAACTTAGTCAATGTTTTATATCATTTCCGTCCACAAGATCGATGAGAAACTTTTCGACTTAGTAGCGATTCATGTCTCAGAATTGGAGAGAAATTTGACGGTGGTAAGGCGGGTTGGTATATGCGGCAGGCTATGGCGGTTGCTATAACTAGGCCTACTAGGTCTACCACAAGGGCCCCGACAGTTTGCTCTGTAGCAACGCGGGTCGCGGCCGTAGCTGTCACTTTGAGCCACCTTGGGCCTCAGGTATACGGAGTGGCTGTGCAGAGCAGGAGATATGTTGCGAGCCGATCACGGGATACTGGAGTTAAGATGGCCTGAAGATGTGGGATGTGGTTTGGTTGTTTTGACTGTGCAGAGGTCTTTTTTCGAGTTTTTTTTTTGGTTTCCACTCAACCGAGGCTATGCTAGTTCTCCGTCTCCCTTTTTTGATGATGATTGCACCTTTCTTCTAACAGTAGAGTTGGAGAAAAGTCTATCAAGGCGCAGAATGGAGGGCTAGAGGCGTTAGATGAGACCGGTACTGTGGTGCAGGCAGCAGGCGCTTCTAGTAGCAGACAACAGGCGCTGAGCCCCGGTCTGGCTGGCAGAGCCGTTCTTCCGAACAAGAGCAAGAGCAGGCAGCGAGTGCCGGAGCTGGTACTAAGACGTGCACTGCAGAAAGCAGAGGCAGCACTCGCTGTCGAAGATGCGGAGCAGGGATCACCCACAGAGGCCAAGACAGGGAGCAAGAAGGACGCTGCGTCAATATATCTTTAAGTGTCTCTTCATAGCATCTTCATCCGATGCTTCACATCCGCACGAGGTCCGAGTGCATGTACGGGACAACTAGGACATATCATCTTGAGCCTGTATCGAAGGGCAGTCTGGTAGTAGTTCACCGTCTAGCGTGACTCGACCTGAGGGGTCGCGAAGTCTACGTATGACATCAATTAACTACACTAAAAGAAATCAAGAACATCATTTTTTGAATTTTCTCTAACATCCGGCAGCACCAGGTGGACTAACTACTGGAGTCGTGACAGCGCGCGCGCCTGGATCAATCAACGGAGAGACGCTTGGCGGCAGTAGAACAGGAGATAACATGTTGTCTGGTACAACTGGAGAGCCTTCGTTTCCAGTCACGGCGCCTACAACAAAGGCACCAGCAGTCACAGCAAAGGCACCAGCAACGGTAAACGCCACATCGGCGTCTGTCAACGCTACAGCACCGCAGGCAACGGCGGTGCCGGTGGATACTAACGCTACACCACCAGGCGCAAAAACGGCAGCGACGAATGCTAATGCTCCACCATCACAGGCAACGGCGGCACCGGTGGATACTAACGCTACGCCGCCAGGCGTAAAAGCGGCAGCGACGAAAGCTAATGCTCCACCATCACAGGCAACGCTGGCACCAGCGAACGCTAATGCTACACCGCCAGGCGTAAAAGCGGCAGCGACGAATGCTAATGCTCCACCATCACAGGCAACGGTGGCACCAGCGAATACTAACGCTACAGCGCCAGGCGTAAAAGCGGCAGCGACGAATGCTAATGCTCCACCATCACAGGCAACGGTGGCGCCAGCGAATACTAACGCTACAGCGCCAGGCGTAAAAGCGGCAGCGACGAATGCTAATGCTCCACCATCACAGGCAACGGTGGCGCCAGCGAATACTAACGCTACAGCGCCAGGCGTAAAAGCGGCAGCGACGAATGCTAATGCTCCACCATCACAGGCAACGGTGGCGCCAGCGAATACTAACGCTACAGCGCCAGGCGTAAAAGCGGCAGCGACGAATGCTAATGCTCCACCATCACAGGCAACGGTGGCGCCAGCGAATACTAACGCGACAGCACCACGGGCAACAGCGGCACCAGGAACGGTTGTCAACGCGACAGGACCATCTGCTACAGCTGCACCAAAAGCGGCACCAGCAACGGCCAGCGCCACGTTGGCACCTGTCAACGCTACTGCACCACGAGCAACATCTGCACCTGCCAACGACAATGCTCTCTCGTCAGGAGTCACCGTAGCCCCAACTGCAACAGCCGCACCACCAGCTGCAACAACCGCGCCACCAGCTGCAACAGCTGCCCCATCCTTGCCGCCATCTTTGGTGGCTGGAAAAGCGCCAAATGCTACAGTGCAAGGGGGTGACGCGACAGCAAATGCCACTGCACCTGCGAACGCTGCCAGCTCCGCACCTGCGGACTCCACCAGCGCACCAGCAGCAGCGGCTGCGCCCGCGGCGCCGGGGAACGGAACTGCTGAAGCCGCCAGCCCCGCACCCGCGGACCCAACGGGAGCGCCCGCCGCGGCTGCAGGAAATGCAACGGCGACTGCGGGAACAGATCCTGGCGCCGCTTCCGAGGCCAGTTCTGGCGCAAACAGCACATCATCGGACGCAGGAACAGCTACTAGTGCGGCAGCTGGTGCGTCCCCAGCAGCAGGAACAGCTACTGCTGCGGTAGCTGGTGCGTCCCCAGCAGCAGGAACAGCTACTGCTGCGGTAGCTGGTGCATCCCCAGCAGCAGGAACAGCTACTGCTGCGGCAGCTGGTGCATCCCCAGCAGCAGGAACAGCTACTGCTGCAGCTGGTGCCGGCGCATCCTCAGACGCAGGAGCAGCGACTGCGGCAGCTGCTGAGTCGCCTGCGATTCCACCGCCTGCGTTGCTGGTGAGTCCGCCGATGATGGAAGATACTGATAACACCACCATGGAGCGGGCATTCCTAATACAGATCGACCACGAAACAACCGATTCGACAGGAGCTGAGATTAGGGCTTGCAGTAATTCATCTTGAGTCTCTGGCTCCTTTTTTAAGGGGAGCACGCGTCAAGGTGACAATAATGAAGTTCGCAATTATTGAACACCCTCAACTCACGTTTTAAGAGGAGCGACAAGCTCAGAAAGATCTAATGTGATCACTTCCGCTGACGTGGCCGCTAGCGAGGCCTTGGCGACCGCGGTGGCTGCCGCAGTCGCAGCCAGCACGGCCGAGGCAGGCGTAACACTCACAGACGCAGACGTCGAGGCGTCTCTGTCTGCACCTGAAGTTCCAGAAGGTGCACCGATAGAAGGCAGCACAGGAGCCGAGAGCACACCTGCTCCAGGAGGTACTTCTTACGCTAAAGTATCCACAATTAATATTACTAATAAATAGGTCTTTGAAAGAAGTAGTATTAGAGAAGGGATGTTGCCGTCTTTCTTCTACTCTGTTCTTGCTGTATAGGACTCTTATCTGTAGCACTAAAACTCTAAAATGTCATCATCTGGATCTGCATCTTCATCCTCATCAATCTTCCCGTATCTTCAGGTAGCACGTTGTATCAGCTTGGAATGGACGCAGCAGCTTATTTGAAGTCTCATCTGTCTCTATCGACGTCTGGAGGAGCTGTGATTTCGAAGCAGAGCAGCAACACGAAGGGCCTAGTCTTGCGCCGGAAACGTACAGACAAAGACGGTGCTGCCCCAGCTGCTGTATCCCTCACGGCTTATAATTAAGGCAACTCATGATCATGATGAAAAAGATTTAGATTGCACTTACTCGAAAACTGAAAATAACCCGGTTGCTGACTGAAATAAGGGAGGTAGCTTTGACAGGGCTACTCTTCCCTGTTCAGTATCTCGCTTATTTGAAGTACGTAGTAAGTTAAGTGCCCGCTTATTTCAGTTCATCGATTAAGTGTAAGCAATTCCTCATGATCATGATGAAGAAGATTCAGACTGTACTGAAGATTGAGTGTAAGCAATTCCTCGTCCTGTGCATCTTGTTTACAACGTCGAGTTCTTGTGATTCTTGATTTCAAAGCGTTATAGATGGCGCCATTAGTTCTAGTTGTGGAAGAGAACAATGATACTGATCTCGAGCTCGTCCTCTAATGTATCAAGAAGCTAGCGAAAACAAGCTGGGGTCACTCAGCACGTGAAGACCCTGAATCGGGCGGCGCAGCCTCTGGGGATAGTGCTGAAGCGTCAGGACCAGACGTATCGCGAGACTTGGTTGGAATGGAACCATCCCCCACACCTATTGCTGTGGCTGGCGCACCAGAAAGCTCTCTGATATGAGATCACAATTTTCCTGCTCCAAATATCGGATTCCATGACGGGTCTCAACTACTTACGTAAAAAGTGTCACCTCTCAATATATGCCGTGTGGTGAGTAGTTAGTTATAACTACCGGGTCGAAGACTCCGACATGTAGTGGTTACTAGGTGGAGTCAAGACAAGACGAGATGAAGATAGTCTTTTGTATAGGCTAGTTGCAGTACTATATGGGACACAATGATGATGATCTTTTGTAACTTCTTCGAGTATCGTGTCGGTTCTAGTAGTTTGTGTGCAGGGAAATTGAGTGTCATAGCAATTACTTACCGCCTCGCAGAGTTCGGAGAGCCCGAGCAGCGACAGCGACGAAAGTTCGGACTCTAGCAGTGGCAGTAGTGTTACGGATGTGGGAATAAATGCATTAATAGCTATCTCCAAAGAAGCAGTCATCTGAGAGAAAGCAGTCATCTGAAAGAAAGAAGAAAACAAGACAAGCACGATAAGAAGAAATTTATGGTAAGTACTCAATTGAATGAAGCGACAGAGATCCATTGAAATTTTTTTTCTACATTTCACTCAGGTGGAAGCATGAACCTCTTCTAATATCGGTACTCATAGCAACAGCAGTAGCAGTACTGTCGGTGCTACGAAGACCACGTGGGTGCAGGCTTTGGTGTCGTTTCCGACGCAGGGCAAACGTGAAGCACTAGAAGCTGAGGGATTTTGGCCTTCTGGGAAGTCACCTGCAAATCTAGTAGATCGTATCAAAACCGCGCTGAGCGATCCTGTGAGTGATCCTGCTGGAGGTGGAGGAAATTTTACGGACTACAGAATTCCTGATATCAAAATGAATGTGCATTATATTCACGTCCTCTCATGACTGGCATTACTTATCCTCGATAACTATTTGGAGTTGTCGCCTTAGTCTTCGACTCAGTTACTCAAAGTGCATTATATTCACGTCCTCTAATACGTTTCCTTACACAACATGTACAAATCACATCTGCATTTTTCTCTTTCATAGTCTCAACGGTGGGCGGTTTCCTTGCGAGCATGAGCGGAGCGCCGGATTCGCTCGTGACAGCAACCTCTGTAAAGAGTGTGTACCCCATGCCAGATGGAGCAGCAGTAGCTGAATTCAATTGCGGACTTCTGTGCTGGCTTGGCTTAGACGGTACTAACTCTACGGAGGTACTAGGGAATCTGACTGAAGGCCTTCAGGGTAGGCAAGGAGATACTGGCGGCGCAGCGACAGCCGGCGGCGGAGAAGCTGCCACTGCAGCACCAGCAACCGGCGGCGGAGCAGCTGCCACTGCAGCACCAGCAGCCGGCGGCGGAGAAGCTGCCACTGCAGCACCAGCAGCCGGCGGCGGAGAAGCTGCCACTGTAGCACCAGCAGCCGGCGGCGGAGCAGCTGCCACTGCAGCACCAGCAGCCGGCGGCGGAGCAGCTGCCACTGCAACACCAGCAGCCGGCGGCGGAGCAGCTGCCACTGCAGCACCAGCTGCAGGTGCCGCTACGGCCGCCGCCGCAGCAGAGACCACCGCAGCACCAGCCGCAGCAGAGACTACCGCAGCACCAGCCGCAGCAGAGACTACCGCAGCACCAGCCGCAGCAGAGACTACCGCAGCACCAGCCGCAGCAGAGACTACCGCAGCACCAGCCGCAGCAGAGACTACCGCAGCACCAGCCGCAGCAGAGACTACCGCAGCACCAGCCGCAGCAGCACCAGCCGCAGCTGCCCCAGCAGGTGCCACAGCTGCGCCAGCGCTGCTGAGTAAGCGGTCTGCAGCAGATGCAGCCAAGAAGCAGGAGATGCGACTGATGGGCAGGAAGCTGAAGAAAAACCTCCAAAACGCTAGGAGGGAACGGGAAAGTATGGATGGTGTATTTATTCCATCTGTCAGACCAACGAGTGGTCTGCCTCTCCCCCCTTATTAGATTTGGCCTTCCTCTCAATACTCTACGAGTACCTATTCTGCAACATAGTAATTGCTGTGGGTTATCATGTATGAATATACGTTTTCACTTTCAGGGGGGAATTAAAAAAGGGTAGCCCTGACGGTGATGGTCTGGCTAGATGGAAGAGACGCCATTCATGGACAGGCAGAGTCGCCGACTCCGAGTGGCTGTCCATGGACAACGGGTAGCATGGGAAACACTACAGGGACACCTCAACTTAAGAACAAGGGTTTTTGGAAGTGACGATGACCGGTGTAATCTAGTACATGCAGTATGTAGAAGATCTTCCACGGTATATTACGCCTCTGCCGGAGCGGTGTTGCCACCTCGTCTGTCAACGACGCCGAGGCACCTATACGCATAGTTGAATTATAATACATTAATACGCATTTTTGAATCTTCATCTATGAGTAATTTTTTATCAAGCAGCAGGATAAAAGTAAGTCATCTAGTTATTAGAGGCTCTAACAAACCTGGCGATCGCGGAGGAGGAGAAGGTCATGCAGGAGATCGAGCGCTTCATTGCTGTCTCGAACAAGGAGCATGCGGCGACCATAGTCTAATGAGGTGGAAAACTGCCAAGCTTTGACTTGGTAGGGATTGAAAAAGTATCTTGTTAGGAGAACTAGAAGATGAAGTGACAGGAATAGGAAAATGAAGAAACAGGACGGTACTTAGAAGAGGAAAATAGGTTCAAGTTTTCAATGCATTGCAAAGACAAGCCTAAGCTTACACAGAGAATAGGAAGAGGAATGCAAAATGAATCGCTATTCAAGTAGATTGCTAGTTGCATAGAGGACGCTAGATCCATTGCTTAATAAGACTTTCGATGTACTAGATAAACATAATTCTGATAGGGTCGAAATGAACATCTGTAACTCACCGGCTGTCCTGTGCATGCATGTCATGTATAGTTCTTTCATGGAAAATGTCTCTGCAACTAGTCACACTGAGCAACTTCTTCTACTTCTACAGCCATTTGTTACACATTGTTAGTACTAAGTACCTTCATCTCCTACGGCCATTTGTTACACATTGTTAGTACTACCTAAAGTAAGCTGCAAGAATTCACTTCGTCATATTCTAAATCACTCCAAGAGTGTATCGATTTTCAAAACGCAATTCAAAATGAATCCGTAAGATGCGTATCAAAGTTTTGACCAAACTCAATTCTATAGAATAGAACAACCAAGATCAAGTGGTTTATGTTTCCTGCTGCTCACTTCGAAGCACCTGCAAGAAGGAAGATGAGGACCACGATGGGACGACTCCTTTCTGCGATCCGTGTTGTCTTTCTCTCGGAGATATGCGAAAACGAGTGAAGACGTCTTATCAAATATAGTCAATGGAAAGGGTAGAAGTCTTAATATCAAAATATTTACATCTTCTCCACACTGTAGTTACTAGAAAAAATCATTCTGCTTTACCTTTACGAGTGTGCTGACTATGAGTATGGGGCGTGGAGAAAATCTACAGCCGCTCATGCCTGTAGGAGAAAGCCACTGACAACTAAAACTACAATTACATACTTCTAACTATATGTTGATTCTAGAAGTAGGAGGTTCAACACTATTTCAGTGTTGCTTGAGTATGCCTTAAGAAATCGGTTTCGTATGTTTCTTCCAAGAAGAAATAGTTCGTTGTAGGAATGTCGCGGAGACTTGCACTGCTAGCGGGGTTTGTCCAAGCGCGCAGAATAGACCAGCATAATGCAGGTCGACGCGCAGTTGTGCGGAATAGAGCAAACAAAGCCTCTGCTACAGTGTTGGCGACAAGAACAGGGAATGTTAAGGCTGCTAGACATTACCTCTTAGCAGTCAAGCAATGAATCATAGAAATGAATCAGAATCCATCAATCAATCATCTCCACGTACTAGTAGACTACTTCACAAGGAATGTATCGCATGTGGATCCCTCACAAGCATGTATTGCACAAAAGGACAGAACAATGCTCGAGGAAAGATACAGATACTACGGTGTACAGGAAATAATCTTAAAGTTTACGAAGAATCTAAGCAGGATCCGAAGTCCGAGACAGACGCCTCCCAAGTAGACAGGATAATACGAGGAACGACTAGAAGGGAATTTTTGGGCGAAGATGGCGGTGTCTTGCTCAACACAGGAATACAGTCAACCGATACCCTAGCTCAGCCACAAGCTATTACGATGAAAAAGACACCTATGATTAGAATGAATGTATCTCCAAGGTGATCATCAAATGAATTTCTTGCTTACTCGTACCACACGTCTAATGTAGCTGCATCTAATGTAGCTGCATCTAACGTAGCTGCGTCTAATGGAGGTGGACAAGCTGCCGTTTCAGCAGCATCTTCAGCACTAGCTGCGTCAAATCAAAGTCCATCATCTTCAGCAGTGGCTGCGGCACCTGGTGCCGTCGCACCTGGTGCCGTCGCACCTGGTGCCGTCGCACCTGGTGCCGTTGCACCTGGCGCCGTTGCACCTGGCGCCGCTGCACCTGGTGCCGTTGCAGCCGTTGCGCTTTCAGTGGGTATATCAACGGGTGTAGCAGCAGGAGCAGCAGCACCATCCACTACTGCTTTTGGGTCAGTCCTCGCAAACAAAAAGACGATGGCATTTGCTGCTTATGACAAAAGTACTTGTGTAGACTCATGATTATGAAAGAATCTCTTCACCCGTTTAACTTTAATGCTATAATTGTCTAAGTCCTCTGAGTACTGTTAGTCATGAATAATTCGGCACCCACACCCCACAACAACCGAAGCACCACCCTTTTCATACTGCAAACAATACGGAAGACCTGGCGAAACTGTGGGCGCAAACCGAAAAATGGAATATGCAACCAGTTGACGAAAGTCTCGTTTATGAAACGATCTTATCATCCTGAGGTTCAGAAAAAGTGTGTGCATCTGGTCTCCTCTTGTGACTCGTTTTTACTCTCTCTCAGTGGTTGTTTCGAGAATCTTCAAACAAAACGGTCCTGAAAGGTATTTTTGTCATCCTGAGTCTCTCAATTTTTTTGATTTCGTAGTCGATGGAGATACCTTTCAGGACAGCCTGCGAGTCAGGATGCAAAAAGAAGAAAAACATCCTTGTACTCGAAAACGGAAACAATACCCGAGCTACTGACTGAAATAGGGGGGGTAGCTTAACGTCAAGGCTACTCTTCCTTCTCATCAGTATCTCGCTTATTTTCAGTAGTAAGTTACTTGCTTATTTCAGTTTTTCGAATACTCGGGAGTGGCAAAAAGCTACTCGTCTCTTCCTTCATTTCTTCACGCCAATTAGACAAAAGCTGGACGACCTAGGCCCTCTACACGACGACGGAAAAGACGACTCGGGAAACGCGGATCCGGGAGCGCTCTGCCTAGCGACAGTATTGCTCGATAGTAGGAGAATTCTTTTTACCAACATTTGAGCGGTTTCATCTTCGTATTAGACCTACTTGTTCTTGAGTACCAGAACTAGTTGCACACGACATCTTTCTTGATTTAACGAGATGTTGACGATGATCAGACAACTGATGATAATAGCATTTTTTCTAATAGAAACACAAACAAAAACACGATCATGATCACTCAGCTTCCGCCATGTAGTGTTTCCGTTCTAGAAAAGCTGAAACCTGGAGAGAAGCCAGAAAACTGCGACCCTGACCGCATTAAACCCTGCGGCTACTACGACGCTGGACCAGACAGGACATTGTTACAGGGTAACAACATTTGCTCCGAAAAGACGGGGTTTCTGGATCCGTTTCGAGCATTATGTGTGAAGAATTTACAGTTTGTCTTCTTTATACAATATCTGGGTGGCGCTTTCAAAACGAAGAAGCGAAGTTGTGAAAAAGTGATACTCTTCAATAGCTCAGTGAGATGATAGTGGAGCTCGTACGTAGTCGTAGTGTACTTAGTTCGTTGCACGCTTATCGAGCAGCTTCCTTTGAGTCAAGAGGTATAAATACGCAACGCGCTGAAAAGACGGGATTTCTGGATCCGTTTCTTGAAGAATTTACAGTTTGTCTTCTGCTCGACAGGTAGCTAGGAGTTTTTAAGTATTTCGTTTATCTTCTAAATCTGTCGCTTGAGGAGAGAAAATACATAGTCCAGTTCGATGGTGCGCAGCTGGGTATGCAGGGTCGTGCCTGGGATGGGACTGTTTTTGCGGAGGAAGGCAAACGATGTGTGCGGACAGAGTTCACAACATTTACGAAGTCTGGCTTCTTACATACGGGTCACACCATTACTTACGAGATAGTCGTACCGTTTGCTTTATATTTCTTGTCATCTTAGGCCTCATGTAGTAACACTAACTATGCCAAAAGCGCTTTTTTCTACATTATTCGTCTCAGAATGAAAATTTTCCACTTTGAGACGAATATTGCCCAACTGATCCCGGGGCTTTATGTGCGTTTTTTGGCTAAAAAACCCCTTTTCTATGTTCGCTTTTGGCATAGTGTTATTCCATATTAGGCCTTACGCTTTTTTACTGTGTATTGCGATTTCATAATTGGCTAGACTCCAAGACTTCAATACTGCTGTGGACGTAGTAACTAAGTGACAACCCTCTCCTTTTACGCAGAGTACAGCTAAGGAACCTCCCCTTCTCCTTTCATACATCGTACCCCAAGATGTTATGAGATTCTGATGCGAGCAGGAGAGTGCTGGGGCAAACCAGAGTTGCTCGACGATGCGGGCGAAAAAGTAGAGACTGAGATAAGTTTCAACTGTATGGGGGCATGTGGTGACGGATGCCCAGCTGAAACAGGTTCTAGACTTTCTCAGATGATCAAACCTTTTGTCTTCCCGCAAGCTTGAACTTGATGACCACGGCTGACGACCACACTAAGAAACCAACAGTCAAATTCAGTAAATCACGGTGTCGTTTCACAATGACAGTGACAGCAGGCAGGACCTGTGGTCGCACTCCCGGTTATACTTCCTTGATAGTTTATCAATCGATTATTCTGCTCTTCAATGAATAGAAGGTCAAAAGTACAGGATAGTTGAAAGGCCTCAAAGGTGTTAGCATAACACATAAAAGAGGATCCATGTGAGTGAGACTTTCTCTCTCACCTTGATCAACACACCTATTGTGTCTTCCTTCCTATAGGTCGAGTCCTGGACCACACCATCAATTGTCTCTCTACACCAGGTGTCAACAAATGGGCGTCGGACTGTTTGCGATCTCGTGTTTGCAGATGGATGTACGAGGAAGCCAAGGATCAGGCCTTGGCGTCGAATCCATCCTCTAGTCTCGATTGTGGCGACGAGGCGCGTGATATACAAGACGATCTAGTGGCTACAGGTAATATTACTATTAGGATTTTTCCTAACCCTAAGTCCAGGTAGTTAGTAACTAAGGATATGCACAAGACGATCTAGTGGCTACAGTAGCAGTAATACTTATGCTTTATAATTCTGCATTAGTAGAGATCTCGACTTCAGTCTTTCTTCTTCAATTTTTCAGGTTTACGAGGGAGCGTTTGGGACCTGTTGTTTAGAACGGGTGCGGGTGTCTGCGAGTTGCCCTATGCAGAGCGGTATATGTACGAGCGACTTGTGTGCTATAGTGGCGCGAAAGGTGTCGTTCACGGTCGTGTGTACAACGCATGTGCCTTGACAGGTAGTGGGACGCAGGCATTATGATGAGATTCATGAAGCTTCTAAATAACTCTTTAAGGCTGTCGTGATGCAGCAACTGTGTGATCGTACCCTCAATCATCCTCGAAGTATCTGAAATTGTATAATCACACTCTCGTACTACGCATCCCTTCGTTGTAGGAAAGACTGTTGCTGCTAGAGTCGCTGGTGGCAGCGTGAATGACTGAATAACCTCGTTCATCTTTAGCACCGCAACACCTGAAAGTGCTGAATGTGACGCAGAAGGCTCTATTGCAAGCGATGCAGCCAGCGGGTTCGGTGACCGCGTCAGCAGACGTGAATGTGGCGCAACCATCTTATGAAAGTCAATCTGTTTCATGTTCACAGTAGTGGTCAGTATGTGTGAACAACTATGATACGTCATAGCACTTACTCAGGAAGGACTACGACTTGCATAATATTCATCGGTGCAACCCTCTGCTGAAGAAAATCAGATTAAAAGGTACGTGTTTCCTATTTTCCTTATCAAGAGGATGAAGTCGTGAAGATTTCCCCTTTCATGTATCAACGCCTCCACCTCGCAATACGGGAACAGCAACGACACCGGCACCAGCAACAGGGGGTAACACTACAGCGGCGGCAGCAACAGGGAGTAACACTACTGTGGCGGCAGCAACAGGGATTAACACTACAGCGGCGGCAGCAACAGGGATTAACACTACAGCGGCGGCAGCAACAGGGAGTAACACTACAGCGGTGGCAGCAACAGGGAGTAACACTACAGCGGCGGCAGCAACAGGGAGTAACACTACAGCGGCGGCAGCAACAGGGAGTAACACTACAGCGGTGGCAGCAACAGGGAGTAACACTACAGCGGGAGCAGCAGGAGCTCCGGCTTCGACGGCCGCTCCAGGCGCGACAACAGCAGCCGCATCAGCGACAACGGCGGCACCGGCGACAGCGGCTGCAGTAGGAGCAGGAGCAGCGACTACGGCAGCCCCGGCGCCGACCACTGCAGCCCCGGCGGCGACGACAGCAGCGGCTGCTCGTTAGGGAGGTGTATTGTTGACTGAAACTGATACTTGAATTTTTTTTTCGGAAGTTGGTTGCCCTTTGGCAACCTGGTTGTGTTTCTCTCAAGATATTCATCACAATTCAATTTTTTCATCTGTATTTGAACCTGGTGCACCATCTCGAATACATCTTCATCACAGTTTAACTTTAACATTTTCATCACTGGACTTCACAATTCGTGTAGCTGACTGATTTAACAATGACATTGACAATGGACTCAACCTACCACAGAAGTAAAACGACTAAGCGAGCAAGGCTGTTCATCGAGAGGGGCCATCAAATGGATCTCAAACATGTACTTGAGTTATCAAAGATAAGTAGACAACACATTGATTTCTTTGCTTCGCGATTTGAGACGACTAAAACATTTCACTTGAGAAGACCACGACAATCACCTTGTAGTACAGGCCATTCGATGGCATCAAAGCACATTTAAGTAGTAGTTACATGTTGGTTTCACACAACTAGTACATCGAGATATTTTAGTGCATAGAAACTATCCTAATGTACTTCTATCCTCGTAGCATTGATTTCTTCATTGCCTCTCACTTGATGGTGGATTTGGTACTTGTATAAGCATGATGCATGGAAGAACTTCGTACTAGGCATGCTTGTTTTATTCTGTCATATGTAAAACTCTAGTTTTGGAAGAACGAATGTACCTGCAGTACGCCATTAAAAGGACAACTCCCCTCGCGTGGAACAAAAACCCTACAGCATTCTCTCCTCGTGTGTAGAAGATGACCGCAGAAGAAAAGGAAGGACACTTCAATCAAGAAACGAGAAGTGTAAGAAATTGACTGATTGTAAGAAATTTGCGCATGCATCGGTTCCTTCTTGATCCGTATGATGGCGCGTCAGGCCTATATGCTTACCTTGCCACAGGTGAGCCAACTCCTATCCTATCCTATCCATGTCGTCGGACACAGCGAGTTGTGTCGAGCACCGTAGTTCTCTCTGGCGAAGGAGCTGCATTCCATCAGGTGCTTTGCGAAGCCGATATAGTTGACGCTCTTGTGGCGCCAGTTTGTAGGAATGACGTTTGATGGGGCAATGAAGCGGCTCTTCGTCGACAATCGAAAATTTTGCCTGACAGAGCGAAAACTTGAACAAGGAAAAGCTTTTAAGTACAACTTTTCTTGAAATGTATACTATAAAAATATGTAGTTGTCACGTTTATAGTTGTAGGCTGATGTTGCTGTTGCTGACGTAGTAAAAATCTCCACTTGAAAATACGAGAAAAGATGAAGGCCGCATCCCCTTTCGTCCAGGTGATCGCAAAATCCTGGTGGATAGGTGTCCTAGTCGGAGAACATGCTTGGGCCTCCTCACGGCTGGTAAAAGTCATCGCGCTGGCGCGACACGGAAACCGCACACCGAACGCGCAAGTTGTGGAAGTGTGCCCGAAAGCGAGTGAAGGAATCTTTTATGGCTTGATATGACGGATCAACAGGAACAGTCGGGAAAATACTGACAATCCAACAACAAGCTAGACTAGCGGGTAGAATTCGCCAGGGAAATCCTAGGCAGATAGCCGAGTAGACTCGTGCCATCCTGACGCGTAATATACAGTACTAGCCGTATGTGGCTAGTACGCATGACAGTCCTGGCCGTCTGCTTGGCGTACTCCGTTCGGATCTAAAACGCAAAAGAGTTCCGAACGGAGTACGCCAAGCAGTCGGCGGCCCTCTCGCGCGTTGGCATGTCAGAATGTGGTCAGGCAGGCCGGTTTCTCCGTGAACGCTATATGCAGGACGAGACATCCTCTGAAGGGTCCTCGGAGACGAAAATTCTTCCGGGTGGACCCTTTATCGACACCGAGCGCTCATTCTTTTTCTCCGAGCGCATGGACCGCAACGTAGTTTCGCTGATTTCCTTGACTCAAGGCCTTTATCCTCTAGGGACAGGCGTGGACGGTTTCTCCGCTGCGAATCCTAATTACGTGCCTATTCTGACGGCAGAGCCGTTTCGAGACACAACCATGAACCTACCCAGAGATGGACCCTGCAAACCTCGCTATATTAGGAATACTGTTAGTATTGGAGTAAGTACAAGTGCTGCTAGATCATGTGTAGAACTAGTAGAATTACACAGGCTCACCGTAATCCATCTTCTGAAGCATCTCCGAGACGTTTTCAAGGGGGAAAGGGTCTCAGGATGGGCTTCGGGATGGATCAGGGTGACCTCTACTAACGCTAGAAGTACAGTGCTGTCTAGCCAGAAGCAGGCTCATTCATGGGATGAGCAGGACTTTACGTCTTTCTCCTTCATGGGGATGAAGGTCTAGTGGAGACACTACTTTAAGAATGAGAAAAATTGATTTTGAAAAAAGATTTATCATTCTTTCACTGCGAAAATATTTTATTATACCTGTTATCTGCTTGACTATGAGCTTTCATCTTACGTCGAGACAAGAAGGCATACGCGAAAAAGTTGGGACGGAAGTTGGAGACGGAGGCGGACAGTCCTGAAAGGGACATGCTGACCAAATTTGGAGCAGTATGCGGCTTCGATTTTCTCAAGATGCGACCCTCAGAAGGAGAGCAGAAAGAAGCTGGGGATGAGGACAAAGCAGTACACAAGCCTACAGTTAAGTGTTGTAGCATATTGCTATTGCTTCTTTCACAGGGTGGAAAAGCATCCTTGACTCTTTTTTCAGTAAGTAGAAAAAAGTCAAGGATGTTGTTGTTGATATTCTGAGGAACGCATACGCAATACCGCTATACAACCACAACTTCTTCTAATGCAGCATGGGCGTTGAAGGCCGCAGCCGACATGTTCAATTTTGCGAATAATGAAGGAATCAATATCACCGACTACTTCGAGGCTGCGAATCAGCCCGTTTCGCTGTTTGAGCAGGTGAAATCTCTGTCGACTGACTTCACGCGTGAAGAGCGATTCGGCAAGCCTCAGCAACTGGTGTATTGGCTAGGTGATTTCTTTGCGCGCGTGCTTCGTCCTAACCTCTCTGCTCCGGAAAAAAGCAAACGAAGAGAAACTTTCAGGTACATAAAAATGATAATAGAATAGGAACTTCTTGCTGTACTAGTACTAGCACGTGGTAGTTGTTCCCTTCGTTTCAGCTAGTTCGTTGTAGCGAGTCCGTTGTAGCAACCCCGGATGCAGTTCACACTTGTGATAGATTTGATCAATACTTTTTCTTCCCGTCTGTACAGTCTTCCCGGTGTCTCCCTGAAGTCGAAGTTTCCTTGGTCGCTGACCCCCGAAGAGTTCTTTGACCACCAAAAGTTGCTCGTTTTTATTAAGGCCTCCTCCCACGACATTGCATTCTACACGACTTGCATCTTTGTCCACTCTTTCTACAGAGAAAATACAGAAGTGCTGCAGTGATGAAGATGTTCTAAACCAGCAGTAATCAATGCGATGCTGGATCAATGCAAAGGAACCTCTAATTATATGAACCATCGTGAGTTTTTGGTAGCTCTGTGCACAGTCTTGGGAATCGATTGGGGTGCTAAGAAAGCCCTGGCTCCAGGGGCGATGCTCGTGCTCGAACTCCACGAAGACGAAGGCGATTATTTTGTCAAGTTTTTATGTTGGCCTCACAAGTAAGTAGACACTAACAGCTACTTACACAAGAGGTACCATGACCTGACATGTAGACGCACTTTTTTGTTTTACACAAAGAACAAATTGGTATTTTCACATCATGCTGGTACAAGACCTTCCTTCTTTTTCGTATGAACAGACCTCGCAAGAGCAAGAAATATAATTATTGATTCTTGAATCTTTTTCGTTGTCTTCCGCTCGCTCAGAAATTTCGGCCTTGCTTCGCTCGGCCAGAAGTCTTTGGTCTAACTTACCTGGCCTGGTCGCCATCGAAACCGGCTTTCGCGGATAAAGCTGAGTACCACAAGGAGAAGCGTCCAGTCTCGGAGCTTTTCGCAAGCGGACCCGCGGGGGATGCGCATGAGGTCTTTCCTACAGCCTGTCGCGGAAGTATTCCAGGACACTGGTGCAGACTGGAGATATGGCTTCACATATTTTTGACATGACTTGTGTTTCTAGAACGTTTCTAGATATGATCATGTCGATCTCGATACCGCCACGTTTCTAGATATTATATCGATCCGATTTAATTTATAAACGTTTCTAGATATGATCATCATCATGTCGATCTCGATGCTCATACGACTAAGTGAAGATCGTCTACTAAATAGCGTCCTCCTCTAATAGCCGAAGTGTTTGCGGCCTATGACGAGCTTGTGAATTCCGTGGGAACCTGGCAGGAGGTGTGCCATCTTGACCACCGCGAGCAGCGATCATCCTCATTCTTTGGCCTCTTTGGGACACCTTCTAGTACTTTAGCCAGCTTGCCGAGTGTTGACGAACAAGAGCGCTTCAACACGTTGAATCTCATTGCCGAAGATCCTTCTCCACTAGGAGGCATTTATTCAGGTTCATATCATGGGATGTACGACAACGGCGATCAGCTGTTAAAAACCTCAAAAGATCATACTACCTACAATAATTTTGCTGTAACAGGAAACTGGGTAGTGCTTCTACTGCTGGCTGCTGTTGGTGCTGCGTCGATTTTTTCGCGACTGGTCGACAGCGCTTGCCGCGTGATGACGACCCTTCAGGCTCGCCGTGACGCGCTTGCACACTACAGCTTAATGAACAACTGAGGACTAGATCTAGAGTGCTACATATGAACGCTCTTTCATTCGAATACATTGTGAAACAACTACAGTCAACCAGTCACAGTTGAAAATCTTGGTTCACCAACACGAGCAAGATGTCATTGAATCATTGAGGGTTCACCATCTTTCCTTGTCCTCGCAAGCGACTGTCATCAACACAGTCACGATCTTCATGTCGACAGAATTTCAACGCAAACAAGTAATACTTCCTGTCTGCAAGTCGTCGTGTAAGAAATCTGAATGGTACATGCCCTTGACGAGAATCGGAACGAATTTAGTGTTTGTAGATGCAAGCTGCACGTATAATAGGCAGGACGACAACAAGAGCCCTGTGTTGCCACACAGAATGTGGCAGAAAGCAGCGGTACACAGGAGTACTATCATCATAATATTGCCGTGGTGTCCTCTTGAAGAGAATCAAGAATCAGAATGAGAAGGCCTAATCATGGAGGAAAGATGTGAAGAAGGAAATTCTCATCATGAAACGCAGACGTGTGGTAATCTTTGCCACTGTGAGGATAATTAGTTACTTTGACGACATTCTGGAGGTTGACTGTCGATATGATTGGTTAGTTCAGCGTTGAACACATTTCGGTCAACAGCGTCCTTTCTTCAATGGATTTATACCAATTACAGCGAACAAGAGCATATTATTCGTAGGGTTGTTAGGAGTGATTGATTATTCCTCTGCTTTTTATAGAAGTACCAATAGGCTTATTATTTGAATCATAAGCAGAGCATAGCCGACCAAAGCAAATAGACACAACAAGATGTCGCGTCAAATGGATCGGCAGATCACGGTGTTCTCACCGGAGGGAAAGCTGTATCAGATCGAATACGCGCTTAAGAGCATCCAGAATGCGGGTATATTAGGTGTCTGCCTTCGAGGAGGAGATGCTGTATGCATGGTGGCGCAGAGAAAGGTCCATATAACGGTTTTGGGATTGATGGTTCCACTGTTTTAGCTGTTTTTCGGAGTTGTAAACTAACAGATTTACATTATCGGATAATGATTTTTTCCTGCTTTCTCAAGAGATGCCTTGATGATATTATTTTTGTGATTCCTCCTACCCTGTCTCTCAGGTTAAACCGTTTCAGAGAACTGATATTTTTGTGATTCCTACCCCGTCTCTCAGGTTTCAGATGTGAGAAGCTGATAATCCATGACAAATCATCCTGCCTCTCAGGTTTCAGAGAAGCTGATGGATCCTTCATACGTGACCAATATGTATGTGATTACGCCCAATATCGGTGCTCTCTGTATCGGCAGTAACCCGGATTGTAAGGACGTGATTCTAGAGGCGCGACAGATTGCAGGAAAATTCAAGGACCAGAATGGCTACGAGATTCCAGTCCATTTCCTGGCGGCAAAGATCGGAAAGAAAGCACAAATCTTCACTCAAAATGCGGGCATGAGGCCTTTGGGCGCAGTCATCCACCTGTGTGCAGTTGACGACGAAAAGGGACCGCAACTGTACTCCTTCTTGGAATTAGATGTTCAACTAATTGTAATATGAAATACAGAAATTATTCGATCTTACTCTTTAATTTTTCTTTTCCTGTTCATATCTGCGTCTGATCGGAGTGGGTACATTCATTCATTCCTTCATTCATAATACACATACCACGACAGCTGGAAGATCGATCCCTCCGGTCACTATTTTGGTTGGAAGGCCTTGGCGACGGGTCCCAAGGACCAAGAGGCCAATAACATGCTAGAAAAAGTAGTGAAACAAACCGACGGCAACGGAGAGCGCACCCTGACCATACGCAAGACCCTGGACGTATTGATGCAGACACTGGCTCAAGACGTGAAGCCGACTGACGTAGAAGTTGGCGTCGTCACAGCAGAGGGCGGCTTTCGCATGCTCTCTGTGCAGGAGATCGATGATCATCTAACGGCAATCCATGAACAAGACTAAAAGTATAACTACTACAACAAACTACTACAACATGATCATGTGAAGATGAACAATTATAGTACTTTCAAACCTGGGCTGGACGATGGAGAATTTCACGACGATGTCGGGATGAAGAAGATTCTCCCATGGACAATAATAGTTTCTCTCTCACTTCTAGAGAAATACAAGAGAAGATTCTCCATCAGTCAGAACCAGAAGTACACTTCCGCTACACTGGAGCAAACCTGGACATGAGTCCGGCTTCGTTTTGTGTCAACGATTTTTTGATTCGTACCTTGTTGTGCAATGGCAACCCCCGGCTTGCACATCAGGTCGTTGTTTTACTTACTATGTTCATTGTTCTACTATGTTGTGATTCTCCAAGGTCACAATCGTGTAACAGCATCTCCCCTCGATCACAGCATCAACCCTTCCATAGAAAAGACGGCCACTACCCTCAATCCCTGTCAAGAAATTTGACGTACTATGAATTTGACATTTATTTTTATGAATCCACATAGAATTACGCTATGGCTATGCTTGTGTTCATTTCGTGGTGCATAAGGATATAAGGCGTTTTTCTCTGCACAAGGATATAAGGCGTCTAACCTAACCTGTGAAGTCTCTGTGAAGAATAACCTAACCTGTGAAGTCTCTGTGAAGAATTGTGAGGTTCTGTCATTGAGCGACCAAGACTTTTTAGCAAGTCTTTTCTGTTGTACATGGCATCACCGTCTTGGGGTCTCGCTGATGCAGTATCTCACGCTTTGAGTACTAGAGTGGTTGATACGATGAAGAGCTAATCATGCAAAAAAAAGCTTGTGGCAGTGTCTGTGCCTGTTGTAGAGAGAGAGCAATCTGTCAGAAGAGAACTTCCTTTCTGAATGGGTCCGAGAGAGCAAACTTTTAAATAGTTTTAGCATTGAGTTTTCATCATCGTCGATACTCAACAAACAGGTTGCTTTCCGAATATTTTCTCAGGTACAGTAAGAGTAAGTAGTATTGATTGTGTCGCTCACCCTCGCTCTACTCCTTGTTGCCTGGTTTCGATTGCTCATTTTCAACACTGATAAAGTTAAAGGGATACATAGGAGGAACACTGATAAAGTTAAAGTGATTATAGGAGGCTAGACTCGATCATGTAACTTGCTTCCCCCCTACTCATTTGCAGAGCAATTCATCGCAAATAATTTAATCCGGCTTTTCTCTTACATGCTAGTGCTGTAGTGTATGTGTATAACTCCGGCCTCCGCCTTTTCTCTTGCAAACTAGTGCTGTAAGTAGTGTATCTTCCCAGTACAACACCTAGAAGTGCAAGTTCTTGAAAATGGAGTTCGAGGTTACGAACTTTGACGAAGAGGCGGAGATAGACGACCAAGACTACGGGTTTCAGATCATCGAACCTTTGCGAGCTTCGCGAAGGTCACGGGGATCCAGGAAGACAGCACGCAAGACATCTTCGAGGAAGACGTGCAGCTCTCACTCCAACGATCATCTTCAAGCGGAACACGAACAAAAGGGTGATGCTGGGAAAAGCGTACGTTTCTCGAATAGTTTCGACTTCAGCTCGTTGAAGAAAACGTCGAGCGTTGCAGGTGGGACGAAGTCGAGTGTTACATTTTCTAGTACTGGTCGTGCATCTTCTAGTACTGGTGCCTCTTCAACATCCATTCCTGGTGTACGTGGTGCAGCAGGCGCGAAGCGAGTGGCGCGGCAAGAGGGCGAAGCTGGTACAAGAGGGTCCGTTGAGCTGAACAACGAAGTGCTAGAGCTAACCGAAGGAGGAGGCGATGACGATGGAGAAGAAGATGAAGGCGCTTTGGAAGATGCAGATGTTTTGGAAGAGGAAGTGAAGAACGATAGTGCTCTCGACGACGATGACGACACAAGCGAGGATACGGATATCGAGGAGCAGGAGGATCCCGAATATCAACCCCCAGCAGCCGACGTGGATCTCGAGGACGTCGAAATTTCCAAGAGCCGAGAAAAAGAGGAGATGCTGCGACGCGAGAGCCGAAAAATGATCGACTTCACGAGACAAAGGGTTAGCGCCAAAGACTCGCCGCCTCGACCACCACTAGCGCTGTCGATGCGGCTACGGGAATCGCGGACGAACGATTCAGTCGTGACACGGGAGCGATTGTTGGGCTCTGCGTTCTTCCCTGAGCCAGAAACAAAGAAGGAGGTGGAGCCGGATACTGAAGCACGCCCTGAAGACCAAAATAATAACGAGGACGACGATGAGGAGGACGCCGCCGCCCGTTTGTCGACTATGAGTCAGAGCAACATACAGCCAATCATCAAGAGTGATGACGAGGAAGTAGAGGTACGAAAATCGACGCAGGTAGCTGCTGGTAGAGACGAGAAAGACCACGTCGCTGTAGAGGATGTAAAGGCGAAGACTAGTGTCAAGACTGATGCGAGTCGGGAGACAAGCCAAAGCGTTGATGATCCGACAGAGGCAAAGCCGGATGTACAACAACCTGAGAGCAACGACGAAGCTGTGGTTGCAGCTCCTGGCACGGATCCTCCGATACATTTAATGGGTAAAAAACTTGCAGAAGAAGAAGAAGATATGGATGATATTTTTCAGCGTGCTGTGAAGACTCTTGTGCGCAAGGGTCGGAAGAACCTGCGATCTGTTGAAACATCAGAGACCTCCAAAAGTCTTCAACAAGGGTCGTCCCTTAGCCAGCCTGTAGGGTCTCTTAGTCAGGAGCCTGTTCCCGGATCATCTCCTTCTCCGGTAAGTACTACGCACTTGAGCATCAAACCCATCTATGGTCTTAGCCAATCGTCTCCTAGAAGCGGGGTGACAGGAAGTGCCCTCACAGACGGGAGTGGAGTGCATACTCCAAAAAGTACTAGCCAGAGAAGCCCGACAAGTCAGCGAAGTCCCCGATCGGGTATGGCTACTCCCAGATCTCCTGAGGAAGCTACTAAAAAGCGCTTGTCTGTCGGCAGCACTACGACGGAAGAAGCGTTTTTCGCTGCGTGGGGCACGCTGGGGAATTGGCGGACACGCACGCAAATGCGGCGCGAGCAAAGAGGACTTCAAAGAACTGATAAGTATTCAGATAAGCATAAGTCAGTAGACAACGAGGCGAACAACGAACAAGAACAAGACCAACCCCAAACACAAAGCATTCTTCCTGATGTAGTACCAATGTTGGTGGGACCGGAGGATAGATCGGTAGAGCCTGGGGACCTAGCGCCTGTCCAGATCCTTGCGAGTCGCGCCCTGCGACAAGCGATCGCGAGTCAAAACACTGGCGTCTTCACAAAAGGAAGCGTAATAGAAGAAGAGACTGCTCCTGATGGTCATGCTGGTGTATTTTTTAAACAGAATATTTTTATTAAAGATGACGAAGTTGGAGTGCCTCCACTAGACCTGTCACATCTTCGTGTAATGCCGCTTAAGTTGGTACACAAAAGACCCGAAAAGCCCGAGAGTGAAGACTTGACGGCCGAAGTCTCTGCTTTGAATCGTCCACCCTCACGCAACGAATTCGGGAGTGACTTGACAAACGAAAGGCTAGAGCGATTCATGCGTGGCACAACAACGACCACGGGCACGACTAGACAAAGCAGAACAGCCGAGAGCAGACTTTCGCCTTTACCGACTGCAGGTGTTTACTGATTCGTCTTGCAATACAAGTGGTGATGAGTATTAGTCTTGCTTCTAGGTAGTGCCTACAGTCCCTTCAATCTATAGTTTTTATTGTGTGACATTGAGCTGTGTACTTTTCTTTCAGTTATTTGTATTAAATATTAGCTTTCTTTCTTCTTGCCGTTACCTAGTGGCCTCAGCTATCTAAGTAATTGTGGTTCACTTACTGCTGTGACTAACTTGAGTAGGTAGTTAACTGGTTTGCTTGTAGCAGAGAGCAGACTTTCGTCTTTACCGACTACAGGCCGCGTTGTGCATTTAGGTTCTGCCACAGCTTCTGCCAGGAACCAAAGTGTAGCTATTAGTGGCCTGAAGCACACAACTACAAAAAAAGGGCGTCGTGACCAACCGTTGCATGAGTATCTGCCAGGAGCAGAGGATGTCCTGGGACCATTTGGGCAGACTCGCAAACCTGCAAGTGCAGCCAAGAGGCTAGAGGAGTCTATTGCGTCTCACATTTCGAAAGAGCTCAACCGACATCCCGAGGCAGCGGTGAAGATTCTGCGCAAACTTCTAGCAGAGAAAGGTGTCATGACTGCATTTGGCCAAGACGAACTGGATAAAAATTATAGTACCTTGTTGGAGGAACAAGCGCAGCTACATCTTCATGTACAAGGAGAAACGACTAAGAAGAGTGCTCTTGGCTTAATTACGGAGGACGAAGAAGATGAGGACCAAAGTAATGAGATGGAACTAGGATCGGAGAGTAGCAGGTCGCGAGGAAGTGTGCTCGAAAGGACCATGCTTGAGGCATCGAAAAAGTCGAAAGCACAAGAGGGTTCCCCACTCGAGGAGGACAATTCTTCTGCAGATGGAGAAAATGTAAATGACAGCACTCTAGTTGTACTTGGGAATGCGAACAATAGAAGTACTCAAGAACATATCATGCTTGCTGGCGAAGAGGAAGATGCTGAAAATGACGCTTCTGGTGAATCTACGGCAGGCGCAGGACAACATCGAGCAGGCAGTAAAAATAGTACGAGAAATAGTACTACGTCTCTGCGGAAGAAGTCGAAGTCGTCCTCAAGAACGTCCGCTGCTCAGCCGAATGATTACAACCCCAGTAACTTCGTGAAAAGTCCCAGCTTGATCGTGGAAGAAGAGCATGTGGTTCGGAAATCGAGTACAACTAAGAGTCCCAGCTTGATCGTGGAAGGAGAACCCGCGACTCGAAAATCAAAGAAGTCAGAGAGAGAGTCTGCTGAGAATTCGGTTCGAAAATCAAAGAAGTCAGAGAGAGAGTCTGTTGCTGCTCTAAATGCTAGAAAGAGCAGGACTAGTACTAGAACGAGCCTTGAAGATCTGAGGAAGCAAGAACAACAAGAAGAGGTGCGCTATTCTGACAGGACGCAGACGGAAAAAAATTCCATACGCAGAAGCACCAGAGGCAGCGAAAATCGCAACAGTAAAATCTCTATCCCGGAGCTTACGATTATCAGTCGCAAGAGCAGCACCAACAGACAGAGCAATATTGACCCCGCGGAAACGAGGACGTCAGAAAGGAGAAGTGGCGTGGCTCGGGAGAGTGCCAGAGATCGGGAGAGTGCCAGAGATCGGGAGAGTGCCAGAGATCGGGAGAGTGCCAGAGATCGGGAGAGTGCCAGAGGCAGTAAGCGTTCAGGGTCACGATCCCCGAGGCAATCTGCGAGGGCGAAAATGAAAAAGCAGCGTGGAAGAGGGCGCTAGGTGAAGTATCCTATGCTACAAGCACAATCCTCCCGTAGCAGGAGTATCCTACCGTAGCAGGAGTATCCAATGCGTAGGAGTATATCCCGTCGCACGCGCATCCAAGAATTTCGAGAGCACAATGTCGATGTCAGAAGTAAGTAGAAGTGCTTAGTTGTGACCTCTCCCTTTCGTGGTTTGCGATGAAAGTACAGTGCGAATTTTATTTTAGAATGAGCAATTTTACTAGCTTCAGGTTCAGATACCCCCTCAATTTGTGAAAAGAAACAGATGCAATGCTGTCCCGCCTGCAGAATCACCAAGAATGACGAACCATAGGATGTCTCGAATAATATCTCGTTGATGTTGAGGTGTTAGTGTTCAAAGATCATTCACATTCTGTGCCTATGTGAGATCGGTCTTTATGACTTGTTGACTTCTTTTGCTCTATCTGTTGCAGTCCAGGAAAGCGAAGATTATAGAAGGTTGTTAGTTTCCCAAAGCTCCAGACAGAAAAGGACTCCTCGAAGATCTGTTCCTTGGTGCTTGAGTACTTCTATGTTTGGTGAACTACTTAGACTTCCGGTTCCGTAGATATACGACTAGTTATAGTTCACACGTGCATACGAGTCAAAAGTTGCTCTCTTGCCTGCATAGCACAAGTATGGCCGCAGGTAGACATTTCCATTTGGGTTCAACATCGCGGTTATTACAACATCCATGCAATTTGCATAGCATTTAATTGGCCATTTATTTGTGGTAATTCTGGTTCATTACGAGAATGAAAAGGTTTAAGAACAACTTCTTTGTGCTAGGAGTGCAGGTCGGTACACTAGCTAAAACTGTAGCTCTCGGATAAGGTGATTCTATCAGATAGAATGAACGTTTTATTTTGTTGAATAAGGTAGATAAGCTGTAATAGCTGGTGGTGGATATCATGCCTAGGCCGAAGGGGAGACCACGGAAAGTACCGGCGCCTCCTCCAGTGGAAGATAGCTCAGACAATAATGACAGTGGAGCTGCTGGTGAGGCAGAGGACGACAGTGCTGGAAATGCTAGCGACGCCGATAACAATGCTGAAAATGCTAGCGACGCCGAGAGCGACGTCGAAAAACAAGCCTCGTCGTCTGCTGCGTCATCCGACACTGGTTCGTCTTCAAGCCCTGGACGTGGAGATGGGGCGGAGAAACAAGCCTCGTCGTCATCCGATTCCGATGATAGCCGCATCAAGGGACGAGATGATTCATCAGCATCCGATTCAGAGGAGTCTTCTTCCGATGATAGCTCCTCGTCTGGGCCAAGCTTGGTCCGTCAAAGTCGAACGAGTCGGCAACGACGGCCAGCCATTGAGGGAGGCGATTCTGGACAGTTGAGCAAACGCGAACAGGAAGACGAGGACGACTTCTGGGCTGCTTTTCTCGGACAGGGAACGACGAAAGTTGAGGGTTACCACATTGCATTTTTCACTAGTACCATCTTCGACTTGTTTCCCAGTAGGAAATAAGGGGTCAGGGGTGATGATCTGAAGAATGCAAAAATGGCGCAACGTCTAAGAACAAAGGAGAACAAGGCACGAAGGCTGCGCGGGCCTCGAGCTCGTCTTCAGGTGGGGGAGAACGAGGACGTCATCAAGGAAGCAAGAAAGCCGTGACGACATCAAAGTCGAGTTCGTCGTCTTCAGGTGCAGCTAAACAAGGTGGTAGCGACGCTGCTGATGGTGAAGATTCCAAGAAAAGAGACGAGTCTGCTCCTGAAGTCGAGGCATCTTCGTCTTCGAATATCGCGTCTTCGAATAGTGCTGACAATGATGAACACGACAATGACCACATAGAAGTACTATTTACTTCTTAAGGGTAGGTTACAGGTGCTTTTCTTACCGCTTTTTATGCCTCTCTTTTAAGGGAGAAAGGCATAAAATAGAAGCGGGGTAAGCAAGCACCAACAACCTACCTCTAAACTTCGAAGAATAAAGGAAAACGCACGAGCACGACTTCTATCTGCGACGACAGCGATGACTCAGATGATCGTTCGCTTTCCGAGTCTGGTATGAGAATGGGCGAAGAATCCGACGATGGTACGGCTTCGGAGGACCGGCTCGCTTCTGAAGATGAGGACGATGAGGATAATAACGCGAAGAAAGCCCAGAAGTTGCAACACGGCAGCCGTGCTGGTCGCAAACAACAGCCAGAAGAAGACGGGGAATCCGATGACGACCGACCTGCCAAGAGGCGCAAAATGGCGCATAAGATTAGGGGTTGAAAGTTGACCTATCATCTAAGAGCATCTCTATTGCTTCTTCAAGTGTAGGAAAGCCATAGATATGCGAGCTAGAGACGACAACTCTCGACCTCTAAGAAAAAAGGAGCTTATGTTGACCCTTTTGCAAGTAGAGCAGCTGCGCAAAAGCCGACGAAGGGGAGGCCACGAGGGCGACCAAAGAAAGCTGTGCTTCCTCCTCCAACTACTTTACAACAAGAACGTTCAGGAGGTGGAAAACTTGAATCTGGAGACGCACATGGACGAGAAACAGCGAAGGAAGGAGATGCACTTTCGGAATTCGCGCACCTCATTAGTTACGGCAATTTTTCATATTGCAACTGTTATCCTAGTCCTACGAGGAGTCTTATCATCGCAGAAAACATCATTCTCTCTAAAGTTGCTTCTGACAGAAGATAGAGCTGACCAAGTTGATGATGAGCTTAAGAATGAGCAGGAGATTATCGTAGAGATAATGAATCAACACTAATGAGTTGTGCTTCTACTGAGCAGTTGAACTTGAAGGACTGATCACGCGGCGTGGTAAACAAAAATATATAAGTACATGCCCAGAACTGATTTCCTTAAGGAAGCTCCTTAAGGAAGCTCCTTAAGGAAGCTCCTTAAGGGAGCCCCTTAAGAGATTTCTGGCAATTGCTAATACTATAAATACTAATATTCTAAGTTAATAGAAAACTCAGGGGGTACTTGCCACCTTTCTTCAATAGTACAACATTCTAAGGTACAAGGCCGACGAGGCGGAAACAAGGGAAGATTTCTCATAACCAGAAGCTCCAAGAAGCCGCACAGCGAGAAGAGGAGGTGAATGAGGAGAAACGGCGCAAGGCAGAGGAGCAACGACGAGAAGCAGCCGAGTCTCTCTCTTCGAACGCAGTTGCAGCGGAGAGCCGCAGGAATCCTTTCAAGGACAAGCGGGGGGAGCTGAAACGCTATCTGCGTGCTACCTGCGGCACCATCGTGATCAAGCGTAGTCTGACGTCCCCCGCAGCAAATGCAGCAAATGCCTCTAGCGAGTTCGTGCCTCTAGGTCGGACAAAGGTGAAGTACGCAGACCCGAATGAGGAGCATGCCGTGATCTTTGGTCCCGGGAGTTTCGACAATCGCCAGACGAGACCGATCAGTCGCGCGCAATTAGACGCCTTATCTAAGTTCCAGCGGCATCTCCATTTTTCCTCATCCAGTGGCGAAGATGTGTTTCCGGAACCTGCAGAGTGCATGTTTTTCCGCGGTCTGCAGTCTCCATTTGACGCTGTATTGCGACAGCCTTTTCTTGGGTATCCGAATGCAGCGAAACGTCTTCAGCGCAGAGGACAACACGGACAGGATCCCCTTTTAACAGACGTCGTCGAGTCAGCGACCAACATCAACCCTTTATCTTCAGTACTAGCAGGTCCATCAACACTAGCTGGTGCGCTGTCGCCACCACGGGTAGCATCAATCGAGACGCGTAGGTCTTTAGGAGGTAGACCACTAGGAGAAAATCCAATCGATTTGAAGGATCCTCTGATTGAACGCCAGATCAGTCTGCATCCTAGCAACAGTGGAGCGGACTTCGATTTCGAGACAACATAGTCTCGACAAGATCATATACCTGCCCGATTGACTGCACTACCTCTTATAATTCTCACGGAAAACTAACACTGCGTCCTTCTAAAGTCACGATCCAGTGCCAATGTATTGTAACAAGGATATTTAGATACGTTTCTTCTCTTTCTGATCGGCATGATATTCTGACCAAAGCGTCTCACGTTGATCTAGAGATGCGCATCTTCACGCGATGACGAGCATGTGATCCTTAGCCTATGCCTACCTCCCTTCTGCAACTGCACAATGTCTCAGAAGAAGAATGTCGGAGAAGAAGCTGGTTTAATAGGTGGTAATTTTGAGTCAGCGCCTGATAACACAAGGAAGCACAACACGACTTCTTCGATCTTTGCATCTCCGGTCCCTCTTCAGCCTTTGGATCACAGTGTGCTAAGTCCTAGTATACCATGATCTTTCTAGATCCAGTGATGTGGTCAGTGAAACTACGATCCAGTCTTGCTCCTTGGCACTTGCTCTGACTTTTCAGCCCACGACTTCCTTTCGTTCCCACTACATCAACATGATCCTAGCTTACAATTTCACTGCCCCTCCAAACTACACCTCTTCCAGCCATTGATTTGTTTTGTAAACAGCCACCACTCATGAGGACGAGCATCCATGTCCCAATGTAGTCTGCTGCAGTATGTAGAGTTTCTCTCTGTGTCAGCATACGACTGAACGAAGATGACCAATCCTTGCTCAAAATCAAAATTTTGAACCAGGCTTCTTGTTTGTACGTACTTAGGTAGCTGACGGTGGACAAAAAAGAACATAAGATAGCAGCCACGTGAACAAGACAACTTTTTTCGATTCCAGATTGATGTGATTTGTACCTGTGGTCCTAGAACCTGAGGTTTTTGTCATGTGTCTATCGCTGTGTTGATCGTTCTTCTTGTGTTAGTGTTTTGGCCACGCTTGAAGATACATGGAATCGTCGATATTTCTGCAGAACATTCATCCCCACTAAATATTCGTCTTTTAATGGAGTTCATATCCCGCCGATTTGTCTTTCATTTTCGGAAACCCCGCTAGTCGAATGGAGTTCATATCCCGCCGATTCGTCTTTCATTAACGGAAACCCCGCTAGTCAACGCCGGATCGCAATGGCTTGATAATTACAGCGAGCACGACCGATCCGGCAGCGAAGCATCGAGACAATGACCTCATCCATACGTCGTAGCGACAACCTGAGCAGGTTCTCCGTGCAAAATCTCACACTGTGCGTCTCCTCTAGACTCTGACGCTGCGCCTGGACCGCATGGTATTAAGGATGAGCCGCGTGTTGAAGGAGGAGATGAGCAGCTGCATGGCCCTCTCGCGAGGAGCGGGAGGCACAGAGAGCATGCCTGTATTTAAGGGTAGGTTAAAGGTGCTTTTCTTACCGCTTTTTATGCCTCTCCCAAGGGAGAAAGGCATAACAAGCGGGGTAAGCGAGCACCAAAAGCCTACCTCTAATGTATCGAGAAAAAAGAGGAAAGCACCAAGATACTACGGATTTTCGGTGCAGCATTGTGTTCCTGATTTCGGAGTCTTTTGGAGGCGATTCTACGATGACAAAAGCAATGTGTATACGAAGAATACGCATATGAATTTCCCGAGCGAGCATCATGTTACCTGTTTGCACAAGCAGGATATCAGCAGCTTTCTTTCATTTTGTGCGGGGTCAAAAAAGGGAAAGACCCGTTGTGGCGGAAACACCTTTTCAGATGATGCGGCTACTGCTAAAAACACTTTTCGACACGACTACAACAAGGGAGACAGCAGTTGCCCGAGCAAAAGCAGCAGCGGCATGTCGACAGAAAGCGACAGCGACGTTGTTGACAATGCTGGGGATGGTAAACCTAGAGAACGAGGGTGTATATTAGGAGACCAAGAGACTACGGAGTCTTCAAAGCCTTTAACCTTCACAAGCGGAGCTGACTACAGCACAATTAACGAGGGAGAAGTTGATTTTGATAGGGACGATGGATTGACATTGCCTAGTATAACTAAAGTGTCGGACGAGCCCGCGGCGCAGGATAGAAAAGGACCTTCTTCTAGTACCGATATGATGTCGACACGGCGTCGTCTTGTACGTGGACAGGATGAAGTTGTGAAGAATGCTGCTAATGATTCAAAACAACATGTATCACAGTGTGGTTCAAAACAACATGGTGCCACACCACGAGGGCTTCCTACTACTGAAGCGGAAGATGCGCTCCAGGATGGCACTGAAGCGGAAGATGCACCCCAGGATTTGTCTTCGTCTTTGACTGGGGCATTGACCTTAGGTGGCATGGTGAATCTCGAAGTGCCTGGTTGCGTCCAAACTACAGATGGTCGACTCTTCGCGCTTCTGGTTTCGCCTGCTTCGATACCAAAGGAAATACGAAAGCTGGAAAGGTTTACTCAGCGTTGGAGAGGAATGCACATTGATGAAGCTGATGCGTCGCGTAGGAACCACTACAACAGGTTGCATTCTTTACAAAGGTTAAAAAGGGAAAGGAAAGACTGGAAGGAAACTGGAGATTCTGAACATGTTGAAGATGAAGCTTCGACGAGATCGAAAGGGGATATTACTGGTTTACGTTTGCCGATACAGAATCATAGTCACGTCGTCACAGGAGAACGAGAAGGAGAACGACCTGTCTATCACGTAACACTAGGATGGAGCTCGCCGTATAAGGCAAAAGATGCGGGACTTCTTGCACAGCGTGCTTGGGATCTAAGGCGAAGGATCAGGGATGTGTCGCAAGGCTATCTTCAATTAAGGCTCAGCTTTCAATGGTCATTGGGGTTGGTCACTGAGATCGAAGAGGCGACCCCTTGAGAGAACAGGGGAAAACGAAGGGAAAGGGGAGAGCTTTGAAGGGGGTCCCTTCCGTTCAGAGTCATGCTGACCATTGAAGGCTGAGCTTTAATTCAAGGCCATAAAAGATTGTCCTCAGATGAATCAGGCTATGATCAAGGATCTGACCGTCTGTCCCCAGTAGAGTCAGTGACTCGAGACTTTGCTCTTTCTCAATGTTATTCGCATGCGGATAAAGCAAAAGGCGTTGCTCTTCCTCAAGGTGATAAGCATGTGGATAAAGAAGCGCTGTCAGGTGGTCCCGCTCAAGATTATAAGTGTGTATTTGAAGCGAAGGACTATATGGTTTTCGAAAGTACTATCACTGAAGACTCTAAGCCAGAAGACTCTCCCTCTATGCCGCCGTCTGCAAGCACTTCACCATACACAGCAACGTCGACACATTCGATGAATTCCATACGCGTAACACTCTTCAAACAATCCGTGATGCTCTGCGGTGCAAGATTTCAGGAGTTTTGGTATTGAACTTCAGGTTTTTTTGCCGAAACCTTCTCCTATTCTCAGTACTCCAACCGTTCTCTGCTACTCCACTACGCGAACATCCTAGAGCTTGACAACAACGACAACCCCATTGTGCGACACCCTTGCTATCTAGGTTGAGCCCCATTGTGCGGCTTTCTTGCTGTCTCTGAATCGCGGACAGTTGTACTTAGCGATGAATGACCGGAAAGGGATTCCAGAAGATCGTCTCCTACACCTCCACATCCAATTAACACGACAGATACCACATATCAGCCACATCACTCAAACTCAAACTCGAACTTGCGTGATGTCCTATAGCACTATACCGCAATCCCGGTTTCACCATACATCATCAAGTACGAGCAAATTTTGTCCTACCACAGCGTCCTGCGGGATAGGTTGGTGCCACAACGTCCTTCGGGATAGGCGACGACGCGTGTTACTCCTGGTCACCTTGGATGACCAAGTTTCCCGTGGTGTTCCTCCTGTTGGATGTGCTGGCGATAATGCCTGTGGCTGTGAGAAACCGAGTTTTTTAGGAACTCGAGAGGACCAAGGGAACAAGGAATTTCAATTTTGTAGAGAGCTTTCATCACATGTTGCCCATGATCGGTTGACTAAGTACTAGCTAGTCTACTAGCTAAAAATAGTACTTATTTACAAGCCAGATCTTCGTGAACAGGTACTGGGTATCTCATCCTCATGGGGTGTTTTTGGCTCTCGGTTGCACATCTGCTGTTCAGACCTTGTTTGCCTAGGCCTTGTCGGTTTCATATTGTAGTTGATCGAGTGACACTACAGGCACCACGAGCGCAACACCAAGGTAATCGAGTGACACGCCAAGGACGTAGAGCGAAACACCAAGGACTGGACTCGGTTCTTGAGATGGAATGGCATTCTCGGTTTTTTTTGTTTTCCACCAGTGTGCGGCTGTAGTGGCTTTTGAGATAGGCTACTTTAATTGTAGTACTGCTTACATATGATGGGTAAAGGGATTTTGTTTGTGATGTCTAGGGACTTATATCTTCTATGTACCTATGTAGAATTTGGGAACTTCTTGAGACACAGACATTTACTTCTGTAGAATTTGGGAACTTGATTCTTCGATAACGATGTTGTTCATCTACATGAGGAAGTGTTGTCAACTTTGTTGCGATATTGATTCAGATTTCGATGCTGTAGACCACTATGGATAGTAGATGTGTGATTAAACTTTGGCTACTGCTAGTATGCAACAGGGACAAAAATGTCTTCTACTTCTGTATCAGAGAAATCATCTTCACTGTGTATTCTACATGCTTCTAATCAGTGAAAAACCCAATGTTGACGCAGGAGTCTGTAATATTGTATGCAGAAATAAACTCTTGATGACTCTTCATATTAATTGTCGTTCTAGATATTGGTTTTCTTTTCCTTGTTTCTTCTAAGAGTCTATGGACGCCATACCGCTTGACAGCATGCTGCCTGCCACCGGTGTCCGAAAAGGTAATCGCTACTTCTTTTGAAGTCCCTCCTCTCTCTATTTTGAATCTTGGAAAATGATGGATGAATGAATGAAAGAACAAAACAACAACATCCAGACGCAAGTTTGATAGCTCATTTCTTTCTCCATAGAAAAACTGATTTATTATAGACTCACGTTTCTCTTCGAGATTAGATATTTGATATTCGTTGTGAAGATGGACATTTCTATATAGTCTGCCATAGGCGTTACTCACGCCCGAAGCAGTCGGTCTTTTTAGCTGCCGCGTCTCTACTCGGGTCGCCACGGAACCAGGCAGCTTTCGACGAGTTGCTACGTGGTTCGAATGAATGAGTGAATATATATTTTTTTATCAAGAACGTTACTGGTACCCACTCGAGTATAGTTGTTGGTATTCTATCTCTTCACAACTCTCTCTAGGTTCTTCTCCGAATCGGGTGATGGTACGAACACATGGCAATTGTAGTGCCTATGGATACACAGCTGAACCGAGGAGACTCGACCAGGCACAGTTCTTTTAAGGCTCTGTCCTGCAGCTAGAACTAAAAATTTAGGTAAGTAAGTTTATCCAATACGAGGACTTCTGCCGTGAAGCGTTGTCCGCATGTCCTATCACCTATACCTAACCCAAGAATAGTGCTCTGTAAGTTAGTCGGTCGCTTAGATCACTTTACTCGGCTGATATTTCAGTTTATCGAATAGTACACGCTCCCGAAGCATCCCCGGACCCATCTGCTGTCCCTACCCTCCCGGTACGTAGCTCTAATTCTTGCACCCTGACCCATCTACTGCCGTGCATGACCATCACTTATGGATTTGAATGATGAAGGAATGAACCAATCATGGAGGGCTTTTCTTTTCATTCGAACCCTAACACATACCTGCTCGAAACCTTGAAATAAGCGAGTAACAAAATAAACTGAGAAGGTATTACTAATTTTTGTTATCGCTGCAGTACAGCACGAGGGGATTGGCGCGGCCGCTTGCCTGGGACACATGAGTCCTCGATCGGTTCGTGTCGGGAAGCGAGCTCAGGCGCTTCTCGGAGTGGAGTACTTTATGCCCGATCGTGTTAGTACACTACTCATATTAAGCCTAGTAGGTAGAACATGCAAAGATAGAAACAAGAGACCTAGAACTTTCAACAATATTGTGTCCCTCATAAGACAATATTAGTAGGAGAAGTTTCAACAATATTAGTAGAAGATAAGCTCTTGCCTGACCTTTCTTTTTTCGGTTTTTGTTTTTTCTAGTTAGATATGCTCCACCAATTATATTGTGTCCCTGATAGATATCCTACGCAGAGTAGTTTATAGCGCGCATGGTCATGGAGCGCATGGAGCGCAGAGCTTTGAGGGGCGCAAGAAGCTCCCCCTTTAGCTCCATGCTACTCCATGTGATCCATGCACTCCATGCCATGCGAGCTGTGGAACCTTATAAATCGCTCTGTCCTAGGTAGGTCTATCCCACTGTGGCTGGGCTTTAAGAATATGCAGCGTCCGTAGTTGAGGGGAAGTGCCTTACAAGTAGATGTCGCCTCTATTTTGCTAGCTTGCTGTCTGAGCGAAATTAAACTGATCGCCGGCAATCTCGCAGAGCTCTGCCCGTCGTCTCCATATGAATGCCGCGGTCAGGTGAAGTCACGTCTACCGGCTACTTCTACTACAGGTTAGTTTGTTACAGGTGGTAGCTACCAACACCAATACCATCACCCATCTGTATCTTAGTTTGTTACAGGTAGCAACACCCACCTTCTATCTTACAGTTTGTTGAACAGCACCAATAAATGTACAAAATGTGCGAGCATAGCTCTAACCACATTGATTTGGCTCTCACCATAGCTCTAAATTACCAGAAAGTGGCGATCCCAGGACCATCTTGATCGAGGACGAAGTGGCTGTAGATAGGGGTTCCCACATTACATTCTTCACTAGCAGCCCTGACTCTCTTTTTAGTAGTTAGTAGTGTAGTAGTAAGTGTAAGTACTTAGTTAGTAGGGCGGATGCTCTGAGGATTTTTGTAGTTGATTTTTCCGTAACTACTTCTAATGTGGTGGAAGGTGATGCTTTTAGCTCTTCACCGCGCTCCCGCAGAAATTGTCGGGCAGCTATGCCTGCCGAGGTGGCTGCAGGCTATGGCCGCAATGCGCGGACGGTGGATGGCATCCACGACGCCCATGTTAAGAATGCTTGTTCAGCATGTATAGCTGGCAAAGACGTGAAGTTGTTCTGCTGAGTAAAAACCTTAATCTTGTTTCAATATTCTACCACGCAAGTAGAGGTCACTAGCGTCCGACCCTAGTAACAAGATGGTGATATTTGATAACGCAGAATTAGTGCATGTCAGTGAATGACTTTCCTATTCCCTTTTTGGGGGAGGATGTTCCTTTTTCTTGTGAAGAATAGTATGACACTAGTACACTACACTAATATTCAATACAAGGAACCTTAGTACCGCTAATCGTGGCAACGCTTGTGGGAGTCCCAAGCGCGTGACGAACACGTATGCCAGCAGCCTTATGCTCGGATGGGGCGAATGCGAAAAGGGTACCACGAGAGAACACGAACACAAGTGTCACTCGTCTCCTGGCAAGATGAAGAATGGGGTGGAGCAGCTGGGTGCGTTCTTTGCAGGTACTGGGTCAGAACATTCACGAGGACAGAACGGGGTGGCATCTTTACCCTCAACAGAGCAGCGCACAAAGTACTATATCTGAATTGTTAAAGTTGATTTTATGCATTCTTTTGTTGGATTTGGAATTGATAGAAGTTTCTCATTCGATTCTGACAGCAGATTGACAGGAGATGGGAAATGCGCTGAATTCATGAAGCAAATTCAAATGTATTCTTGGACTTGTGCAACATTTTTCTATTTTGTGAAGCAACTACAATTTCTACGCAGAACCACTTTTAAGTAAATGCATGAATCACGCAGCACTTTCTTTTTCACCACCTCCAGGACGACAACCGCGGAGCAGCCTTTTGCTGCTGGTATCACCGGGAAGCCGTGGGCCGCGTCGGAAAGCGCGTTCGCTGCGCACCGACAGTGGCCCGTCGGGGAGCTGTCCTCTGACCACCACCATCATCAACGCGTAACACCGTCAACACCCGTTGTAACACCTTCCCGGAGTGAGTCTGCAACTGCAGCACGTGCACCAATTGTCGCTGGAGGGGTGGCGGCCACCGCAGAAGCCAAAGCCTATGGCGAGCTGTTCAAAGCGAGAGACACAAGCAGTCTCAACCTAATATCCAGTAGTTTCCCAGACAGAAACGATCAGAAGAACTATCAGAAGGGCATGGCCGTATCTCGCGACATTGGCAGTGGAAGACGAATGTTGCTGTAGTTTCTACTATCCTAGTTATTCACCGAGATGAGAAGAATGACAATGATGGAAAAGGAATACTCCATCTTTCAGTCTAATCTTCATCTTGTTTAGAGTCATGATCATCTTTTTGTTTTCACATAGATTTAAATTATTTAGAAGCTGTTTGGTGGGATCTCGATTTTCTCTTCGAATTTAGATAAATTTAGATTTTCATTTTCATTCAAAAAAATAGAGTCTTCATCGAAAGAATAATTTGCATCATGGCTTAGTTGGAGGTTCGTATTAAACAATTATAATCTATCATTAACAAACTGAGAGGCAATGAAATGGGAGACGAGAGAGTTTCTTTGATTTTTATTTGGAGTTTGACAATGAATAGCTTGGTGCCTTTCCTCATGTTCGAGATCTAGAGCGTCTTCATCATAGAGTCACTGCATTTGTACAGAGAAGTCGCCACGTATTATCATGTGCATAGACTCACTGCATAGTACTCAACACGTATTATCATGTAATAGACGATACTAGTACTACACCGGCATCTTTTGAGAGACTCACGCAACGTTTTTGGTTTTCTTGGTAAGAGCAGACGAGAGCATAGTGTTTCCAATGCGAATAAAATATTGGGTATGAATATATAATGAAACTTGGCTATTAGCTGACCACTTGAAACGCATGGGAACAAACGTAGCGGTCACGGTGATGTCAATGCATTGCCAATCTCATTGCCCTTGGACGAATTGCTACTGCGCGGCGCGCCTGTCTCTTCGTGCATGTGCTTAAAATGTCATGCCCTTTGTCCCTATTAAGCCGCCTCAGCGAAAAGCTTCAGTCGGGTACACTGGGAGAATATAGCTGATAATGCGACGCACATCGCGCCGCCTGTTGGCTGTGTTGCCTTCCCCCGCCTGCCTTGCGGGTGTTTAGTAGGGCCAGAGGGCTCGGCGGCTGTGCTCGGTAGTTGGAGTGGTAGCGGCATTCAGGCAAACAGAAAGCCCGCTCGCCGCGCGGGGCTTACAAGGTCGCGCTCCGCCGGGCGCTGCCACTGTAAGGCCCCCCCGTCGGTTCGAAAAGTGGACTGCCAGTGGCCTTGTGTGTCCCCTTTGCGTAGTGTGATGGGCCGGCCATGTGGGGCGGCGCCCTCGTCCCCGCGTCTTAGTGACTTGGGTGCCCGCTGGGTGCGTGATTGCTTGCGAGGCGCCTCCCTTCCGCCGTGCCGCAGGCAGCTTGGTGCACCTGGTGGCCCCAGTCTGGGGCTTTGGCTCAGGGAAGTGGCAGGGCAAGCCTCCGGCTTTCTTTAGTCGAGGGACTCAAAAAAGCCGACGCCCGACTCGAGCCCCAGGACTTTGGCAGGACCCAAAGCTTCGGCTTCGGCGGGTGCTGAGACGTTGGAAAATCTGGGGGCTCGAGTCGAACGCCGGGTGCTTTGCCACTTCGGGGACTGGCCCAGCAAGATGACCCGCCCAGTCCCCGGACAGAAAGGACCCCGGGCGCCTGATTCGAACCCCAGGACTTTCAGGTGTCTCAGCAGTCTTGGCCTGTCTGGAGCTTCTGGGGTTCGAGCTTGAGCGCCAGACTTTTTCCAGTCGGTGAGCCCGGTTTTCTGAGATGGGGGCCGTTGCGATCGGGGCTTCTTCTGATGGTGGTGCAGAGTCTGCAGCCCTTCGGGGGCCGCGTCTCGCCGCGGTGTCTGAAGTGGGCTGGTCTGGTTCTCACCCCTGGAGGTGTGCTGGTGTTTGCTAAGTCAGGAGGCCGCGGCCAAGGGTGTCTCATTCTCTTGCCTGCGTGCGCATCGGGCCAGGGGCTTTTGGTAGGGGAGGGTGGGGGGCCAGGCGTGGGTGTAGGGTCGACGACACGGACTCTACGACATTATGGGGACTCTTTTTGCGTGTCTTCGTGCGGGTTGCCTCCGCGGCTCCATTGGGTTCTTTTTTTTGCAATGATCGGCGTGACATGGCTCAGGCAGAGCCTGGCTGTGTTTAGGGAATGGTGCGTTGGGCTGGGCCGGGTTATATCTGGTGGGGTGAGGTTGAGGAGGTTTTGGTTGATCTTGGTTATGTGGTGCAGCAGCAGCGGGGTACGGGTGAACTTCAGCTGGGGATAGATGGGTTGACTTAGGTTAGCTGGGGCCCGCCGGGTCAATTTGAGTTGGGCGAGGTTGGGTCTGGTTAGGTTGAGTCGGTGTAGGCTAGCTTGAGGCGGTGCCCGTTAGTTTGATTTGGGGCCGGCTTGAGTTGGGTCAATGGCTTCAGGCTTTTCCGCTCCTTGTGATAGGTTTAAAACCTTCAGGGAGTTGGTTCCCTGACTTCATTCGCAGGACAGGACCCCGGCAAGATTCTCACTAGAATCGGCTTCCGTTGAGGAAGGCCTGGAGCGCTGGAGGCTTAGGGCTTACATACTGCGAGGAGACGCCAAAACAGCCAGCCGTAGGCACGAGCCGGACAGAGCCCCACACCAAACACCTCACAGAGGAGACGACAAAACAGCCAGCCGCAGGCACGAGCCGGGCAGGAGTCTGTCAGAGCCCCACACCACACGCCCCACAGAGGACGGAGACGACAAAACAACCAGCCGCAGGCACGAGCCGGGCAGAGCCTCGCACCTAACACCTCACAGAGCAGACGGCAAAACAACCAGCCGCAGGCACGAGCCGGACAGAGGCTCACACCAAACATCTCGCAGAGGAGACGACAAAACAACCAGCCGTAGGCACGAGCCGGGCAGAGCCTCACACCAAACACCTCACAGAGGAGACGACAAAACAACCAGCCGGAGGCACGAGCCGGGCAGAGCCCCGCACCAAACACCTCACAGAGGAGACGACAAAACAGCCAGCCGCCGGCACGAGCCGGACGCAGCATCGCACCAAACACCTCGCAGAGGAGACGACAAAACAGCCAGCCGCAGGCAAGAGCTGGGCAGACAGAGCCTCACACCAAACACCTCACAAAAGAGACGACAAAACAGCCAGCCGCAGGCACGAGCTGGGCAGAGCCTCACACCAAACACCTCACAGAAGAGACGACAAAACAGCCAGCCGTAGGCACGAGCCGGGGGGCAGAGCCTCGCACCAAATACCTCACAGAAGAGACGACAAAACAGCCAGCCTTAGGCACGAGCCGGGCAGAGCCTCACACCAAACACCTCACAGAAGAGACGACAAAGCTACCAGCTGCAGGCACGAGCTGGGTAGAGCCTCGCGCCAAACACCTCAAAGAGGAGACCGGCGACAAAACAGCCAGCCGCAGGCACGAGCTGGGCAGAGCTTCGCACCAAACACCCCACAGAGGAGCGAGACGACCAAACAACCTACCAGCCGTAGGCACGAGCCGGGCAGAGCCTCACAGCAAACACCCCACAGAGGAGACGACAAAGCAAGCAGCTGCAGGCGCGAGCCGGGCAGAGCCTCACACCAAACGCCTCGCAGAAGAGACGACAAAACAGCCAGTCGTAGGCACGAGCCGGGCAGAGCCTCACGCCAAACACCTCACAGAGGAGACGACAAAACAGCCAGCCGGAGGCACGAGCCGGGCAGAGCCTCGCACCAAACACCCCACAGAGGAGACGACAAAACAACCAGCCGTAGGGTAGGCACGAGCTGGGCAGAGCCCCACGGCAAACACCTCACAGAGGAGACGACAAA